ATGACTTAAGAGATGATGAGGAACAACGATCAGAACTTCACGAAAGAGTAGACGATCTTCAAGACACGCTTTGGGAAATGTCTGATGAACGGAAAGCTGCTGCAGAGAAAGAGATCGATGCTATAGTTAAAGATGGGTGGTTAGATGACCGTATCGGATTCCTAATCAATCATTATTTATCTCTTATGCAAGTAGAAGCCGATAGATATCAAGATTCAATGAGACTTCTTAAAGACTATTATAGAGGAATGGAAGGAAAAATTCCAGATGAGGCAAACAAAGGTTTCTTCCGAATGCCGTTAGTAGAGGTAATAATTGACTTTAGGCCTAAGTTTTATAAAGTAATAATATATTTTCAATAATCTTTGATACCATAACAGTTGGAAACTCAATCGGGAGTTGAATCAGTTAGCAGACCAGCAACTCCAGCTTCCCAAGGTAACATTGGAGATGGTACGAAATTGGAAGGTGCTGGCACTCCTTCCAACGTTACTTCCCCATCTCGGCAGGGAAGTGCCAAGAGTGGAGGTCGACGATCAGCATCTCCAAAAGCTAGAAAGGGTAGTGGTAAGAAACGATCTATATCGAAGATTGAAAAAGAAGAAGTCTTAACTCAACAGTTGATGGATCCAGAAAGTAAAACTGTCTCGTTAGTATTTTAGAATTATCGAGTTGAAATCGTCAAGTTTATACTTTATTTTATTGGAATTAGTATACCTCTCATTCCACGACGACCTACATCTCCAGATGGACAAGGTAAGGGAAAAGGAAGTACTGCTAAGAAGAAAGAAGCTCAAAATGACGACGCCCCTACTCCTCCCGAAGACTTGGATGAGCGTCTTTTATTCGACGGACTTCAGAATTGTATTCAAACAATTGATAGAATATTAGCAGCTGAAATAGCTGCTAAAGAGGCTGAGGAACAAGCTGAAAGGGAAAGTGAACTTCAAAAAGAAAGAGAGCAAGCAGCAGAAAAAGAAAAGGCTGCAAAGGGTAATAAAAAGGACAAAAAGGATAAGAAAGGCAAAGCAAGTCCAAGGAATCGCAGTAGAACACCATCTGGTAAGAAAGGAAAGAAGGAAAAAGTTGAAGAACCCCCTGTAGAGAGCACTCCCGCACGTGAGATCCATATTTAACTAGAACTAGTTATCTAATCACACCATCAACAGTAAAACAAATGAAAAGCATGTTAAAAAACTAGGCTTCCCTTAATTCCTTGAAAAGAGATTAATAATATTAATCGATTTTTTTAGTCGAAATTTTAGAAATATAGACAAACTGTATTTAGTTATATTAGTATATATAAATTGTTTGTAATTGTATATATAGCCGAAATTTCTGAAGAGGAAAAGGCGGCAAAAAAATTGAAGGAAGATATGAAACTGGAATATTTCGCTGCCCTTCAAAATGAAGGTTAATTAATAGTAATTTATTCATATAAAACTTTATTAATTTATTAAACTTCTAGCCGAAAGTGTTAAAAAAAGAGTGAATTTGATAAGATACGTTGCATTGGCAACAATGGCTGATTTAAGATCTAAAGCCGAGGTTGCTTATAAAGATATGGATGATTGGTTAGGTTCAAGATTCCTTAAGGAGATGGATAGGTAAAGATTAATTGTGTTTATTAAAATCTTTACATCGCTCATTTAATTCCTATTTCAGCATTAAATATTTAACAACCGTTATGAAACACGCCATCGAAAGCGGAACAAAGATTAGAGAAGAGTTAGAAATTGATCAAGATCAATTTGTCATATCAGAGGTAAGTTCGCAAAAGTTTAGAATGTAATCACGTGACAAATTAAACAGTATCTACAATAATATAATGTTACTCTATATTTATTACGTTATTGAAGCGACATAGCTCAACAAACGAACAAACAAAAACATAAATTTAATTTCTATGCCTAAAATGAGAATCATTGTAAAAAAAGAAAAACTAGACAAACAAACAAATAGTTAAGAGAATAGAAAATATACGAAAAGCTGTGAAAATGTTTGCTCCCGACTCCTTAGAAACCACTTTCCAATCGGCAACAAAATACCTATTTTGTGTATATACATATTTTAATATTACATATTTTATTGTATATATTAAAATATTTTATAATAATTACCTAATACCTTACCTGATTACCTGCCTACCTTTTAATCCTAATTTGTTTGCCCCCTTTAAAGATTCCATTAAAAGACCTTGAAGATAATATGAAAGTTGATCCCAGATTTTATGTAAACTCGGTATATATTTACCTTTTCTTGAGAATTTTCTCATTTTTATTTTTAAAAAAACGTCTTTTTTTAAGTTTATAGTTTTAGTTCTTTAATTTTTTGGCTACTTTCTAACGTTTTTTATTTTATTGTTTCTTACAATTTTTCTTACCTTATGAATATTCATAATGTATATAAGAAATATGCATAAAGGCGTACACTACATATAATGTATATTTTCATATAAATATATATATATATATATATATAAATTTATACAGTGCATTTATATATATATATATATTAAATATATACATTTATTTTATATTTAAGAATTAATTTGCATATATTTGCATTAATTATAATAAGAACATTAATAATATTTTATCAAACTAACTGTGAGTATTGTTTTAAGGACACCATATACTTTGAGGCGGAGGTTAATAAAGCACTTTCACTAGCAAACTAAGCATGGATTATTTAGAGATCAATTTAGATAATAATATTACTATTCAAAGCATGTTTGTTTATAAACTTGAACCGACATTCTCACTACATTTTTTAGTCTAAAACAAAAAAAAAGGTTTTATATAGCGTTTTTTCTTTTTAGCCTTACTTTTATATATATTATAATATATATATATATATTAAAATAAAAAATTATTCATGCATAAATTAATATGCAAATTAGTAAAAGAAAAAACCAAAACATTTACACGGGACAGGAGTAAAATTTTTTTTTGCATTAATTGAATGTTTCCCCTTTTTATTTTAACATATTTTTTTTTTTAATTTATTACTTTTTTATTATTTTTGTTATATTTTTATTTTGTAGCTTTTTGTTATTAAAACAACAAACAAACAATTAAATATTAAAACATTTTTTTTTCTAAGCACCGCTCGAAACTTGGAGTTTTTTTTTTCTTTTTGTTAATTTGATACTTTTATCTTTTTTTTATACACGTTTTCGTAACCCAACCAAAAAAAAATCCCTCTCCCTTTACCACTTTTTGAAGACTTCATCACAAGAAAATGTTAAAGAATGCAACAATTTATTTTTATTTTCCTTTTTCTTTCTATTGAATGAACTAGAGATTAAATTTGTGTTTATCTACAGGATACTAAAGTTGTTAGAACTCCTACGCCTCCTCCACCGCCTGAAGTTAAGGAAGCACTTCATCACGATACTTTTACGGTTGAACAATTATTAAATGTCTTTAGACAATTTTCCCAAACTGCCCCTGATGGCCTAATGTCGGTTCAGTCGTTTGTTGAAACTTTCTCGAGTTTAATATCCCTTAGCCATGGGACCGAACAATTACCTGATATGTGGTTACAAGCCACTAATCATCAAGTTGAATCGTTGGCTTTTAATTTGTCAGCAGATGGCGAATACGTTGACTGGCATTTGCTTATGCTTCATATTGCCCAGCCTTGGCCTATGCCAACCCAAAGTCAACTCTTGGAGACTCTTGAAGCTTTCAAACAAATGGATCAACGATCAACAAACTTTGTAACTAGGGAGCAGTACGACGCTATACATCTTTGGTTCCTTAGCGATGAGGAAAAGGCTAAGAAAAGTAAAGAGGAAAAGAAAGCAACCGCCGATATAGAGGAAGAGTCAACTGAACCAATAATTATTGAAACTTTTGATAGACTGGGTCATTTGAAAGCGGCATTTTTCGAAATATTTGCAGATCAAAGACAAAAACAACCAACTGTAAATTATATCGATATGGTAAATATAATCATATTTTTCCATCATTAATAGTTAAATTTCCCCTATTTTTCAATTATTATTACTTTTTCAGTTATTATACTTTTCCTTATCGCACGATTCAAACGATGGATTTTTAAGAGCTTTAAGTGTTGCCAGTGGAAAACATATGCCTCGCTTATCAGGCAAAATGCCTGTACACATTCCTATAAATCATACGTAAGGTTATTCTATACATAGTTTAATGGAATAATACCAACAAACAATTTTTCAGTGAAGATAAAGGACCTCAAATGATTGCTGGCGCTTCCCGTCATACAACATTAATGGCTAAGGAAACTTTATTCGAACCACCAACTGATATTCCCGATGATGCAATCGAAGCTGCCGTTAAAATGGACGATCTTTATAAAGTTTTACATCATGCACAGAATGAAAGGGGCGATAGTCACCGCTTTAGCGTTATGACTAATCCGGAACAAGTCTTTTCAAGGGTAAGTAGAAACAACTCAACCGGATTCTTTTTCTCTTTTTTCTTGGCAAGTAAAAATATTCTTCTATAGGATCGACTTGCTGGAGTTTGGCATGAATTAGGTTACACGGAAGAGGAAGCTATATCCCTAATACTATTAATAGAACATCCAATCATCTCCGAAATGATATCCATATGCAATACCTATACATTTGTGGTAAATTTTATATTGTTATTCAATTGTTTAAGCGATTTAACGTTTCGTTTCTCACCAGGATTTAAAGACTGTTATACCACCTCAATTTTTAGAGACAGCCGATATTACAAGTATTAAAACAGGCGATTAAAAAGAACACAACAATTGTATTATTTTATATATTCAATAAAATAGTTTATTATTTAATTACTTTATAATTTTAACAGAAAAATATATGAATAATACAGTATATTCATAATTTATGTAAAATTTATTACTAAATTAAGCACTTTGAATTAAATGAATTAAGGAAAAGAAAGAATTATCTTAATTCTAACAGTAACGTATTAGAAAATAGATATGCATGGAGAATGTTCTAGATATCTTTTAACATTTGTTTCAAGCTACAGATTTGTTTTTGAGAATTTTTGTGTAAAAGCAGAAATATCAACATTTTCGTTTTCTGTAATGAACGGTTTGTTTAAAAGATCAGGATATCTTGGTCTCTCTTCAATATTTTTCTTTAAAGTTAAATTAATAAAATCATTAAATTCGTTGGAATATTCGTCTGGTGGTAAAGTTGGCGATGGGTTATTTAAAACTTCCATTATAGCGTCGAAATCGCACTTCCATTTCCTGTACGGGTATTTACCAATTGTAAATTCTAGAATAGTTATTCCAAGACTCCATACATCAGATTTGGATGAAGAAGAGATGATATCATCGGATGGTACAAGTTTCTCAGGAGCTAAATACGGCGTAGAACCAGCATTTGATTTAGTTAGAGAATCACTCATAACAACACCACAGATCCCGAAATCACATATTTTCACTTGGCCGCCTTTATTAATAAGAATGTTAGATGGTTTAACGTCGCGATGTGCAACCCCTACTTCGCTGCGTAAAAAGAAAAGACCGCTAATGATTTGATATGACATATTCCCGATAATCCTTTCATCTATTTTATAGCTTCCTTCCATTTCTGTAATATTCTGTCGAAGTTTATCTAAAGAGATGTCCATTCTTTCCATCAACATCCATAGTTCTCCGTCTGTGGCCATAGCACCGTAAAAGTTTACAGTATAAGGACAATGTAAACTCTTTATTGCAACATAAACTTCCATCATACTTCTTCTCTCTCCTTCTGCAAATGAAGTCGAAGTCATTTTCTTGACAGCGAAAGTCTTATTCGATTGACGATCACGAACAAAGTCAACAAAACCGTATCTTCCTTCACCCAAACGTTCAATAATATGTAAATCCTTCACACTTAATAGTAAATCATCACCATCTATTCTAACTTGAGCTTCAGTTCCTATCTTTTTAAAAAAATCGTCTGACTGCGACTCTTGATGATTCATGATTGATGAAGCTGTTTTCGTTTACTATCGAATCAATAATGGTTATAATTTATGATGTTTCGTTTTCGAAATGCCGATCAATACGATAACAACATAAAAAAGAAAAAATGATGATCTAACACATTCCTGGTAGGAATTTTGAAAAATTCTAAAGAGAGTGGTGTCTTTCAACTTCTATTGATTATTACTCCTTTTTTGAATGGTTTAGTATATATTTTCTACTGTTTTATATCAAAATATCATAATAGAATATCCAATGGTTCTTCTGTTGTATTTTATATGTATAATCTTTTCTTACAATCTTCATTTATGTTAAGTGAATATCGTTTAACTTCCTGTCTAAACGATTCAAGCAAGAAAGGAACTTGTTTTAACCAAAATAGATGATAATTTCGATAAAGTTAATAAATCTTGTTGGACAGTCTTACTCACCACACTATTCTTAAAGCACTTAAAATATCTATACAACTAATCAAGCATCAGTTTATCCAGTTAATAAATAATTTAACACTTCTGTTAATTTTTGAAGTCGTTCTGTAGACTGAAGTCTCGCACAGAAAAGTTTAATTAGGCCTATTATGGTTATCAGAAAATATTTTTCAAAAAAATTAAAGTAAAAGTAAAAATATAGGTATTGGACTTTTGGCATCGAAAGATAATGTAAAATTAGCTACTTAACGACAATGTTTTAACATAAAATTCAAATTTTGATATGTTCAATTTCATAAGGTGTATTACTATTTAGCGACTGAATACAGTTTGCAAAATGGTTGAACATGAGAAAAGTACACAGAGACGCCATTTTAAAAAGACTTTAAAGTATGGTATTTTGTAGAAAAGTGGCCAGCTTTCCTCTTTCTTCCGGTTTTATCACGTGGTCTCGTAAGGGTCAATGTGATTTTGTTAAGGACTATCAAAAGTGGGGTTAGAGCACGTGTTTTTATTTAAATTATTTGTTATCTTTACTAACTGGTAATTAGATTAAAAGAGAGCAAAATGTCATATTGCAGAGAAGAAGGTAAAATATATATAAATTTAGTGCTGCAATTGCTAAAGATTTAATTTTTCCACAGGAAAAGACAAAATTGTGTTCTTAGAGAAGGATTCAGCAGTAAAAAATGATTCTAAGACCATGTCACTACTGCCTAGTGATCTTGAAGATGAGCCTGGATTAGTGTTAGAAAATGGTGAGATCAACTGGAATTGTCCATGTTTAGGAGGAATGTCCTCTGGGCCTTGCGGCGTACCGGTAATTTAACAAAATATACATTTGCTTTTAATAAGGCATTTTAATTACGTAATATTATGTGAAAAAATTAAATAATAATAATAAGTAAAAGTAATAAGTAACCACACTGAATATAAACATATTATAATTCTTCTGCGACATATTTCTTTACAGTTTAGGGAGGCTTTCTCATGCTTTCATTACAGGTAATCCATTATAAGTATTTAGTATAAGTATTAAATTTTAAAATTATATTCTACCAGTCAAGCTGATCAAAAAGGCTCAGATTGCTATGAAGAATTTGCTAAGATGACCGACTGTTTTAGAAAATATCCAGATATATATGCAGAACCTGATGGTAACAAAGAGGAAAATGATACAGAAGAAAGCACACCTGATGCGTCATCCGAACAAACCAGTGATGAAACTTCTGCAACTTCGGATGGAAAAAAATCATAAAATACTTTTTTACTGTTACGTTTACTACATATGAATCATTATTCAATAATTTCAAATTTATTAACTTGTTATTCAATACACTCTCTAGGAAATTGTTTTGTGAGAAAACGAGAGAGAGAGACAGAGAAAGGAGGAGAGAGCTTTAAAATATTACGCAATATCGTTTTATAGGCGTACTTCTTATTAACTCCAGAAGCTAAAAAGACCCATGAGTCACTCATACGGTATACACAGAAGTCTTCCTAAATTTGTAGCTATGTAGCATTTACTAACAAAATAAATAGAAAGAATAATAATATAATTCAAGTAAACTTGAAAAACTTGAGTTGCTCATAATGGTTATCCCGTATTCAATAGTTCATTAGCTAACTAGACTCTAATTTTATCAAAGATACCCAAAAGAAACACCATTAAAATACTTGCTTTTTATATTTATTAATACTATTTTTTCGCCATTTTATCATCAAAAATATTTCGGCATATTGGAAATTTAATACATTCCATCAATTTAAAATAAAACAAAGAAAAAATCAAAATGACTAATACATACACGTCCTGTAGATTAGAGACTAAGAGTTGGAGAGCGAAAGAAAAGAACCATACATAATAGACGAAAACTATATTTTGTTTGTTTAGTGTTAGAGAACTTTGATTTACCTATTTAAAAAAAAAACAATAATTCGACTAATGTAATATATTTTGTATTTTATTGGAATATTAGAAGAATACTAATGAATAAAGTACAAAGTATAACTCACTAACAAATCATCTACAATAATCGAGAATGAGAGAGAGAGAGTATATTGATGTGTGTATATATATATATATATATGTGTGTGTGTGTGTTTGCTTGCATGTATGTGTGCATGTATGTAAGTATGTACGGGTGTGTATGCGTGGAATGACACTATTCGTTCGCGAATTCTTGAACAAAAGAGGATATATCAACACTTTGACACTTTTCTATAAATGGTTTTTTCAATAAGTCTGCATATCTTGGTCTTTCGTTGACATCTTTCTTTAGTGTAGAATTTATAAAATCATTAAATTCGTCGGAATATTCTCCAGCTGGTAAAGTTGGCGATGGTTTTGTTACAACATCATTTAAGGCTTCAAAAGCATTTTGCCATCCTCTATATGGAAATTTTCCCGTAGTAAATTCCAAAACAGTTATACCTAAACTCCAAACATCAGCTCTTGACGAGAAGCCTACTTGACCATCTCTGGGACTTATTTTCTCTGGTGCTAGGTACGGCTTAGAACCAACGTTTGAAAATGCCAATGACTCCTTGACAATATTTCCGGATATGCCAAAATCGCACACTTTAACACGACCACACTTATTAATCAAGATATTTGATGGTTTAACATCTCTATGAAGAACGGAAACTTCATCTCGCAAATAACTAAGGCCCTTGATAATTTGATAGGTAATATTACCTATAATATTCTCAGGTATTTTATAGTTTTCATCTGCTCCAAAAATATTCTCTCTTAGCTTATCTAAAGACATATCCATTCTCTCCATTATCATCCATAATTCACCCTCCAAACTCATAGCCCCGTAAAAGTTGACGGTATACGGACAGTCTTTACTCTGAGCTGCCACATAAACTTCCATGAGGGTCCTTCTCTGACCTTCTTCGAAAGAAGCCAAGGTCATTCTCTTAACTGCAAAAGATTTACCGGATTGTCTGTCCCTAACTAGGTCAACGTGTCCGTACGCTCCGCGACCCAGATTTTGAATAGTTTGCAGATTATCGGCGTGAAGAACAATTTCCTCGTTGTCTACATGTATCCTAGCTTCACTTCCTAAATTTCTCATGATAGCATCTAAATGCTCAGGACTAGGAGTTGTTGTTACCCTATCATTAACGGGATCTAGTTTCTGAAGTGTAAACTGCTTTCTTTTCTTCATTTTTTGACTGTTTATACACGAAAAGATTAAAAGGTATAGGGGGGAATTTCAAAATGACTCACATATATACATTGTCAAATGGATAATAAAGTTTAACTTACTTTTCCATAAATTGAGTCGATTTTAAATTAGCTTAATTTATCAACAAAATTAACTCTAAATTATTTCGCAAAAATACAAGAAAAGACAACTTTTAACTAGTAAATGTCTGACATAAACATTACTAAATGTTGTCAGTCTAGGATAAAATTCCGACTGGTGTTTTACTAGCTTATAACCGTTGGTTATAAACACGAATGGTGGCTCCCCTAGCGAGTCAAATTAGCTTCAAGTTTCAAGTACTGTACATTTATATCTAAAATGCTAAGATAATTTCAAGTTGAATAATAAATATTTCGTTTCAATAAAAAACATTTTACAGGAAGAAATATATACTAATATATTTATATAATAAAATATAGGCTTAGTTAATAAAAAAAATCAGTATTATTCTTATTTCTCACATAATAAAAATCATTTTTATATTATAGTTGTTTTTTGCTTTAAAATGTGAAATTATACAGAGATATGAAAAGAAAACAAACAAATATTCAGTCAGCATTTTTTTCCCCACTTTTGTCAAAAGAAAAGACCGAAGAAAAAAACAGTATCCTCCTTTTCTTTGTCTTATTTCTTTCTATTAAAATTTCAGGTAATATTATAAGTATAGTTATTAGATGACTGCTGATAAAGTGCTGCTCCGTAATAATCTATAACATAATCAGATCCATCTGCTGGTTTTACTACCTGAAGAGCAATTAAGAGAACATCAACAAAGTGACCAACAAACATTAAACCAAGAGTACATAACTTGATTAAACCTAAATGGAAAATTAACAAGCATAAGTAGATTATCCGTAAGCAATCTATTTTAAATAATTGTACCTATAGCTGAATAGCCTAGATAAAACCTATCAACTCCCAACATTCCAAGAAAAATAGAAAATAATAAGGCTGTATCAAATCTTTTGCCATTTCTGTTAAAATAGATAGAACAAATCAGAAAATATACTTTTAGGTCGTATTTTTTTTCCTTACGTCCATTTACAAGGCACAGTCATTTGAAAACCTCTTGTAGAGCCATTATGAACTTTCCCATCGCATAATATATTTTCTACTGGATAACACCACACTGAAAATTTTATTTCCAATAAATCTTTTCATTATAAGAAACTATTTAATTTATCAGATTTTACCCCTAGATGTTCTTGTTTCCTCGTTACAATTATCTGCGGCTTGTCTCTCTGGATCAATTAGAGGTTCGTCGCATCTATATCTTTGTCTAGCTAAGGAAGTTTATTTTATTCAACGGAGCATTTACACACAAAAAAGACGTTTTAAAAGGATACTGTCCCTTTCTTAGGGATGAGCACTTCAATTTAGTTAAATTGTCTCCAAGTATCAGTTGTAAATATGATAAAATGAGGAGCGTCAATACGTTTAGATGCATTCTGGCGATCATCGAACTTACAGAATCGCGCGATATTCAAAAAATATCTCTTGAATTTCTCTAGTTTGGTTTTATAACAAGGATTTAAACATTTTCTGCACTATCAAAAAATCTCACGAAGCGATCTCTTACTTCTCTCTTAACGATAACTAAAAATTATATTTTTATAGAGCTGTTTTCTTTGAATTTTAACATAAGTCTCAGCTTGGAGGAAAATTACTTTAGTTTTTATTTTATGGCGCATGCTCGTAAATAAACTGGTGTCATTTATTTCCGGTTTAAAAGACATCACAACCGAAAGATGGGTCTCGAAGTAGAGGAATCAAATACAGCTATTCAAAACGAACCTGAGGTAATTTGTATTATATAGATGTTTAAATTCAGAAATATTATTTATATCTGGTGTTAGCTGTATATTTTTACATATTTATCATGTAGAACTTCAAGATATTTACCTTGAAGGTCACAGCGTGTTAGATTTGTCCCTTGATCATTACCGACAATTGTATAGTAGGTAATCTAGCACTTATTTCTTTTTCTTAATAAATAAGACCGAAATAGTCCAAAATTTCGAGAATAATGAAGAAGCTAGTGTAGAGGAAACTGTAGCTGACGAAGAACAAGTAGAGTCAACAGAAGCCGAGTCCAATCAAGATGAAGTATTCCCTTCTACAGAGTTTCATTTTCGGTAGCGGCAGCCAAATTTATAAGAAAATCATATATTGTTTTAACAAAAACCTTTAAAATGTATTAAATTTGAATTCTGTTCCATTCATCTTACATATTCTATGCGTAAGCTTACTTAAATTTAATCTATGTATTGTATCAAAAACATCTAGGCTTGCTACCGAATTAGGAACATCTGTAATATTAAATTAGGTTCTATGATCTCTGCTATTATAATTTTATTTTTGAAGCAATAGTTCTTATTTATTTATAATAGAGTGTTAGTGTACTTAATTATATTCCGTAGATATTATCTTATGGTCTTACGGTCTAATTATTTTGAATGACAGAGGCATAATAATTTCATTGCTGGATTTGGCTTGTGAAACAGAGATGATCTTTTCTTCTTTTATATCTTAATTAATTAATTTTTTGTCTTTTTAAAACAGGTTGAGGAGGAAGAAGAAGAGGTATGTTTCAATTTAATATTGCATTATTTTATTTATATTGTTTTATTTCATTCTTCCCTGAACAACAGGAATTAGAGGTGAGTTTTTTCTTTAAATTTTCTTGAATATCTTTCAACTCTTTTCCTTGATTATCTTTAGGATCCTCTGGATTCGCTAAAGGAAAGCTGTGGAGAGTCGAGCGCTTGTGCTAGCTACAAAGCTGAATTGGATAAGTGTACTGAGAGAGTGACAAGCCATCCGGAAACAACTGAGAATTGTTCGCAAGAATTATACGATTTCATGCATTGCGTTGATAAATGCGTAAGTAATCAAAAGTTCATAGATGTTTTATGGCAATTATTAATATAGTATTTTGAATAATTTTAGGTATCAAAGCAACTATTTAGCAAATTGAAATAGAATACAACAATGTTCACATACATTTAAGTGACTTTAGATGATAATTGAAAAAAAAACACCTAATAATAATATCATCCGAATGTTTTTCAATAAACAACAAGAAGTATAGCGTTTGTTTGGAATTGTTTTTTTTATTTTATATTTGATAAAAATAACTCTAGATAAAATTTTTAATACTCCAAACTAGGCAGCTCCAACCAATTCGTAGCAATCGCTACCTTTCTTCAATAGAAATCCGTGATCGTTGATTTTTTGAATCAGCTTTCCAAAATCAGGTCCTTCAGCAATATTCTACAAGAAAGCAATATTTAATTTACTCTGAACGCTAATTTTAGCAATATTCATTTACTTTAGCTAGATTTCTTAATTCTCTAAAAGTGAACAACTTATTTCCTGTTGAATCGAAATAATGACGCAATTTTTGCAGATATGTTTTAACCTGTTCAGTTAGTAAATTAGATTATTCAAAAAAGGAACAATTCTGAAAGAGATATTTAAGTGTCTCACCTGACTGCGACCGGTTAGTCCGACTCCCATTTGGGATCTTGAGAAATCAACCTTTCCTTCCTCATCAGAATACGTATCTAGGAGACTATATTCCATCATTTCTATAACATCCATAGCATCTTCTACTGTAACTTCCTCTCGAAGGTCGACTTTTGCTCTGGCTTCAGCCAATCGCATCAGGCTCTCCAGCTGTCTTGCAGTTATTGGTAAATAATCGGCTGAACTGTATTTTTCCAACCAATCAACATGAAATTTTCGAAGAACTTCGCCAGCTTCTGCGGTGAGTTTAGGTGCAACAAATTTTCGAGCATATGCAACATATTTTCGGAATAATTCGACAGGTAATAAATCGATTTCTCCATTCTTTGCCCTCAGTTGTCGATGTAAGCGAGAAGATTTCTTCTTTTTATTGAATTCTATGTCCTGTTATATTAAAGGTTTACAACAAACAATATAGTGTATACCCTAAATAAAATATCTTATAGTAATAGTAAAAAATATCTGATGAACATACTTGCATATCTTGAACCATATCAGAGTTATGCATTTGCATAACATGAGATGACAAAAGTCTATCTGTTTCCTTTAATATAGAAATATCATTGAAGATTTTGAAAAGGTTTTATTTTAAGACTCAAACCTCATCCGGCCTATCCAATAATATAAAAACTAGATCAAATCTTGATAGTAAAGCACTTCCCATTCTTAAAATAGATTAAATGAATTAAATAAAATTCGAATATTGTTTGTAAATGATAGGAAAGTTTACCGTAAATTTTCTGACACAGTTTTCGATTGCTTATATTCTCCACCAGACGGATTAGCTGCAGCCATAATTGAAGTTCTTGATGGTAGATTACAAACTATACCTCCTTTAGAAAAGCTAATAGTTTGTTGCTCCATCGACTCAAGGAGAGCTTGATGCTGCTTTGACATTTTATCTAACTCATCAACGCAACAAACGCCTTTGTCTGCCAAAATAAGGGCTCCTCCTTCCATTGTATAGTCATTGCCATCGCCACTCTTGCGAGCAGTTACCTTAAAAATATAATTTGAAAGTTTTTAAAATTTACTCTCCGTAGCAACTCAATTAATCAGCCTATACCGTTAAACCTGATGAAGATGCAGAATTACCACAGACATAAACGTTTCGGCTTGCAACAGAGGCAATACTTCGAAGCATTTGGCTCTTGCCCAAACCAGGATCACCAACTATCAAAATATGAATAGACCCTCGAGAAGGAATTATATTTTTCTTCGTTTGCTATCGTTATTACATTTTCAGCTAATTAGAAACATTTCAGGATTTACTTACGACTGAATTTTCATAATCACCACCTCCAGAAAACAATGATAAAACTAATCCAGCCTTTACTAAATCATGTCCATAGACCATTGGACAAAGCGATTTAACCAATAATCTAAAGATATTCTTTTCAGAGTGAATAGCTCTTACGACTTGAAGGTCATTTTCGGAAAAATAGACATCAATAGATGAGAGAGGACTATCATTGCTTCTTTCGTTTACGATGGCATTCACATCCAAATAAAAACAAAGTGAATTTTGCGATCGTCCCTTTCCCTTCCCTTAAAAACAAATCAAGATCTATTAAAGAAGAAAGTAATCAAAGAAATAAACAAAAATACCTTGCTCTATATCTTGTACTTTAACGATACCAGTTACTTCTACTAAATCTCCCGGAATACAAGAATCCACTAATTGCAATAGTATTATTAGACTTTATGATAAATTACTCTAAAATAACAATTTACTACCAAGTTCATTAAGAAGTTGGCATTCTATTGTTCTAGGAATATCACTTGCTTTAACACTTTCTTCTTTCTCTACTTCTTGAACCCTTGTTTGGAAAGTTAAGTTTGAAAATCTTAATTTTCTTTTTATAAGTTATATATAAATACCTGATGAATTGTAAATCGGTACATATAGTTTGTCGACTATTTAATAAAGGCGTAAATGATTTACTTCTACAGTCTACATTCGGACACTGATAGTTAAGAAAAAATATTAACTTTTCATTAATTATCTAATTTAATTATTCTAATACAAACTAACGTCAATAGGTTCTTGAATTCTTCCATCATGGCACTGTTCAACCGCTATCATTCTACACTCGTCGCATCTATAAGCAATTTGTAATGTATACTGCTTATTATTTCCAACTGACACAACCACACCCCTTATACTTATAAATCTACCAAGAGTTTTATGATGAATATCAGTAATAAGTGATAAGGGTTTCAAATTTATAATTCTAGCATAAATCTTTGGCGCGGTACATTTTTTTGAGAAAACTTTCTCGTGATAATTCAAAATTCTCTAGATATTAAAATTGAATCTGGTATTAAAATTTAGTTTTTTAAAGATGAAATAAACTTTACTTGATGCATAGCCAATCCAAGGCAATTAATAATTAACGATGGATTCGATTGAAATAAATCAGCTATTGTTGGTAAACGATTTGATATAACGTCTGTAGATGATAATAAGTTAGAATTAATCTAAAATTCTTAGTTCCTCTTACTTTCTTCTCTAATTAAATGAGTGAAATCGATAAAAAAGTATTCATTTGTTTTGATTTTTAACTGTAAAACAGTGATATAATTAATAAAAATTTGGAATAAAGTAGAGAAAATATTTACGAAATCAAATTCATTATCAGCTTCGTCTAAATAGTCCATGAATACTTTAACTTTGTGATCAATTCCTGGATTTTCGATGCATTCTATAGATATAAATTTAATGAATATTTTATATTAAACAATACGTACTTCAAACTTTTATATGATTTCAGACTTACTTTGGCCAGCAAAATAATGATGCCAGCCAGCATAAGGACATATATCATCCATCTTAGATTGCTTGGATTGATGTTCGTTAGATTGGTCCTTATAATGATTTCGCTTCGATTCGGAAGTATCTTTCATAACGTTTTAAGAGTTAAATACAACAAAAGTAAGTTGAAAGAACATTAAGATTCACATACGATTCTTTCCTCTCCTACTGTAATTGCCTCTCTTAAACCATTTACCACGACCATCACCTCTTCTTTTTGAACTATTATTTTCCTCGATTGGCATATTCTAAATAGTTTTTCAATGTTAAATAAGATATTTTAGTTAAAAAAAATTTCGAAAAGTTTGAAAAGATAAACTCTTAGATTATCGCTCGGTTCCGACCAGTTTATAAAATAGAATAGAGTATGTTTTCTTATGAGTACATATAGATAGAGTGGTGTTGTCAGCAGCCATCTACTATGTTGAATCGCAGAAATTAAGATTTATCAGTCATGTTGTGAGATTATGTGAGACATTAAATATTTAATTTCTTCTGAGTTCTGCAAATGGGTAGAAAACTTATAGGCAAAATTCACTGGTAAAAACGACATTGTTCTAGTTTGGTACGTAAACATATTAAGCAAAAAATATCCTGTTAATTATATAATCTCTAATTGTAGCTTGAAAGTTACTTGGAATAATGCTTTTACAAATTTGTTATGAATGGAAAAATGAAAAGATTACAAAGTCATTTGATGGAATTACCCTACTCCAAGGCTTTAGACCATGGTGTGACCTTATGGATAAAAACAAACGAGTTGAGGCTGTACCAACTTTTCAACCTATTCACTGGTTTAAGGTTTTTATGATAAAGCAAATAGATATAAGCTGCTTTGAGAGGAAATTAAGAGTGAAATGGAATAAAAATCAAAATGAATTTACTGAAAGAGAGTTATCGGATAATCTTATTCATAGTGATCTTTTCTCAAGAGCATTTAATTTATGTGTTCAACCCGTTAAACGGGAGGATCTCGGCAGAGTTTTGTTAGAGTTTCTAAATATTTCGCTATTCCCAGCAATACCTATTGTAGAAGATTGCGTAGAGGAACTGCATCAGGCTATAGCTCAACTGCAAAAATATGTTGACGATCACAATCGAAGACTTAATCTCAAAAATGACACGGTTAAAAGTAACCAAAAGCATGTGATATTACTTTTAATGAAACTAATTGAAGAGACTGATGTTATTAATAATCCTATTGAATTAACATACTATAAAAAGGAGGAAGTTGAATGGTTTTCGAGAGAGTTAGAAAGTGTAAAAAGATGGATGGAAGTTACACTAGAAGCTGAAATTAAATCAGAAATTTCTGATAATAGATTTAAGTTTTTAAATGAACTATTCAATCCATACAAAACAGCTATTGGAAATGTTGGCGATATCCTTCGTAATTGGAGAGAAAGGAGTTTGTTTCGTTTTAAAAAATACAGCAAAAATTCAATTAGAGAAAAATTATACGCTGTGCAAGAAGCTAAAGAAAGTGTTGTCAAAGCCAAACAGGTAAAACTGCACTCTAGCTATATTGAAATAATATAAGGTTAACTATAGATTATATAAATTTATACTGTATATATATGCTAGTCTGTATAATATAATGGTTCTGTAGTTAGGACATCAATATAATAATTTTTTGATAATATTCACATAAAAGAGGTATCACAGCACTTACAAATTAATATCAGTAAGGATCGACTGAATATGTTTTAGTAATTTCTTATCATAAGATATCGGACATTGACTTTAGACTATTGTTAATAGCACAGTCTAACATTTTTCAGGAGAGGCAAGTATCTCTGGATCGGAAAATGGTTATAAACGCTTTAATTGAGGCTGCCAAATCATCCTTTCGTGGAGTACCTAGTCATAATTTGTTGGGAACATATCCAGAACTTTTTGTCTTAGATGGAGCTAAACCGTCAACCTTAGAGGAGAACATTGAATACTTGATAATAAAAAATGAGACAATTTTTGACAAGCATCAAAATTTTTGCATGGAAATTGTTAAAAAATGTAAGACTCTATCACCGCCTGAAAGGAAAGCAACAGATACAAAAGCCAGAGGACTTCGAAGGAGCATGACTTTACCAAATCGATTGTCTGGAACAATCAACTCTCTTAATCGCCCAGATTTCGAGAAATTTGAACAATTTTTGTCTGATTTCTGGAAAACTTCTGTTCCTAGTCACTTTCTCGAAATGACTGAACTGCTAATCTCTGAATTGTCCAGTGACTTTAAAGATAATGTTGATAGTATTGAAAAAATATATATTCGACATTTTTATGTCGCTATTCATCGACCTATATTGGAAGTCTATCAACGCTTTTACAGAGATCGTCTTGAAAATACTTCCTGTTTAACTTTTGAAGACTTAAAAATGGAAGAAAGTGACGTAGTGAAGGAGATATTTAACGAAATGGAATTTTCCGATGATGAAGACAGTTGTAGTACAACAAAACCCAGAAATGAATTTTACGACTATCCAGACACAGCTGTAGATGCTATGAGATTGGAAGAGATAAAAATGAATATTCCTTGTGAGAAGCCGCCCTACTTTAACAGTCAATATAAAAAGAAATTGGGAAAAGTATATGAAAGTTTGTTACAAGCTAGCTCCTGTCCAATTCCCGAACTGGCCATGGAACATTTAAAAGCGGCATTCGAATCATACAGGCAGGTACTCAAACTATCGAAGATAAACGGCGATACGATACCTGACGCTTTAGTTATATTATTATTGAACATTGATTCATCAATGCTTTTAGATTTGTTCTCAAACGTTTCATTTTTCTTTAACGTAAATCCTCAAAATCACAGCCAAGATAGTTATTGTTTATTGACACACTTTACTGCAGCAGGCCACTATTTATATTCCATATTCTAAATCATCTGTTTTCTTGAGTTGTTAATACTTTCTCAATAATCATCTAAGAAATTAATTGGGTAATTTTTGACACATAAAACTTACAATGAAAGATAACCCAAAAGATCATACAACATAAAAAAAAGTCTGTTTTAAAGACGTCTCCTGTTTGTCAAAATGCCACTGAATTAAATTGTTACTTTCTCTCTCTTTTCCTTTCTGTTGTGTAAAAGATGATAAATGCAAAAACAAACAAAAATTTGATACCACTACAACTCCATTAAAAAAAATAAAAACACGCATTTAAAGAAAATAAATAAACAAACAATAATTTAATGTTATTTTGTTTTTTTTTTCAAAAAGTTGAATTGATATTTTCAAATTATTTTTTTTTATTTAATACAAATAAATAAATAAAAACCAGAATAATATATGATTTATTCATGAAGTTTCTATTAATTTTAATAATTTATTCAAATTTATTCACAAGTATAAAAGCTTTTAATACAAAATTAGGAAGAAGGAAAAATGTCTTTCTAAATAAGAAAAAGTAAAAATAACAAATCAAACAAAAATATGAAAATTGTATATTATGTTTTTTTTTAAAAAAACAAATAATTATCAATAAAATAAATAGGGCTTTACAAATTCTTAAAACGAGAAGAAGAGTTAGAAGAGGACTGGAAAATGAAGCTTTGTAAGATTCTTATTAAATTGAAACAAGATTCTATGGATAAATATCAATTTTATATAATTGTAGCTATAAAAAGCTAGAGTCTGAGGAAATTCAAGAATTTATGAAAGTCTGTCCTCATTTAAAAGACATAAAATTGAATGGAAAAGAATATGGATACTATGTTACTGATAGATCCGCTTTCTGGGAAGAAACACTCTATTTAGCAGTTTCAGAAGTTAGGTTTTGTTGTCGTAGATACGTTGGTACGTCATTATTCTCTCTTAAGATTGGTTTATTCATTTTGCAATCTCACAAGGCGGTTGGTTTGGCTATCCTTTTATTTATGAGAAAACAACTGGTACTAGAAGACCATTTAACTGGGGGAGGGTGGACGCAACTAACGAAGAAAGACAAGAAAGTTTAAAAAGCTTTTATATTCTAAAATATTCATTAAAAAACATTCATATATTGTATTCTATCTATTCATATAGCAAATGAACACAAATTAGAAACAATAGCGGAAATCGTTGAAGAAACTTACGAAAAAACTCAAGGTACTCAGAAAGGCGATTTGAGTTATGATGAATTTCAAGCTGATAGAATAGTAATTAATATTAAAATAGATAAACAAACAATAGGAAACATTTATCCATAAAAAATTAGGGCATATATATAGGAATTTGGGATTGTTTATACGTATCGAAATCGAAACTTTGCCCAGATCCGTGTAATCGTCCAGATATATGTAGAAAACCAAATACGGAGTCAAATATCCCGTGTAGATCATACGTATCGGATAAAATGAAACTTAAAGTGAAGAAATACTTCGACATTGATAAAAGTGATCAGTAAGATAAGAACAATTCCTTTAATATATATATATATATATATATATAGATATCTATACAAATCTTACATCTCCTTTTAGTATATATAGAAAAACTGCTCATCTGTACGGTAAAGATTATTATTGCCAATGTAAACCTGGTTATAGTTGGCAAACAGAAAGAAAACAATGCGTTAAAAGTAAGAGTTTTAAGTATCCTTTTTATATGTTTCTTATTATTATTATTATTATGTCTATATAGAAAATCGTTGTGTCTCTAGGGAAATTGTTTGTCGGAATGGTGGAACTTGTTTTGTACGAAAAGATAGCTAATTCATTTATTCAATAAACTATTGAACTTTATTCATATTTGTTGTTTTCATTTAGGAATCTGATGATGGTTTTACCTGCCTTTGTACGGGTGCATTTAAAGGACCATTTTGTAGAATAAATAGAAATCCTTGTAATTCACCAAAAGTGTCAATCTATGAATTAGGTTGTATTGAATTTTCAAATTGTAAGAGAGATCCGCAAAATTCTTTAGGATATTGGTAAGATAATGAAACAAGAATTTGATGGATAATTTTTGAACTATTCCAAAAAAGGTGTCTATGTCCAAAAGGTTATGAACATTCTGAAGAGAATAATAATATTAACATTTGGAAGAGAAATCCTAGATGTTATGATATCAATGAATGTAAAAAGGTTGCATTTTGTCTATCTATTCAATTTTCTATATATATTATTAACTACTCTTGTTTAAACATATACAGAATATTCATAAATGCAATGAAGGATCAACGTGCATCAATACAAGAGGAAGTTATAGGTGTATCTGTCCTCCAGGAGTTGTTGGTATCTATTGCCAAAATAATATAGCAAAAGATAAAATTGGGTTCTTTGGCAATATTCACCTAAAGCATGATTGTTCAAAATCTTGCGGTATAAGTTACAGAGTTTACCAGCAAAGCTGCCTTTGTCGTAACGGTAAAATAATATATATATTTATTAAATTAAATTATAGAGAAAGCTTTATAATTAATAGAAGAAACTGGAAAGATAGCTACTTGTTATACACCAAGCTATTGTTTGGTCAATCCAATACCAAACGGCTATAATTATTCAATAGAACTTGTTGGTAAAGACAATAGGCCGGTTCTTATATTGGAAAAATACGAAAAATGCGAAATACCAGAATGTAAGGAAAACTATTGTTCGGATGAGGATGGGAAATTAGTTCCTTGTCAAACTAGGAAAAATGACGCAAAGGAAGGAGAAGTTATACCTTCATTCTGTAAAATTTTCAATTAAATATTACTTTTCTTTTATTAAATATCCATTTACAACAGATCAAGATGATGACATACTACCAAACAAGAATGATGATGATATATGGAAAAAGCCGGAACCTTGTCAATACGACGATTATAATCCTGGATGTAAGAATGTAGAAACTGATTATAGGTTTAAAGAATACGATGAAAATTTTGCATCAATATTATACATCAATTCTTCTATTCTTCTCTTTACTGTTGCAGTTGTAATAACACTTACTCAGTAGGGTTTATTGTTTTTTATTTTCCTTGTTATTGATATTTAAAAACTTCTCTATTTAATAGTAAAATTCCATTCTTAATAAAAAAAAAAGAAATAACTAATAATGCATAAAATGTTGAGATTTTTTTACTTTTGTTTTTCCTTAAAAAGGACAAACAAAACCAAAAAAAGAAAACAAAAAAAAATTGATAAAAACTCACTCAGACTAGAAAGTTATAAGCAACAAACAAACAAACAAAAAGACTTCATAAAGCAGTATGAAAGAAATAATTTGAAAACTGAACAAAAAGAAAACAATTGTTTTTCGACTCAAAATGTTCGCAGGAAGGATGGATAACAAAAAGATAAAATGCCGGTTTCTGTGCTTTTTTTTCTAATTGAACATAGTAAAAACTATATAATTTATATTCATATATAGTAGCTAGCTATGTGTAATAAAACTTTTTTTTCTGATTTTGTTTAGAAGGGTTGAGAAAAAGATTTTTATAGTTTTTTTCAAATTCTACTGGTTGATTTGCATAAGTAGATAAAGAGAGAGAGAGAGAAAAGTGAAAGAAATGAAAGTATGAAAAAAGGTAGTATCAAGGGATTCAAAAAAGTATACGTAATCCTTCTATAAATTAGAGAGATTTTCAATAAGAATTCTAGCGAATGCAGCGGCTGAGAGGGCGGCATAGTGCTTCCAGACACTCTTTTGATTAGCACCGTCCTCGTAATCGGAAACTCCTCTAATAAATATAAAAGAATCTTTACAATTTCCTACGACCGATTCCATTACTTGGTCAAACAGTGGTGGATCGAACCCAATTACTTGATGTCTTATGGCGAAATCAGATCGAAGGATTGACTCTTCAAACGGTCTACCAGATGCCAAACATCCTAAACGGACTATTGGCGTCTTCTGTTTAATATTTGCATCTTCAGGAATTTTCGGATGTTCAATTCTGATGAGTTTATCTTTATCTGGCCTCATGTACAAGATATCGCTGGAATCTTGAGGTCTGGAGAAGCTATGCGCATTCTGAAGTGTTCCAAGTTCTTCGGCAGCTTCTCCCATATAATCCTCCAGAGTATTTGATTTCAAATCATTGAGAACAGTTTGAAGACTTTCAGAGAGTTCACTGACAACCAAGTCCTGATGTGGAAAAAAATGCAACAGTTAGATAACAATTTTTTTTTGCAATTACCAAATAAACTAAAACAGACTTTAGCATTCCACGACTTTAAAGAGAATTTCATTATGTTATCAGCGCTTCTTTCCACTTTGTCGGCAAAGATGTACGAAATTCCTTTAGAATTAGGAACTGAAACGATAATATCACCCAATCTAACGTGTTTTCTATAATCAACATAGTCCGGTACACCTCCGCAAATGCCCAAGAGTATTACATGTTCAACATCACTGAAAGTTCCCAGTAGTCGCGTTGTTGAATTTCCAGATGATATCAAGGCAGAACGATCTCGACCAACAATCGGTAATTTAGTTGAGACTACGCGATGTTTACCAATGGAACCGATCGTGTAAACGTTGCCGTCTCCTTCTTGCTTAAATTTCACAAAAGTAGTTTTATCAGACATCATCGAATCGATGGCCATTTTCTCAAAGAACGACGATGTTATAATGGCAATAGAAGGTTTTTTAATTCCTTGTTGAACTGGCATCTGCTTCATTTCACGTACAGCTAGAAATAAATTAAAATATAGCCATTATTTTCATAAGATACAATTATTATTGATTTTGTTTTCACTGTGTCAACTTATTCTTATCGGACCAATGTATATATTCATACGTAATTTAAATGGTTGTTAAAACAGTGATATCAAAAAAACAAAAAGAAATACTATCGAAATTTAAATATTTCCTTACAGTAAACAAATCAGGTATAATGACAGATTAAAGTGATTTTGTAGCTTTTTACATTTTGTATCTATACAAAAGTGGCATTTGGCTATAAATAGAACAATATCACTTTTCTCTATGGAAACAAAAGTTCTTTTTACTTACATTTATCGTAAAGTAAATTTCTAATATATTTGTTCCCTTCGTCATCCAAGCGTTTAATTAATTTCTTATCGATAAGCTGTTGAAGCTGACTTATAACCATATCATGATCTTCATTTGTTACTCTAAACAAAGAAAATAAGAAAAGTTATAGGCTGATTCTAAAAAACGTAAAAGCAGCAAACTTACTCTAAAAGTTTATTAATGTCAACACAATTTGGAAAGTGTCTTTCAATTTCTGAGAGTAATTGTTCTTGTACAATAACGTCTCTGGGTCTGTTATCCTCTTCAAATGCTATAAATAATTAAAAATAATTAATCATAATGGTGAACAACTTGTTTTCATATATAAAAGATAGGAAGGAAAGTTTATGACTATAAGAAAGACAAGAGAGAAAAATGCCCATTCCTTTGTTTTAAGTTTTAAACTTACTGTCTTCTCCATAAGTGGGAAAATCAAGTAGTTCATTAATAATTTCATTATTTTAACAATTGAAATGTACACAACTTTTTATTTTTGATTATATAATAAAGATACTTTTAAATGATGAGATAAATACTTACGAGTTTGCGCACTTATCTCCGGTGAAACTGGGGTCATTTCAACTTCGACCTAGATTTTAATCAATTGTAAATATTTAATGTAAATAAATAAATAAAATTTAAGATATACCAACCCTCAACACTGCATAATACTGATCACTTTTTTCCAAAAGCTTCATTGCTTTTTTAATAAAATGTGGATAATCTCCAGGAAAATCATCTGGATTAATGAGTTCCAGAAAGAAATCTCTTGCTCCGCATATCTTCTGCTCATGATCTGAATTTTCTCTAAACCAAAAATATAGAACACGTTTTTCCTGTTATAAACGAAAAACAAAAATTAAAATAATGTTATTAAATCAGCCTATATTAAAAAAAATAAAATGAAAAACTATTAAGATTACGTAATGCTATTAAATATCGTAATTTTTTCATCTTTTTAAGTGGTTAACGGCAATTTAATACAATTTGCATTGATATTAATTGCTCTTTATTTTTTTAAGTCTACGTGCTTTGTTTATCGATAAAACAAAAGTTTGGTTTTGAAAACAATATCATGAAGGTCAAGGAGAATTCTTTAGATATTGCAAACGATTCTTCATTTTAATACTATTTTAGCATAGAATTGATTGATCGAATAGAAAATTTTATTATTTACACAAATGTGTTCGCTGGTTTTCTTATTTACAAGAAAACATCGAAATTCCATGCTTAATTCAGCACACTCTTCTCCCCCATCTTCAATTTTAGCCATTTTATTAACGACAAGACGTGAATGTGCACCCCCTCCTGAATGATGAACCTAAAAACATAGAAATTCATGAAACACTGTTAACACTAAATAAAATTTACTATATTATTAATATTTGTTCTCCTTTTACCTGATTAAGGTCTATATTAGATTTTTTAATTTTCTCCAGTCGAATTGCAGTTGACTTGCCACGTTTAGTGGGTGTCATAACAATTTTTTCTGTAAAAGATATTAAAAGAATACAACAGATGCTAACGAATTGTAATAAAATTGTATCGAATGTCTAGCTTAATAAAACTCCCTTAAGTCATTAATTACATAATAACCTAATTAGACTCTGTTTCAATTCGTTATAGGAATCAAAAAAGGGACAAAGAGGAGAAGAGATAAAACAATAAAAATAGGTTGAAGGGCTTATTTTTTTTCAGAAAATATCATTCAGTTTAAATGGATTTAATCTATAATATTCCCGTATCAAAATAATCAATCATCTCATTTTACGTTTATTCATAGATTTATTTGGGAAAATGTATATAAATATACGTGTTTCTTTTGTTTCCATTCTCTCTTTTTTTAATGTCTAAAAAATAGATTAGGCTTAAAAAACGTGCTGGGCATATAGCAGTTTATAGCTATTTATGATATAAGGGTTCTAAAACAGCAATCTGTTGCCCGGTTCCCTAGCTTAAAAAAACAACTATAGGTTATAAAATATGTTCTGCACAAGGTTATAAAAAACATAACGAATGAAGAGAAAGGTATTATTGTTCATTAAAAAGGAAGAAATGATGGAAGTAAAAGTGGAATAAATTTTTACATGTACTGTAAATCATTTCAATTTCTATATAATACAGTATATACAAATAATTCAATATAATAGATACTCATATGATATAATGAGCAACTGACAAAGTAAAAACTTTTGCGATTTAAAAGCAAGAGGAGGGATGGGAAATTGAAAATGAAATTCTATACTTGTATAGTTTTATCTCTTGATTTATAACAGCTTGTGTACATCGTTTGATATACATTTATGTATATACCGTTTCTATAGGCTATTTCTCTCACTTTTTCTACATCAGTTTACTTATACTTTCAACTCGCGTAATTCAACGATAAAATTGTTAAATAATTCATTTAACAACTCTCTACTTATCATACTTAAATATAAGAAAATAGAGAAGAATGAGTGCCTTTTTTCTTTACGGCTAAGAAAGAAAACATGCCGATAATTAACAGCTTTCCCATTAATAATAAGTATGTCTTATCGAAGAATTTGCATAGCTTAGTCCGGGAAGCTTGTTAAACCGAACGCACACAAACACACACATACATACATACTGACTTTCTCCCCTCACCCTAGAGACTTAACACTAGGCTAAATGAAAAATAGCACCCAAATCTTAAAATAACGTAACCCCGTTCTGTTATAAGAACGGTTAAATCCTATTCATATGAATATAGCGGGCGTGTGCTTATATATAAACAAATATCATAAGAAAAAATATCTACATGATGAAAAGACGACCTATGACGCTACTATGAATAATGCATCTGGAAAAATTTGCAGAACAAAAATTACTCACCATCTCCCATTTTTTTTGGCTTATTTTCTTCGATATTAAAACCAGAAGTTAAATGAATAGTCTTCTCCAGCTAAATAAACTGAAAAGAATAAATCATTTCAAACTTTTCATGACCTATCTTATAGCAATAGAGCATAGGCGTACGTACTACGATACTCACATCTCCAACAATTGATGGGATGTGAAAAAGTAATCAAAATATCTATTTTATTAGTCCTGATTAAATTATATATAATAAGCATCAACTTATCAGAAGAATTACTTATTTTAACGGAATAAATGGTTTACCGGCGATACTCGGGCTTCGTTAGACCGTTATAAACAAAACTACATTAATGAAACTGTGATATTAGTACATCGCCAAAAGAAATTACATAGAAATAATTTATCTATAAGTATAGATTTAAAAAAATAATCTAGTGCTAAGAAAAACCAATAAAATTACATCTTATGCAGAATTTACCAATTACGGGCAGATCCGAATTTCGACCGGAAGCCAAAAATGCAAAAGGTATTATGGGAAATCTAATATGACAGATGGCGCTTTTTTAAACATCTGTAGAAAGATTAACGCAAGCTGGTTTTTCTCACATTTGGTAGAGAATTAAGAAGTATAAAAATCAAAGAAAAACTTATAACAATTATAAACTAAAAGAAGATATTAAATATTTATTTTCAATAAATTATTCAGTAATTTTATAAGCCGAAAAAACTTGTAATCTACTTACATTTTATAAAGTAAAATTCAAAGATGCTAATAAGACTGGTTACCTCTCGTTCAGAGGAATGAACCAAAATTATTAGAATTTCTCTTTTATGTATAGTATGTGCAGACAGTAAATTTAATTAATGAAATTTAATCTCTTTGAATGAATCTTTCATTGTTTATTTTAATCTTAAATAGTATTTTAAATTAAGACTATGCAACGTTGCTGGTATGCTTCTATTACGTAATCTAGACTTTGGAAAGAGGGGAAGGTTTATCGTAAATATGCTAATTAGTTCAATTAATCTAGTTTATAGGTCGTGGTTAAATTGCCTTTGATCTTTTGGTATAAGATTACGTAAAAAAAACTCTCAATCACTTTAGTAAAAGTATTTAAAAGCCAAAAACAAAGAGCCTAATTGATCCTTTAAAAAGTTTCACCTTTCTTTATAACTATTCAAAAAAGGTTATAATAATATATATTCTTTCTCTTTTTCATATCTTTTGACAGGTTGCTATCTTATTTCTCATAGTATTAAATTAATATTAATAAACCTTGAACCTGTAATGTATGTTAAATCATATGAATCCTATAACATATATATCTATACATTAAAACTAGACCGGAATATTCATAGTGAAGACAAAATAATAAAAATGTTTTCAATATGAAATTTACCATATACAATAAAACTTTATCAAAAAAAGTTCTAAAATTACTCCTACATGTTCTAAAATGAATGTCTAATGTTACATAATTCATACATTAACGTTTCTTTTGATTAATTCTTGCTGGTATATGGAAAAATCAAACTCAGTATATATATTCTGTACGTGAATCTATACAACAAATTCACAATTAGACTAAAGACATAACATTTGTTATCTTGGATACTTGTATCTATACAAGACAAAACAGGTTGAAAGAAACGTAGTCAAGCCAAAAAGTTCTTTAACCAATTCAAAAGTTTTTATTATGTATTGCACAATTGATTCTATCCATTTATATATAATCAACAGGCCATAGAAAATCGACAGTCTGTATTAGTCATTTGCGAAAGGAATACTTTATTGTAGGTTGTGTCTAGGTGCGGTATGTAAGTATTTAACAATTTCTCCCTTACTTTTTATATAAGAATTAGAAATGTGTAGATCATGCTTAACATTAAATGTATAATTAATGTTCCTTATGAATATTTAGTCCTTAGAGAATGTAATTGTTTTAGCTTGTAAGAAAATCAATGATATCAATAATTTAGTTGGAAAAGTATTAGAATAATAAAACACGTTTGAACATATCAATATATTTGAGTACCATTTTGAACTGCTCATTTGTTCTTTTCAATATCTTTTTCGCAGTGAAATTCAGTTATGTCTTGGAATAGCTATATAGACAATTTAATTGCCCATTCCAAAGATGCTAGCGGAAAATGTCATGTTGAAAGTGCATGTATAATTAGCATAGATGGAGGTACACAATGGACGACTGCAGGGGCAAATGTTACACCAATCACCCCAAATGAGGCCGCTGAAATTGCAAAACCTTTTAAAAGCTGTGATTTTACTTCATTTATGGTAAATAAATTTATACTCCCTTCTCTTTTCATTCAATAAAATTAACGTTAGTATTTTCTACAACGAAATAGGTCGGTGGCTGTACGATTTCATCTACCAGATATCAATTTCTGAGAGAAATGGATAAAAAAATTTGTCTCTTCAAACTGAAAGATCATGGATCAATCTCTATGCAGAGCAGCAAAACAGCCATTGTAATAGCCAAGTGCCCAGAAGGAGGACAGCAAGGAAATGCTAATAAAGCTGTTGCAGTTATCGCCGAATATTTAGAATCTCTAAATATGTAAAACAATATGATATCAATAAAATTATCTATTATAATTTATATAGTTTGTCTTCCATCATTATAATATCATTGTATATAGTTCTCTACATCCATTTTTACATCTTATGAACGATGATAAAGACAGGAAAAGAATTTTTGACTATGTACTTTATGGGTGTTTTACATCATCAATAAATGTAATTCATTATTTGAACCAGAAGAACGTTAGCTATTTCATCACTTTTTTCCCTAGAATTTGTGATTATCAAAGGGGTTAAAGTAATACCTGTGGAATTATTACAAAGAAAATATATAATCTGAATCACTTATACATTGTTGCAATGTTTAAACATTCAATTGCGAAAAGATTAGTTTTATATTCAATAAAAGGACTTAATTTATGTCTTGAGTTTCGTCTCATTTTTATCTTTATATTAGTTTTGTATTACCTTTTTATATTAAATATATATATATATATATATTGTACTGATAGATAGGACTGTAAAACAAAAAATATGAACCGTATTCCTTTTCTAAATAGAACAACGATCGTGCTCCTCGTCATGTTTTTCTTTTAATTTAGGTTTTAAAAATATATGTTTATATATAAATTTTAAACCGCCCACATATATATCATTCAAGTAAGGTTAGAATTTTCACCTATATTGTATTACTCACTTGGTCTTGTTTTAAATAATTTACTTTAAACGATACAAAACATTTACAATTTGTTCTAGATATTCGTATAAAACATAAGGAACTAAAACTATTTACAGTGCTGTAGTCTAGATTCAGGAAAAGCCTATTGTAAGACATTTTTCTATATAATTTTTTAAAAATCCATAAAATCAATTATCTCGAGTTCTGAATTGAAACGACTCAAAAGAAAAGATTCAATTCGTCTATTTTTATGTCTAAAAACCGTAGATTAAGAGCAAAGAAATCGGATTTAAGCTATACCCCCAGATTGTTGTTCGAAACTATAAAAAACAAAACAAACATATACATATACTGTATATATAAATATATATATATATATATACCTACGTGATAGTATCAGCCTTTAATTTCAATAAGGAGTTGCTATCATGTTGTTCTTTGAATATCTATTGAAATCTTATGATTTAAATGAAGTATTAAAATCTTTTATACTCGCAGGATATACTATAATATTTAATATAAGTAGTAAAGTTCTTGAGATAAAAGCTTAATAAGTAGGGACATGAATAGAGCAAATTCTTGTTGCTTATTATATATATATCTTAAACTATTAAATCCTTGTTTATATTTCTACCATATATGCATATATATATATATATATATATGTGAGTGTACAATACAATGATCATTCATTAAATGAATTATTACATTCATTTTTCACCAAAGCTCTCATTCGCAAACTTTTTCTTCTCAATCTTTTATGTTTTCTTTCTTCTCAATAATGAATGACATAAAAAGAAAATTCTCCTCGCTTCTCTTGAATTCATAAAGATTTATCATACTTTAACGGCATTGTAATACTAGAATAAAATAGTATACTCTTTACTTTTTAAAAAAATCTATAGATTTTTGAACGTTTCGTCTTGTAGAATATTAAGTTTCATCGTAAAGAAAAATACTTTATAATTTGTATTAAACTAAAATCTAATATCTGAAAAATATACTATAGAATATATAGAATATAATAGCTTGAATTTTTTTTTATCTGTCGGTTTTTTGTGAGTCATTTCTTTTCATGAAAATATCAAAGAAAAACAGTATGATTGCTTTTTGCTTTTATTAATGGCCTAGTCTTCTATTGAAAAATGGTATAATGTAATTGGTCTTTTTCTGAAAGTAGATTTATTAGTCCTATATATGTTAGGGAAGGAAAAGAATAAAAACAAATTTAATTGACATTTTCGTATTAAGTTTCAAATAATTCATACTAAAATTGTTTATTGCTTTCTCAAATAATTTTGAATTATTTTAAACTTGATAGCAGCTTAATAAAAGAGAAATAATGTGTTTGTGAAAATTCACTAGTTTGAATAATTGCGCATGCGCGTAAAGATTACTTCCTGTAAATTGCGCTTATGGAGCGCTGAATTGCCGATAACTTATTATCGCTCAAAATACAGAATCATGAGCGATTTAAGGCCAAACCACACGATTTATGTGAATAATTTAAATGAGAAAGTTAAAAAAGATGGTAAGTCTTACAAATAGACTTTAACAAGACCCGTTAATAGTTGACTTTATCCTGATAGAACTTAAAAGATCTCTCTATTACCTATTTTCGACTTTCGGACAAGTCTTGAATATAGTTGCACTAAAAACTATGAAAATGAGAGGACAAGCATTTGTTGTTTTTAAAGATATTAATTGCGCAGCTGTAGCAATGCGCTCAATGCAAGGTTTTCATTTCTACGGCAAATCATTAGTAAGTATTAAAATCATTCGTTTTAGGTATGAAAAGCGTGCCTATAAACGTTTTATTTTAATCTAAGCAATACACTTTCTACATTAAAACTTTTACTTGCCCTTTTCCTAGAAAATAGCATATGCACGTAAAGACTCTGAGCTTATAGCTCGAATGAAAGGCACATTTCAGCAGCAGCAGCAAGCTGCTGCTGCCAAAAAGAGAAAAGAAGAAGATGCTGAAAAGAAAAGAAAGAAGGCTGCAAAGTAATAAATTAAATATAGAAAAATAACCTAAAACAATTTATAGCATTCACATATCTATTTTATTCTCAATATATATAATTCCTTCCAGAATTGTTGGTGGTACACAATCAACTCCTGCCGCAAGTACCTCATCGGATATACCTACTATTGAGGCTCCACATCACATTTTGTTCTTAACCAATCTACCTGATGAGATAAATGACATGATGTTATCCATGCTTTTCAATCAGTACGTATTCAAAGTATTCATATACATCTACATTTATAAACTAAAAATTTCTTTTGAGTTATGTAATAGGCCATAAATAAGATTAAACTTTATTAATTTTCAAACTTTATAATATTTTAATTAATTTATAAGAAAGAAAATAGAAATCCTAATAGTATTTATGAGCATAATAATACTACAATAATCTAATTAAATTATGTGTGTCTTAGAGGAAAAAAGTAAAGAATAAATAAAGTTATTAAACATATTATAAATAAGTTAATTAAATGGTCAAAGGAATGTGTTTACTTTCGCAATAGAATTATTTTCAGTTAATGTAGTACTCGAATCCTTTTTGAACAAGCACTTCAAAGTCCTCTTTTTACTATATTTAACTTTAACAGAAATGCTTGTCATATCTAACTAATGTACTATATACTTATAGTGAAGGAGCAAAGAAAAAAATCATTTAAAGTGTTCATTAAACATGTTGTAGACAACTTTGATCTTCCTTATAATTAGAACGAAGAAAAGAATTGAACTATTTAAAGAGTTTCACGGTATAGATTTATTGTTCTTGAAGAAAAGAGAACAGGTTATTTATAATTTCAAAGATAGCATTTATATATATGCATTTATATATCTTTATATATATCTTTTCTATAAAACCTTCAAAGTTCTAATTATTCCTTTTCAATCATCTCTGTGTCGTATTTACACGACAGATGGCGTGCAAAACAAAGTAAAAAAAAACTTTCACGACAACAGACCTTAACAGTATCTAACACATGATATGTTTTGTACTGTCCACGCTTTAAGTGTACAACATCGATTGACTTTTGAGCTGATATGAACAGCATAGCTTTAGTGATAATGTTTCCTACCAAATCAATTAATTAATTAGTTATAATTAGACTCTAGTGACCTTCAAAAACTAAAATTTGACCCAAGTAATGTTCTTCACTCCACCCTGATAGTTTTATATTACAAGTTAGAAATAGCCAAACAATATATCGGTCGATGGTGAAAAGTAATACATTATGTACCACGTAAATACTCGAGTTGGTGTATTTGTTTATACGATAAAGGGACACCGTAAACTACTTAACATAGACATAATTGTTAAAGGAATAAATTTGACATTCTAACTCCATGGCTATGACTTCGTAACAGTGTACTCTATAAATATTTTCAACTTTTTATCACTAGCTCACTATCATTTTTTCCTTTTAGCATTCATTAATAAATAGGGCGATTGGTATTAGGAAATATTATTATGATTTAGACAGTCTATCCATCTTATCTAAATAATTATTTGTTTACGTAAGGTTTTGTTCTAATAAATACAAATGAATAAAAATGGGTGAACTAGTTTTGTCCACGTATGCTATAACACAATACAATAAAATTGTAACAAAAAGCTGGAGTAACAATAAAATCCATTGAGAAATTATTGACTTAACTTATTATTAATAAAACAATATATTAAGATGTGTTCAATACTAAATGTAATTTAAACACAGATTTCCCGGATTTAAAGAAGTTAGAACCGTACCCGGCAGAACAGATATAGCATTTGTTGAATTTGAATCAGATCAACTTGCTGCCAACGCTAAAGACGCTTTACAAGGCTTCAAAATAACGCCTACTCATGCTATGAAGATTACATTTGGAAAAAAATAATTGTAACCTTTTTATTGTTATAAATAGATTTGGGTTTTTTCGTACAAAAGATATCTCTGTTGCCGCCGCTGAAAATTATTACGCGGAACAGGTTCCAGACTGGAAGATAGGCCTCGCCTAATCTAACCTGGAAACTTGCCAATTTAATAACCTTGCGTAACTATTGCGGTCGATTATTTGACGAGTAAACATGGACTCGATGACCTCGTCGTTTTACGTACACCTTTTTGCAGGTGTTTTTTTCTTTTATTATTATTATTATTATTATGTAGATGTATAATAGATATATATAATACAAACATATATATATATATATATATACATATATATATTACTATAAATATATATATATATATGATTAATAAAGCACATAGTGTTATGTAACAGAAAAAAAAACAAACAAAGCACACTTGTTGTTTTTAAGAGAGGTGTAGCGGTGTACTGTTGAAGATGAGGTCGAACAAAATGTCTTGCAGCCCTGAGATTGAGAACACCGACCAAAACAAAAAAAAAACAAAAATACAAAAGAAAACCGTTACGTAAGCTGAAAAATAAACAACAGCTAAAAAAAATCAATTCGCAGTCAATAACGATCGATTATCAACTGTTATAGAGCATGTGACGTAATTTGGTCGTTTCATTCTTTAACGCCGCAACTTCGACGCGTAACTTGAGGTTCTCTTGTTCAAGGAAAGCCGCTCGTATAGCGATTTCATCTTCTTTCGCTCGTCGAGCGTCCCTTGAGCGTTTTGCGGCCTCATTGTTTTTCCGGCGTCTTTCCCAATAGGCCTGATCTTTCATAGTGTCCGGCAATGATTTGGCGGCGCGGCGGCGACTGGACGCTTTGTTGTGACTTGGCTGTTGGTCCTCTGATGATGGTGATGTTGAATCGTCACTTTTGGTCGCAGCGTCTCTAAATTTAGCATACATATCTTCTGTGGCTTGTGTTAGCAGACCCGGTATTGCATACAAGCCCAGGGAGAGGGGATAACTTTTAAAAGGCCTAGAAGTAGCAGCATTGGTACTAGCCAAAATGCTAGAAGCCAAGAGGGTTGGATCAATGCCATTCAATATTGGCGTCGCAGGTGACGCTGTTTCACTATTGCTGTCCGAAGACGACAGAGGAGGTGTTTCGCAACGACGTTTCTTCATACTGAAATCAAGTGGGGCGTCATCTGAAGACGTCATATCATCAGATGCTGCAGGTGAAGTCGCCATGGCGAGAGGTAGCTAGCTGTAGAGCAACGATATCAATTTGATTTACAAAATCTATAAGCTCAGCACATATGTACATATACATACATATATTATTATATATGTATGTACATCATATTTGAATATATATACAGTATATATATAAATATATATATATATATATACGTATATGAATTATACTGTATATATATAGTACGTCGAATTATTCATCAGGGGCGGTCTTAGCAGGGGCTAGTCGAACAGTTTTTTATTATCTAGATCTAGTTACGATTGTGGGAGTCCGAAATTCGGGCTAGATAATTCTCGTGGAGAACGAGAGGACAACATTCATTAGGCCTATAGCTTAGTAAATTGACTATAGCAAACACACGCATATGCACATATATAGACTATGCACATAAAGATAGAGAAAGAGAGCGAGAGATACACACGAATAGCGGATAGAGGGGGAGTTTCTGTATTGTTTTTTCAGTTTTTTATCTATACTTTCTATAATTAGAAAAAGGTCTTATCAAATTCGGGAGTTTCTCCTTTTATCTTAATTCTAAAAGTCTGGGAGAGAAAGCTTTTAACTCTTATCGTATTTTATCAACCGGCTACCAGTTTCTGTACAAACTTTAAAAAAATGTAAATAAACAAGATCAAACCCAATTCTACTAGATCGGAGTATAATTTTGAGATTTGATAATGAAGGCGTTACATAACAAAACTACCTAGTTACGCAATCGATGATGACTATAAACAATTAATCGACTAATCTAATACTCAGTAGTTAAAATAATAGTTCTAAATACACAAAATCTAAAAATCTACACGAGAAAAGTAAGAAATTTACCTGATTTCGAATTTGAAGAGAAACGGCGTTTTTTTGTCGAAGAAAGATTCTGTTATTGGGCCATGCCATGGATTGACCCGATCATGGCATGCTGACGAGTATATTTACACTCCCCCCGCGTTTGTACTCCCTAGCGGCAAATGCTCTACTGCTAATATCTACTCTATTAAGTACTTATGACTTACCAATTCTATCGCTATTCGTTTTAAAAATTGTGAGTAAATTTTCCCGTAAGTTATTTTTCCATAACATCAACATAAAGTAGTGTTACGTGGCAATTAAGGTCACACCGGAAGTCGGCCATCTTTTCTACGGCTATTTGCGTTATTACGTAACGGTTTAAGGTTATCGTCAGTTCAGGTCAAAGAAAACCGTCCCTTTTCAGGGTTGAACGAGCCCGAACTCTTTCCCTTTCAACTTTTATCGACATCCCACCGCGTCGGAATACTTACCGTTTTGAAATTCCAATGATTACGTAATAATTTCGAATTCACTTTCGAGCGTCGTGACCTGATTCTGAAATGGCGGGAGGACACCTTTTATATGCATAAATAACTGCATCGATTATCTAACTTTATCTTAGCCAGACGGCTTGAAAATTTGTTATCCGTTACGTAATTAACCTGATTTTGTACGAGGCAACTTAAGCAGGTCAATAAAAACATGAAGAGATCGGCTTACGGCATATTATTTCGCTTTCACAAATAATCACACGCGTATACGTGTGTGTTGTTTTACTCGATACATACTCAGGGATTATTCTTTAGAATGCGGTTAAATTATTACGTTTAAGTGAAACAGCTGTTGGAAACTAAAGTGGGTCAACTATTTTTATAAATATAACAAAAATCTCAGGGATTTCAACTTTTTACCTCTACAAGCCTATACACGAAATAATAGTCTGGTCGAGTATTAGTACAACTTAATTTTTCTATTAGTAGCATATTTTTATCATTCGCTCGCTAGACGGCAATACTACCTTATTGTCTTTTGTTTGAGCTGCATCGCCATCTTTTGGCGACAATACGTAAATGTTATGCAATCGTTCGATTTTTCTTTCTTTATATAATCTGATTACACAATCTCCTTATCTAACAGTTATAAATATGCCTTATTTTTTATTAGACATAGGTTAAGCGGCGGAATATATTAACCGACTATTAACATAGATTTTTTTACGTAATAGGTGTAATATATAGATATATACTATATATATATTTAACAACAAAAACAGATCAAAAATCCCCTTTCAAAGCTTGGCTACCGATTTCTATTATTCTATTATCTTCTTTTTTACTTATGTTCCTTATACAATACATATTCAAATTCCTAATACCACCGTAATCATACACTAAAAGGATTTATATATGAATGTATATAGTATCTGCATATATTATATATGATAATGTAAATGTGTATGATGTATATGATTAATCATTCAACGTACCTTCCAATCTTCAATTATAATTTTTATATACAGGTTAATGTTGATTAAAAGAGGTTAAGGTCTCTTATTTGTTTATTTGTAATTTTGTAGTTTCCGTCCCTAGTTTCTTTGAGGGAAGGAGGGGGGCGGTTTTATTATTTTTATTACTATTATAAACTAAACTGCTTTTATCAGTTTTTCTTTTTCTTTAGTTCGATATTTTATTCATTCAATCATTCGTTCATTCATTCTTTCTTTCCTTCGCTTACTCATTCATTCACTAAGAATTTTCTTTATTCTTCCTTTTATTTCTTTTCCCTTTTTGCTTCCAGCAACGACATTCAATGAGTTCAGTTATTGTTTTCTTCATAAACTTAATACTCAATTAGCAAAGAATCAATTAAATAACGTATTGTTAATCAATGTTTATGCACACACTGTACATTTAAATACAGTATATGTAGACTTTATGTACAAATATAAACAATTACGTTGGTGATTGATAGAGGTCAAGGTTTCTTTGTTTTATTATTATTATAGTTATTATTATTATTATGAATTTTTTCCTTCATCCGAGCTAGATGTATGTCTCTCCCTTAAATATTTTGCAATCTTCCTCCTTTTCCTAAATGCTGGATTTTTTATATTTTTTAGTTTGTTAAAGTTTCGGTTATCTTGCTTTGAATCATCTTCAGAGGATTCAATTTCAAAAGGACTTCGCTTTCGTTTTAAATCAACACTCCAATTTGCTAATCTTTGACCAATCTTCTGTGAATCTTTTGGTGTTGTAGATGAAGATGTCGCTGCAGTAGGATTTATTATTTTCTCGTCGCTCGTCCTTTTATCCGTAAAAAGTTTATTTTGATAAGGATTTATCTCTGTTGCTTTACTTAATTGCCTTTCACATATTATATCGTTAATTGTCTTCTTTTTTCTGCTATGTTTCCCTCGACTACTGTTTTCAAAGAAAGTTTCTTCTTCGTCATCGTCGTCTTCATCATCTTCATTATCATCGACATTATCATTGTCATCACCCCTTTCGTCATCACTATCATCGCTACTGTCTTCTTGTTGACCATTTGTGTTTTCATCTTTCACTTGACTAGTTAATGAATGATCGATTCCATTTCGCCGCCCCTTTTCATCCTGATCTTCTCTTTCGCTACCGTTTTGCTTTTCTTTCTTGTTGTCACTAATCTCTGTTTCATCTCGTCCGTCTTCCTCTTTTATCCTCTCCACTTTATCATTATCATCATCATTATTATTATCATCATTATCATCATCATCCTCCTTATCGTCATCATCATCATCATTTTCATCATCGTCATCATCATCTTCTTTTTCTTCTTCCACGTCATCTACATCTTCTTCGTTATTATTATTATCATCGTCATCATCATCCTCGTGACTTTCATCGTTTTGACTGCTGCGTAAACCATTTTGGTAGAATTCATCGATACTGTCGATGTCATCACTATCAAATTGGAAAATTACATTACTCTGTCCATCATCATCTGATGAAATGCTCTCTTCATTCAATTCCCTTTGAACTAGAGAGTCAAAAAAAGCCATCATTCTAGGATCTTCTTCTGTGCATTCGGCAGTATAATCATGGCTTATGAATGAATCTCTAGATTCAAGTATTAAATCAATATATTCTTGATGACTATATGCAGTTCTGGCCCTGCTTTCGTCCGTATCAATGGTACTGGTTGGCTCTATTTGAAATAGACTCCAAAGTTTGATAATTTTTTCAACACCGCAAGAGTAGATGGTGTGATCGTGATCGCTGAAGCGAACTTGATTGACAATCGAACGATGTCCGTGAAGAACCATATGAGCTTCCGAAAATGTATTTTTCTTATCATTATTTAATCCAGTCTCTGAGGGTATTTTCCAAACATAGACGTTATGATTGTCCGATCCAGAAATAACATATTCATCCCGATCGCCCGCGAAACAACCACTTTTCATTGTACATGAGTTAAAATAACCAAGATGAGAGAATTCAGAGATATTTGTTTCTGAATTTAAATCATAAACTACAGCCGGAAGACGACGCCTCAAAGCTAGCATACGACGACCAGATTTGTCAAAACAAACACTCATGGCTGTTCTCTTTGACATTCCATCACCGTAACGCAATAGACAAGTCCGCGGTTTCCTAACGTCCCATAGTTGAACGCCTTCCTCAGAATTAGCCGTGGCAACTAAACGAGGCTCTGCAGGATTATAGGACACACCATGAAAAGGCTTAGTGTAGTTGGCGAGGACAAAAGGATCTACAGAGAAGAAAGCAAAATATTCAAAATAAATAAAAAGTAAGAGCATTCCAGTGTATATATTTATACTGAACCCTCGCTATCGGGAGCTCTCATATCATACATTAGTACTCGACCATCGTCTCCCGCACTTAAGAATAGCGAATCAATGTCAGGATGAGTACTTATCCGATAAACAGGGTTCCTATGTAGATAAACATTTTTTGATTCCGTCCTATAGAGAAAAGATAATAGTTAATGCTACTTTCACTTAATATATTCATAGTTTTTAATAATAAATATGATATAGTTTTCTTATTCATAATCTTAAGGTTCTTAACTATTAAATGTATAAATGATTTGTTTACGTTTCAATGTCGTGAACAATAACTTGGTCATCATTCCCTCCCGAAAATACAGTCTTGTTGCAACAGTCGAAGTCAACGCAGAAAATATTTGAATCGTGTTGGCCTTTCATTACTAGTGGCTTATAATTTGAGATTTTGCTTGCTTTTTCCAAATGCCAGAGAAGAACTCGTCTATCATCGCCTCCTACGGTAAAAAAGAATCCCTTTAAAAATTATAGATAATGCAATCACAAATCGATATATTTAATATAATACAATAAATATTCATTTATATAATAACATTTACATCATTTCGAAATATTGACCTAGGAAATTCAGAGGGATGGACGACACAAAAAAATCGTCAACAACGAATATCTTATGTAACACTCTTTTAGCGTGCTCTTTTTAAATTGTCAACATTTAATTTACCTGACAGAAGATATTCTCCTCCATTATATGACAATTCCAAGGCATTCACGCATCCAAAGTGAGATTTTAAATCCTTTTTGAACATATTTTTAGCACTTTTAAGACGTTCACGCAAGCATTGATTGCCCAATCTAGAACGGTCATTCTTTTGGCAATAACCTATTAGATACGCAGTATTTTTCAGCTCTGGCCCAGGGATCCTTTTAGTTAACATTCTTTCGCCTTTATTTGCCTGGCGCAAAACTGCTAAGACCGAATTAAATCATCGAAAAAGCGCAAACTCTGATAATCGCATCCCATTTTATCATTCCGTTTAATTCGTCTGCTAAATCTCGCGAAATACGAGAAAAAAAGCGAGACTACACGCGAGTTGGCGATAAAATTAAGACAAAAAAATTCAGTTCACAAGCAAACATTTATGTATTCAAACGCATCGAATATGTCACTTTAACGGTTAGATTTGGCGACACGTTCCAATTCGTCCTTCTTCTTGATGGCGTACGAGTTTGACGAACCCTGTTCATTTTTAAAAGCTTATTAAAAATCATAAATATATATATCCTCGTTTTTTGTTTTATAGAAACTGTCTATTTGTTTAAGGGCAGGCACACCTTAATCTTTTTTTCTAGAAATTAGTTTTAGTTACTATGTTACTAAGTTTTTTCAACTTCTTTTAATAAAATAATCTATGACAAATATTTGTCATAGTGGGAAAATTATATTAGTATTATAGGGTTTTTCATTGATAATTTTCAAATTTTCTTCAATGGCTATTTAAACTTCATTGACGGTAGAACTTTATATAAAGTACGTATAAATCTAAGTCCCTTCATCACTTCTAACTTATACTGTAAGGTAAAGATTTTCTGGTGTGTGCTCTTAAGGGACAAACTGTTTCTTTACCTTTGCAGCGTTGATCAATTCGTCAGCCAAGCATTCAGCGATCGTTTTAATATTTCTAAACGCCGCTTCTCTTGCTCCCGTGCACAACAACCAGATAGCTTGGTTTACTCTTCTCAATGGCGAAACGTCAACAGCTTGTCTTCTGACTGTTCCAGCTCTACCAATTCTGGTCGAATCTTCTCTAGGTCCAGAGTTGATAATTGCGTTAACAAGTACTTGCAATGGGTTTTCACCAGTCAGCAAGTGAATGATTTCAAAAGCGTGTTGAACAATACGCATTGTCATCAATTTTTTACCGTTGTTTCTGCCGTGCATCATCAAAGAGTTGGTCAAACGTTCCACAATAGGACATTGAGTCTTGCGGAAACGTTTTACTTGAAAACGGCCCGATGAATGAGGGACATATTTAGCAAACTTCTCTTTTATCGGGATATAATCAGTCAAAGATATATCGGACACCTGAACTTCTTCAGTTGGCCAGCGTCCAAACAAACGGACTTCGGGTAATTCGGGAGCGCCAGCAATTTCTGCGTCGAAATCGGCCATCTGTAAAAGCGAGGGAGCGATAATTAAGGGTGTAATATAGAAACGGTCTAAACTGTGTTAATATTGAGAAAATTATGTAAAATTATGATTAGGAGTGTTAACGGACGTTTATTTAACAACCAAAACGCCTTTATTTTAATCGAAACATGAAATAACTATGAAAAAAGTAGCTAAAATACACATCACATGTAGCACCAACCTTAAGCGGAAATGAAAGGACGGATCATGGGAAGGGACTTTCCTAAAACATGGAAGGAAAACTTTATAATAATCGAAATAATTTTTTAAGACCATAGCTCAAAGTTTATTCTACTGTATAAATAATAAATAAAACGGTTTTTTAAAAGTTTTTTAATTTTGAAAGAATATGAACATTTTAACTGTACAAATCATGTTAATCATTTTTCGTTAAACTATGTTTTTAAAGAAAGAGATATTAGTATAACAAGCACATGAGAAAAAATAAATTCCATATTAGCTAACCGACTGAATGCAAATTTATACGCTTAATGGTAAAAATTAATTCCTTCTTCAGAATTCTTTCCTTGCATGACTTAGTAATAGCCAACATCATGCTTTCAAGAATACTTTTGTGAAGAGTGATAATTAAGAAAATAACGAAACTACGAAATATCGCCCGAGACGATTAAAATACATATTAAAAGATATAATATATAGCTTTAATAAAATATTTAAAAGTAAAAAAAAAAATTTAATACTTAAATCTTTTGCAAGATTAATATAAAATTAGTTTATTCTATTAGAATTTAAAAATTCCTTTTTTATAAATAAGTCTTTGTTAATGGCTGATTCAGGAAAAGAATCTGAAATATCATTAAAAAGATTACCAGTAAGTAACTTATTCGTTTTCAATTAAACGCGCGTGCAAATAATCTTTTCTACGAGTAGAGATCTCAGAAAAAGAAATTAGCAAGAGCTAACAAATTACAAAAAATTAAAGAGAAAAGGAAGTCAAAGAAAGATCTAAAGAAATTAAAAGATAAAGCTATTCCAAATGATACCACGAGAAAATACAGTAAATCAATTTGGAAACAAAGATTAAAAACTGCTCTGGAAGATGAAACTAGCCAGAAAATTTGTATAGATTTTAGCGTTTCGAATATGATGGACTCAAAAGTGAATTATATATATTATACAGTTTTATAAACATAACGAAATTTGTCGTTTGATGTACAGGAATGTTGTAAATTCGCCCATCAATTTAATCGTCTATATGGGGCTAACAAGAAAAGCTCTAGTCCAGTTCATTTACATATTACTGGTGTAGATAAAGAAAGCGAACTATATAAGCAATGTTCTGAAAAGAACGAGGGCTTTGAAGACTACTTGGTATAATAGACTAAAGAGTAAAAACTGAGATTATCTTGTTGTTTTTACAGATGACTATTAGCGAAAAAAAACACTTTGAATTGTTTGATAAAGAGAAATTAATCTATCTCACTCCTGATTCGGATACTCCTCTAACTGAAATTGATTCGTCGAAAATATACGTCATTAGTGCTCTAGTGGACGAAACTGTTGAAAAAAATGTAACTTTAAATTCAGCAAAGGCGATAGGAATTAATACTGCTAGATTGCCAATTGAAGAATATATGAAAAGAGCCTATGGAAATTATACTTTTAATCAGGTTCTCACAACAAATCAAGGTTCTTATCAAATTGTTTATATAATATTAGGGGCATCCTAAAAATTTGTGTCTAATAGCTAAAACAAGAAATTTGCCTAATATACAAACATAAATACTTATTAATGTCTTAGGTATGTCTATTTAGCTTTGTATTCGTCAGTAAATACCCTTACTGCCCTTTTTCAATTCATCATCATTCTCATGTATTTGACCATAAAGATGGTCCTTTAATTTCCAGAAAAAATAATGGTCTGATGGACCAAGGTCTTGGCTTGTAGACTGGATAACACAATTCTGTCCAACTTGATTTTGGAAGGTTTGCAGACTGGTACCTGATTTTATATTGTCATGAAGTAAAATCACCTCGCTATAGGCCTAATTCTATTCCTTTCTTCAACTTCTTTTCGAATATCTAGTAGTGAAGAAAATATACGCGTACAGCGTACTATTTACAAATTACAGCAAAGCTACGAGAATTTTTAGGATGCCCCTAATAGTATACGTAAGAATAATAAACATCTTTTTTCCAGTTTTTGACATCCTTCTGCAATTCACAGCTAGTCAAGACTGGCAAAAAGCCCTTCAATTAGGTATTCCAGAGCGGAAGGGTTTCATACCAAAATAATTTATTAAGTTTTGTAAATAAATTTTTTTCATCATTTTTATTTGTTCGAACAATTAATTGCAACATCATATACGATACTTTAAGCATTTAACAACTTAATGCATTGATCTATATGATGAAATAGAAACATATTCTCCCAATTGGGAGCAAATCCACATTCTGGATTCATTTCTTGAAAGTTTGCAAGGTTATCAAGACACTTTTGGGCTTGAGTCGGAGAATATTTTTGACATATAATAAGAACCCCTATAGGTTTGAATAAAAACACGTTCAATCAGTTTATACTTCTTGACTTATTATAGAATACATACCATGACAAACATCAAGTACTTTAGTAATTCTTCTAGCTGCCTCTCTTCTCTCTTCCATATTGTCCCATCGGGGGTCTTCAAGTATATAATTAGGAGCAGGGAATGCGACAATATTTCGGAAAAAATTTCGTATACGTTGAGTCTCTGCTGTTAGCTGAACTCTCTCCAGTTTCCTAATGTTGAAGCATGAATAGTAGTTGTCAATTGGTGATGTAATCTCCTCACGGATTTTTATCAAACATTTGAGCTTAGAGAACATTGTTGCAAGTCCGATACGATGTTGATTTAATAGTTCATGTGAAATATTGGGTATAATGATATTTTTGACATTCCTTGAAATATATAAATTTATTTTCTTATTTATCAATTCAATGTTTGACATTGTGATTGCGATTGATATTAAAGTAAAGTGATAATTGTTAACAGCAGTTCTGATTTTTTATCTCGAATAAATATTCTATAAACAGGTTAAGACTATATTTTAATATTTATGCTATTTAATTAATTTTTTATTTTAGCAATTTAAATTTCCCAAGGTATTGCGCTTTCTATAAAATTCTGCAAAGAACATGCATAAAGACACTTAATGTTTCGTTTCTCGAATTCGTCTAGTTCTTTAAACCGTAGATCGCCTTCTTTCGGGTTGTATGGAGAGCAGAGATGTATAATTTCTAAAAAGAAAAAAGTAATAACAAACATTTAAAGAACAATATTACAGTCTTTTTCATTTTCTTTTCTAAAAATATATTACCTCTAGATAACTTCAGTAATCTAGAAGCATCTTCAATCATTATTGCCTCAACCGTAGCGGGTAGATTGAATTCAAACGACTTTTGCAAGTTATCATCAGGCGGTTTAAAGCGATATAAGAGAGCATTTTCTAAAATGCCCCTTAGTTTTTCTCTTGTCATTTGGTCCTCCATACCATTTGTATCTTTCAAAAAGTTATTATAGCTGTTTCTAAACTCCTGAGCCCAATCTTCGCCATAACGTCCAACAAGATCAATTAATTCTAATGTTGAAAAAATTTACCCCATAGAAAAATAATGAAAAAGCGAATAATTAGGAAATGTTATACTTACTTGAAATATCTTCAGTTATTTTTTGTGTTTCAAAAGCCTGTAAAGCTTCTTTAGGGGAACTTTTCTCTACAGTTTCATTAGTTTGGGTTTCAGGTAGACAAACTGGGGGTTTATCAGATAAATCATAAAATTGGAAGTCTAGTTGATCCCTATCAATCCGTTCATTTTCATCATCACGTTTTTGGTCCTTGTTTACCTTAAATCGTTCTGACATTAGTATATATTTTTAATAACTAATAAAAGCTGTTGATATAAACCTAAATATCTAAAATATTAGCCTTTTAATATGTTTAAAAGGTGGCTACAAATAATTTGCTGATACTTACTTCGTCCATGTTTTTGTTCTGACTGACTGGTTCCTATTCCGATCACTACAAAAGCACCAGTTTAGTTATTGTTTCTGCTACCAATTTAAAACCGTCCGGAAGTACTTTTAGACCTAGACATAACCTCTCTACTCGAACAAAAAAAGCTAATCGTGGCTCCAGTTAGTTCGGACTTCGAATTTAACAAATTCTCTTTAAATTGCTCATTATAAACGATGGCAGCCGAAATGCTGTAGGATCGCTTAAATCATTTTTGTAAACATGAATAGGAAATGGAATCTATAAACGAATTAATCCCTGGTGAAATAGACGAACCTTTCTCAGATATAGTCCCTGAGCATGTAGATCTGCTAGAAAATATAACAAGAAGCCTTAAAAGCGATAACGATCCAATAAAGCTGGTTGATGTTGGAAAATTATATGAAGATGGTCCCATACAGCTAGAAATCCTCCAACCTGGTATTACATTAAATGAACCAAATAGTAATGAACTGCATCTTCCAAATGGTTTACAATTTAATGTTACAAATGCCCCAAATCATATCGAGAATGATGCGCAACAGGATATTGAAATATTCGAAAAGAACGATTGTATTGAGCATTTGAATAATTCCGAAACCAATAAGAAAATGAATATTGTTTACGAAATTGTTCAACCGGAAGTGACAAACTATAATTATTCGATAAATGATGAAGATTTTCCAACGTTGACGATAAAAGAGAGAAAAGAAAGGAAAAGGATGCTTGCTAAAACAAGATCTGGAAGAGTATCGAAACCCCCGAAACATTTGGCTTTAGATTATAAAAGAATTCATCTAGTAGACTGGAATGAAGAAGCGGAAGATTCAGACGGCGGTTATTCCGATATTCATTTGTCGGAAAAGGATATAGCAATCCGTAACAATGGTAAGATATGTTATATAATTGAAACCAATTTATTTGTATTTAAAGTATTCAGTTGTTTCTTTGTTTAAAAAAGAAGAAAGTTCAACAAAGAAGCAGTACGGATGTTCACTCTGTAAAAAGCAGTATATAGGTGTTGCTGGCCTAGCTAGACACTATAAACTCAATCCAACTCATGGTAAATATCAATATTCAGTTCCTTGTGTATTATATCGCTTTTTATACAGCGTGAAAATATATATCAGTATATATATATATATATATATATCTTCTTTTTAGGTAGTCAAAAAGATCTTATCCAACATTATGATAAGATTGTGAAAGATGTTAATCGGAGTATCAACGATAAATTATATAATGAATTACCGGATGACGGCGAAGAATTGAAAGCTAAGAAGCGAATGAGAAGATTGAAGCATGTAAGTAAATTTATTTTATATATTTATTGTGTCTCTTTTCAATAGTAAATTTATCCTTTTTTAAAAATATAAGGTGATAAAAGACTGCTCGAATGAAGAATTGATGGATATAATCTTACCGAAGCTTTGTCCAGCTGTGACGCCATGGGAATATTTACTAATGAGATCAGAATTTGGTTTTCCCCCAAAACCGGATCCCAGCCAAGTTTACAAGGATGTTAAAAACTTATTAGAACGTGTCAGCTCCTTCTTTCAAGTTAATATTGAACCGTCGACAGAACCTGCTAATCTTCACAAAAACCCAGGAACCTTTCAAGTAGGGTTTTTTTCCGATCTAAGTAAAACACCTTGTCGATTCGATAGTGACTAAGTAATGCTATAAACATTCCTCTCTGAGGACTGTCTTCTCTCATGAACTTGCGCAATTTAACATTATTCGTAATTTCAACTAGACATACGTGACGTAAAAACTGTATTATCGCTTTTTCTTATGGCAGTTATATTATTTTAGCAATTTATTACACAGATTGAAGACGATTCCCTAGCGTCCGCACTGGACCTTACCCCAGGCTGGTATTGTCTAAAGAGCAAAGCTCCATCTATCGACAGACTAGACGAAAATGTTTCTGAACCTAACGACCTCAATTTAACGGACCAACAAGACGTGATAAGACGTAAAAACTGTTCGCTAGATGAGAACGAATGCAACTTTTTGTCCAGCAATCCGCTAACGCTGTTTGATAAAGACGATAACTAAATATCCTGTCAATCAGGTAAACGATTGTTATGTTTATGTGGTTTCAATTTTTTCCATCATATTCCTGTAGCAATATTATTGGACTAGATGTAAGAATAAAAATTAAAATCTTAAATCTTTACAATTCCTCAGTCGGCTCGTCGTCTGATTTTACGACGACGTCGACTAATTCGTTGCACTTTCGCTGAGAGACAGGAGGAACAACTTGCGCTACGAGACTATAGCGATGCGTCGGGATTAGAGGGCATTGGCCCTGCAGGTCGAGATTAGTGGATTTAGGACGTTGGCCAATCGAGGCTGACGACGTTGGAATGGACGAAGCGGGATTGTGGTGATGGCAGTTCCATATTAGAGCAAATACTAGGGCGATAACAGCTATCGTTAGCATAATAACAACTCCAAGAAGAAGCCAAGTTATCCAACTTGACTTAAGTGAGTCAGGGTTCGTTGTCTTTGGAACTGTAGAAAAAAAAATTAATGAGAAAAGGTACCTATAAAAGTTATATCATCTATTTCAAACAACGAAAAAGCATTTGCATTAATTGGAATAGCCCATTTATATTTATTTATTTATTTCGGCCCCCTTTTCTCTCTATCTCCCCTACCAACTTTTTCTCTCTTTCTCGAACTCTCTTTGTCTCTTTATACTCGCCTTTTTCCTCCTTATAAACTACATTCTATTGAAAAATGATTTATTGCAATCAGATAAGTCTACTTTCTCTCTTAAGATTAAAGTTTACAATTATAAAATGGCTAGATTTTCTTGTGTTTCTTATCAATTTCACGCTTTTCGATTAATAAGAAAATCTAACTAAAAAAACTGAGATGTTTAGTAACTCGAAGTGATCTTCGTTGGTTATGTAAGCAAATAGTTCACTAAAATTTCTTTAGAAAATGGAGTAGGTGAATAGGCCTCTGCAAATCAATTTCAATATCTGGAATTTATCCTTTAATCCAATCTATGTTCCTTACGTAACTGTAATGTTAATCTATGACTTACTAATGGATTGTTTAATCTTGGAGACCTTAAAAGCCAATTAATTGGGCTAAACACTGCAATAAAAAGATTTTCGTTTGCTTACTTAAATCCGTGTCTACCGAAGGATTCCGTACTCTCTTCGTAATGGAAGACGACATTTTTTGAGTTACGGAACTGGTTTTGTCAACAGTCGTTTGAATCTCAACGTACGTTGTTGGAAATTTTGTAAACGGCGTCGGACGAGTTGCAATTCGATATGACGCTAAAGGAGTGAAGAAAATAAATAAACAACTTGTGTTCGTTAGGTAAAAAAGTAAACGCACCACAGAAAGGGCAGCATCTGCCTTCTAATAAGAGAGCCTCTTCGCACTGCAATTCGGGACAAACGTGCACATAGCAGATAATTCGCCCATCAACACAACTGCACGAAGTGCACGCATTTTCTCTCCAGGAATCCCCATCCTTGTGAGAGAGTCCGCAATCGTGACCGTCCAAACTCGGTCCCTTGACGGTAGATTGACTGTTAGAACACTGCAGGCAGCATTCACCTTCTTTGCGAGTTGGATGGGTACACGTGAGAGGTGGGCATTCTTTAACATGGCACCAAGCGTAACCTTCTCTACAAGTACAAATTGTACATTCGTCAAGACTCCAAGTAGAAGAATCATTATCTTTCCTTAAAGTCGCACAGGTGGCTGTTTTGTTGGTATTGAGCAATGGTTTATCTACAAAGAGAAATAAGGGGTCAGCAGAAAAACTAAAAAAAAATAAAAATTTTAAGTGGCTCTCTGTACAGGAATTCGCTATCTCTAAAATTGTTTAAAGGAGTTAATTTTGATAATTAATGATTGATTGAACATTAAAATGCTTATGTAATAGTTACTAAACTGATAAATTTTTTTATACAGTTAAGATAACCTCTTTGTGTTTTACTTATTTTTAAGTCTTCTATCTCAATCTTTCGTCAATAATACTTCTATATAGATATTTTCGACGCTTTATAATATTTGAAGGATTTTTTTCTCAAGAATGCTGAAGTGAATTATCGTAAGGGATCTATATTTATGTTAGACAGTTAGATTCTCCAGATAACGTAAGCAGATACTTGATTCGATAGACCATTCGCCTTTTGCACTCACTGAATATCATAATATCGCGTCTATTAACGTCTAAGAGTAAGGCACAGATAAAAATATACCGGAAAATAATACAATTTACTTGAAAAAGTATCATAATTTATGATACTATAATAACCATTTCGCATTCCTGCGCGTTTGTGGGTGTGACTATATGAGTAAATATTTTCTAGTATTCGCATATTTTTGTTATTTAGGCTTACAGTTAAGGGTATAAACTCATCTTGATAATATTTTTCTTCGTTTTTGTCTACAAAGAAAAATGATTATAAAAATAAAGTTTTTGAAAGAAAGGTTAAATGACAAGTCGATTGGAAAGGGTCCTATTAAATAGACATTCTATCAAGGGGAATGTATGAGAGCTATTTTTATGATTTCTTCTATTAGAACTACAGTCATAAATAGTGAATAACCTGGGCATTGAGGACAACATTTATCCGCTTTAACGACCGGATGAGCGCATTTCGCTGTAGGACACGTGAGAACGGTGCATAGAAGTCTACCAGACTCGCATAGACATTTCTTGCAGCCGTCAACGAACGTTTGCCCGTCTTCTAAGTACAAACCATTTCCCGCACAGACTGATGCAGCAGATGTCACTGTTATTAAATTATGATTGGAAGTCCTATCTGCTTGCAAATAAGAGAGGCAGGCACACATTTCACAACCCAACAGATCTCTTGCTAAACCATATGGGCAAGCCAACTTTTGGCATCTCGGTGTCAATTGTTTGCATTTCCTGCATTCACATATTTCGCAGTTAAATTCGTCCTTTTTGAAACCAAACTCGCAGCTTAACGAACAATGGCTAATTGGATTACAAAGAAATAACGGTGCACATGCGCATAAATCGCGACCCAAAGAATCCTTATCGTAACCATTGGGGCAGTGCAATGGACAGGGAATTTCTTCCGGTTCTGTAAAATCGATTAGATGTCGTTAAGAAAATTGACGAAACTTAGCATAATTCGATTATATAATCGTAAGAGGTCGTCTTTAGCCAAAACATTATTCAAATATTATCGATTAAAAACGGTAAAAGATGTATAAGATTACGACTTTGACGAACAGATTTTCGTATCGGTCGTGAAGCTTTTGCGACGCAATAATTCAATTTGTGGCTAACAATATTACGATTTTCTCTTGCTATTCGTTTACGATTTATAGTTATGCATATGAATTTATACAAATTTACGACAAAACCGGATATTCGGGCCATACTTACTAACTAAGGATTGAGGACATGTCGGACAACATCTATCCGAATGACGTATTGGGTTGAGGCATTCAACTGGGGGGCACTGGAATGTCTTGCACGACACAATACCATCGTTACAAGCACATTTTTCGCAAGAACCCGTCATCCAAGTCTGGAAATTTTTCCAGTATTTGCCATCAACGATGCAACCAGCGCAAATTGAACAACAACTTTCAGGTTTGTTGTAGTTCCATTTACAATGATCGGTTTGCGGACATTTTTCGGCCTCGCATAATACTTTCCCACTATGGCATTTACAAATTTCGCAGCTACGTGGCTTCCTCCAAGTTGTACCATCCTCCCTAGTCTTTTCTCCATCATTACAAGATTTCCAGTGATCTGTGTGGGCGTGAGACAAATGATCTCATTTTAAGATATCAAGATAAATCACAAAGATATTGACTGATTGATAAAATATAGCCTGTTATTGTTTAAATAAGTTTAGTAGAGGGAGACGAACAACGTCGTGTTCTAAACAGAAAAACGCCCTTTCTCTCAACAAAGTGATTAATTGTAAATCAATTAAGCAAATTCTTCTCTTATGTACATAGTTCGCTTATAAATTAAATATCCGCCGCTAAAGCAAATTACCTTCTAATGTTTTTTACAATAATCTATAAATGAGTCCATAAAGAGAGAAATTAGCAAGAAAGCAAATAGATAGGACATGGAAAACTTCTACTTTACTATTATTATATGTGTAGCATATTAACATATTATTTAATAACAAAATATTACACCCGGAAAGTAGGCCTTATGGATATTTCCATCTTGTTTTTTACATGGAAACTTCCAAAACATTTTTCTTTATTTGCTTACTTCTCTCTCTCCCTCTCTCTCTCGTTCTCTACCACTCTCGTATATTCTTTCTCTTTCTTTTACATACAAGTAAAGTAAATTGTGTAACAGGAATTATGGGTAAAACTGTCAACTTAAAAAGCAAATTTTTTCCCTGCATCTCTTTTTAACTTTTTAATCTGACATAAAAACATCACTTTTTTTAAAGCTCACAATGCATTAAATATGTGAAATAATAAATTATGATAGATCCTGTTTGGAGGGTATAGAACGTAAAATGTTTGCTAGATCTAAAGCAATTTTGTTCTTTTTTATCAAGATCTTTCCAAGTACCTTCTCTCGATGAAAAGTAAAAAATTAGTGACTTTTTTGCTGAGTAGCAGAAAAAAGGGAGGAGGGGGAGGGAGTTTTGTGGGTGAGAAAGAAAAAGAAAGAAACGTTTATTTTCTTTTGTCAAAAAGAGTATTATAACACATTTTATATACTGCAAAGGTCTAAATTTAGTATCTATATATACGTATCTATAGTTTGTTTGAGTACAAATATATAAGATATATGGATAAATAGTATATAAACGGTATATGAGGTTTCTAAGCTTCTTCGAGGTTTTGCATATATCTTATACATCTATACAATATATAAATATAGATATATACTGTTTAGATATCTTACTTTCTGTTTATATTTTTTCATAAATTTTTATAATATACAGTAAAAAATAAAGATAGAAGCTGAGTAAGATTTATTCATTGAATACGCGATATACTGTATTCTGTAGATTTATATATACAGCCGCGGTCAAAAATGTTTATACATGAAAAAAAAGAAAATATTTTTTTTAAAAACTCATTTTTCTCTAATTTTGAGAAATAAAATTATTTTTCTTAAATAGAATGATGTTGTTTAAAGGGTATTTTATGTAATTTCATACAACATTTGTTTTTTTCAGCTTTTAAAAGTACTTTTTTTTTTTAATTTTAGACAACAAGTGCTTTTTGCAATTAAATTATATAATTTAAAAATGGCCATAAATATCTATAAAAACATGTTTTTTGTCTAAATAGTTTTTAGAACATTTGAATTTAGAACAAATCTGACTCCTCAGATAATTACTTACATTTCTTTGTCAAAATGAAATATCATTCTCAAATTAGAGAGCTAGCAAGGGCGAAAAAAGCTGAAATGACCTATAAAGAACTTGAGGCGGACTTAAATATCCCAAAACCTTCACTCCAGTATATCTGTGAGAACAAAAGAGCAGGAAAACCTGACAAAAGGGGAAGACCATCCAAAGCCAGTGAAAGACTGAAGTCACTAATTAAAAGAGAATGCATAAGATTGCAGGAAAAAAGAGAGTTGGCAACTGCTAAAAAAATTAAGGATAACTTAAGCCTGGATCTTTCTGAAAGAACCATTAGAAGGATTCTAAATAAAAATGGAGCAAAGTATCTGCCCATTTTGAAGGTATGCCCTTTGTCAGCAAGAGCAAAAACCACATGATTAAATATACTGGGTGGATGGATTCAGAGCCAAGTTGAATATAAAAATGTGGTCTTCACAGATGAGTCCAGGTTTTCGCTGGATGGTCCCGATCATCTGTTAACCTGGCAGCTCAATGACAGGCCAAGGCTCTTTAGAGATAAGCTTCCAGTTGGTGGAGGAGGAGTGATGGTGTGGGGGTGTATATCCTCAGATGGTGAAGTTTTTATCCAAAGACTTCCCTCCAACATCTCTGGAGAGATTTATGCCGAATTTCTTCAGGGAACAGTTTTCCCAATTTTGAGGGAAAAATTTGGAGAAAACTTCACCTTTCAGCAGGATAATGCACCCCCACACACTGCCAGAGTAACAATGGATATCCTGGAGGAGAATGGAATTCAAGTCCTTGATTGGCCTCCATACTCTCCAGACCTCAACCCCATAGAGAATTTGTGGGGTTATTTAAAAATTAAAGTGTATGAAATTCAAACACCAAAAACCCTTGACCATTTATGGGACAGGATACAGGAAGAGGTGGACAAAATCAATACAAGCAATAGAGATTTTGTGAAAAATTTATATAGAGGAATCGGGGAGAGAGTTTGGCAAGTTATTATCAATAAAGGAAACAGAATTAAAAAGTAGTTTTTAGACTGAGACAAAACGCAAAAATTTAGAAAAAAAACCTTGACAAACTATGTAATTAAATTTATATAAATATTTTTGGCCATTTTTTTTGGGACTATTTTTAATGATAAATAAACATAGAATTAAAAAACATTCTTTTTTTTATATAAGAATATTTTTTTCAGTAAACTAAATCCATTTTCTGGTTTATAACATATTCTTCAACAAATATTTAAAAAAAGAACAAACAATTTTGTTGAAGAAATCCAAAAAAAAATTATTTTATAGAAAAAAAAAATTTTTTTTTTCATGTATAGATATTTATGACCGCGGCTGTATATATAGTATATTTGTAAACGGTTTGTTTGCTTGTAGCCCCCCTCCCCCCTTAAGCTTTTTAACGTGAAAAGTTAACATAAGTCGGTTCCCTCTGACCGCAGCAAAGTTTGGATTATATCAAATTCCTGGCCACTTAAAATTGAATTGATAGTATTATTTTTCTCGAATTGTCATCTCGTCCAACATTTAAGTTAAATAAATTTATTTAAGATGTTTGTTTATTATTTAATGTAACACGCATATGTACCAGCTTACATATAAGAAATTTATGGAGATAGGTATGGCGTTATATAAATAAATAAATAAATAAACTCTAAGGTATTGTATATCAGGTGTCGTTCATGATTTTTTGTCTAAAATATCCTCAGTGTCTATATATTTTTCCTTGAGCTTTGATGAAATAGTAAAGAAAACGAAATTTAGTGCGTAATCGGATTCGTTGTTTACAAGACAATCATTCTTTATCCAACTGAGAAAGAGTGTTTTCTCAAGTCGTTTTTCCCTTTCTTCTCGCCTTTAAACGGTTGGGAGGAGGGTGATTAATGGGTGCAACTGTTGTGTCTGATGGATGGCTAAGTGCCTCGGTTTGGCGGCTTATTTACTCGCTTAATCTACACGCACACTGTGATTTTGTAAAATCTATTCTTAATAAACGATTAGGAGATAATGTGAGACTAATTAACGCCGATAAAGAGTCAAATTAGATTAGATAGTAGATATCTACATCAATTTTCACCTGGAAAAATCTTCTCTATAGATTACAACTTACTGTACATAGTATACTGTATATTAAGTACTTAAGTCAATGAAGTCGATACTAGAAAGTCTGTAGAAATGACTAACAAAAAGCCTCACCTGGAACGCAAACGTACGACGGGCAACAACGACCTGGCCTTCTCGTCGCCGCTTCCACTCGCATAATATGACCGTCCGGACAGGAAGCTGTAAACGGGCACTGATCTTCGGCTATACATTCGCATCTGTTTTATTTATAAAAAATTGAATTTATAGTGTCTATATACCTTCTGGAAAAAAATCCTTATTTGGAAGAAGGGTAAACACTGGTAATTTAAGGTTAAAAGTACAGACATTGAGGTTAGAGTTTAACACGTAAAAGTGACCCTTGTCATTTACTCTCTGCATCGTTTATTTTACTGTACATATTGACAAAAGCCGGATATTAAGTTATGAATTGCAAACATATTTTCTAAATATATATATATTGCTTTATAAATAGTAGTCCAGTATATTCATATGATTCCAAGTATTCACTAAGAAGAGACTTCAATAATACTAGTTAGTACAAATTCGTGTAATTTATTGGGTACATATTTCTACAAAGAATTTCAAGACTTCATATAATTTTAGTTTACTTGAGGGGAAATTATTGTATGTGGTCATTATACAGTATTTTTACAGCAAAATATCCAATTGTTGACATAAGTTCGGGAATTCCTAACAATAACACCTAGGATAACAGTAACTATAAAAAGTCATTATTTAACAATTAATGTTAATATGGACAATGACTGATTATTAAGTATTGCGAGTAACGTACTATTTATGTGTGTAAAGTGAATAAAAAGAAGATTTTCCGTGTGTTCTGCTAGCCATATGCTGAATAAACAAGGCAACCGTCGTTCCCCTTTCCCCTTTCCCCTCTAACATAATATAGGCGGTGAATTTTCTTCACAAAGCCCTCACAATATATCGTTGTCCCGACCTACTCGTATTCTATATACGGGTTCATACGGTCTATAAGCCTAATTAATATTCGTACAATTTTATGTATTATACTTACTCTTTTGGTATTATGCAGCAATTATTCAACCTCGATCGCGGCCTAATACTGTCCGGAGAACAGGGATGACGATTGAATTTCGGGCAATTCACGTCCAGACATTTTTCGAATCCCTTCAGAGAATCATCCGGAAGTGGATCTGTATAGGGAGGCAAATCGAATTTTGTCTATACTATTCATGGCCGATTATTAATGAGACGTCAGTGACTGACAAGAGCCGTATATTTATATATCTTCAACTTTATAGACGTTATTTTTTATCCTCGTTTACCTACTAACTATATAAATTGTATTTATGGTTTTATATAGTATATATCGTAGCCTCGTCGAGGATAGTAATAGCACTATATTTTTCTCTAAGACCCCGCCCGACGATTCTTATACATGTGGCTAACAGTTTGAATAATAAAAAGGGTAAGTAATTAAAAATTGAGGCTAACGTCCGTTAATCGCTAGATTACGGGAATTTATCAAGCAATAACGCGTAGGACGAAAATATGTGGCTGAAAGCGCCCTTTTGTTGGATCAATCTTATTAATAAAAGAGGGGGTTGAGGAGTTATACGAGCAAGTGGGAGTAGGAACACCAAAAATCGACTTTGCTCTCTGGTCTTTTCATCTTCCGTTTGACTTTAAACGGAAGTTGAGCCCCACCCAACAACAAATTATCATACTATACAGAGCCTTTTCTCTTTTTTTATTGAACAATAAAAGAACTTGCTAATTAGGGGTGAAACTTTTTAAATAAAGAGGTTAATCGATACTAAGCTGCACGTGTGATCAAACAGTAGTATATGTAATTACATACATAATCGATATGCAATAACGCGCGCTCTCATCAATCATAAAAGCTGTTTACGGACGGCATACTAGAAATTCTTGTCAATCTCGCCGGTGCACCAAGTCAAATATTCAATAAAGCTGATAATGGATGATAGCGTACGGGATTTTTTATCTTATTAAAACAATTATACAAATTTTTTTAAAATGGATTATTGCTGTTTCCAAAACTGTCTTTCTCGTTAATCTCTACTTCTTTTACTTTACTTGCTATTCCAGCTATCTATCTCTATAATTTCTTTTCCTTTTTAGTCTTTCGCTATTAATCTTTTTTTATATACTTCTCTCTCTCCTACTCTTTGCCTTTCTCCTTCCCTGCCTATTTATCTCTCACTCCCTCTCTGTCTCTTGCTCTCTTTAGCTCGTTCGCTCTCTATCTATCCCACTCGCCCACTCGCTTTCTCCTTTGTCTTCATCCTTCATTACTGCTTCCGTCAATCCCCCTTTTTTAAGGGGTAGAATTTATGAAGCTGACATAGATTTTCTACAGCGATAACGCGATTTTCGCGTGATAGGCCTACATTTCACTTCTACTTTAGCCTAACGAGTGTTTGACGAATGACTCGACACATTCTATAACTGGCTTAAGACGACGACAACCAAGAATAATCTATCGTTTTATTAAAAAAATTTCCTCTTATAAAATAAGAGTAATCCTACATAATTTTTGAACAAAACACTTAAAAAGTCTGTATTATTATTTCCGGCGAAAAACCAACTACTATCGCTGTATACTGAAATGTACGATGATACGTAGGTACTAAAGTTGGTCCTTGAAATCAATTGTTCTCACAGATAAAGTATTAAAAAATAACACCAATAAAGGAAAGTCAGGGAGAGAGATAAAGATAGAAAAAAATGAGAGAGAGAGAGAGAGAGAGAGATAGGGGAAAGCAAATAGAGAAAAGAGCAACAAACATATTGAATTTCGATTTTTTTTTATGAGTTGTGAAAATAGCTAAAGAATTATGTTTAAATATAAGAAATAATTTGATGAAATTTCGTTATTGAAATCTTAGTCTAGTAAATATTTCTTTTTTAAAAAAAAAAGGAAAAAAATAATATCCTATTCTTTCCTTTCTTCGTATTTCCTCTAGGCAAAAAAAAATAAATGCTTAACATATTTTCAAGCGGAGATCAATAATTGAAAAATCATTCTTGTAAGGGGAAGTTCGTGCTTGGAAGATTCGCACTTATTTGTTTTTCGGCAACAAATCAAAGAAAAGCGCTGTTTATGAGCTGGAATAATCTATGTCTTACAAGAATAAAAAGAAAATAATCCGGTAAAATTTTGAAGCGAAAGATAGAAGATAAGTCTTTAAAAAAAAACAGCTTATTTTTATTGTTCGAACGTTTTGTTCTGAAAAAATACCTTCTATTCAAAATGTTCTTCTTGTGGAACGTTTATGAATAAAGAATTCTTTTTTATTTTCTGACCGTATTAGCGTAATTCTTATCGCCTCATTGAGCTTAATTAACTTATTACATTGACTTTAAATTACAGTTAATACTCTCTTATTAAATATTTTATATTTTCAAGAAAAAATATTGAATTATCTGGTAAGCAAACTTTTTAAAACAAATTTCCGGTTAATTTCGTGTTTCGCTATATAAAATTGCTTGGAAATAAAGCACCTACATTCTTGAAAGTACACAGTATATAGCAGACTGATTCCACAAGGTTGATTCTTTAGCACTGCTGATTTATTTGTAACAAAGAATACTTAAATTCCATGAGCTCAAATAATCTGTCACCTATATAGAAATATAATCCCGTAATTTTTAACCGCATACATAAAAAGCCTATATTGTTCTTGTGTAAACTGACGTTATCAGCGTGTTCTTTTAGCTAAAGTATGTGCCTTATTATTTCAAAAATTTCTTTTTTTTTGTTCCCTAATAAAAAATTCTTTTAATTGGACTAAAACTTCTTTCTATACCCTTTTTCAATCTTTTCAACAGCTTTGAAAAGTAAAAAAGAATTGAGGGAAATATTATAATAATAACAATAACAATAACAATAATAATGATAATAATGATTATGGTAGGGCCACACGCACTTTTAAAAAAATACATTCCTTTTTAAATAAGAAAAAAATAAGAGAAAAGCAGATTGTAGCATAACAGAGAAAAACGGTGCCTTACCGATGAGAACGCAGTGTCCTATCGCTTTATGCTTTAGGGCTTGAATGGGTTTACCACTCCGATCATCGATACAAATCGTATTTTTTCCACAATCTTCTTGTTTCAAACACCTGTATTTCACATTTTTTGGAGCGCAAATCAGACAGCAATTGCATTCGTCGTAAACCAATTGCGTATGACAAAGATTGACTGGCTTGCATTTTTCTGCTAAACATACATCGCAACTTGCAGTCGTCCGATGGACAAGAATCAAAAGTAAACCTATAAGTATCATGTTCGAACATTTCGAATCAATTCGATCATTTCTTGCGCAAAGTTCGATGCGATCTGAAATGATTTGGCGCTCAAGTTGCAGTGCATTAATACTATGCAAGAACTCTCCAATAAACTTTGTGGTATTTCAAAATGGTGATGCTCATATCGCCACTTTAATAATTTCGAAATAGTTTACGTCTGATTTAGAGAGCCAATCAGCTTTGCGTAGATTCAAATACAGATAAGGCCCGTGTTCCACTTCGACTTTTCCGGGAAAGATTTCAAAATCGAACAGAGAAATCCTCTGGTTTTTGTTAATGTGAAGAAAGACAAATTCTACGATTATTATAGCATAAAGATATCGTAAATGTTTTAATTAGTCTCAGCAGAAATAATTACAAATTAACATAACAATCTGCAATTGAAGTCAAAAAACCATATGGAAAATATCACGGCTTGAATCTAATTTATAGCCAGTTCTTGAATTTCGAGCTACAAAAACAAACGAATGAAATTTAAAAGACAAAAGTTAGTTAGTCATTTATTGCATGCTGTGACTACAATATTTATTCTTTACACAATCTTATATTTCTGCGGTAAGTTTCGATTACGTAACGGGAATATTCTTTGTATATACAAAACATTATTCAAATAGAAAGCCCCGGAGATGAACCGTCAAGATCTATTTACGTATTCTCAGCCGTCATTACGACGATATTTTACTATATTCTGTGCTATAAGAATCCCGGTTTCGTTGCCTTGCAAGAAAATCAATTAACCAGACAAGAAGCCGAACTTGTTCAAGAAGTGGACAAATCTTTTGAATATTGCGGCTTTTGTGGTCACAATAAGCCTTTACGAAGCAGGCATTGTGAAGCATGCGGATTCTGCGTAAAAAAATTCGACCATCATTGCCCATGTTTGGGTCAATGTGTTGGTGAAAGGAACCATTCCTTTTTCATGGCCTATCTTATCGCCGAATCATTAATCATCGGGTGGACCATGTTGATTCTCTATCAGAATAGATGGCGACTATTAAAAGAACCTTGGGAAAACAATAACTTTTTGTTACTCGTATCGGCTGTCACCTGCTTTTTGCTGTTTATAATAACGAACTGCTTAGTTATTTTTCACACCATTCTTCTATTAAAGAATTTTACTACAAGAGAATTTTTAGAGAGGCATAAGGTGACATATCTTCGAAATAATCCAAAACAAAACCCATTCGACGAAGGTATATTTAAAAATATTTTACTCTGTATTCGACCACCAAGAGACAAATCCTACTGGTACAAAGTTTACACAAAAAATTTCAATGATAATAGCTTAGATCCTTTACTCGAATAAAAATTTTATATTCGCCTCTTTATCAAGTTTTAATGTCTTTTTTTTTTTAAAAGAAATACAAAATCAGTTGAATTATAAATCTTCTTTTACTTTTTTTTTACTTTACCGTTCTTCTTTCCTTTTTTCTGGTTACCGCCATACTTTGCTTCAAGATTCTTAAAAAAATCATCGGCCATATTTCCTCTTTGAGCGTTTCTAGCTAAAATTAATGAACTTAAATCGTCATCTTTTCCTTTTCTAATTTTCCTTAATTCCTCTTCAGCCTCGGCTGCTTCTTCTTCAGCTTTTCTTTTACGATTTTCTTTCTTCTTTTTTGATTCATTTGTGTATGACTTAAAGGCCTTAACTTCTTTTGTTTTAATGAGATCATCTATTATTTTACGATATCTATCTTCATCATCGATAGTTGAACACATAACAGAATTCATTATTTCGTCCATATTCCCTTTATGTTCTATATAAGCCTTTTTAATGTCGGTTTTTTCTTCTTCCGATCCTTTATACTCTTTCTCAAAAGCAATTATATCTTCCTTTGTTAAGGGTTTAAATATTAATCTCCAATAATTTTCCCAATCGCGATTCTCATCAATAATAATATCTTCTCCATCAATCTCACCTGATTATTTAATAAATAATTAACAACAGTGATTAGCTTCGTTTATAATCTTAACCTGTTTCGTCGTAAATTTTTCTCTTCTCTTTGTCAGACAGAATGGAATAAACTTTTCCGAGATACTGAAATCTTTTTGTAGCCTCGGCTTTTCTTTCTTCGTCAACCCGATCAGGATGATACTTCAACGACGCCTTATGATATGCTTTCTTTACTATAAGAAAAATTAAAAATCCATGTAGTTGTACTTTTAAGGAAATCTTTGGATTGTAATAAAATCTGGGCGTTTTATATTTTTTATCTGTAAAAATAAGTTGCTGGATTGCTCATTTTCAAAATATCCGGTCGATAGATTGACAAAGTGAGATATTGCACCTTCTTCACTAATAATATCAAATTATAGACTTATAAGTATAGCTATATTTCAACATTTTATTTTTACATAGAATAAGAAAATGTATGAAAATTTAAGCGTTTATAAATTCTATAAAATTTTCTCAAGATAAAAATCTACATTATCGCCCACGAACATTTAAATTTAATAAATCAGACTAACGATTCGATTCAGATACTTTATCGTTGACATTTAATATTTCATATAAATTGTCATTGCCAAAGGTTTCTCTAAGTTCTTCGGCGAGATTACTCATAATTTAGGTTATTGGACAGTAAAATTTGAAGATATAGGTTGGTAGGGATTTCTTAATTGTTATTACACAAATTAGTGGCGGGGAAGCCTTCACTTTTGCTTCCGGTCAAGGAAATAATTTGTTATTAACTTAAATATTTTAATTATGTTTGATTGCGTTGATTTTTTAAAATTTTTAATAAGTACGAATAAGAAAATGATGTTTCCCTAGTGCGCATGCGTCCTATTTCACGTGTTTCAAGAAATGGATTTGCGTACTAATTTTTCTCCTAATCATAATTATCTAGCCTCTGCTTCTCATGATGGAGTATTAAAAATATATGATGTTGATACATCAACTATTAAACAGCAATATACACCCTCTGCGCACTTAACAACAACTTGTACGTGCTTATCATGGGCACCGCGTGAAGTGACCGAGGTAGAAATTTACTAATTAAAGTCGTTTAATAATGACTTTTAATAACCTCTTTTTCATAATTCTATAGGAGGTAAGGGCGAAGAGACGAAAGAAGGTTGATATTGCAAACTCAAAGGATACAAATGACCTGTTTGCTTTTGGAACCTTGTCTGGTCAAGTTTTTATATATAGTGTAAAGAATGGTGAAATACAAGCAGAATTTGTAAGTGATATGAAATTTTTTACTAATGCCTTAACTAAAATTGGTTTATTTGCCCCCAGAATAAGGGTCATAATGCTAGAGTGAATTCAATATGTTGGTCGGAAGATGGTCAGTCTATATATTCTGGAAGTGATGATAAATTTGTTGTTGAATGGAACGCTTCCTCAGGCAAATTAAAGCGGTTTGTATATTTCATAGTTCAGCAAAAAAGTGATAAGGAGTCCTCTATATATAAACAACTAGATATGAAAAGATATACTGGGAAAAGTCGTCAAAATTAAATTTGTTATTGAATCAAGGCTAATCTCTGCAAAGAGAGAGAAGCAAAGAAATATCATTTAGTTAATAGTAGGCTATTACAAAAACTGTGAGCATCCGTCGTCTATCTGTTGGTGAAGAATCTAATCAGTAGGTTGAAAAAACATATTTGCAAATTAAAACCTTTATTGTGCCGTAAAAATTTGCAATAGTTCAAGGAGTTCATTATTATTAGCATATATATATAAATTTATATATATATATATATTTGTACTATAACAACGAGATTTTCTAATTGTAATTAAATTTCATAGAAAGTGGAAGGCGGAGAAGACGGGTGTTAAAGTTCTAACACTTTGTAAAGCCCATAGGAGACTTTTAACTGGTTCTAGAAGTATACATTTATGGTGTTTAGATACGGAAAAATTACTTAGAACTTTCTCCGCTCATTCCGGATCAATCAGCCATCTTGCCCCATTTTGTATGGATCAAGATAAATCTTATTTTTTATCATCAGCTAATGGTGATCGTTTAGTAAATATTTGGAATATAGACGATGAAAGACCAATAGCAACGATAACGGCAGCGAGCGAAATTCGAAGATTATCTGTTAATGAACGAGTTAATCCCATAATATTTACTATTGTAACTAATGATGGATGCGTATATTTATATGAAGCTGTGATTAATGGAACTTGCAAACCTTTAACATATTCTGTACATTTAACAATAGCGGCGGATGATGACGAAAATGTCTTACAGCAAATCGGAATTGTTGACGCAAATTTCACTGCTGCTAAGCGCCTTGTATTGGCCTACGGGTTGAATTATTTGACAATAGAGGAGCTGACCTATGCAGGATTGGAAAAAGAAACTGTTTTATCAAGAAAATTACCTAAGAATGATTTGATCAAAGAAGGTACCTTTCGATTGGAAAAAGATGTTATTAGGAAAGGGAAACAAGTAGAAATTTTCGATAATTCAAATATGGTATTAAAACGTGCCAACTTTGCTCATGAAACTTCCGAACTTTTAGGATCAAAAGACATTAATAAAGAAAAACCGACAGCTGACAATATGGCAATATTATTAACACAAGCATTGAAATTTCAAGAAAAAAAGACTTTGAATTACATTTTGCAACAGAGAGACGAGGATATGATTAGAAAAACTGTTGAAAAAATTTCTTATTCAGCTGTAATTCCCTTAGTGAATGAGTTGATGGAGAGACTGTCAGGCAGAGCTCAAGGAGCAATTACGGCAATGGTGTGGATTAAAAGAGTTCTTTCAGTGCATATGAGTTACTTGATGAATTCAAAATCTGCAACAGATCTATTACAACCCCTTATCGATGTTCTTACGAACAGAGAGCAGATGCATACGAAACTATGCAGATTGCAGGGTAAAATTGATTTGGTTATTGCTCAAATTGCTTCTGCTAAACACGAAGATGACGAGGATGACGAGGAGAAGCCCGCCGGATTGGTCTACGATGATGGTAGGTTATCGTTTAATAAAGGGAAGCAATTGAATTTTTTTGACTTATTATCCTTTTTTATAGATTCGTCGGATGAAGAGAATACTGCAGTTGGTATGCAATCAATGTCTCCCTTGAATAAACTAGATGATGAGGGAGATATGGAAGTAGATGATAACCATTTAGAGGACGAAAGTGATGAAAGCGAAGACGAGTGTATTGACGTTGATGAAGGTGATGACGACGATGAAGCTGATGACGATGATGATGACGATGAGGACGATTAAATTCGGAGACTGTTCATTCTTGTTTGTTAATGAATCGTTAAAGTTTTTCATGTACAGAGGAACATTTTTGGAAATTTTGTTCGAATATACTGTGTAGTTAGTTACTATTTTTTCTAAATGAGTTTTTAAGTAAACGGCGCTCATAAGAAAAATGAAACTGTACGCCGATCTGATTCATTTATAAATGCTGAATTGTTTTCCTAAAGAATTTTTACGCCATAAAATAATGTTCAAGTGTTCAACTTTATTCTTAAAACGAACAAAATTTCTCAAGAAAACATGAATAAAAAATTTAAAGCTAAACCAAAATATTGAACTAGAGTTGTTCTTTTAATTAAAACCACACTAAAACTTATTAAATTAGATACTTTGAGAGTAAAAACGAAAAAAATGAGCCAGCTGTTAATCCCAGAGCTAGAAAGAAGGACATGAGAGCACCAGCAGTCTCTTCATCCTCCTCTTGAGCATTCATAGGTCCATACATCATACAAAGAGTTGATAAATATCCGTTAGTAAATGCAAACAATACCATTATCACGGCTGGAGCAATATCATTATCAAAGTAAACATTCAGGTGTTGACGAGGTTGAAAGTTACAAAATATAAATAACGGTATAAAGATTATTCTTGAAACACTCAAAAAAGGTAACCAATTACTTCCAAATTTAGGCTAAAAATAATTTTTGTAATAAATATTCAAGTTAATTAATTAATTAATTAATTGTAAAATTTATAATAATTATCTACCCATTGATAAAACCCGCATGTGGAACGACCAACTAAGTCGAATAGGTTAAATAATAAGAAGCATACAACTGGTGTAAAATATTTATCTCTCCATTCGCTTTCGACTCGATTATTTTCCATTAAAGTATCATTTTGTCCAGGTGAATTTTTTATCGGTTGAATTGATGAACTGATGGCCGGAAAGCACGCAAGTGTAACAAAGAATGTTATTGAAACACTAGAAGCGTATTTAAAAATCTATATAATAAATAATAATTAAGATTTCTATATATATATATATATATTAATATATATAAAGAGAGAGAATATAGCAAAAATTTACCATTCTATATACTCTCCATAATGGTGCACCAGTAGTTTTTGTAAAAGCAACATTACTTTTTGTATCGTTATCATTCGTTTCGTCTATACCATTAAAAGTGCTTGTTCTTAAAGATTTCTCTACAATTAATTAGAATAAATGAATATGTAAATTAACTATTGAAATATTTAAAAAACTTAGTAAGTTTCACTTACTATCCGTATGGTATCTTGCAAATTTCTACAAAAATGGACAATCTCATAAGTTTCAAATATTATATATACTAATATATACATAAGTAAGTAACATACTAAACATGGTAGTATAAGATACGCCAAAAAAGCCAAAATAAGAACTATTAGAGCAATAGAAAAGTAGAATAGGCCACTTTGTAGCGCGTCCTTTGTTGCAGCAATACTAATTATATTCGCTATTGCTGCCATAGTACCACCAAAACCCTGCCACAGAAGTTAATTTATACATATATATTTATATGTCCATGTTATTATACATATTTATTCTATTAGTTAGTAAAATGAATTACTTGTCCCGCCATGACTGATTGCGAATATCTGGGTGGAAACATACTCGCTAAACCAAACACTCCTCCCTGCAAAACTGCACTTGCAGCTAATAGAAAACAAGCAAAGTTATTAAGATAATAATATTATTAATTATTAACTACTTAACCATTCATTATGACAATGCATACAAGCGTTATAGCGAAAAATTCAACTTGCCCTATTAAAAGAGGTTATATGAGTTATAATTATATATAGAATTGAATACATAACAGGAAATAACTTACACATATCAGTGTTCAAAAGGGCAAATACAATTGTCGAAGCGAATATCAATATCATTGTACACACTGCAATTATTATGCGTATTTTTAACCTAATTCTGTTTGGAGAAAGATGATAAAAGATAAGAAAAAAACTCTCAGACATACAGATACAAATGTAATCCCTTTCCACTCCCCCCACCCTCCCCATCAGAAAAAAAAAACTTACAATCTCGTTGCAACAGTATTTAAAAACATAAAAAGAACATTTGGAAGCATTGCAGCAACGGCCAAATAACTTTCAAATGAAACTTGAAAATCCGTTTCATATTCTGGTTTAATGTATTCGGTAAAATTCTTTGGTAATGTGATGTTTCTTAATTTATACATAAAATACTGAAAAAAAACAATATTAATTATGAATATATTTGAATAAAGCCTATTATGTATCAATAACAATAATTACTACTTGACTTTTTATCTTAGTTCAATGACTGAAGAGTTATGTCTTATCAGTTATAGGTTATCTTTTAATTATTTAGGGCTTATATAGGTTATACAAGTATATAGAACATAACTATATATATATATATTAATATATAATACGTTTATATGTTAAGTAATAGAACTATAAGTATACTTTATATACAGTAAATAATTAAATATTTGTTTATAGGCCTGGATACTAGTCCCCTCGTTACGTAATCAAAAGTAAAAAGAGCAAAAACATGAGAAAAAACGGAATACATACGTGTTTTCCATTGATAAAAAAGTTCCATGGTAGCAGAGTACCAATCCCTAATAAATAGAATATAGCATAGACGATTTTTAATCTGAAAAGTCGAAATATTAGGAGTAGGTATTGAGGGATTAATTCATTACATCTCTATTAATTTATAGTTCAATTTGATTTCTTACCGATCTTTTGGAACTCCTATAGCACCTTTCCTAGGTAGAAGGGACGTGGACTCTTGATCTGAATCGTACATATTTATTTAAAGCTAAATACTTCTGTTTCTATACATCGTATTAAACTCAAGGCTCTTTCAGTAGGTACATACTGAAAGTGGACAATTGGACACGAAAACGAGGCTAGATTTGGCGCCAATTAAAAATTCAAATTACTCTAATATAAGACACTGTGTATTTTTTAGTCCTATACTTCTGGAACTACGCACTTTTATATAACGATATGATAAATTGTACTCTATTTTCTGTGGTCTTATTGTTATTCATATTACATTCATATCAAAATTATTACATAATAATGTTTACAAAGCCTCCTTTATATAAAAAATTGATCCTTGAACGTAACGATAATAAGAGATTATTGATAGCCTTCTATCAAGGATAAAAGAGTAATTTATTAAGAGATTAATAAAAAAGGATAAGATAATCCTATGCAAAATTGGTTTAAATCTTATCAATTTTCATATAAAATAAGTTTTATTTCCATTTCTTTTCCTCCTTTTGAACTTGACTCCATTGTCATTTATGATTAGAAAGCTAATAGACTAGATTGGCATATAGATAGTTAGATATTAATAAATGCTATATATATATATATATATTTAATAGTGAAGTTTTATTACATGTATTAATTTAAAATTGTTGAAAAATTTGGATATTTTCAATAGCATTTTTAACTTTAATAGATCCATAGAACCTTTTTTCATGACCAAAATCAATATTTGTAATAGAAAAATACATTCAAAGAATTCTAAAAGGTCTTCAACACGAGATATAAAAGTGATATATATATATATATATATATATATATATATATACAGTATATACTATATACTTATTTATATACTGTATATAGTGTTTATATGTAAATATATAGAATGGATTGAATCCGAATGAATGTACTATTTAATAATTGTAATAATGGAATCTAAGAGCCATCAATCACTCTAAAAGGCAATTTTTAACAATTGACTAAAAGTATGGCAAAAAGTCTCGTGTTGAAAAAAGCCTTTAATGTTTTTATAGATTGTTTACATAGTTTAAACATTTTTTTGTATTATGTAACCGTCCACCGCCATAACTTTAGAGAATTGTCGAATATTTCTTCTCCTCCTTTAACATTCGCTTCACTTTCATCACTATCATATTCGTAAGGAAATGGAAATTTTCGTTCCCCAGATCCTGTAGCTACTATTGGTAGACTAGGATGTATACTGTAAAGGAAAAAAAAAAGAAGCAAATTATAGTAGTTGATCTAGAATCTTATTTAAACTTTGATAACAAACCTTATTCCGTTTATGACGTCATCGTGTAATTTATGAACTGCTAGAGGTATTAATATAGCCTCATTTTGAACATCCTTAGGCGCCGATTTTAAATCCCATATGGAAACGGCTTGATTATGATTTCCAGATATTAAATATCGACCAGAGCTATGGATAAAAAAGAAAGTATTTATCTTGTTTCAATATTTAGTTTATATCTATTACTAAGCGGAGGAAACTTACGGATCCAGATCAAAAAACATGCGTTGATTGGTCTCAACTCGTCTTTTAAGACAGTACACAATTCCTCCAACTCGAATATCCCAACAAATAATTTCAGGATCCTTAGTTTTAATTAAAAATAAGAATTAATAGTATAATATAAGAAACAAAGATAATATAAATACTTTTCTTCCGCCGGCGAACAGATAGTAACCATCATTTGAAAATAAAAGGTGTGTTATACCACCAACTTGACCTTCGAACATCATCTGAGCACTTAAAGTGTTTTCGCAATATATTGCTGTTGAGGTTGAATAGGATCCTGCGGCGAACAACTTAGGTTGTTGCGGGCAATTGGCAATACAAGAAATAATTCCCTTTTGACCGACTGATTTTTTTGCTATAATTTAGAAAAATAGATATTATCATCTTGTAAATACTGTACGTAGTGTGTATACAGCTTCTAAATATAGAATTGTAATATATACCTGTTTTAATCGAGCTGTATTGTCTACCTGGTTTGGCTATATCAAATACATTTATTTGTTGATTTAAACCGCAGATTAGTTTTTCTCCTTCAGCATTGAAATTAATTGAATAAACTGACGTCATTTCATCCTGAAGAAATTAAAATAGATGTAAAATATATAAAAGGAAAATAAAAGTAATTTTTATTTCTTCAATTGAAAGCTGTTATATAATCGAAATTCTACTTACAACATTATCGTATGACCGATAGCTGGCTCGTAAATGACCATCAAATGCATCGTATAAGTGAACAGGACAACGTCGGCTTGTTGTGGCAAAGCTAGATATAAGTACAAGTGTATTTTTCTTAATTAAATCCGTAAATTATTATACATAGGTTCTTACTTACCAACACGTTTGCGGGTCAGCTGAAGACATACATGGGTACCAAGCATAATCATATATCATATCTCCATCTTCTATAGCAACTACAGAAGCCTGTTAGGAGATAGAACAGATAAAAATATTGTTTCTATCAGTGAAAAAAACACTTATACCATCTCAACAGGTGTTTCTTCGTCATCTGACGTGCCGTAGAGTTGTTGAGGAGAATTAAATAAACGTAAGTAAGAATCATTGCTAGCCGTTAAAATGCATAAACCGTCAGGTGCCCTTTGTAAATAAGTAGTGAATAGTTATTTTTGTCTTTAACTTCATGATATAGTATTGAACTTGAAGAATTTTTACCATTTACATCCTTTCAAGAAATTTTCTGGAATCTTATTAAATTCTCTTTTTGCTATTGCAATTTCTTTAGGTTTAAGATTAAAGTTACATGTAAATGTTCTGGAGGGGAAAAGAGAGCGATATATTAGTGTTTTGTGAATATAGTTAACAAATCAACTTGATAAACTACTTTATCTCTGGTAATTTTTCATCTGCCTGGTCTATGCCTTCCTCAAGTTCACTTCCCTTAGATTCAATATTTTCTTCTTGCTTATTATCTGGAATGAAAAGTGTTATTTGTTCGAGTAGAAATTTTGTTTACAAAGGATGTTAAAGCTTAATAGTACCATTTAAAGTTTCTGTTTCTATTTTATGCTGCTCTTCAACCTCATGATTTTGCTCTTGAGGAACTTGAGGCCCAATAAATGGCAAATCAGTTTCCATTGGAGATTGTCTAGGGGTAGAATCTGTATTTATATCGGCTTCCATTGATGGTTTGCGCAACGTTATCTTTCAATAAACTATTTTAATTTTTATTCGCAATTCTTGGGGAAATGAAATACTTAAAGAGATATGAGAGCCTAAATGAATTATGAAGATTTTAGATTTTCAATTAGCGTATTTTCAAAGCATAGTCTTTTGCATATATTCTATCAGAAAAAAGAAGCCGAATTTCGCCGGGGCGCCATATTTACAATCAGAAAGTGTTCGATGCATACGAGGCAGTGTCCATTATAAAATCGTAACCAAGCAACTATTTATAAATAATAAGTCACATTTGGCAGTACAACGTGTTTATTTTACTGCGTAAAATTAGTATTATCAATAGATTTATTATAGTTTTTAAATCAACACATTATCGAATGTATTTACATTATTAAAAAGATGCAAGAACAAAAAGTAACTCAAGAGGAGGCAAATAGTGAGAAGAATGTAGTAGTTGACAGATTATCACTCAATTTTGATGGTCAAGATGAGGTTGATAGGACGAGACTCCCAAGTGATAGAATAATGAGAAAAATATTTGATGCTACTCATAGTCTGAGTACAACTTTGGATTTATCGAATTATAATTTAACAGAGGTACCCGAAGAAATTCTTGACATGTCTCAGTTACAAAACTTATATCTTAGTTATAATAAAATAACAACTCTTCCAGGAAATTTCTTTGATAAACTATCTAACTTACAGTGGTTAGATTTAAGATTTAACCAACTAAAAAGTCTACCGACAACGTATATAGGCCGTCATAAATGCTTAAGGAATATGTTGTTGGAAGGTAATAATTTGAGAACTTTACCATTGGAATTAGGTTTAATAACAACAATGGATGGTTTAAATTTAAGGGGTAATCCTTTAGAATTTCCTCCATCCGAAGTATTATCAAAAGGAACCAAAGAAATTCTTAAATTCTTTAGAGAGATACTTTTTGCAAAAAGTGGTAAGAAAGTTAAATCGGATGATTCTGTGACAAATAATAGTCGAAAGACATCATCATCAAGTGAAAACGATTCGTCAACTGAACAACAACAACAACAACAACAACAACAGCAACAACAATTAGAACATGGCCTAGAAAATATGGATAAAATATATAATCGTTCAAAATCTATAGAACGTGAAGAGTTTGTCGGACCAATACTAAAACCAGTTGATTTACAAAGGAAAAGTAGTTCAAAGAAATCTCTTAAAAGCGGTGGAAACAGAAGTGGAAAGACTAGATCAAAACAATCAAAACGCATAATTGATATTACTGAAAGAGTTGAAGATTCAGAATATAGAGATTCAGATAGAAGATTGCAAAAACTTTTGGAACACGAAAGGAGATTGGCTTTGATGAAGGGGATAAATGAGGAGACTGATAAAATTCTCCAGAAAAGACGGTAAATCTACATCAATTCTTTATTAACATGAACAATGGAGAAGGTGAAAATTAATTGTATTATTTTTCTTCTTCCTTTTCATAGAGATGCTGAAAGGCTACAAGAATTCCGAGATGAAAGCCGAAAGCGACAAATTCAAAAGGAAAGGGAAAAATTCTCTAAAGGATTATGTAAGATCATATTTCATCAACTTCAATTCTTCTTCACTTTTTAATTGTTTTTGCATATCTATTTTCCTTACATAGTCTATAAGAAAGCTGCCGAAACTGCTCCGTTTGCAACAGAACAGTCTAAATTAGTTACTGATACAAAAAAGCATGCGGATAGGCTAAAAGCGGAGACGGATATAACTCTAAAGATTGAAGAACATCTTAAGAGGATACACGAACGACGTTCTAAGCCAAAACAATCTGCTCAAGAGGAATTAATTGCCGCCCAAAAGGAATTAGAAATAGTAAGTTGCTATATACTAAGTATATAAGTATTTACATAATGACTCTTTGTCACACCCTCTTACTCTACCCCACCCACTTTACCGCCCCCTCCTCTCAATTTTCCTCAACAAAGTAGTTTTATATATATATATATATAAAACGAAAAGAAAAACATGAGGGTGTGCATAAAGATAGAAGATCTATTTTTAGTAAATTATTCTATAAATATATTGTATTAAACGAATAATATAAATCATAAGAAGACTAGTTATTAATTAGTCAAATATGTCTTTTTTTTTATCTAATTTTTTATCAGATACAACAATTACGTGGCGATTTAAGGAACACCTCACAATTCCGACCGTATTTTCCACACTCTTAAAAAAATTATACATCTTTGTAAGATTAAAAAGCTAACAAGACTTATATAATGCTTTCTCTTTTTTGTCTGTTTATTTTCAAAGAAAGCTTCTTTCGTTTGGCTAATCATTTTTCCAGTATTATACATACTTTTACTGTATATTTTCCAGTATTTTTGTTTTTTTTACATATGTATATATATATTTAAATAGTATTTGCATATTTTATTATTATTATTATTATTATTAATTGTACCACTTTATAACAACTTTATCTGCACTAAATATGGTTTTTTTTATTAAAAAACAAAAAAAAAGCTTTTAAAACGATTAAGTTATTAAGAGACAATTATTAATATACGTGTCTTTTAAAAACAGGCTCATCAACTCCAAAATGAAGTTCAAAAGAGAAAGAATATTGAATATAGATTAACTGCCTTCACCGGGGACTGAATAGCTTCTTTTGTTTGTTTGTTTGTTTATTTTTTAATTATTGAGCTTTATGCTCAGTTCCATTTTATAAGGATAGGTTTTTTTATATTTATTTTATCTTTGTGACAAAAAATTAGCACCAAACGGATTTTTATTATAAAATTCTTTTAATAATTATCTAAATAATTATGATAAAGAAGAGATAAAGATGAAAAAAGGGGTAATAATATAATTTTGTTTGTTACAAGTTCTTTATTAATATTTTACTTCTCTTCCAAACGGAAGACAAGAGATTAAAATATATGATAAGGGTAACAATGTCTGTTCATATTTTTTAACACTTAATTGTTTATGACAAGTGGAAGATGAGATTTATTTTCTTTGCGTATGACTATCATTTTTAAATGGAATTCTATACTAATATTTTCATATTTGATTTATTTATGGCAATACACAGTGTTTCTTTTTCTTTTTATCTTCCTCTCTATCCTGCTCTGTTGTTTTTGTTACCACGACTATTTTCATATAAATAAAAAATACTGAATACATAGTTTTTCAAGTTGTTTTATTTATGTTTGTATCATCCTTTTCTTTGAATCATAGATGTATCTTTTAAATTTTAAATTAACCCTAACAATTTCATTATGGGCTTCCTGTTTCTTCTTTTTTGACGATATTAATTCGCTCGTTTCTTCTTTTAGACCATCTTTAAAAGACAATTAGAATATATAAGTTTATGATATTGATTCAACTATTTTCAATGAAAAATGAACAAACCTGAAAGTCTAACTTTAAACTTTCCACTTTGACCAAAGCTACTTTCAATTACCCCTTTTTCGCCCGTTGATAATTCAACTTTAAGATTTCTAAAAGCTTCTATATTACTTTCTTTCTTGAATAAACCATTACAGACAACTGTATAATCATCGGTTTTTCGTTCCACCACTCCTTGCCGTTGTTTCCATTTAAATATTTTAAGAGCTTCGAGGTCTTTAGAATAGTTTGGTCCAAACGTTTTTACAAGAGATCCATAAAATGCAAGTCGACATATATTAGCGTGAACATCGGTATCTAACCTTGAACCAATTATATAACTATCAGCTGAACAAATAACTGGTCTTTCGAATTCTACGAGTAAATATTGTTTCCCTACGTCTAATAGCTCTTCTTCGTATTTATATTCCGAGTCAAAAGTAAATTTACTATCAACTTTTCCTTCATCGTTGTTGTGATTACTTTCAGAGAAGAAAGTTAGATTTCCCATTACAGTTTCATAGCCAACTGTTATATGGAATTTAGATTTCGTTTGGACGCTACCCTTATAATATTGAATCTTTTTTATATCGACTATAGCTGCGTCAATAGTTGGAAGTGCATTAATTGAACAGACAAGACCCCTTTCCAAAAGTTTTGGATCAAATTGAGTAACGCATAGACCAATTCTATCGCCCTTTAAGAAAAATAAGAAGAAAACTGTTATAATATACCAATTAAGAATACTTGTAGGTTTTTACTTGAATAGCTTTTTCAATAGGTTTCTTGAACATTTGCATACTTTTCACCTTTTTAACTTCTTTTAAAGCGGGGATTTCAATTTGCTATATGTATAAAAGTGACCATTATATAATAATTATAATAATAAAAGAAGGAAAAGCTATCTATAGAATAAATTACATCATTAACTGAAACTTTTCCAGATAGAATTGTGCCAGTCATAACCGTTCCTTGTCCTTTAATTAAGAAGCAATGATCAACTGCATATATAAATGGGCCAGTTGTAGATCTCTTAGGAGAGAATGCATTAGATTTTAACGTATCTATCAATCCTTGTATATTAATACCACTTGTATCTGTTGACTGTGTGATGAAACGAGTAAAAATATAAGTGTTCAATATACAAAAGTTTATAAAATTGTTAATGTTCTACCTCTGGTCCACCTGGTTTCGCTGATACGGATACAATAGAACTCCCAGCAAATTTTGTTGGTTCCAATGTTTTTTGAATGCGTTTTGTCATCTATAAATTAATAGAATCACTAGCTATAAATTCTGAATTATGTATGATTATTCTTTTATTACTTTATCAATAATGGCTTGTCTCTTAGATTCATCTAGAAGATCTATCTTATTTAGAACAACTATCATTTTATCGCATGTTATTTGACCTATAATAAGGCATTCTGCTGTTTGGGTCTGGATTCCTTTTGTCACATCGACAACCAACATCATTAAGTCAATAATTTGGGCTCCTATGAAATATTCTCGTATAGTTTATGAATAGTTTATATTTCTCACCAACCTCCCATAATTGTTCTAATAAGGCTTGCATGACCAGGACAATCGACTAACGTAAACTGGAACTTTTCAAGTTCTAATTGTTGTAAATGATCTGGCGGTTCTACAATGAATGATGAAAAGCCCAAATCGAGAGTTATTCCTCTCTCTCTACTTTGTGGATTTTTATCAAAACTAGCTGTACTAGCAATAGAGCTAAGAATCTTTGCCAAGCTAGTTTTTCCACTGTCAACGTGGCCTAAAACACCGACGTTGAAGTTGAGAAATTTTTTCTTCTCTGATGCCGCCATGTTTATCGTCTGCTAAAGTTTTCACTGTATATTCGTTTCTTACGATATACTAATATAAATGTATATGACCTAATAAAAGAAATATATGTATCATTTTATCACAAATATCTTAAAATTTTATTTAATATAAACCTTAGAACTAATTAGACTATCATTTGATACTAGATATTATATTATGAAATACTGTATAGAAAAAGACGTAATGCCCTAGATAAAAAATTTCGCGCGCTTTTTTAGTACAGACACGTTCCAATATAGAATTATTGATGTTGTTCTTTTCCTCTAAACGAAATATATATTATATTTCATGAAATATTTCAAACTTGTATTCAAATCTCCTTAATTAAATTAAACTCCAGAAAAACAAGTATAGAATAGCAATAAACAAAAATATTCTAAAATATCTTTCAAAGGAAGTTCAAAATTCTCAAATTCAAGGAATTTAATATTGACCTAGAAAACGAACTTAAAGAATCTATAATCCTCTACTTGGGAAAGAATTAGGAGAAAACAAGAAAATGAGAAAAGTAAATTATATATCCATTATTGAAAATCAACTATATCTAATTTTCATTTATACCTAGATTTCCTCTATTAAATCTATTAAATTTTTAATACCTTTCCCTTTTGATTTAGACAGACAGAATATAGATATTTTTAAAAATTTTCAATAAAGAACAATCGATTGATGGCTGAATATTGATTGGAAAGTTTAAATTCATCAATTTGTCAAGAGGAATACTGGAGAAGACAGAGTTTAATTAAGATTTTTTTTTATCTGTATTTACTATATATACAGTATATATATAAATTCATATATATATATACTTTAAATTTTAGTTTGCCTTATATAAACTAGATTATCTTTCTAATTAAGCCTATTCAATATTAATTTTAACCTTCTAAAGTGATTGAATATTCTCCATTCTACTTTCTCCCCTTTTCCCAGGTTCATATGTTCAAACAGTTATATAGTTACATAAACTTATTCTTTTAAATCATAATATATACGTATTTAGCTTTAATTTCTTGGTAAAAAGTCACCTTTTCTGTTCAATCAACTTTAACACTTGGATAAAGGCTTTATCTTTAATGAAAAGCCATCTAGTGGTAGATAAATGTTTTTTTAATCGGGGAGTGGCGTCCTGTTCCCTTAAGGGCGCTGAATCAGAACGAGGCTGATTACCCTTAACGACGCGACTGTTTGCCTGGTGACGTTTAGCATAGGCGCGTGCCTGTTTTACTTCGACTGACATTTTCATATTTGTTTTCCTACGGTTCAGAAATAAAATAGATAGACTTTAAGAAGAAATGACAAAAAGTAGATGCCATATCATCTTATGTTTTATACTTTTATTCTTCAGTGAATATTCATCAGGTTTGTACCCGAAAAAATCAACTTTGTATAGAAATATGAATGGAGTGAAGAAGGAGCGAGAATGAAAATATTTCATATAAAATGTATACAATTCTCTCTCTCTCCTTTTCACTGACAATAACAGTTAAGTTGTAGTGTATATGTGATATTCGCATATCTATATCTTGAACGGGCAAATGTAATCAATATACTTTTATTTCTTATTGAGTTTCATTCAAACCGTTTAGCCGGCTAAAGGCTACAAATGTCGATTGAACTTTATTTATTATGAAAGCGTAAGAAAATCTGAACTACTTTACAAAGAATTTAAGAAACAAGATGACAAATCCCTAGAGAGACCTCTTTCCAGTTAATTCTTTTGTTTCTTTTAGTTTCACAATAAATATTTCATATACCGTTCAATAAAAGCTATGTTATTGAATCAAAGACGCCCACGGGATTGCTAGGTCTAATTCGCTTATTTAGGTACTTTTTTATATACCTTCTTTACCGAACAGCTTATACCTATAGATAATGTCGTTCAATAATTTTATAAAAATCACCGAATGGTCAACGTTCTACAATATTTTGTTCTTTTTTTTTTCTTTTAAAAAAAAAATACAGCCCAAACTTGCAGTGGAACTTTAATTGATGGATGGTGCTTTCTATCGTTAAGTACGATAGGAGATCGAAATTTAAACGATGCTACTGCAGAATGTAGAGCCAAACATGGCATAAAATCTACTTTACCCTACGTTTTCAATAAAAACAGTCAAGATTTTATGAGAAATGTTATGATACAAAATCAGCTTAATTTTACTTGGTTAGGATTTCAATTCGTTGAAGATCAGCCAGTAGCTCAAAATACTGCTAGAAGACCAAATTATTGGAAATGGATAGGTAAGAAACATCTCTTACAAAACATCGCTCAATTATTAACGCTACCATAGTAACATTCGTAAACTTTCGCCAGATGACTCAATAATGGAACACCAAGGATGTTTTGACGACTGGGCTCAATCGCCCAGTAGAATGGATATGGAATTAGAGGTTACCCAATTATTAACAAAAATAACTATCGACGACTGTAAGGCCCGGTGTCAAAGGGAGAATGAGAATAAACCAGCATTCGAACGTTTCTTAGTAGCTGGTCTTCAGGATGGTAATAAATGTTTCTGTTCCAAGTATTTTGGGAAATTTGGCCCAATAGACTCATGTACCGTTCCGTGTAAAGATAATGCAAATGAAAAATGCGGCGGTTATGGAAGAAATAGTGTTGTTTATCTAAGTGGCTCATACGGCCCGTGGTACTACAAACAACCAAATAGCCATAGAGGTTCACCTCAGGCTTGCGCAGTTACTTCGAATTATCATCAAATGAAAATGGGCGACGAAAATTGCGAAAATATTTATGATTATCTCTGCGAATTACGTAAGTTAATCTTCTTTGTCTTTGTTTTAAACGTTTTCAACTGTTGAGACTGTTTTTTATAGCAACGTCATTTTGTAACGGAAATGGCAACTATTACTTACGAAATGGAACTTGTATTTTTGTGGGAACATCGAAAAATTGGTTTGATTCAAGAAATGATTGTATAGAAAGAGGAGGAGATTTATTAATATTTAAAGACGACTTAACAAGAACAACGATAATGAAAATGGTATCAGCAGATGACTTAAACCTTGATAACGACGCTAAATTCTGGTTAGGATTAACCAAATGGCGTTGGAGAATTCACGGTAGAAATGATGGTCCTGAATTAAAATATTCAAATTTTCATTCTTCCGTCTGGGGAAATGATCCACAATCGACAAATTTGGAACAATGCATAGTTATGTCCGCCGAGCACAATTACCAATGGATATGGGTACCTTGTACAAAACTGTCGATAACAGATAAAGAATATCCCTTCTTATGCGTAATAGGTTTGTAAAGAGATAATTCAATTCTTTTATTATACAATTATATTTAGCAAGAAAAAGCTATAATAAGATAATTACATATAACTGCTGCTTAACCATGCTTTTCTGCTTTTTTTTCTCATCCTCTCTATTTACTAACAATCATTCACTTTGGGGGAAAATCAATTATCAACAATACAATAAAAAAGAAATGCCTCCACCAAAAATCACTGAAACTCCAACAACCACTCCCATTGCTACAACAAAATTACCAGCAATTATAAGAAAAACAACAGGAAGAGAAATAACAACTCCTCCAATAAGGAGTAGTCCTACCACAATTGAAACTACAACACCTGAAATTACCACTATTCCTAAACAATCAACTACAGCCGGTAGGCCTATAAATGTTGTCAAACAAGTATTATTCACTTATTATATACAGTATGTATATTAGTATATATACACAGAGAGAGAGAGAAAGTAGTTGTAGCATTCCTTTAGAACAAAAACAAAAACAAGGAACTTCAACTGTTAATAATTTCATTTTAGTTGTCTTTCATATTTCAATATGGTTTTTGCGTGTTTTTCCTATCCATATCTTTTTTTAATTAAAAAAAAAAGAAGAAGAACATGAAGAGAAACAAGAACAAAAACCATCAATACAAGAACAAACGAAGAATATCTCTTTCTAATCAATGATTTAACTAACTACTATCTAACTAGTTTAATTTGTTAATTAACTAATTAATTTTCTATTGGAAGTATTTAACAAAGCAATGTTTGAAAAGTATAGATAAAGCACATTTGAGAGTTTTTTTTGATCACTCTTAATATTGAAATCAATTTCAAAAAGAAGAAGAAATCTATATTAAACTAATTTTTTTTTAATCTTCATTTTTTGATTATTTTTTTTGTTTTTATAAAAAAACAAATATCAAATTTTCTACTAATTTTCTAAATTTTGTCTATTGAAACATATTTTAACAAAAAAAAAGCATTAATATAACTAATAAGAAACAACATTTCTCATCTGGATTCGAATATAAATGCAGATCTTCGTTCATCAACAACTACATCAACATCAACAACTGTTACAACACGTGAACCAACTACAAAAAGTACTGTAAAGAGTACTGTAAAACCTACTGTAAAAACTACTATAAAAACAACAGTAAAAACAACTATTAGTAAGTGATCAAAAAAAATTTGATTCTGCCCTAAAAATTTGATTGTTTTCTTAATTATTCAATTAAAAACAAAGTATAGACAATTTTGAAAGAAACAATCAATCTATTAAAATATTATATAATAATATTATAGATGTATCATACGAATCAAATACGCATGAACAGTCTTTCTCGTCATTTAATTTGAATGCCATATAATCATATTATTCACTATTAAACAGTTCTTCGTCATCCATTCTATCTTATCTATCTATATTTTGTTTTTTTTGCTTTCTCTGTCAAACACATTTTTTATTTTTTTTTCGTTAATTATTTCCTCTATTTTACTTTCTTAGCTAAAAGATATGCATGTATTATATAATTGTTAAATTTATATATGAATATAAAGAAAACACACGTACATACGCACATACATACACTTGTACTATACCCAAATTATCTCATCACTAACGTTTACTATTATTCAAATAGATGTTCCGGTTACTACAGTCAAAACAACTACTGTTCAAATTACATCTACACCTATTCCACTGGTTTGTATTATTAAATATATGTATTTATAGAAGTATAAATAATACTTTACTCTATTAGACACCTGGAACCGATCCTAATTTAGGAGCTTCAACAAGTGATTCTTCTGGTCTATCCAAATTTCAAATTGGTATAAATAACTTAGTTTAGCATATTTAATACTTATAAATAAATTATTATTTTTTTTAACAGCCTTGATCATCGTGCTTATTATTATACTAATCGTTATAATCCTTGCGATTATCTTCTGCGTCTACTATAGATATAAAAATAAGGAAGGATCAGTACAACCCGAAGATCCAAAGTTTGACGCAAGACCAGATGCTCCTATCCCACAACAAGACATGTATCTAGATCCCAAAGGAAGGGATAAAAGTAAGTTTAGTCAGTTGATTTGTATTCTATTAAATGTAAAACAAACAACAAAAATAATAGACGCAAACAGACATAAAATAATTTTTCTTCTAAAGATATAGATATCTTTAAGTACAACAAGATTGAGAGTCTAGCCTAAGAGAGGTTTTTTCACTATAGCTTTTTCTCTTCTTCGATTATTTACTCTTTAGCTCTTATAGCTTTCGCTAACATCTTTAATACATGCATTAATAGACTACCGAAGAAACTGTAATAGAATAATATAACAAGAACTGCTTATAACACACCAATAACTAAATATATATTAATTGCTGTTATAACAACTTTTATAGCACACATGGATTCTTTCATAACAGTCCGTAACAAAAATGGCATTTTAACCTTCCAAGGACGTGATGAAATATCTAGAGGATTCTTTTATTAAAAATTATAAACTAAAAACTTTTTATCAATTTCAACCAAAAAAAGACTTTCTAACGCTTTTTATACTGTTTTAACCATACAAAAAATCATAGAAACTATAAACAATTATCTCTACCCCCCGAACAAACTTTAAAGGATTAACTGTAAATAGAAATGACTTCTCTACACTCCACAGTTCATTATGCAATAATATTTTGAGTAGTTGCCAAATAAAAGAAAAGAGATACTTTTTTTCCCCTTATGAAACAAAATGAATGAAGCTTAAAATTTTCAACAGCAAATTTATTGGATAATCCAGCAGTTTATGCTCCAATAACCGAAAGAAATATTCCTCCGAAATCATCTACAGCCCGATTTGACGATGATAGATATTCTATAAAAGATGAATGAAAACTGTATGATTGATTAATTGATTATTAATTTATTATACTTTGTTTTTAATTATCATAACATGATTTGTATATTGGTAAAAAAATGATTTTTCATTAAAATACTCATGAATATTCAGTATGAAAGAAAAAACAAAAATTCAATAGAAATTCTACTTATCTACTGAGTTTAAGAGAAAAGAAAAATGGAATGAAAGACTCATTTACTTTCACAAGAACTCTCCTTTTGTATTATTCTATAAAGAAATGTTAATTTATTGTATAAAGTGATGGATGTAATTTATGGCGTTTATGTTAAATTATTTCATTATCAATGTTAAAAAAAAGAGACTAAAATAACAAGAAACACACTGCCATTTATCGTATATCCATCTAATATATTCATTTATTAATAAATAAAAGATGATAGAAAGAAAGTAAAAAAGATAAAAAAAGAGTATCATAAATAAAAGATGTAAATCAAATACTTAAAAGAATTATTGAGTATACTTGAATATAGTTTATACATAAATAGTATATAAATATATACAATATATGTCTTTATTAAACTTGTATGTTTGTTTATTTTCTAATTAAAATATTCAATAAAAGAGATGCGAAAAAGAATAAAGATATAAAGTCTTTTATTATTTCTTAATAATTAGTTCAAAATATTCTTTTATTATTAAATAAATAATTATATTAAATTAGATAGGGTGATACAAATTGTACAATTTCTTCATCTTATTCGTTATTATAGAATGCCATGTCCGATTGACCAGTATTGTCGCTAAAATGAACATGGTTGTGATGCTGTTGTGACTCGTCCATATGGTCCTTTTTTATAAACAAATTAATTGTTAAATTACTATTCATATAATCAAATAAATAAGTAATAATAATAAGGTGATCTTAAACGTTATCTCATTTGACAATAATAATAAAAAACAGTGATTTAACAGCAGAAAAGAAAACCGCTAAATTGAGAAAGATAGTACAAATAACTATAGTAAAACGGTAATAGTTTATTGTGTTTTGCTTTTTATTCCTTGACTTTTAAAACATTGTTTTGGTGTTTTTACTTACTCTTCATCTATTACATAATCGGTTCCTACAATATATTCGTTTTGTAGTGAATATATTATATTCTTTGTTTAAAATGGTATTCCTTCTATTATTAACATTCGATAATTACCTGATTCAATTTCTTGAATTCTACCACTTGATTTAATACATATTCTAATATGTTCTTGGCGCTTCTTCTCTCCAAAGGTAAAACTTGAGTTACTCCTAAGATTTCTCCGCATTCTCTTACGTAATATTCAAGATCTTCTTCTCCGCCTATAGGAAAAATATAAGTATATATATATTGCGTTCTAATTAATTTAATTCAATTACATTTATTTGTCACTTGAGCTAGACGGACTTTATCTGTTGAAAATTGTTCATCCAAATCGAACAAATCAAGATTTGGCGGAACTGGTTCGCGAAATTGTGGATGATAAACAGCAGGATTTAGTGGTGGTAGAGGAGTCTCAAATTGTGGAGTTATCAGACTTAAAGCCTCGTGCTTCGTATTCAATTCTTTATAGGCTCTAGTATAAGATGCAAATATTCAATATTCAATTAATTATTAGAAATAATATATTACCGAATTGTTTTGGGTACCAATGACGTATCCAAAGAGAAGAGGGTTTTATCAAAAAGTGTGGTAATATCTCTTGGAATATCTTCGGTTTCTTGAAGGCACGCTTTTACTTGATCTCCAAGTATTGTTGTATCTGGTTGTTGATTATAATCGCTTATTTCAGGATCCTCGGCGTCTATGTTGTTCAAGACAACTTCGTCGGTAGTCAAGTAATTTATTATCACGTCCTAAAAAGAAAAAAAGCTCTTGGTTAAATATATTGAGAATTGAACGAAAGTGTTATATTACAAGTATCTTTGCGTTTTCTTCCTTTTCCAGATACTGATCCGTAAACATATGTACAGAGCCGAGAACAGCAATCTTTCCTTTTCCATTTTTACCAGGATAGAAGGCACAGACCGGCCTATTTAAAGGAAATGTAACGCTTCCCGAACTTAGTACAGCATGAGAAGGTTTTATTACGTTTAGAGTCGATCCATAGGGATAAACAAACGATAGAGCTCTAGAAATGATAGAAAAACAACATATTAAAAATTAAACCTACTAATAAACAATAACACAATTGATTAGCTCTAGAATGAGCAACTAGCATTATTAGCAATAATAAACATTCTAATACATTTCTATACAATTTAAAATTTAGTTATTAGCAAATGTGACGAAGTCATCATAGATTATCTTTTATAATCTAATAAAATATTATTAATTTATAACTAATGAGATTATTGCGATAATCTATGATAAACAGTTTAAAGCTATTATGAGCATTTTTATATTTTGTTAGTACTGTATATATCCTATTCAAAAAAACAATTCTGATATTACTACTAATAGTAGTAATAATAATAATATAATACAAGAAAAGCTTCTATTTAAAGCACTTGAATGATTTGTTTGTTTGTTTGTTTTTTAAAAGCTTCGGTGACATAAAAAAGGCTAAATACTTATGAAAAATTTCATCCAATTCAAAATCAGCTAAATTTGCACCCTTTTTTTTTCTAGATTTTTGCCTAAAAATTGATTTTGTTTGTTTGTTTGTTTATTTATTTGTTTGTTTTGTAAGATAAAACTATAAGAGTATTATTTTATGTATTAATTATATCCGTTGTTAAAATAAATAAAGGAATACCGTTATGAATGGACTTACTGTGAATTATTACTCTCATCGTCAGCTGATATTGCTTTTCCAGCTGCCTGACTTATTGCTCTGTTCAATATTCCATTTGAAACGAGAGCTTCTTTAGGATGATAATATTTGTAATAATGTGTCCTTACAACTGCATCTATTACGTAATAGTTTATTAGTTTAGAGTCGTATTCTTAAAGATTAATAAGAATATTGAATATAATATTTACCATTATTCACCATAATGCCGAATTCTTCTAGAAAGAAATTAATATTTGTTTCCAATTTGGTTTCTCCTCCTTCCGTCATTAAGACTAATATACTTCCTCCACCGTTTATATACGATTTTAAGGCATCAAACTAATAGAGACAAAAATTACTAATTTTTCTTCCGTCTTTTTTATAGATATATTGTTTATTGTAATAAGGAATGTTTACCTCTGTCATTGAGAACTTATCCCTAGGTGCTGGAATAATTAAAAGTTTTCCATCTCTTAATCGATTCTCTTGTAAATCTTCCCGATTTCTGTATATAGTGTTATGTAATGTAAATTATTCTTTTAATATTTTTTTGTTATAATTAGACAAATGACTTACGCAACGAGTTTCCAATTACTCCTTAGCTTTTTGTTCAAATTCTTCAAACCACTCTGTAACGAGAACATTTCTCGTTTCGATTGATTAACGATGATCGTTTTAGAGTTGACTCTCTCATCTTGAATCTATTAAACAGAACGATTATGCTTTGTATTTGCAAATTTTTAGCTTGCCAAACTGAAATATGCCGATCGAAAATAAAGAGCCGTACGATTTAACTTAACAACGGAATAGTTTATGAAATCTAGCTAAATATCTTAAAATTTTTATATGATTTTCTTCAGATAAACTTTATTTTAATTTTTTGTATTATTTCGAACTAACGATTTACAATGACATTAATAATTTTTATATAAATATCATAATTTTTCAAATACCTCTGTTGTCGGCGCCATGATGATAGAAATATGTGAATATTCGATATTCTAAGAGTAATTTTCTCGAAGTTTGAACGCTTTAATAAAGATGAAAAAAAAAAGAAAAATTTATTATTTTTTGAAAGGGGAGAAAAATATATTTTTTGAAGGAAATGTCAACTCGAGAATATTTATATATCAGAATTACGCTATGACAATTATCGCTCCGATAAACATGCTAGTGTCCGCACTTTGACATCACCTGTCGTGCTAATCGCCCGTAGATAGGCTGTTAAAAAATCAACGAGTAAACCAAGGTAAAACGAAATTGATTTAATTGCGCAAAATATTTGTCGATATAATAAATGGAGTTGACACGTCAAGAACGAACTAATAGAGGCTTATAGAGGATATTGTTCTATTATAGTATTTTTGTTGTATAATTTCTTTTCAGACAATATTAATACTTATGCTGAAATCTTTCTTCAGTACTTTGTACACTGTCTCGAGAAAAATGTATAAACCTCATGTTATTTTCGTTTTGGGAGGACCGGGAGCAGGCAAGGGAACACAATGTGAAAAAATAACGAATGTAAGCTATTATCCTTTTCATTTCACAATGATAACTGGCTTTAAAAGCTCCTATTCAATTATTACTCTTGTAGACTTACGGATATACTCATCTATCTGCCGGAGAACTCCTTAGACAGGAGAGAGCATCAGGATCACAGGAAAGTGATATCATTGAACAATACATACGACAAGGTCAAATTGTTCCTGTCGAAATTACCATCAGTCTCTTAGAGAAAGTACGTTTTTCTCTTAATTAGTTAATTGCTAATTATTTAAAAAGCGATATCATGAAAAAAAAGGCAATGATTAATACCAAGAAGAACAATCCTAATAATCGTGGTTTCCTTATTGACGGATTTCCCAGAAACCAGAACAATTTGGATGGATGGAATGATAAAATGGACGGAAAAGCTGTAGTGGAAGGTGTACTTTTTTTCGAAGCAAGTGACGACGTAAGTTATTCTAATGGCATGTGTTTATTTATTGATATATGCGTTTTATTTTATTTTATTTTATTTTTTTTGACACGTATTTTACAACTAATTGTTTAATTTTTCATAGATCTGCGTCAACCGTTGTCTAACAAGAGGCCAATCGAGTGGTCGAAGTGACGATAACCTTGAAAGCTTAAAGAAACGTTTGAAAACATATCACGAATCAACAATGCCTATCTTGGAGAAATTCAAGGAGCAAAATCTTCTACACAGAATCGATGCCACACCTGGACCAGATGAGGTATGTCAATAATCTATTAAATTCCTTTCAAAACCAACTCACAATCAATACCCTTTTTTCACCCTAATTTCAATTCAGGTGTTCTCAGCGGTTCAGGGAGCTTTTGGAATTATAGGAGTGAATCCTGCATAACTCTAACCCATAACACGTCGAAATTGTCTTCGTTTCTCCTTCAATCTATATGATTTTCAGCTCAGCTGTGCTTTTGTGATTGTGCTATTTTTAAGCAATTAAAATATAGGGCGTATAACAGGAATTCAAAAGAGTCTTTTTTTTGTGTAAAAATACATCGATAGATGGCGACTACCTAACGTTAGGTGGCGTTAGGAAATAACGTAGCATAGCAACGTATTCAAACTAACTACACGCAGCCATGGATAATAAAGTAAGCTTATTAATTTTAATAATTGTCGATATATTCCAACTAACAACTACTGCTTTCATAAACAAAAGCATTTGTAATGATTTACTTTTAAATTTGTATTCATTTTTGCTTTGGAGAAAATTAGTAAAGAATTTTTGTTCACCTCTTTATTCGTTATAGTTTTTTTAAATGAACTTCATATTCTTGAGAATGAAACCAAAGTAAGCCAACTATTAGAGTTTATATAACGTCATAAAACATTATCACTTATTTTCTTCATACTTTAGAGTTGTTTCAATTCTTTCGACCCCTATAGGGCAAATTTGCCTACTAATCGATCTTTTGAGGGCGCCAAATTAGCTATACAACCGCAATTTAACTATTTAATCATTCCCACTTTAGGAAAAGGAGAGTGACAAATTCGGTGTACTCGTACTTATTAGAATCAGTACCTGCTACGCTTTGGATGGACGAAATACTCTTGTTCAGCAGAAAAGTGTTATTAGAAATTACCATGGTAAGATTTTGGGATTGGCCAAGGACTTTGAATTGATTGAAGATCCTGAAAAAAAGTGGGGAGATGGAAGAACATTGATCGTTCTACATTTTCCATCTTGGGAATACGCCAAGATGTGGTAAGAACTTTTAGTTTCTATAAAATTTATAGTTGTTCAATTGGTTATCTTAGCTTTTTATATATATATATTGTATTGTGTATTTCTTTATTTCTTTTCTTTATATTTCTATTTTTGTTCTACGATTATCTATCGATTTTCCTCACACACCTTATGCCTGTTTAGGAAGGACTGCACCCCTGATATGAAGCAACCCGATTGGTTGGGAGGAGTTGATATTGTAGTTGTCCCCTTAAGAACCTCTCTAGATGGTAATCAAACCTTCTTTGTCTCCGATATTTCTGTATACGATCTAGACGGCTTTAATGCCTGCTACATTCAAACTATTGCCGACCAACTGAAGTCAGCTGGTGCCAATACTGTTGTTGGTACTGATAGGTTAGTAGATATATTATTTACCTCTCTCTTTCCATACATATATACTGTATTTATAAATATATATATATATGTATACTAATAAATAGATCCCTCAGTTGTTCTCCACTTAGATTTTATATTCGTTTTATTGAAAATTTCAATAACATTTGATCGATTTATTGAAAAGTGTCAAAAGAACTTGATAAGAATGATCGTTTTAAGCTTTTTTTCGTATTTTCATTTTTCTATTATTAATATTGTTTGCATTACGCATATGTAAACGAACTCCTTATTCTTAAACAAACTTTACTATTATTAAACAGTTACCTTAATTTTCATTAGACCTAAAACTATATTATACTTAATATTATCATAATTTTTCAATAGAAATGAAAAGTATAGAGGCTTATGGGACAGTGGTTATATTCTCATGACGCAATGGCAATGTGGAAAAGCTTTCACAGAATGGTACAATTCTGAAAATTATCAAAAGTGTCTGCAAGAGAGATCAGTTTATGGTTGCGCCACATCATTCTGTTTCCGTCTTGAACGTTTGGATCAATGCCATTAGATTAAAATAAGAAAAAGAAAAAAAAAGAACAGACTCTTACATTTTCTATAGTAAAACTCTAAAAACTTTCGCTTTTGTCTTTTTTTGTCGTATTATTACTGCATTTCATTCAATTTTCAACTTTTTTTTCAACTAAAACTTAATAGATTATTGTGGCGTCTAAACATTTTATTCAATAAAAAAACACACACAAAAATCCAGTCTCCCGTATACTTACTCTCTTACACGCATTATGTACTATTAAATCCAAGCTTTTAGCTGTTAAATTAAAGCTGCTTGTCGCATTTTCATCAACATTTTCCCGCCATAGCAGGGGGCGACACATGTTACAAGAATCACATGACCAACTGCTGGTCACATGAACTTTTTATTCTTAGTCAGTACAAAAAGAAACAATAACAATGAAAAGATTTTTCATTTTAGCATTATTTTATCTCCTACCCGACCAGATCATCTATGCAGAATCAAATAGCTCATTTAACTACATAGTACTTGGCGATTGGGGAGGATTACCTTTCTATCCTTATAAAACGTATATCGAAACAGCAACTGCAAAGAGGATTGGTATTGTTGCCGAAACACTGAACAGTAAACTTTTACTTGCACTGGGTGATAATTTTTATTTCGACGGTGTTAAAGATATCAACGATAAGAGATTTTTTGACACGTATGAAAACGTTTTTACAGCTCCTGCTTTAAAGGTTCCATATTTAAATGATTAATTCAATTACTTAGTCCTATAAGAATATTAAATTTATCAATTATTATAGAAATCCAAATGGTACGTTATTGCCGGAAATCATGATCATTACGGAAATATATCTGCTCAAATTTTATATACTAACCGGTCAAATAGCTGGTATTTTCCACATTACTATTACACTCAAAGTCATAACATTCCATTTTCGAAGAAAACTGTCCAATTTGTTATGATAGATACAATTCTATTGTGTGGTAATACAGGCTATGATATTCTTTGTAAGTAAAGAGAACAATAGCAATATTTATTAACAAGTTGATTGTTAATATTTAGATGATCAACCCAAGAATGTAGATAATAAAAAAGCTAAGGTTCAACTTGATTGGATTGAGAATGAATTGAAAAAGAGTACTGCTGATTATTTAATTGTATCAGGACATTTTCCAATGTATTCAATTGCTGAACATGGACCTACTAAATGCCTCATTGATAAATTAGAACCTTTATTTATAAAATACCAAGTTTCAGCTTACTTTTGTGGTCATGATCATAATTTGCAACACTTAAGAGTTGGAAACATCGATTATTTATTATCGGGGGCTTCAAACTTTATTGATACAGGTACTCAACATAAAGACTCAGTTCCTAATGGAAGTTTGAAATTTCATTGGGCCGATCAATTCGCCTTAGGTGGATTTGGTATTGTTCAAACTAATAAAGAGGAAATGAAGTGGTCGTTTTTAACTGCTGCAGGACAACTGCTTTATTCGACAAACATTAAGCCTAGAAATAGAGGAAAATTTTAAATTGCAAATATTCCATATCCCACTATAACAGGACTATGCAAACTATCAACACTTATCGGAACAACTTTTTTGCAGTTCTTGCTTATCTTGATAATTGTTTGATAAAGTGTAACTCATGAGTGTTAAGTATTTACTCGTGCAGAAAGAATAAACGTGATTTTTATTGTATAAAAATTAATATAACTTTCGAGTGTTATATAACTCTGTGGTATTAAACTACTCAACAATCTGAAAAATTCCGGATTATCGCTCTGTTGAAGAAATGAACATTTTGAATATTTTTTGGGTTTATCCCATAGCTAAATGGATACTTCGAAAATTTCGTAGATTATTAGATCCTATTATTCGTCCAATAATAAATTTGATGAATAAAAGTGCCAGAGGTGCTGTAGTTCTCAGCTTGATGATATTTATAGTTTGTGGTTTATCTATCTTTTTGTACGCTGCATTCTACTATTCTGTAATGCCGGCTGCTATTCATTCCCGTGATGTTAATTTCGTTTTTAGGTAAGTGTTATATCCTGTAACTATTGCATTTGTTAAATAGCATATTAACTTCTGATGACAAGCTTTCATTAAGAAAACATTTATATCAAAGATTCTTAAATCTTTTTCATGTCATAGTTCAAACTGCGACACCGACACAAGAACTTGTGGCTTTCCCCAAGCTAATTTTAGTCTCATGGACGATTACGGAGCCGTAAGTTATCATATTTAAGATAATATTCCAATAAAAAAATGTATTAAACCTACATTTTGTCCTTTCAACAATAGCTGTTATCTAGGGGTCAGGCTTATAAAGTCAGCTTAGACCTAGCTCTACCAGAATCTCCCGTCAATCAAAATTTAGGTTGCGTCTTGAAAATTGTTCACATAGAATAGATTTATTAACAAATCAATTTCTTTTCTATCGTAGGGATGTTTATAGTTCATATTCAATTCTATACATTGAATGGTCAAGTTGTAAGAGCTACTAGCCGTTCAGTAAGTAAAATCCTTGTTCAATTAAGCTCATTTTAAAAGAATAATTCATTTCCATTAGGCTATTTTGAAATATAAATCGTATATTGTTCGAACTGTGGAGACAATATTACGTTTACCATTCTTCATATTATGGTATGGAGAGGAGCAGCAAACAATGCACGTTGTATTATTCGAACACTTTAGGGAAGATCCGTACAAGCAATCTTACGGTGTTTTTATAGAACTACAGAATAAATTTGTTGAAGTATATTCTGCTAAACTCAAAATTGCAGCGCAATTTAGTGGATTGAGGTTTGTTTCTTTTTTATCATTTATCAAATTATCTTTATATATTCATTTCTCTAATTTCTCTTTCATAGATATATCTTGTATAAATGGCCATTTGTAAGTTTGTTGCTGGGCGTCTCAACTAACATGTTCTTTATTAGTTTTGTTATGTTGATTTCTTATTTGAAATTATCTTCCTCGTCGAGTTCGGATAGAAATGTTAAAGTAATTGATGAGGACGAAGAAGACGAGTATTTTATGGAAGAGAATAAAGATGAATACGTCAAAGAAAAGAAGAATAAAGTTGGAAAAGTAAAAGTGAACTGATTAAAAGATATTGTAAAATAAGAAAAAATAATTGTTTAAAGCATTTGGTTTAAAAAGAAATAATAATAAAAGAGTCATCTACTATTTTTGATAAATTTTGAACAAACTTCAAAGAAGATTCGTGTTTTATGAACGTTTGAAGAGAATATATATAAATTTTATATATATTTCGTAATTTGCCGCCATTTTAGTTAGACTAAAGCATGGAGTCCTGTCCGAAAGCTGATCATTTTTTTTCAATATTGAGTCCATAACCATACTATCGAGAAAAACATATCTGCCGTCCGCCAGCAGTTAACGTGTGTACATCAATAAATTAAAACTAATTGAACTCGATTAACAGAATTCATTTTACATCTGATTAAATTGAATGAAGGCCAGTTCAGCTGATGATTAGCGTATGAATTTAATCTGGGAATGGTAATTGTAGCTAGAGTTGAACGCTTTTTCACTAGAAAATTGACAATGAAAGCTCTATTTATTTTATATATCGCATCCACTTTTCTTGGGTTATTTTGGATAGGATTTAACTTTAGTAAGTTAATTTTCAGAAATCATTTTATTCATATTTGAACTTTATATCAATACTATTTTTTATTAAATAGATAATAACGTACCTCAAAACTCTTCAAAAGAGGATATAGCCTTCCTAACTAAACGTTTAATAGAATTAGAAAAGAGTGAAGAACACCTTAAATCACTGATAAAATCAAAAGAGACAAACAATGAGGATTTACCAATCATATTTGTAGTAACACCTACTCATAGTAGACTTGAACAAAAAGCTGAACTAACCAGACTTTGCCAATGCTTTATGCACGTGCCAAAACTGCATTGGATTGTTGTAGAGGATAGGGAATCTAGAAGTAGACTCGTTGAAAATTTCCTTTCAAAGTGTAAAGTTGTCTCAAGTCATTTATTCGTCAAAACTCCAGATGAAAGTGTTCTAAAAGCAAATGAATCGAGGTGGAAAAAACCAAGAGGCGTTCAACAACGAAATGTAGCTTTAAGCTATTTAAGATTCGAACATTCCAGATCGAAGGGTGTTGTATTTTTTGCCGATGACGATAACGTATACGACCTTGAATTATTTAATGAAATGAGACACACTCAGAAGGCTAGTGTATGGCCGGTTGGTTTGGTTGGAAAATTAAAGTACGAAACACCAGTATTGGACTCTCAAGGAAAGGTTATTTTTTGGAGAACTGCCTGGAAAGGTACTAGAAAATTTGCTCTAGATATGGCAGGATTTGCCGTTAACCTAAAATTGATAACTGATAGTCCAAAAGTTCAATTTAGATCTGGTCGCTCAATTGGAATGTTGGAAACAAATTTTTTGTCAGATTTAAATTTGGAATTATCAGATCTAGAACCAAAAGCTAATGGTTGTACTCAGGTATTTAAAAATAAATTATAACTTTATCTTTAATTAACAAAATTTTCTCAAAAAAAAGGTCCTTGTTTGGCACACAAGAACGGAAAAACCGGTTATAAAAAATGAAGGCAAAATGTTAAAAATTCCAGTAGATCAGAGAGAAGTGTAAAAAAAAACTCAACCAATCAATTAAGTGACATCTGCTCATTTATAAACACAATTGTTTTTTTTTTTACCGATCCAGCTGAAATTGAAATTATTTTCAATAGTTTATCAAATTTTTTTCAATTGCTCAAATAGTTTTGATATTCTATTGTTCAGGAAAACAATTTCTTGAACTTTTTCTATACTTTCTTCTTTTTATTCTTAAATTCTAATCAAAAAAACAAACAAAACATTTAATTGGTGAAAGTTTATCAAAAGTATTAAAAAGGCAAAATTTTATTTCTCAGATGAAAATGATAAGGTAAGAAATAATAACAGTTGCCCATCTTTATTACATTTGAAAATATATTCTTCATATGTGATGAGATAACTAATTAGTCAAAGTTATGTTTTACAAAGTTAAAGTAATTGAATATTATTTCTTATTGAATATATTAAAGAAAAATAGAAAATGAGACTTGAAGATATATAATACATATAATGTATACTTTCTTTTTTGAACAGCAATAATGATAATAAACATGACAATGATATTCAACAACAACAAAAAAGTATTCAATATTTTTTTATTGCCTAACTTGACCATAAGATTTTGAAAAGAATAAAGCATACTGCTAATTAGAAAAAAGGTAGTTTAAATGAGAAAAATTAGAAAGTAATTTTAACTAGCATCTTCCAAAATAGGTTTAAGCATAAACTATTTCGTTCGGCAACAAAACTTGAATAATATCCGTAAGAGCGTTCTGACTGGTATTATTTATCAAAGAACTGTTCCAAACTTCTGTAAATGAGTCTCTTAAACTTAGAAATCTATTAGCCAGATCAGTCTTAGTAGTAGCTGTTAAATTACTAACTCCAACATTAACAACTGAACAACCAGTTCCACTAGATGGCTTTCTTCCGGCCGATATTAACGATCTACATAAACGACAGGCGGCCAATACAGAGTCGTGAGATATTTGCGCTTGTTGTAATATCAGTTCTTGCTTGTAGCAATGAAGTTGGCAAGTTTGCAAATTAGATTCGGATGCTCGTAGTTTCTTGAATGATTTCTTTAAAAGGCATACAAAATAAAAGTTAATAAATGGTCGGTTGTAGTATAAAAACATATACAAACGTTTAAAAGTTCAACTGGAATTTTATCAATATCAATTTCATCTGGATGTATCATTAGTTCGAATAGTATGCTTCCTTTATCGTTTGGTAGATTCGAATCACCGTGCACAGCTTTATCAATAAGGGATTCAGCTTCCGATATTTCAACAAGCACTTGAGCAAATTTACCATTCACGTCCTCAAAAACATATTGATTTAGTATAAATGGTAGATTTGCTTTCAATAAATCCAAATCAACATCGGCATTCCACGAAAGGCCGGCAGATAATACGAATCCAGGCCAACTGAACACATTTGGCGTTAATAATTTTTGCCCTGACCAATGACATACTATTGAACCAAGTGCTCCATTTGAATATCCTGCTTTTACACTTTCATGTATATTCGTTGCAGCTGCATCCACATTGGCTGTACAACTATTCCAAGCAGCTGTTCCATTAAGAATATAAAAAGCTACACCGCTTCTTAGATAGGAATCACATAGATCTCCAAATGGATATTCCGTATTAAAACCGTATTCTGCTAATGCAGTATTTGGTGGCAGTTGTTGTAAAATTTCTAATCCACTATCTCTTAGCACGTACGCGCAAATAGACAAAATTTGATTTTCTCCAACTGATACATAAGATCTAGCCTCGTCCATGCAAAGTACATCATTTTCAATACGAACTATTAATGTAGTTAAACGTGGCCCGATATGCACAATATTACTTCCACTACAAACCGATACAAATGATGAAAATGACGTTTGCAAATTTGTAAGATTTTCAAACGTAACTGATGAATCAACGTCTAAAACTGGTACAAGTGTCATAAAATTCCTATAACATTCGCTATTTAATTCCGTTAATTCTCTGTTTAATAAAACAACGATATTAATTATGGTATTTATTAATTAATTCTATAATACTAACTGTTTTGTATATGGAAGTTGCCATGTTTCCCTATCATTCTCCCTATTTTGAAATCGGAAATATAAAAGTAAACGATTGACTTTCATAAATGCCAGTATTTTAATGTTACATAATAGAATATCTAATCTAGGAGCCTCTTTTGTTATATCAACAAGTACACCGCGTTCGTTTAATGATGGAAAATCGTGAATTTGTAAGCAAGGTAAATTATCATTCTGATAAATCATTAATAGTTGAGTGAATGTTGTTAGACAATAAAATAGTCCAGTCAAGTCCGATGAACATAATCGAATTGAATTTGTAAATATTGATAATCGATAACTGCTTGCTTGACTAAATAATTTGTCGTTTACTTCGCAAATAACACCAATATTGCTGGAATTTTTTAAATAGCCAATTTCTAATTGAATATTTATACCTAAATTTTGAATATCAGGTATTAAATCATTCCATAACTGAATTATTTCATTTGTTTTATCACTATTCGGTGATATATGGACAACTAATTGTGATCCTAATTTTATAAATTCATCCTGATGTAGTAGCATTCTTGGTAAAGGCCATAACAAACTAAGTTTCTTATGGGAAAGTGGATCAAAATTTTCATCTACTTCTAATCCATTTTTTACAATTACCGATGAACAATCGGATGCATCAGTCCCATTGTCAGTAAGTAATGATAATAGGGATACATCTTCGGCAAGTTTCTTTACAGCGGCAGAGGAATGAGGTCCACTTTTTGGTAGAGCTTCTAAATTAGCTCCGGCTTTTAAAAGACATTGAAGAATTTCGGCATCTTTCCTTTGAACAGCTTCAAAAAGAGGTGTTCTTCCCTCTATACTACAAGCATTTACATCCGCCCCGTTTTCACACAGTAAATTAATAACATCAGCATTTCCCCATGTGGAAGCCCAATGGAGGGGCGTATTCTGAGTTGCCTCTCCATCTGAGCAGTTGACATCGACACCGGCTTTTAATAGTTGTTGAACTCTGTCAGCAGACGATTGTGCACAATAATTAAACAACTCTTGGCAGTATATTTTCTTTATTTCCTCATCGGCGATGTCAAAAGACGTTTCGCCATTTGAATTTTTCAAACTTGGATCAGAACCACAAAAGAGCAAAGCTCTTACTGTATCGGTGTGCTTAAGGCTAGTGGCCAAATGCAATAAAGTCCCGGCAGATGAACAATTAGAATTTAATATATCTTTTAGATTGCTTTCTGTGGATTTTTCTGAAAAAACATTTCATTAGTTTTCTATAAAATACTCCTGTACACGTGTAACTTTGTCGTTAACTTTCTTGTATTGTGATAACAATATTTACCATTAAGAAGAGCTGATGTAATTGATCTAACGATATCTGTTCGATTTTGTTTTACGGCAGATAGAAGGTTTTCTACAACGTTTTCAACCATTTTTATCTCTATGAGCGATAATTGGAGAGAGAAAAAGAATTACACAATAAAATATTCATTAAATTTATTCACTCTATTTTAAACTTGGATTAAATATTTGAACTAAGACGTTACTTGTATAGTTAATACGCTTTTTTGAGTTTCTTACGAAACTATGGTGACCTTGACCTTATGTGTAATTTTTAAGGAGAATAAGAAAAAGGGTATAGTAACAGAATCAAACTCCTGAAATGTGTAACAAAAACTCTCTAATAGTTGACAGATATATAAAAGAAAATAACCATAACTTTAAGATTTGATTAAATGGCCAATTAATTTCATTTATTCTTTTATTATTAAAAATATTTCAAATATAAACATTACAAGTGTAACTATTAAAACTAAACGATAACTAACTTAGCCATCAAGTTTAAAGAAAACAAAATAAACTATATACAATTTTTCATTAATTATTTAAATAAATTGAATAATTTATAGGAATTTATTAAAATTAAGCGTGAATATTATTTCCCTTGTTTTTAGCAACACAATTATTGGACAGGTCTTTCCATATCTACAGTTTCAAAAGAAGTTAATAAAGCTTATTTTTATATTATTCAATTGGTGGTATAAATATTTTTCTCTCTTTCTCTCTCTTTCTTGGTCTTTCTTTCTCTCTACATCTATCTCTATCTCTGTCTCTCTTTAAGAGAAAAAGAAAATTTTATTGTTTATGGACTAAATTTAAGCATTTGCTTCTTTTTATTCAGCTTAACGTATGTTTAATAAAGGCCATTCCGTGTTTTCTCAAATGCTTAGCCAACACATCTTTATCATCAAACTCCTCTTGACATTCTCTGCAAGATAGAGTTTCTTCTTTCTTCACTGACATACACTTTTCACTCTCATTACTATCAATTAGACTAGAGATCATTTGTGGAATTTCCTCTTTTGACGTAGATTTTAGATCAATACTATCTCCAATATCATGAACAATAAATACATGTCGCTTTAAACCCGCCACTCCAACGAAATTTAAGCCACAATAAGTACATTGAACAACATGATCAATTGTTTGAACAGCATGCTTCCTTATATGAATAATAAAATCCTCTGAATTTTTCGTTTCAAATGAGCATCTTGCGCAAATTCTTTTACCTTTTGAAAAAGATAAAAGTCGAACATCATTTGCTGATAAACTGGTTGACAAATCTTCTTTGCCATTCTCGATAAAATCCGCCAATTCCTCCTTTGTTAAATTTTTATCATGAAAAGTTAATAAATGTTGGCGAAGTTTGTCCTTTTTGGCAAATGTTTTAGATTTTCCGCAAATATTACAAATTAATTGAGTTATTTGTTGGCGAACTCTTCCCAAATGTTCAAATGATAAATGTTCATCCAAATAGTTTCTATTAGAAAATGATGAATTACATAAATGACAAATTGCTGGATAATTTTTATTGTGACATGTAGATTCGTGTTCTCCAAGTTCTCTCCAACTTAAATATTTTTCGCCACATTCAAAACATATTTTCTTACCGATTTTTTCCATGCTTGCTGTAGCCTGGGAGGAAAATAGCATTGTGTTAAAGACGCGAAATCCGTGATAATTTATAAGTTACGATTTTTATAAATAACTTTAAATTGCCACTATCGTTCGTTATATTAAATATATATTTTGTTTTATCTTTTTGGTTAAATACTTACAGGTTTATTGGTCTTTTTCTCCATTGGCTTTACTTTTAAAATCGGTTGATACGGTTGAATATCTTGAGATATTCCATCATGCTTCTCTTTCATATGAATTTTATAAGCATCATTTGTACGGAAAGCAATTAAGCAGAAATCGCATTGTTCGTGAGTAAACTCTTTTACCTTTGGATAGGTGAAAGCTTTTTCATCTTTATTTTTAGGACAAGTTGCCACGTGCTCTTTTAAGCATTTCTCATTCTGCTCAACGTAATTTGATCCGCATACTGGGCACATAAAGAGACAAAGTTGAAAATCATGTGTCTGCTTCAGATGATGACGAAAATCTTCATAGCTAAGAAAACCCTTAGGGCAAATATAGCAGGAATAAAATACAACTAAATTTTGCTTAGCATGAGTTGCCATATGCATTGTATAGGAATGACGCTGAACAAATAACTTCTTAGGACAGAAGATACAGGAATAAGCTTTAGTAGTAGATTCAATATTCATATCTTTATGATCCTTATGGTGATTTGTCATATGCTCTGCAAATCTACTTCCGACAGGAGTTTCACCGTGAACTTTTATTGCAACCGGGCACAATGGACATTTCCGCAAAAGGCTGTCATGATTGAAAGATAGATGATCTATATAATGAGAAAAATCGTCAAACAATGATCCACAATCTGTTAAGAGAAAAAAAAAACAATTTATAAAAACAACTTCAGTTCCAAAATTAGAAAAAACTGTACCTGGAAAATGACAAATAAATTTCATTCTTCTAGAATTGTGATGGCACGTGAGATAGTAATGTTTTGTTAATATTTCCAAATCTCGAACAATGAGACCGCATTCTGGGCAGGAAGAATATGAAGAGACATTGTCATCAATTTCCTTCTTTTCCCTTTTTCCCACGTATTGGCAGGTGTTCATATGAGCTATTAGTGCACACTTTGATCCAAACAATTGTTGACAATGGGGACACTAAAATAACAAATGAGCCACACGTTACAAAAATGTAATAACAACTTTTAACTTTTAATGTCGTTAACTCCTCTAACAATTATAAGATTATTACCTGACTCCTTGCCTGCTCTTCTGGTTCACCTCTAAGATGGCTTTTCAAATCATCAACAGTTGCACTACAGTACAGACATTTTCCTCTAATTGATGGTTTATCCGTATTAGAGAAATAAGATATATCTAATTTGTTGTCTTGGGAAGAAATACCACTATCTAAATGCCATTTGACTGACATTTGTAAAATTCCAGATTTCCAGTCAGTATGATGGCCCTTTAAATGAGACAATATTGAACAAACATTATGAACAATTAACATTTTGTCACAACGATGACAGATTAATCCTAATTCGAAAGAATGCTTTTCATGCTGATTTAAAGCTGATTCGTTGGTGAATCTAAAAGTACACTTTCGACAAGGTTTTGATGCTGATAAGCTACCATCGTTTTCTGGCTTTTCTCCAATTTTTTCCATATAATTATGAAATAAAGATGTAAAATGTTCCATGTCTTTTTTTCTACTAGACTTGGGTAAATATAAACTTTCTGGTGCTACTTTACAAGGACTCTTTTTCTCCGAATCAGTCGATGCTTTCTCTAATCTTGGAGCAAGTTTTGGTTGACCTCCAGCTGCTGTTGTTGGTATTAGTAATAATTGTCTTCTCTAAAAGTTTAAGGAAATACGTTAAATCCTGCCAAAAAACATAAATTAAAACAATTTACTGACTTGATTTGGAACATTTGTTGGACCAGGAACTAAAAGGAATTGATTTTGTACGGGAACTTGGTTTCCAGGAAGCCTAAGCAGAGACATTCCGCTGGTGGGTAAACGATTGGGCGACTGTCCAGGTTGTTGAACTATTAAATAGGTTCCTTTATTTTGGTTGTTTAATGAATTAACTACCGAAATATTCTGGGTTTGAGGTAAAATTTGAGATACGCCACCAGATTTGGTTTTTGACTGTTCAACTCTAGCTATTTTTAATTTGTCAATCTTTAGTTGTTTATCTGAAGGAATCTCTGACCAATCAACATCTTCACCCTCTTGACCACTCTGATCAAAGTCCGCGGACTCGCTATCAGCCTTCCTCTTAAGAGATTTGAAAGAATCATTAGACTCATCCTCAAGAATTTCTATCCGATCATCAATAGAAGATTGACTTGAAGAGGATGAAGTTGGAATGCTATCCAAATCGCTGCACGAATTATCGGATTCATCTTTTTTCTCATCTTCTTCCATGTTTAAGACCACTCAATCTGTGAAGATTAAAATAGAAGATTCTTGTTTGAACTCTCGTAATAGATTGATATCAAGTCTATTTGAAATTATAAAATCAGCAGTTAAGCGATAATTCCAAGTTTTAAAAAGTATAACGCTAGACTTTGTCTAGAATATCGATCAATTCTTAAATTTTTTATAACAATTTTCTATTATAAGATATTAACTATATAAAAGTGTTTAGTTACCATTGGTTACAAGAGATAATTAAGTATTCATTTAATGAATTGCATACCAAATCGGATGCTTTACAAATCCTTTTCAGTCTATGTAAACAATTGGTTTGTAGTATATATTGCAATGGAGATGACACTACCAGTAGTTTATCGATTTCCGTCAATAATAATAAAAGTGAATTTTTTACGGTATCTTAGTATTTCACATTTGTATACATTGATGCTAACAGTAATTTTCTCAGAGTCGCATCCACTGGTAGGCCGATGAGAATATTTACTTTCAATTTCTATCGAAAAAATTCTTAAAATCAAATTTATCGATATTTTAGATAATAGAATATTCTATATTCAATTATTTATGTACAAATTGAATATCTGGTAAAATACCGCTTTTAGTTCCAGCAGAAGCAGCGTAGAACTTCGAGAAAAAACGTTGTTTTAGGATGATCACGTGATTTCGGTCTTTAGTATCCCAGAATTCTGGGAAACTTTAGCCAATCATCATAGCCAGCGATTCCTGAATAGTCCCAAAGTTGTTGACGATTGGATGTTTCAGCAGCTCTACGCATGCGCTCTTCCTGAATTTTACTCCATTAGGATTGGTTTCGACAATTCAAATCTCCAACATGGGTGGAAGCCAAAAAGTGTCAGCAGGTGTACAGAATTTAGCGTTTCACCTTCGGAGAAGTCTAATATACAACCTCATATCGTGATGATGAAGCTTATGATGGTGAGAATACTCATGTTATATACTTCAGTAAATACTTATAGTTAACATGATGAACTTTGTCAGTATAATTTAATGATTTAGTGATTATTAGACTAATCTTCTCTCTGACTCGCAAAGTTTTGATGTTACTTTCACTGACTTTTAATGAAACTCATAGATTTTTTTATTGTTTGCTAGGACTTGCCCAAGGGAACAGGCTGATCTCTATCATTTTGTTACATATCCTACGGTAAATATTCAATATATGAAACAAACAAATGTGACATTAGCAAATATGATGAAAGTGCAGGGGTCCTGAAAGCAGTACAGATGTGACTGCAAGTTCAGGAATGATTTTGATATTTGCGTGTGGTGAATATCAATTAATTCCTAAGCTGAAAAGCAGAATCTGATAAAACAGTCCATATAACAACAAATCCTACATTTGCCTTCTCCGCCTGTAATGAGTTTATTTTCAGGGAAAGTGAAATGACAACGACTGATCCGCCATTTTAATAGAATTCGAAAGAAGTTAATGTGCTCTTTTCGTTCCTTCTATTGAGAAGACTAACTTCTAAGAAGTAAATAATTTGAATATATAGTAAAATAGAATTAACTGATACGATTTTCTTTCGTATAAGGAAAGACAGCAGAGCAGGGACAGCAAAATTGAAACACGTGGGAACGATAAAACACCATTATATGGCATAATAGTCCTTTTGATGGCGCAAAATCCCTAAATACTGATCATAGATATACAATTGCCGTAGAAACTTAATTAGAGGAAAACATGAAGAAGAATAGTGGTGCAAGCAGATTACTGAAGATTCTATAAGCTTATACCAAAGTGGAAATGGCGGCAACCAAAATTACTCTAGAATAGAAAAACTAAGTAAAGAAATAGATATTCGGTAAATAACAATATCTTACGAATAGACCAGACAATTTTCTGGGCCATCCTTAAAGAAAACAATGAAAAACATGCACCAATAGGTTATGGAGGAGCAATAATTTGAGGATGTATGATACTCTTCTGCGCATTTCCCGAATTAAAAAGCTACTATATCAGAGAGTAGCAAACTGTATATCTCTCCTTGAAAAAGCGTTATTGAATGCCCCTTGTCATAAGGCACACTTAATACTCTACCTTGACGAGCTTACTCCCATTGAGAAGACCTGAAATATTTAAAAAATTTGCAATATGACGTTCTACATTTCACGAAAAAATGATTTTGTGGATAAGAGAAATAAGTAACTCTTAGCAAATGTACTACTCAAAGCAAAGGACTGAATTTTGTTAATATAATAGCTTAAAATAAATTAAAAATGCACTGATTGTCCTTTAAAGTAGCCCTTAGAAAAAAAGATAACGTATGAAACAGTTCTGCGAACATTGTATGTATATACGTTGACTAATGCTATTATCATAACTGCTATTCTTTTTATTAAAATAAATGGGGCGATAATTTCCCCAAAATTAACTTGGCATTGAAGTCAATCTAGCAATCATTTCTATTTAAATCTATTTATTGTATAGACGGAACGTAAAACATTTCGAAGTAGAAAACTAGAAAGTCACAGGAAGCAAACCGGGTGTGAAATCTAGTCTACATGAACTCTCAATTGACCTTCAATATAATAATATATAAAGGAAAAAATCAGGTCATGTACATGTCTTCAATGTCTTTTCAAAACAAGAAATACAGTATAATAGACCAGATTCTAAAAAATGTGAAATTTGGTTCTATAAGAAAATCTATCAGTGTGTATTCGTGTAAAATAAAAACTTTGAACCGCTATATAGTATTAGGCCTAGGTGTAAATATATATTTATTTATTGGTAAATTAAATTGCACTCTGGCATATCAATGGGATACATTTGTTTTAATTTAAGTGCAAAATGTGTAGGAGTAATCTATAGTACAAGTTTCATTAGCAAATTAGATAAAAAAAACCATATATCTTTTTAAACGCAATTTTAATATAATAATCCGATTCTATATTATCTTTCTCTTACTAATAACTAAACAAATACGTTTAAAGATAAAAAGAATATTATGAACAGCAGCATTTTTCATTATTTTATCATTAAACTAATACAGTATACTTTATACATTTAAAAATTGATTACAATTTAAAAAAGAGAACAACATCTTGCATTCCTGCCTCCTTGCCATTTCATCCCCCCCCCCTTCCTCCCCCTTCTCCTTTTCACTTTTTTTTGTATTGTTTTGTGTTGAAAAGATGCTATTTCAGAAGAAACACAATAATTGTTAACAGTTAAAAGTTGTTATTACAAACTTTTCCAAGGTTAGAAAACAGGCGCAGACGTGCATAGTGCTTAGAGTGGCTATAAAAAGGAGCTGTTTGTTCAGTTTAAGTTAGAAAATCTGTTGAATAGAGACAAACTTTGGTAGTTTGTCGTTTTTTTGTTTTTTATAATATAAAAGCTTGAAGATGAAATTAAGTATATTTATATTTATGCTTGTTTACCTTGTTCTGAGTAGCCAGGAAGGTGACGCCGAGTTGTCACGTCATCATTTTGGTTCTAATCATGATGGCTATAATAATAATCGTGATAATGGTCATGATAATGAACGGCACCATCGTTTTGGAGAAGAGAAATGGGAGAGAAGATTTGCAGCTTCTGATGGCGATTTGGAAAGAAACCACTGGGAACCTGATCGAATGTATGCTAACCCACCCAGCCGTTTACTATGGAAAAGAAGATGGAACAACAGTTCAGACGGACATTTATTTCATTCTAAGCATGTATACAGAAAATTATTCAAAGCAATTATAAGACGACCCGAAATTTTGGATTATTTGTTCAAGACTTTAAATATTTCCGATAGTGTAAATTCAACAGTTTCTTTCAATAACATGAGTCAAAATGGTACAAGACTGACCAACACCACGACGAATAGCACAAGTGTGACTGATCAACCTCGTACGCAAAATATGTGGAAATCTTTCAAACTTCGTCGGAGGTTGCTTCATTCGCGAGATCATAAAGGTGGATGTGGACATTTAGGTAAAAAACATAGGAGACATCATTCCCGTAGAGCCTTCAAAAGACACCACTTGGAATCGAGAAGAGAACATATGAGACAACGCAATATCAAGCGTCGTTTTGATATTCCTGTATAAATCAGATTGATTGTTATTTTAACTAATACAATTTTAAAATAATCATTGCAATAGAAGTTAAAAGATGTGATATTATTTCTATATTTTTCTATTGCAGATTATTACTATTATTATTGATTATAATTAATACAATAAACTTTTCCTGCGCAAAAATTCTATGCTATTTGACTATATTAAACAGTAGTATTATTTAGCTAGCTAATGATTGTTTGTCTTGTATGTACAGTTATTATATATCATATACCAAGTAATATTGTACTTTTGAAGAAATACAGTAGATACAGCAAACTTACAAACTTAAAACAAAGATCCCTTGATTCTATATATTCTGCCTATATATTCAGTAAATATGAATATTAAAAATACCACTTAGAGTGTTGTAGTATAACTGACAGGTTAAAATATTCATACGTTGCTTAGAAATAATTTCCAAAAAAATTCAAAATTTACCACTAGATGTCACTCAATTATTTTACAAAATGTTTGCGGGACTAGCACAAGGTCAAGGTTGAGTTCAAGATCGTCGGACTTGGAATAAATATATTGTTAAAATGTGGTATGAAATAATCCCAGCAGCCACTCTAGTTGTTGGTCTCTTAACTGTACCCCATTATGTAGCCGGTGCGGCCAACTGGCTATTCCACAATCGTCATGTAAGTAAGATATTCACTTGTGTTAAATGACATTCGACAGACATTGTTTTTAGTTGAGAGCAAGAGACTGGGAACAACATCCAGATTACTTTCACTGGTATCTTCGTGATAGAAGACTAACTGGTAGTGAATATAAACCCACTGTGAGTATGATCGGACAAATACCCTATAATTTTAACATGTTATTTCTTCGAAGAACATGGACATAGTAGTTTTTTTTACTAAATCTATAAAGAAAAATAGTTTTAAAAGTAGTTTCCTTTTCATAAAAGTAAAGAATACTATTATCTAGGATTAATTAAGAAAATGAGCTTGTGTTACTTTGATTTATTAGCAGATTTATTAAGAGAAAAAAAAGAACAATGATATAGAAATTTGTGCTTTTCATGAGAAATAAACTAGTTTTCTTTTAATATTACTATTTATGCTGATAAAATTTTTCTCTACGTATTCTTTTCTTTTTAAAAGGGCCTGGAAGGACTACCAACGTTAAGTGGGAAAGCCGAATAATGAAGTCATTAAGAACTGATTCATTAAACTTGTAAGAAATGACATTAAGTTTTCGAACTTTAGTATAAATAAATACAACAATACACATATGCATTATCTATATAAAAGGCAATGTATATGACAGCTAAAAGAAAATATATTTGTGAAAGACTAGTAGATTTTTCTTTTACTTATTCTATGATGAGTAATAAAGAAAGATGAAATAGTTAAAAGCTTAAAATCACTCTCTAAGCCACTGTTTAGTTGTTTATTTTCATATTAACGTACTGTTTTCTAGTTCTCCTTCTATTCTTCATTTTTCTTTACGATTATCCTCGACACGTTCTATTTACTTTAAAACATAAAGAAGTATTAAAAAGTTTTATAGAGCTAGTTGTGAATCAATAACTAAATATCTATAATTATAAATATAAATTGTAAAACTATATTTTTCTTTTACTTATTCATGCAAAAGTAAAATAGAGTTTTCAAGACTACTCATCGAGAATTGCTAATTATTAATATGTACGTGTCTACTTTATCAGATTTTCTTAATGCCATACTTTGCACGTGTTACGTAAAATCGAACTACGAACAATTACTAATATATACTCTTGCCATCTCTTCTGTCTATCTCCCTATCTATAATGGGAAAATGAACATTATTATTTTCATTACTCCTTATGAAATATTCAAAGGAAGAAAAGTTGATATGTCTTTTCTTTTTAGGTGCTATTCTCTATATAAGATAGATAAATTAAATATTTTATAGCTACTATCTGTTTTAATACATGATTTGAGTTAATGGTATAGTTGATATCTAATTGTTCTCAGCTAATTAAGTATCGAGTTGTGGCAATTATTAGGCCTAAAAAAATAAAAATGTTATAAACTGAGTGATGATTGGGTGTAATTTAACCGGAAATAGAATTTTTACGAATATGGCGTTGACACTAGGTAGCGCTTCCAAATAAAGTCTCATGACATATTTCGGATAAGTATAAGTGAGACAGGAGTATGACGGACGACAAAGCCGACGTCCTGAGTTTAACGGATGATGAGGAAAATGAGTTAGAAGATGAACTACCTATAAAGCAAGGAGTGTTAAGTAAATGGACAAACTATATCCACGGTTGGCAAGATAGGTTTATAGTGTTAAAATCGGGTACTTTGAGTTATTATAAATCGGAACATGAAACGAAATACGGATGCAGAGGTGCTGTCAGTCTAGCCAAAGCTATAATAACGGTATTTTCTAACTTTGTAGTATTACCTTCAAAAAAACCGGTGAGTGAGCAGGTGTTCTTTTTTTGTATAGCACCTGGCAAAATCTTTAAATGAAGTAAAACCAAAAAATTTAAAGCACAATTGAGCATCTTAACATATAAAATCTGATATAATTATTAATTAATATTGAATTCAAGTTATTAAAAGTTGAAATGAAGAGGTAATAGTGAAAAAAAATTAACGATAAAACTTTTATAAGTAATATTCCAATATAAAATATCAATATTAGAGAGAGAATATAACAAAAAAAAAGAAAAATCTCTAATTTTATTATAGATTTATATATAAAAGATTATTTTTCCTTTTCAAAACAAAAACAAAATATTGATTAATATTTTAAAACGGGGATTAACTATGTACTCTCTATAATAGATTTTTAATATTACTATAAAAACATTAGAAAAGTACAAGAAAACATTCAATTCGTTTTAAAATTATAAATACTAATGTAAATGTAAATATATAAATATATATATATATATAAAGAGTATTCAAATGTATTTCTGCTCATTTAACCGGTTTTTATTTTTACTTATTTTTAAGTAAATAGTTGTTTTTATCTGATTTCTACTAAAAACATATACACAGTATACACGAATATTAATATTCATTATATTTTTTTTTCATTCTCTACTAGCCTCACGAATACGATGAATGTCGAGTTGATGTTTCTGTGAATGATTCTGTTTGGTACTTAAGAGCAGAGAATAACTTGGTTAGAAATGAATGGATTGAAGATATGGTTGCGCATAAAAAGGAAATTAACGACGCTGATGGAAGCTTAAGAAGGCATGGATCAGTTTTATCTTTAACTTCCGGTACCTCAATGTCCAATGCATCTACATCGTCGTTTAAGGTTTGTATTAGAAAAATAACTTTTTTCAAAGTCAAATTCAACCAACTATTTAAGGTCAATCGAATGATTTATATCTTTCCGTATGTAAATGATAAGGAGATAGCATAAAGTAATATATAATATTAGCTATGAATTATGTAGGTGAATAAATTCTTTTGCAATGCTCATAAGCTCATTTCTATTAATGAATCTCTCCAATTTATGGTCCAAATATTATATTAAAGTTATTTTTTTTATATATAAAAAAATGAAAGGAAAAAGACAACTCATTTCCGGAAATTAGCTTAAATAATATAATTAATTTGTAAATTAATTACGAAAAAGAATAGTTTATAATTAAAATAATTTTATATTAATAAATGAATTTCTAGTAACAATATACTAATATATATAAATTTAACGTATAGTATATTGTATATTCTTGATAAAGTATACGCTTTACGGAAGTGATTTTTCCAGAATTTTTCTCTTACGTAAAGAAGACGGTTTAAAAACTTCTTTAACGATTTTTTCCCCCTGTTCTCTAAAACAATAATAATAATAATAATCAATAATGGAATGAGTAAAAAAAGAAAAAAATCATATAATAATTATATTTGCAGTATTAACTCAATACTGATCGTAGTTGGCCTGGTTTACGTTAGTTTGTTAATGTAATAGCGTAGTTTATTAAAACTTTCTTCTGTTAGTATAATTCTATGCCTTTCGATGTATGAAAGAGAGAATGAATGAATGAATGACATAAATGACTGAATGAGGAAAAGAAAGAAAAGGAGTAATACTATGTAATCAGTTTTAAAGTATGCGTGCGCGGTAAAATGTAAAAATCATTCATGTATAAATCAGGTTTTTGTACTTATTTTCAATGAAACTTGAGAAATATTAAATAAGATTTCTATTTTTTTTTGTTGATGATAAAAGACACACCTGAATCGATAAGAGAATAATTCCTAGTTTTTATTTTGTCATGACTAATATTAACTATGATTCATTCTAATCTCTTATCGATCATTATCAAAGGTACTGATGAATTCCGATGTATCTTTATAAAACTAGAACAATCGTTATATATTTATATTTTTTTTTAGATACAAAATATCTCCTTTTAATAAAAATAGCCTATCTATTATTGTAATATTGATATTTTGAATTAAATAATTAATTTTCAATTTTTTTATTACTTTTAAAGAGGGGAAGAGGATTAAGAGAGAGATTATTAGAAATTGAAACGTTTAGGGATATACTCTGTCGTCAAGTTGAAGGGTTGCAAAACTATTTCGATGCTTGCGCTTCGGCAGTTCAACACGGTGTAATAGAAGACCGTAAGTGACTACTTTTTTTAGTATTAATCTGTTTTCTCCATCTTTCTTACCTTTAATTTAACTTATATAGTGGAAGATATTGGCGATCCTGATGAAAATCCACAGAATAATGTTGTTAACGGCTATTCTAGTGAAACAACGTCACCTTTTATGCCATTTTCCGTTTCTAAAAGCTCAAAAGATATAGCCAGCATCCTTCGGCAGCATGGAGCTCACGCTATTGATTTTAAGGGTGAATCCAATACTTTCAAGGCAACCACGGCCGGTATTATGTCTACTTTGTCTCATTGTATTGAAATAATGAATCAAAGAGAAGAAGCGTGGAGGAAGAGATTAGATAAGGAAATGGAAAAGAGAAAAAAATATCAAGAAGCCTATAAGCAGGAATTATTGAGGGAACAGCAAGTTCCAAAGACCGGTCTCTTTTCTAGCCCAGATTACGAGGAAGGTCCTCACTCTAAGTTGAAGGAGGAGGAGTTTTACGATGCTGTGGAAGCTGCTCTAGACACATTAGACAGAGACGAAGAGGTGAGAAAACAAAGGATTGCCATAGTTCCAAGCGAGGAAAAACCTCTCTGCTCTTTACCTGTAACTCACGAACTATATCCGGAAATTAAGAGAGTTGTTGATGAACATATTCGACATGCTGATCTCAAAGGATCTGAATTAACTTCCGATTGGCAATTAATTGCCGAAGAGGGAGAAATGAAAGTGTATAAAAGAGAATTAGAAGAGAACGGTGTGGTTGTTGACCCAATTCGAGCAGTTCATACTGTTTCGGGGGTTACAGGCCATGAGATGTGCCATGTCTTTTGGGATCCCTCCGTTCGAATGGAATGGGAAACAACATTGGAAGATTCTAAGGTTGTCGAATGGTTAAGCAAAGATACTCTAATCTCATTTCAACTTCATAAACGAATGTGGCCATCATCGCAACGTGATTCATTATTTTGGACAACAATACAACATTATCATGATACTGAAAACGACGATGGGCCAGAATATTGGGTAGTAGTTAACAAAACAACTGAACACGTAGAAGATCCAGTAAGTTTCTATTTTATTTTATTACAATTCTTTTTCCTTTATTACTTCATTTTCGTTATCAAAGATGATCAAGCAAAGATAGGAAAGAAATTAGTTTTTACATTCTTAACAGTATTATTCAGATAATGCAATAGCCAATAAAACTATGTCATACATTGGCATCTCGAATAATCTTTGACAATACCAAAAAAGTCTACATTCCATTTAAAAATAGGTTGACAAATTAGAGATAGACCATTTTGTTATTTATATAGTTTATACTTAGAGAAAAAAAGGGGCGTATAAGTACTTGAAACAATTGTAAAAATGAAAAGAAGAGTAAAAAATAAACCATAGAGAAATCAATTAATATATAAATATATGAATAACCTATCAGGCAGGGTACTTGCAGGCTTTTAAAGCAAACACCTTTTCTATCTCCATTTCATGTACAGTTTTTTAAAATCTTAGTACTAGTATATACAGTATATATATATATCGTATCATCTCTTAATAGTTTCCGAAAGATTAAGAAATGACTTTATAGACTGATAGTTTTCTGTTGTAAACCTAAATATAGAAGATAATATGTACATATATACTGTATATATATAGATTTTTTTCAAATGTTTTTACAAGATCTTTTCTTTTTGTAGAAAAATTCTAAATGGATAAGAATACGCTTTAACGTATCACTTATCTGCGAAACTGTTGTAAAGCCACCAGTAGATGGTAAACAATTAACAAGGGATAATGTTTCTTGTAAAGTACAATATGCTGCTAATAGTGAGTATTTTCGTATCAATTATAACGGATATATATATATATATATATATATATATATACATATACATGTAGTATGCTTTAATGTTTAATTAACTAGTTTTTATATAAGTAAACTCAAATATTGTATCTTTTTTTTCTGTATTCAATACTTTTCTTTTCTCTCTATAACAGTAAATCCAGGTGGTTGGGCTCCGGCATCTGTTGTTCGGGCTTTGTCAAAGAGAGAAATTCCGAAATTTTTAAGGACATTTACGAAATACGTACAGGAAAAGACTAAGAACGAACCAATTATGCTTTGAAAAAGTATAAAAAAAAGGAATACTTTTGTAAAAAAAAAGGAAAAGAAACAAAAATTGAAAACAATTATATAAATATATAAATGTATATATATATATATATATATATATATATATACTATTTATATAGGTATATTTTTTCAAAATAATACTCCAAAATAACTATTTTTTGTGTGTCAATGCAATGCATAAAACTTTGTAAATTAAAAAGGAGAGAAATAAGAGAATAAAACAGAAAAAAAACAAAAAAAACACAAACTAACAAGAGGATGGATAAATAGTCATATTCCTTGTTTATATTGTCAACGTTCATTTACCCTATTTTTTTGTACACTTGAACAAAAGAGTGTTTTTCTTTTTTTCGCGTTCATTATTTACTTTATACCAAAAATTTCTCATAAGAAGAAGAGATTACATTTTGATTGACTTTTCCGTTTTTCTTCATCTCTCTCGCTTGCTAAGAGTTTCCAACGGAAAAAGGAAATAAGAATATAGAATGAAATACAAGAAAGAGAGGAAAGAAACAGAAATTAAAATAATGCGAGAATTAGTAATGTTTTGTTCATTTTACTTGAACAACAAGCAAATATAGTTTTGCTAGTTGTTGTTTCATTGTAACTGAAAATATGTTTTCCTTTAAAGAATGAAAAAATTGAAATAATTGTGCTTTTTCTAAAAATAAAAAAAATACTTTGACTTTAACTTTCTAAAACATAAAGACAATCTTTCATTTTATGCCATTGGCAGAACTCTCCTTTTAACCTACTTATAAAAATTTACTTAGGAAAACGAGAGGGAAGGAGAAGTTCTTGGAAACGTTTAGCATACGCAATATATACAGTATATACAATACGGATAAAACATGAATTATGTAGGGTAAAGACGAGGACCAGGATTACTAATAACTGTTTTATAAGCAGAGAATGGAATTTATGAGCTATTATTCCTTTGTGACATTTCGACGGAATTTGTATTTTTTGGAGGAGGATGAGAGAAAAGGAGGATAATGGTAGAAGAATAATTCAATAAATTCGATACACACGATAGTCTTAAAATCTTTTTGAATGAGAATCGATCAATGATATAGGCGTGTTGATATTCTAACTCGGAAATGAATCTGTTTAATGTGAGAAAAAATAAGGGAAGGGGAGAATGATAGAGATGTTAATACTTAATAAATATTCATTTAAGCTTTTATATGACAGAATAAAAGAACGTTTTAACAATTTAGAATGTGTCATAGTTTATTTATATATATGAATTGAAGTATTTTTGTAAATATTCATAATTATATACTTTCTATTCTAAACTATTCCTCTCTAAAAGAGAGATGCTGTTAACTATCCCACGAGTATTAAATGAATAAATTATCAATAATTATTAGTTAACTAGCAACATAAAGATGGCAATTAGAACGACAATATTGTTCATACAGTAAATAACAAGAATACTAATAGATACAAAATATCCTATTGTTTAGACCTTAGACTTTTAGATAGACATTAATATCTTTTCATTCAAGAAAATTAATCACGATATCTTTAACACTTTGATGATTTTTTTTCTTTATGGTACAGTTTAAATCAATCAAAACCAATACAATTAAAGATTAGTTTTACAAGAGCATTTCCACGAAACTAATCTATAGAACTTACATATGCAAGCCGTATACTAACAAATGTGTTATTTAATATTCTTTTTTGTGTTACTACATCTCTTTTCAATTAAGAATGATAACTATATCTATTAGGAAAATTTTAGAATTCTTTGTTAAAGAAATGTTATGCACACAATGAAAGAAATTTCAAAATATATATTTTTATAGAGCTTTTCAATATCAAACGGAAACGGATATAGAATGCAGACGCCCTCTATCGCCTATGAAGATTAAGCAGCTGTCGTAGATGTTATGAAGAAAATCGGCTTGAAAAGATGAATAAAATTAGTATGACATGCTTAATCACTGTCTCCATCTTCCTATTGATCAATTTATCTCATTCTTATACTGAATTTTCACCCGGATATATAAGCAAACGTGGAAAAAGATCATCAATCGAACCCACCTGTCCCTCTAAAATAGAAGAACGAAAAATCATACAAACTACAAAGTCTATCAAAAATGGAGCACTATTTATACCTCTAAAAGTAAAAATAAAATCACAATCAGATTGCTTAAGAGAATGCTGCCAAAGGCCAAACTGTTCCTTGGCTGTTTTCAGAGTCCAGGTTGGTTTATTTATAATATCGTATATATCTTTCGCTCATACTTTAACAACAGTATCATTTAAAGAGTTTTGTCAATAATTTCCATTATATATTAAAGTTTTCATACTTCCTTGAAGGGTTCTCCATCTTGCTATCTATTCAATTGCGGAAAACCTGATAAATGTAAATTGGCGGACAATGCTAAATTTTCTGTTATAAGAAGAGTAAATATAGTCGATCACGAATCTGAATTGGAGGGTTTGGCGCAAAAAACAAAAAGTATACCAACTACGACAACTACAACTACTTCACAACCAACAACAACTACGAGAAAACAATTGGTTGGTTTATACGGAAATTGTAATACCGACAAGGATTGCGCCACTCCGAGCACAATATGTTTAAGCGGATATTGTCAATGTCGACAAAACTATCATCCGAAGGAAGGATATTGTCGTTAGTATTGGAAAGGAGAAAGATTTTTATTATTATTTGTATTACTACCATATTTTAACCGCAGGTCAAACTTGCAATCGATATCAATTTGAATGTAGAAATGCTGGTCAACCATTAATGACACCTCAATGCGTAGCAACATATAATGTATGTGATGGGATAGCTCATTGTAAAGATGGCTCTGACGAAGAAAACTGTCGTCCAACGACTTCTTCAAGTAAGCGAAAATCATTTTTTTTTAATATAAAATGCTAAAGTCTCTTTATAGTTTTTATCTTTTGTATTAAATTGTATAGTTGATATTTAAAGGTTACTTATTATATATTGTAATATAAAATATTTTTACTTCCATCAGTCGATGATTTACTAAAGTTTTTTGAACAAGTAATAAAACACAGTAAGTTAAATGATAGAGTATAAGAAACTAGCAGCATAAAACCTAATAATAATACGAAAACTTTAACTAATTGCTTTTCTCTGACTGTCCCTCTTTCTATATAGAAATTATATAAGTATATATGTATAAATAGACACAATACATGTAATATTTCTATTCGTAGAAAGAGAGACTGAAATACCAGCTTTACTTTACGCCTCTATAATATAAATGGCTTAACTAACTAAAATAATAGCCTAGCCAAGCTTTTAGGTGTATCTTTTTTGTCGATACTGCCATATTAATTATATATATATATATATGTTTATCTTATACTGTATGTTTCTCTATATTCATTTTTAAGCAAAGATCAAAGCTATAATTTTATTTGTTTTTTTTCTTGTTATTTTATATAAAGTAATTTAAAAAAAGCACAATGTTACAAACAAAAATTGGAAACGGTTGAATGATTCGTTAACAGCTACCCATCAACCAGAACAAATACCATTTTTACGCCCAGTTAATCCGAATGCGCAATTGCCTCATGGACGAAAGGTTTACAGACCAATTGTTATGAAAACTGAAAAACCGCCTACTTATCCTCCATCCATTCAATCTCCTCAACTTATCACACAACCGCCAACAGAGAAAAAAATAAACAACGTTCAAAAACAGCAAGAGAATGTTGATATACCTAATCAGGAAGAAAATGATCAAGTTAATACTAATAACCAAAATGAAGACAACTTATCTAAAATAGCTGAAAATGAGAATAATAGGGATAGGGGAAGAGAAAATCAAAACAAAATATATCAACAAAAAGCTCCAGAACGTAAACCACAACCCACCTTTGTTCAACAAAAGTTCCCTACAAATTCGAATAATGATAACCTAGATGCTTTCCCAGGGAGATCTCGCCAACAATTTAATAATAATCGTCGATACGATCCTCGTTACTGGGCATATATATATCAAAATCCGCGCAGACCTATCCAGAATTATTACGACGCAGTGGATTATGATATAGATTATTCAGGTTGGTCCAAAAATATTATATAGATCAACCGAAAAGAAAATAATATCCAAAAAAGTACAGCTTTTATTATTGCTATAATGACAATTTTTTTATTCTAATAATCGAAAAGACCAACAAAATCCGGCAAAAGGATCTCAAGTAAACGGTTATCGTCGACCAATGTGGCCCGGTAGAATATTTATATGAAAGCATTTGCATTTATGTGATTTCCTTCCCTTCATCACTCAAAAATTTCCATATTTTACTTGTTTCACCTATATATCACATAGCATGTTTCCCTCTTTTATGTTTTTTTTTTAATAACACCTACAGTATACAGTATACATTATACATCTTATTGTATATGTATGTAGTTTTCGCGTCCTTTTCGTAATGCATATTTGTTTATCTTTCTCGACCCGTTTCTCTAGTATGCTTTAGTTGTTTGTTTTTTTTTTCTTTCTTTGCTTAATATTGCTAATTATAACATAACTAAAATAGCAAAGTATACTATATAGAAAGAAAAAAAACAAACTAATTATATCAGAATATTCCTCTTTTTTTTATTAGTAGTATGTTTTTTTTCTATGAAATTGATGTTGTTTTAACAGACTAATTAATTGGTTTATTTTTACTAAATTAAAACAAAAGTAGTACATAATTTCTATTTCAACAGGAAAAATGAAACAAAGTCAAACTATAAAAAAACCTGATGGTAAAATATTCTTTTAACATTTTCCTATTCTATTTATTGTTTATTTATTTAAAAAATTAATTTATAGGTCATGAAGCCTCAATGACAAGACCAAAATCTCATGGTAGTGACAATACTGATGACAATGAGCAGAGTAAACCCAGTACAACAAAAATACCTGTTGAAATTAAACAAACAAAGGGTAAATTGTCGTTTATTATTTCTTATATTTTATATATAAATGCAATATGTGTGCAGTAAATATATATATTAATATTGTTATTATTTTTTATAGCAAAAACTGAGGCTTTTAAATCAACTACAAAGAGTCTAATTGAAGCGAAATCACTTGTAGACGTTACGACTAGAGCAGTTAAAAATGTTTCCAAAGTACGGATAGAAAATGATCATCAGAGCCAAAGTGTTAAAGGAGCAGTTATAGCTCTATGCCTGGGCCTAATTATTACTTCGATTCTTCTATTTTTCATTGCTTTTAAATTAAGGAGATCAGTTAGAAGATATAGAAAAGCTAGGCACTTGAACGGGGGTGGAGCTGTCGACGCTGATTATTTGGTTAATGGAATGTACTTATAGCATGTACTTGTAATTGAAAATCAATTGAAGTTATAAGAAAGAGAATTTTTCATAATTATCAAAAATGGGTTGGATAAATAAAATTGGGGAACATAGAAAAATGGGAATAATGAATCAATTCACCGAACTAACAAAGGCAAAAGAAAAAAAAATCAAAAGAAAAAAAATAGTATAATCCTAATTTCTTTCTTATTTTTTTACATTTTTTCAATGCTTAAGTTTCTATTTTAACTAATTTCAAAATGTTTATTTGTCAACAACACCTACATATTATTATGTAAATAGTTGTTGTGTATATATACTAACGTATACAACTTTTACGTTGATAAGCTATTTTTGTAGAGAGAAAGACATCTTTCTTTTTCGAATGGTATCTTTAACATTCTTCTATTTTTTTAAAATATTTTTAATATTTTGTTTTTTCGTTGTCGAAATCTTTTAAGAAAAGAAAATAAGAGAAAAAAAAAGCAAAATTGAAAGAAATATAAATGTATTTATATTACTTTTTAACATTCCAATTTTGTTGTCTGTGATAATTATTTCGTAATAGAATTTAAAACATTAAATCTAACAAGAAGACATGTTTATGCTTTATGCGTCTGTACTTAAATGTTAAACATATATATATATATAAGAATATATATATATATACGTTTACTATTGAATAACCTTGTCCTCTGCAAGGAAAAGAAAATTATCTTGTGTTATTTTTTCTTGCCTCCTTAAAAAATTAATTATATTCTACTGAAAAAAAACTTAATAAAGGATAATCAAAATATAAAATGTCATCGTTATAAAACCTTTATAGACCTTTTTAACGTTTAGATATATTGTATATAATATATTTAATTTCAGCTTTTTTTCATTACTATAATTATAGGGATAATGTACTTTATTAAACATAATCTTTCGTTTTATATATTGCTATTAAAAGTCTCTTTTTTTTAAATATATAGTATAGCCAAATCAAGCAACTTTAATAATATTGTGATTTAACCTAGTAACTATACTTTTCATATTCTTTTTCATTTAGAACTATTAAGTGATTTATATTTATTAATGTACATATTTTTGGGTACATTTTCGCTCCTTAACTGAAAAGAAAAGCAACGCTCTCCCGTATTTAAATTGCTAATATATCAATATAATTTAACATACATAATCAAATTTCTTTTTTATATACCTTGGTAGGGTAATATTGAATTAAATCTATTGTATAGAAAATACCTATCAACTTTTATAAATGACTGGTTTGCTTATTTGTTTTGATTCACTTGTTTGAATACCGTAAAATTAATAAAATGTAAAGATAATTTGCCGTAAATAAAAAAGTACGAAAATAGCTCTTCTGCTGAAACCGGAAATACGTCATAGAGTTAATGTTTGGATTTTGTCGCTCAACGAATTTTATCGAAAAAACACCCATAAATCTGTCTATATGCTGTCTTTAATTATCTATAATGAAGGGAAAATCCAAATCTAATAATTCTACTTCGGCAAATAATAACGATGGAGAAGAGGAAGAGTGTCCTTTGCAATTTCCAGATTTCAAGCCTGTCGATCATGCCCGAGTCTGTCCCAGGTTTGTGTGGTTGTAGGCCTACTAGACCAAAACAATTGCTCAATCATACTATATTTCTCAGTATGTCATTGTAAAGATGTACATATTTAATCAAATCACTGTAAATATTAGTAATTATCCGGGATTGCAATATTAGATATTGATATTCTATACTCTACATAAAAAGTGTTCTTTAAAAAGAATACTTTTACAATTCATTTAGTAACGGATTTTTTTTTTAGGTATACATCAGTCCTGACTAGACAACAGTCCGAAACGATCGGGCCTGAGGAATTGGATACTTTACAATCAGAATTAGAGACCCTGCTATCTTCCGCCGCTAAAAGGATGAAATTGCTTGAAGAGGAAAAAACAACCCTTACTCTTTGGCAAGAAAAGGGTGAGATTAAACGGGCACCAAATAAATCAAAAGATTTAAAACGAATGGCTAGTCCTGTGTCCTCCGAACGGCCATCTAAAAAAGCAAAAGTTGAAAAGAAGAAGGCCGTAAAGTTAGAACTCGTAGAAGAACCAGACGCTGCGGCAACTATTCCTAAGATTCCCAGAAACGAAACTCCTTTAAAATTCTGGCGAACAGTTGATATGTATTGCAATGATTTTTCCGGAGAGCATCTAAAAACACTGGAAGATATAATACGAAGTTTATCCGACCAATTAGATTATTACAAAGTTCCTGCTTTAGGTAAAGGGGAAAATTATAAAAAATCTTTTTCATTTAAATTTTACAATGATTGTTATTGTTTTAATTAGGTAAGCATTACTCTGAAAAATGGGCCATAAAAGATTTAGAAAATGAAAAATCGAAAACTGACAAAGATAAGAAAAAACGCTTAGGAGAAGATTTTACTCCCCCCGAAGATAGGGAACCGGAAATTTTAATGAAAAATTTGCAGGCAAATGAAGAAGATGATCCGTTTCAACCTCTTACAAAGTATTTATTATTAGTTTAAAGCAAATTATCTCAATTGATTTTCATATTTTTTCTCAATCGCAGATTACTCGTACAGTCTCTCCTAGACGATCCGGAGGCATTATCGATTTTAAACGAGCCAATGTCCGATGATGTTGACATATCAGAAGCTCCTACAGTTACTACTAAGTCATTGGCAAAACAAGTTAATGTAAGACACATAGCAAGCATATCATACAATTAATTTTAAATTCTATGTAAATACTTCATTTATCTGACTTTTTTTTTTAGATTAATATGGGTAGTGCTCTTTCATTGGAAAGACGAATAAAACGAGAATTAACCATACAAGATCTGCTAACAAAAGAGACTGAAAATAAGAACGGGGTATTAGAATCACCATCTGCTAATAATGCAGATGTTGATGATGAAATTCTCAAAGAGTTGCAAGAAAAACAAACTCTTTTAAAATCTTTAACAGATAAAACTTTAAAACAGACAAAGAGGCTTTATAATTTAGCAAAAGCCCAGATGCAGATACAACAGCTAAGAAATAAGAAGAATAACTGCGATCAGAATGTAATAGACTCATATAATAAAATTTTAAGTATTCGGTCAAAGAAAAAGAGTCCCAGCAAAAAGGAGAAAGAGGGAGTTATAAAAAGTTTAAAACAGCGTCAAGCTCTCGTAGACACTTTAAATGAATCAAAAAGACATTTTAACGATCTTATGCGGAAATTCGAGACCGATACGGAAGATGGTGCTGTTATAACGAATGGTGCTTCCGATTAGTTGAGGTTTAGCGGGTTTTTGTTGTAAAGATAGATATTCGTCTTCAAAAGTGCCCCTTGACGAAGAACTGGAGGTGACCTCACCTTCTTTCTCCTCACACATCTCTTCTCTTCATGCTGTGTATGTCAGTCTCTTCTTATTTCTCCCTTCAAAGTATTTCACTTTTTTTCTCTATATACATCTTTTTCCTTCTGTCGTATGAACTTGATCAACTTTAGAATGGATTTCAGAACAAAATCGTTATTGGGCACTTAAGAATACTAATATCTATTCATTTAATGAATGCTTGGTGATCTGTTCTTTTATTATAATTCGTTTTTCGTTCTTTACATTTTTTTGTACTGAAAATGAGCTCAAAATTGTACAAATCATTTATAAGTAAGAAAAATTTATTAATAAATGGTTTACAGAATGTTAATTTTTTGTACTCTTTTTTTTTTTATACAAAAATAAATATAAATGAGATAATAAATTTAGGTAATGCACATCAAATAAACAGAAACCAACTCAATCTTTCTTTACATCTCATTTTGATCAGGTTTTCCCTTGAGAAACTAAAGTGTTGTCAATAGTATGCTTCAAACGTGACTATACTGTATTTCTAGAGGCGTAGAGAATTTAAAATCATTTCTAAGTACTATTACTTCACTTTAAGCTCTATTCTCTGCTGTAACATTTTTTAAATGGCGCTCCGTTCAAAAATATAATCTCATTATTATAGAAGAAAGAATTAGGTCAAACTTTCTAGAAAATTTCATCTGTAATAAGAGACAATTTATAAACTTATCCTTGATCTTATTGAGAATCATAGCGCATGAATGAGAACTCTCAAACTGAACATTGTAATTTTATAGAGACAACAAACACTGCTAATTCCAAGAAATTTGCTGAGATGAAGTTAAATTAACGAGTATATCGATTTCCATTCGTCTTATCTATTTATATCTCGAGAGATGTGAGAGTAAACAATTTTCCTTTTAAAATGTCAATTTGCAATTACTTTAAGCAAAAATTTCTCTTTGCTTTGAATCAATTTCTTACTAATTAATTTCAAGAAGTTATAGATAATAAAATCAATTTACAATGGTATGTTTAATGTTTTTAATTCTAATTTCTGCAAGTATTGTTCATTCAAATTTATTAATTTCTTTCTTTTTTTTTAGCATATAAACTTCCGGTTAATTATTTCCGGTGTGGTATACTGTCTGGAGTTTGCTTAGCAATAACACTCCTAAGAACTTTAACTGAAAATAAACTGTCCATGTGTATACTGTATATACTGTATATATACAGTTGTTTCTTAAATGCGCATGCGCGTACTATGATAGATTCTCTGGTTTCGGAATTTCAATTTAGATCTGAGTGACTTTTGTACAAGATCGTCTTAGATATCGAGTAAATCATGGACAAACCGAATAATAAACTTAATATGGAACTTCGAAAACTATTTATGGAACAAAAGCGCCTTCTAGCAGAATATGAGCGTCAAAAACAGGTTTGATTGCTTTTTCAGAGTGTTCTTTATAATCGTTTTTGAATGAAACAATCTAAATACATGTGACTGTCAGAATAAATATTATGTAAGATAAATAAAAACAATTATAGCTCCATAACTGCAAAATTAAAAACGAAAAATTAATTAAATTAAATAAACTAACTATAGTATTTGTTTATATATAATAGATATCAGCTAAATTTCGAAATACCCCTCTCCCGTACATAGAGTAAGTATATATTTTTATGATCCAAAATATTCAATACTAACCCGTCTGCATTGCGTTTAGGCAAGATAAAGAAACCATTGAGAGAGAATTATGGTTAAATGCAACCTGTCAAGTTTTACTTCAAGTTGGTAAACCCGTTCCTCAAGCTGGTATAAGTCAAGCTGTATTAGCTCAGGGAATAATACCTTCAGAGTAAGCAAGATGACAATTATCAAAAAGTGTCATTGATAAATATCAATATGAATGACTGACCAATGATTATAAATATTTTTGCAGTATGTCAGTTAGTCTGTCAGATGCAGTTCAAAAAGAATTAAATAGGAAATCAAAGAGTCGAATAAGAGGAGTTCCCGGTCAACCAGGTGTCATATGTCTGGCAGACTCGGAAGTTGGGAATAGGGGATCAAAAGCAAAAAAAGAAAAAAGTGCAACCGAATGGCGAGAAAAGTATAGGGAGTTAAGGGCTTTCGTTAAAAAGATGATATTCGTAAATTCAGCTTATTGCGATCAAGTTTGTAAAGTTGAAGAGAAGATCGCTAGGGCTAAAAATGTTAGAAGATGCTTAGTAAAGAAATTGTTAACATGCATGGTTGAGCATAGTGGAGCTAATGGAAAAGTTTCAAATGCAGCCTTAGAAAAGCTAATAGCCGTTTCAAAGAATTCGTCAGCTGGTCGACGTATACCTGCTCCTAGGAAAAAACGAACCATAAGGGAAACATTAGAAAAACCAAAATTATTAGTTCAGCCTCTACCGGTAGATTCAAATGGAAAGCCAGTCTTTCCGATAGTTCTTCAAGAGTTAACTGTACACTCTTTAGGCGTTATACCTCCAATAGAAAAATTACCATTATTTAATGATAGCAATTGTATATATCCAATTGGATATTCGAGTTCGAGAACATTTCTATCCTTTTTAGTAAGCCAAGGCTTACAAGCCTGTACTTATTTGTGTAGGATAGAAGATGACGGTGGAAAACCAAAGTTTATAATAACTATAGACGATGAGAGATTTACCCATAAATTTGCATCAAATAGCATAGATCAAGTACATTCACTTCTTCTTCAGGGAATCAATCAATCCTTGTAAGTTGATTTATGTTTATTAATATTTTTAATATTTTTTTAACGTAACCTTTTATTAATTTAGAACAAAACAAACTTTACCAAATGAACCAAATGGAGCTGCCTTTTTTGGTCTTGATAATCCAAATGTTATGGTAACTACACATAATATATTATATATATTGTATATATATGTAAAAGTTCTTTAATTTTATAGAGTTTAATTCAATGTTTATCTGGAGCTAAGAAATGTTCCAAGTACGACTGGAAAAAGTTTACTGTCAGTAAAAGAGAAGGAGTTCAATGGACTGAATCTAATAAGCCTTCTGTAAGTTTTACAGCGGCTTTGAGATATTTATCAACACCTTAAAACACGAAAAAATGATGCATTTCCTTTTATACCATTAAACATATTTCTTTTGTTGTTAAAAAAATAAAAAACTAATAGTTAACTTTGTAAACGTAGCCTTTATACACTGATTTTTAAGTTTTTAGTGTTATATACTTTAATATATATTTGTATATAAAAGTCCATTCCTATATATAACACTTCCATGATTAACACAGCATATGAGCTTGAATAATGGGAATAAAACTATTGTGCAATTGAACCAGTTCTTCACATAGGAAAGGTATATTAAAATTATATATAGAACTGGTAGCCTTATTTTTCTGAGCGATAATTGGGAATAGAAAAGACTTATAATTTTTTGTTAGAAAGCAAAAATAAATAATCTAGGATGTTAACACTTGATAATACCGTCCGTAGATGAACCGTAGAAAAATTTTCTCTATTAAAGCCTTGAAATATCCTCTACTTGATTGTCAATTTTCTAACCTAACGGTATAAAGTAATGGCAGATCCAAAAGCATTACAAAAAGATGCTTTTACATTTGCCAGCAGAGCTGTTGAATGTGATAAACAAGATATGATTGAAAATGCAGTGTTCTATTATCAGGTAAATCAATAATGAACATTTTGTATAATTTCAATGATATAATATTATTGTCATACAAAAGGAGGCAGCAAACGCTCTATTATCGGCATCTTTATATCAAAACGATAGGCCAGATTTTATAGAAAAAGCACAAGAGTACCTTAATAGATCGGAGCAGTTAAAAACTTCACAACATGCTAGAACGTCTTTCAACGAGCCAGTAAAAACAGAAATTCAAGTATGAGTTTTAACTTTTTGTGTATTTGCAGTACTTTGATTTAAATAATATTAATCTTTCTAATTTATTAAAGAAAAATATAGAACGAATAAAATGTCTCTTAAACGAAGCTTGCGAAGCAGACGAAATTAATAAGGATGAGGAAGCTTTAGAGATTTATATGGAAGCTGCTGAAATTTGCATTAAAATAGTATGTTTTATCTTTTAAAAGCCGCAACTGATCAGTTAAATTCTTAAACAAATATTATTTAATAGTCTAAAGAAACGACAGATGAAATTTTAAAAAAGAAACTAAAAGATCAAGCTAGTAATGCTTTATCGAGGTAAACGATCATTCTATCTTTAGGAGTATACTATACTCTATATATATACATTCTAGAAGTTTTACTTATTTCTGTTTAGGGCTGAAACTTTAAAATCCAGAATAAACTCTGTTGCCTCAAATACAACTAGAAAAAATTCAACAACTAATGCAAAACCTCTTGGAAGTCTATTGAATGATGGTGAACCTTCATTGAGTAGTGGAAGTAAAGGAACTGCACCAAAACCAACTGGTGGATCATATACGAAAGAAGAAAAGGATGTACTTAAGTAATTATTAATAATTAAATAGTTAATAGTTAGTTTTGCACATTATAATACAAGCTCTTTTTCATTATAACCTTTAAAGAACCACATCAACCATTAATGGAAGAGAATATGTTCCTTTTATGATTGGAGATTTAAAGGAAAAATTTGCCTTTCCAATCCCTTATACGTTTGTATTTAATATGTTTACTTTTCTTGTCTTATTTATATAATCTTAATAGAGATAAATGGGGACATCTGCAAATGTCTGATAAACAGAAACAGAGATTTTCTCGTTGGGTTAGGCCTGACGAAATAACCCCCGAACCAAAAATGATTTATATTGTCTCTCCTATGAGCATTCGACAAGTATGTTTTTCATAATTTCCTTATTAATATTACTCTTCTTCTCTTTCTCTCTAAATCAAAATCGTGGTTTTTTTCCCTCTAATAGACGATTATTTCCGATTGCTCTTTCGTCGCCTCATTAGCCGTTAGTGCACAATATGAAAGACGTTTTAATAAGAAACTTATAACAAGGTGATTTTTAATTGCTAAATAGTAGGGTCATAACTGTAAAATCGTTTTTTTTTTCAAGTATAATCTATCCTCAAAACCGACAAGGACAACCTGTATATAATCCCTGTGGGAAGTATATGATCAAGATGAATATTAATGGTATCCATAGAAAGGTTACCATAGATGATCTTTTACCAATGAGCGCTTCTGGGGAGTTATTGTGTTCTTATTCGTCAAACAAGGGAGAGTTATGGGTCTCTCTTTTGGAAAAAGCTTATCTGAAAGTAATGGGTGGTTATGATTTTCCTGGTTCCAATTCTAATATAGATTTACATGCGCTTACTGGTTGGATTCCTGAAAGATTATCGATTGATAATGAATTTGACGCTGATAAGGAGTATAAAAGGATTTGCGAAAGATTTCACAGAGGCGATTGCTTGGTAACTGTTGCCACTGGGAAAATTTCTGAGGGTGACGCGGATAGGGCTGGACTAGTTCCTACTCATGCCTATGCCTTATTGGATATACGTGAAGTTAAGGGCCATAAGTTAATTCAGTTAAAGAATCCCTGGAGCCATTTAAGATGGAGAGGAAATTTCTCTGAATTGGATATTAATCATTGGACTCCAGAGATGCAAAAACTTTGCAATTATAATCCGGAAAGTGCTCAGAATCATGATAATGGCGTGTTTTGGATTGATTACGACTCCCTAAGGAAATTTTTCTCAGTCATTTATCTTAACTGGAATCCTGAATTGTTTAAGCATACTACTTGCGTTCATCAGTAAGACTACTATAATTATTCGTATAATTTATTACAAATATCGATTCCCTGTATAGTACATGGAAAGCTAAAGAAGGACCTAAGAAGGATAGCTATAATATTGGAGATAATCCACAGTATAAGCTTGAAATTAAACAAAAGGGAAGTTGTGCAATATGGATTCAGTTAACGAGGCATATAACGGATAAAGACGACTTTGCCGAAAATAAAGAATTTATTACTGTTGTAGTGTTTAAAGGAAACGGAAAACGAATTTTTTATCCATGTAAATAGATATTTACTTAATTTCTTCTAAATTATCATTATCCCACATTAATCGTACAGATAATCCTCCTCCTTATAAAGACGGTGTTCGAATTAATAGTCCTCACTATTTATGCAAAATGGTTGAAGAAGGTCCTGCAGCTTATACATTAGTTATATCTCAAGTAATTTTCCTTTTTTATTATATATTAATGAATTTTTAATATTAATCAGTTATCGTCGTTTTTCTAGTATGAAAAATCAGTTACGACTCATTATACTCTACGAGTTTATTCATCTCTTCCATTCGGTTTGTCCAAAATCAACGATCCTTATAATTCAAGATATGAAAGAGATATTAATGATAAATGGGAAGGAAAAACTGCTGGTGGTTGCTCCAACTATCCAAATACTTGCCGAAACAATCCTATTTATCAAATTCATTTAGATAATAATCACGCTAACAATATGATGCTATTTGAACTAAAAGCTCCAAAGTATATTGTTTTTTCTTTTATATTCTAACAAGTTAATATAACATTGCTATTTTTCAGACAATATTCAGTTTGTGTTGAAGCGACTACTGTTAATGAAAATGTACCGGGAACTGTTGGTTCTTTTAAAAAGAAAGATTCGGGAAGTTATAGACCAGGCTTTTGCGTTCTCGATTTAGAAAGCATATCTGGAGGAGTTTATAATGTAACCGTCTCTACTTTTAAGCCTGAACAGGAAGGGCCATTCATTCTCACTATAAAATCTTCGGAGAATTTTAAAATTTCGAGACTTCAATAGAAAATCAAAAGAAAAAAAATGAAAGAAAAAACTTTAATTTACTGATTTTAACGTATTTTATTAAGAAGAATTTCATGAGGAAACCAACAACAACAACAACAACAACAATAAGAACAGCTGACGAAGACAAACAGATTTTTTTCATTCATTTTACATTCAAGCTGGCTGTTTTCTAAAGTGACAAAAAACTAATAGACAACTATCCTAAAAACCTATTAATTATATATTATTATCAGTTATATATCATATTAAATACAACCTTTAAAATATTAAAATAGTGAGACTAACAATAAAAATTAAAAGATAACTATAAGAAATCAATTATCAATTAGGCAAGCTGTAGAGTCTTTTATACTGTGTTATATTTTGGTGATTTTCTTTCTCTTTCAATGTTTGCTTAGTAAGTTTTGACGATACGAGGAGAGACAAGAGTTATTTAAATGCAAAAAAACGCTGTAGGACATTTGTTTCTTGATTAATCCCATTAAGAGTCTTCATCATTCCTTCTCTATTTACGGGTTATTTAGGGTTGATTCTCTGAGGATATTTGATTTATTCTTTTAGTTTTAATCATCATAGTGTTCGCTCACTATTATATCTTAAAGGCTACAATCAATTCTATAATATAAAGAGGAGAAGAAAGAATATTAAAAGAAAAGAGAGCGAGAATTCTGATATTTTATGATATTGGTTTATTTATCAACTTCATTTAATCAACATTCCCAATGACTATCTAAAGATATACACTAAAAAAGCACTAAAAGAGTATATAAATATGAGCTGTACGTTATTTAAAAATATACAGTATATACTATATAGACATAAAATTTGTTTATCAGTCATAATACGAAGATATCTTTTTCTATCTGTTTAATGCCGATAATAAACAGTAGGATATAACAGTTCGGTTAGAAATCGTAAAATTCAGTATCACTTTCATCTGAATGAACTTCTATTGGAGGGAGATTTTCGTCCAAGAACTTTTTCCTTTGGTAGATTTCATTAGGGAAATATGAATTGAACGCTAAATAGTCTTTTAATTGATTGTCAATTTGTAAATGATTAATTTTTAAATAAGCAAAACGACCAAGTGTTTTAAATATTTTTGCTCTGACTAGAATTTTTAATGGTCTAGGATTTTTGCAAATTTGTTTGATAAAATCTTGAACTGTTTGTCTTCTATGTAGGGCTAGAGGCCAATCTAAAATATTTTCTCTTAGCCATTCCTCATTCTGATATGTCGGCTTTATGTCTAAAAGAAAACGAAAGAGTATAAATAAACATTTTTCGGCAACTTCCTTGACAGTGATGTTCAATTTGGAACCGTATCTAACAAGTGTCATTGCGCAACTTTCTTCACCTAAATTTAGACACATTTGCAGAGGAGTTTCATTCCAATGAAACTTTTTATCGCCATTTGTTCCATAATCGCAAAGTAACCTTACGCTCTCGGCGTCACCTGACTTAATTGCTAAGCTTAAAGGCGTCATGTTTGAGTTTGTCTTTGCGTACTTATCAGCTCCATGCTCTAAAAGCATTTGACAAAATTCATAACGCCTAAGCCAAACTGCAAAATGCAGAGCAGTCCAACCATTTTCTGCAGTCGCGTTGATTTTTACAAGAGAGTTAAGTAGAAGTTGAACCAAATGTATGTTTGGGTTCTTAACTGTCCTATATAAAAGGGAAAAAGTGAGATAATTGATTAAGAATAATACTAGAGTATTTCAACCAATATTTTATATCAAATATAAGAGTTTTACGGGTAAATATTTGATTATCACTACACTACATTATACTAAACCCCACTCTCTAATTCTCTCTCTCTCTCTCTCTCCCCTCTCTCTCTCTCTTTCTCTACCCCCTCATTCTCTTTCTTTCACTACCTTTTCTTCTATAGAAATTGAACAATAATAAATACAGAGAAATAGAATATGATATTTCTATTCTTTTCTCTTTCTTCTTATAGGTAAACTTTGGTTTTATCCAAGTGTACACATTTAATACAAACAATTGTCTCTTTTACTCATTTACATTGGGAATAATTGATACGAAATCAATACAATTCTTTAACAATTGCCCAACTAATTTATCATCAATTTCGATTAAACAATACGATCTATCATTAAAAATTAATTTATAAAAAAATAACAATAAGGAATTAACAACAACTAGCCTGATAAGGGGCGATTCTCCTTCATCTTTTAATGCTATACTCCTTAAATTAACATCTGCTCCATAGTAGACCAAAGCTTTACACATTTCAATATTTTCATTAATTAAAGCTTTATAGAATGGTGAATATCCGTATCTACGGTCTAAATAGTTACATTCGCATTTATTTCTTTTTCCTTTACCTTGGAACAGCGCTGATAAAGTTTCTAAATCATTGTTTAAAACTGCAAACCATATTGGCCTATTTCCTGATTTATCTTCGGCGTTTCTATCGGCTGTAAAGTTTTTATTTTCTAATAAAATCTTAGTAATCTCTGTTATTTGATGTTGGCAGGAATATAAAAGAGCAGTTCGTCCCTCTTCATCTCTCTTATTTATATCAAAATTTAAATTCCTTTTAAGGAATTTCTTCAAATCCTCAATTTTATTTTCTTTAATGAAGGACCAAAATTTTTTCGTCGTGTCGTCCATGTTTATGAGTGTTGGTGTTGAGGTTAAATAGGCCTAAACCATTGATTTGTATAACACTTACACATATAGTTATTGATTATTTACAATCAAGGATTTCGAGTGCAAGCTACTTATTAATTCCAGCCTTTTGATTGTTGAATAAATATATACTACTAGTTGATCATTTTTTATTTAGACTTAGATATCCAATATATCTATATAGACAGTTTATATTGCTTTATATTTCCCTAAGTCTGATTATAAATTAAGAAAGAAAGCCTTTATATATATCCTTTGGCCGATTGTTTACTAGTATATATTCAATAAACAAAATCGCTATATAAACTGTGTATATTTTGAAAATATTATAAATTTTCAACTTGATCTATTAAATATTCATTTGTTTTTCTTCTTATCTTCTCAATTTTCCTACATTTTAACCGATTAATTTTCTATTAAAAGAAAAAAGATCAGTGAAGATAGTGTTTCATACATCTCTTATCTTTACCATTTTTCTCTTTCTTTACTGGACGCTCTTTTCTCAGTGAAAACGTCTCAAACTTCTTTTAAAGACATATTATACTTTTCTAATTTTTTTTATCTTTTTTTTTATATAAAAAAAAGATTTTTTCAAAGAGTTTATAGTAAAATATCTAGTGTATTTCTTTATACCTTGGAATATTTTGGCGCGAAATCGCGCTACTGTACAAAGTCTAATCGTGCCGCAGCATCTAGCAGACTTACTTCTTTAGCGAATATGTTTAAAAACGTTACAAGTGCAGTTTTCCGTTCTTTTACTAGACCAATGAATAACAGGTTTATTAATTTACCCTAAGTTGTATATATTCTTTAAAGATTTTTGTCAAAATGTTCAATTTTCCACTTGTTTGGAAAAAATAAAATGATTTGGATGACGGGTCAAAAACTATAATTCTCTTTTCAACAGCCGCTTATTGAGTTTAACTGTTGCCAGAAGATCGTCTCTGGATGATCATTTTAAACAGAGTCAAGATTCTTTAAATAAAGTAACAGTAGATGTTGACAATGACACAAAATTAAAGTTGTATTCGTTATTCAAACAAGCTACTATTGGTACTTGTAACGCTCCTAAGCCAGGTAATTAGGTCTTCAAGATATTTTTGCGTAAAGCCTTAAACCTGTATATTTAAACAAAGGAATGATGGATTTTGTTGGTAAGGCGAAGTGGGATGCGTGGAATAAATTAAGAAATATGACAAACGACGACGCAAAGAAGCAATATATAAACGTTGTTGAGGACCTTCTAAAGCAGAGTGGTGCCCAAACTGAAGCATCCTCTTCATCAGATCAATCAGCCCAAGGTCAAGCCTATGATGGCTTGTCTGTAAAAAAGGATGGACATTTGATGACCATAGCCTTTAATAGACCAAAGAAATATAACGCTATCACCACCAAGATGTATGCCGATTTAACTGAAATTCTGAATACGGCTGCCAAAGACGATTCCGTTAGACTGGTCGCTTTTACTGGAGTAGGGTCGTACTATTGCAGTGGGAACGATTTAAATAATTTTATGGGTGTAGATCCATCTGACATTTCGAAGATTGCTAAAGAATCTGGCAGTTTACTCGAGTTTGCATTCACTTTAATAGCTTATTCTATTATCTATAATAATTATCTTTTATCTTCCCCTACACAGAAACTTTGTTGGAGCTTTTATCAACTTTCCGAAGCCGTTGATTGGTCTTATTAATGGTCCTGCCATTGGAATTTCCGTTACCGTTCTAGGCTTGTTCGACACTGTGTACGCTTCAGATAAAGTGAGTACAAGTAAATTCTGTTATCTTTTTGTTACAAAGTTCTATCTATTTTTAACCTTTGAATTCTAACTAATCGTATTTCTTCCTTTATACTTTGAACACGAAAAATGAAAATAGGCCACATTTTCGACGCCGTTTACAGTTCTAGGCCAAACCCCTGAAGGATGTTCGTCTTTTACTTTCCCAAGAATTATGGGTAATAGTAAAGCTACCGATGTACTTATGTTTAATAGAAAACTTACGGCCGCCGAAGCTGAAAAGTGTAACCTTGTCTCCCAAGTTTTTCCATCTGAGAGTTTCGAGACGGAAGCCTTTGAAAAAGTCAAAGAGTACTCTTCCCTACCTCCACAATCGATGAGATATCAGAAAGATTTAGTAAGAACTTTCGATAGAGAACAATTACACAAGGTGAACAAGATGGAATGCGAAAGATTGGTCGAAAGATGGCAATCGCAAGAATGCATGGAAGCAATTGTTAATTTCTTTACTAGAAAATCTAAATTATAATAAAAAAGATAAAGTTTATTATTTTCAAATTGAGAAACAAAAAACAAAAAGTTAAATATAGAAAGATTAACAGGTAAACAATAAAGATTAATTTGCATAATAGCCCTCTTGATTACATAGCATGTTAATATGATTGAAATGATAATTACTTCCTTTACATTTTAAATTAATAAAATAATACTAAATATATTCTATAATTGTTATATGCATATCTTTTATTTCAATATCAATTTATATAAAATCATATAGAAAGTAGACTTTTTTCAATTTTCAACTAGTCAGTCTTAGGACTTAACACCTAAACTTTTCAATAGATCTACCGCTTCTTTATGAGCCTGGAAAGAATAAAATAGAGCTTCTATTTCTAATGTTAATTAATGGATATAAGTTTATATTTTCTTACATCTTTATCATCTGGAGTTTTTACTGGATGATCTCTAGCAAGTAGCAAATATTCTTTAGCTTTTTCATAATTCTTCATTCTATAGTATGTCTTTCCAATCATTAGACGATTCATACTATAGAAACTTGGATCAACTGTAAAAGAGTTAAGTAAACGAGTATTAAAAAGGAAATTAAAGATACGATAAATACAAATAAGTTTTAGGAGTATTGTATATTATAAACAACTTCTCATATGGCTAAATCTTAAATAAGTATAATGATGAAATGTTTGCCAAATGGATATACGTCGCATAATGTATGACATATATTTTTATTAATATATACACCTATATACATTATGTATATATATACATTTATATATATATATATACTGTATGTAAACATACAACGATTCCTAACTTACGAGTCTCTGGCTCAATTATATCTGAAACTATTAATAAAGTAAAGTAGGGAAAGAGAGAGAGAGAGAGAGAGAGGATCAAAGTGAGAAAATTGATGAAAGAGATGATGATAAAAATATAATTATAATATCATTTTATATTTGAACAACAAATACTTGATACCTACTTTTTTCAGCACCGAGGAAAAACTCTAAGGCCTGAAAAACAATAGATTATGTATACATATATCTTTTAAAACACTATAATATACATTAATATAGTATTAATGATAAAATTAAAGAAACCTCTTCGTATTGACAGGTTGGTGGCGATGCAAATAGTAAAGCAGCAATTTTTTTTTCGTACCATGTCAAGTCAGCGAATACAAAACACCTTTTTTTGTTGTTGTTGTTGTTTTGTTTGTTTTTAGGATCATTGAAAGAAGAAAAAAAATAAAAATCATATGAATATTCATAGACTAATTAAACTATATAATTAATATATATTATATATATAAAGATAATCAAAAATCTTATGTAGAAGGCTTTTTTGTTAATTAATCATCTTTTTTGTTATAATATCATTAAGCTAAATATTTTCTATGGAAAACCTCGGCATAAGTAGAATTAGGAGGAGACGCTAAAAGTGTAGAGGCAATTGTTCTTTCAAATCTCGACAGATCGGCAAAGAGAAAGCACCTTTTCAAAAGATTACGTAATACATACAGTAAAAGAAATAATAATTACAAAATTCTAATAAAAACGGAAAGTCTAATAAAGAAATAAAGAGGAGAGAAAGAGAAAAGAGAGTAACGGCTTAATAAATAATCTAGCCTGACTTCCCGCAACGTTTCACTTATAAGAACTTATCAATCTTAAATAAAAGTATTACATAAATAAGTCTACTTACCAATACCCTAATGAATAATAACAAGTGGGATCCTTAGGATTGAGTTCTATAGCTTTCTGTAAAAGAAAAGAAGGAATAATAATAATATATGAATATAAACGATATAGAATGATGACAAACCAAAAAATGTTCTTTAATAGTATAAGCATTAGATATACGTTTCTTAGTTCCTTCATAACCTCCAATGTAGTCCAACATAATGGCGTACCACTTTATTAAAGTGAAATAATAAAGATATATGTATATATATATATATTAATATAAATAGTTAAAATATGAATAAAAAAACCTTATGACAAGCTGAATTTTCTGAATTCAAGTCTAAAGCTTTCTTTACGTATTCGAAAGCATCGTACATCAATTTTTTCTTCTCTTCTCCACCTAAAATTTTTCCCTTATCGCAAGCAGATCTTGCTAAACGCCATAGAATTTCGTCATTTTTACAATCCTATAGGTGTATTTAGTGAATATTAACGTTAAGAATTCAATAATTTTATTATATAAACCTTATATTTAATCAACAAATCATATAGAGCCATCATTTCATTTTGTTCGTAAAGCTTTTTAGCCTCCTCTATTACCCTATCTTCTTCAGAGAGTGTGTTCTTTACTTCTTTTTGACCTTGTAAAAGGAAAAGTCAAGAGAGATTATTAAACGCCACTTGACGTCTACAGTTAATTATAGAGCACTTAGCGGTCACAAGTTTTAAATAGATATATAATGCCATTTCCTCTTTTTGATATAGAACTTACCGAAACTTAGACTATGAACAGTTGGTATCACAGTGAAAGTCATTACAGGATATTTATATAGGTTGCAAAATTTCTATTAGTTAAAAAATGATAATTAATTAATTTATTAATTAACCAATCAAAATTTTGTTATTTCTTTTATACCTTTATTTGCGTCCATCCTCTAGCGTTTCTTTGAACGTTCAGCCATGTCATTCGGCTTCTTAGCATATTAAAAAAATTAAAAGTTCTCCAAGAATTCATCGTTGAAATGTTTCTGTTTGTATGAAAATGAATAATAAGCAATGTCTTTTCCTCTTGTCTCAGGATATTAAATGATTCGTTCCAGATATAGTTGACGTAACTAATTAATAATTATAAATATCTTTTTCTAGTGCATCATATGTCATTAACTGGGGCACTGCTTAATCTTTTTTTGTTTTTTGTTACCAATATCATATATAAAAAATATTGATTTCGAGTAACTTAACTACCAATATATTTGTTATTTTTTGATAACATACAAGTTAATTATTTTTAAATAATTATTTGTTATGTTATTTAACTTTTTATTGATGAAAGCTATTGACACACTTACCTGATATTAGTTTTTCTTACTTGTAAAAGAATTTCTCCGATCTCTAAAGTTCAGAAGTTCATTTCCAATATCGTCTGCTAGATCACGTGACAATAATCGTAAACTGGTTACAATTTATTACTATTCCCAATGTTGTTATAGTAACAGGCGGAAATCGATTTTAGAGTTACTGCGCATGCTCTAGTGGCCGTTTGGAAACTTAAAATTGTTGAAAAAATGGTAACTATTACTTAATTTGCAGGTGATACTTGACGAAGTTATTCTAAAACTGTTAAAGTAATCAGTAACTAAAAAATTTCAAATCTTCAGTAATAAAGTATAGATTTAAAACGGCAAAAATTAATATTGTTTATGAAGCAAAGTGTTTAAACAAAAAGATAAAGTATTATTTATTTAATAATACATAAAAGATATATATATATATATATATATATATATATAAGTATTTTACCATAATCGAGTGTTATGTATGTCTTTTTTTTATATTTAAAACAAAGAGCTACTCGTCCCAGGTGAGTAGGTACTTTTTGTTGTCGGCAAACAAACTACTTACTTTTTCTATTTCCCTCTATATAATTTGGAGATTATGGCACATAGAACCTTATAATAATTCTTGCAAAAGCATAAAAATTCTAATATATAAAGCATAAAGCAATGTATATTCGTATAAATTATATATTTGTATATTTATATAAAGTACATAGTAAAGTATACATTGTAGATAAAATATACAATTTATACGAAAATAAACAGAATAAGACAACTGTTTTAATTAATTATTTTCAATTCTAATTAAATGGAAAAGAAAAACCAAAATACTTCATTTGTATTCAAACGTTGATCTTTTACTTTCAATTACAATTTCAGGCAGAAACTGTAGAAGAAACTTTAAAACGAATTCAGAGTCATAAAGGTGTGATTGGAGTTATAATAGTAAATTCTGAAGGTAAATTGATAATAATTGGAAGATGCTATTAAGTTGTTATTAATTTGTTATTGACATATAAATTTGTTATAAGAGAGAGAGTAGTAAAATTTTTAAAAAGCCTTTTTTTATGTTATTTAGGTATTCCAATCAGAACAACTCTAGATAATTCAACTACTGTCCAATATGCGGGTCTTTTGCATCAACTAACTGCAAAAGCTCGTAATGTTGTCAGGGATTTAGAACCTTCGAATGATCTGCAATTTTTGCGAGTTCGTTCCAAAAAGTATGAAATTATGATTGCTCCTGGTAAGTTTAATAATTGTATTTTAAAGAGAATAATTCATTTAACTTGTACAAGTATTAAAATTTCCCTTTTTCTTCTTCCAAAATCTTCTTTATCTTCTTTATCTTACTTTCAACACACTGTAACAATTCTATCAATTATATTTATATTACATTTACTGTATACATAAATGTATATATATCTGTATACTATGTTTAAGTATACGTTTAATTTTTACTAAAATATTTAAATGACAAACAACAGAACAGGATTACATCTTAATCGCTCTGCAAAGTGTAGATGGCACTACAACAACTATTTAAATAATTATTAAATACAAATATTATACCATCCGTAAGGCAAACACAAAAAAAAGAGAAAAAAACAAAACCCATTAACATCTCCCCTCCAAATTCAAAAGCAAAAACAAACAAATAAACGAAAGAAAACACTTTTCCAAAAGTTTTTCCTTCCTAACTTTTTCCTTAGTTTTGAATTGAATTTATTCTTTTTTTGTTTATTTTGCTTTTTTTAATTGGCTTAATAGCGCTTTCCTATGTTCTTTTTTTTGTTGCAGACAAGGAATATTTGCTGATAGTTATTCAAAATCCTTATGACAAGTCTTAGGCTTTTATTTGCTTACGGTTTGCCGTGTGGTTTAAGCATTTTTTCCCTCTATAATCTGGCATATATAAAAGATAATATATAACAAAATTGATTATACACAATATGTATGTATATATATATAGGCTCAAATATACTCATATATAGAGAACAATTATGTACTTAGTTTTTAATAGGTAAAAGATGAAAATAACAGAGGCATCATGTATATGCGGAGTACATATCGTGTATATATCATGATACATTCTATACAAGCTGTCTTTATATAAATGGTCATATTTGTGTCTTTTTTAATAATATTCATTTTATTCTTTGATAAATAAATAATAATATACATATATGCATATGTATAAAATTTATATATATAGTATACTGTATATGTTCAGTATATAAATAGTATACATGTACTGTATGTGTAGTATTTTTTAATTCATCAATAATCGCAGAATGATTATGAATATTTTATCAATAAAGAAATCACTGTATCAACTAAAAATTGTTTCTTTTTTATTATTAACAACCATAATCACCGTTTAGGTTTATTTTTATTTTCTTTTGTACTTTTGTTTTTTTAAAAAAAAAAGGAAAACTTTGTTTCATTGATTTTTTTTATAGGTAAAGTAATATATAAAATTCGTGACTTATTAGTCAACCAGATGCTAGTTTCTTGCAGCTCAACAGCCTTCATTAATTACCTAGTCATAAGAAAGACATGCCCGGAATTTTGTGATGAATCACTTTTAAGGTTTTTTCTTGTTTGCCTGTTAATTTTTCCATGTCGAAATCAAACGGCTTTTTTCTTTATTTGGATTTATATATATATATATATATATTGATTGCAAAGATATAATCTATTACACTGCTATAAGTCGGTGAATTCGCTATTTTTGCAAATAGACTTTTTAAGAAATTATCCCTTCAGGTCCTTTTTTTTTCTAGATTGAGATATTTTCTTTATAGACTAAATTCTTGGAAATGGAGAAAATGGTGAGAGAAAGAGTTAGGAAGAGAGAGAGGGAAGCGTTAAAGATAGAGATAGAGGCAGTAAAACCAGAAAATTCCAACACTTTTCGTTTTTTTCTCTTATGTCATGTAGACAATCAGTTGTTTTGACGTTGAAAATAATTAACTTTTCCCATCTTATTTTCTATATTTAGCTATTAAAAGAGTAGTATCTAATTTCTCTTCTATTATTTGCTTAAACTTGAATCCTTCTTCTCTATATGTTGAGTGAAGGATTATTTTATCTTTAAATATTTGACCTAATTTTGCTTTCTTTCCACCCACTCAAAATGAAATCTCTTCCTTTCAATAATAACTAAATATAGATTCATTCCGTTTATGTTCTATGTTCCTTTTTTTTTATTTAGCCGCCTATAATTAGAAAAAAATTGATTTATCAAACATTTAAACCATTGTATTAAATTCTCAAGGAAATCTTTATTATTCATACATTTTTTATCAATAATCTATCACCTTTACTGTAGGGTTTATTACCATATTCCTTCATTATAGAGAAGATAGATAGTCGTTAATTCTTTCTCCCTTTCTTTTGCTCATTCAATCTCTTCCTTTCATTCTCTCCGGCTCGTTCTCATTCTTGTTCGCTTATTCTCTCTGTTCCTCAGTCTCAATCGTTCTCCCTAGCTCTATCTTTTCCTCTTTGTCTTGTTTAAATAGATAAACGATAATCTTTGATGATTTTTCATCGGAAATTAAATAAGTAAATAATCTAATTGGTATATAACGATTCAAAGTGTTGTATTACGTGAATAATTCACAAAAGAAGAGTAATAGATGTGTTTTTTTATTTATTCGTAAGCCTATGGTGTGTTTTCAGAGTTCTAAATATAGAAAATAGAAGAAAAACATTTTAATTTGATTGAAAAAGTAAAAAACAGCTACGTTTTTCTTTTGGCTTGTTTTGTTTCTTTAAAAAAAATAGAAAAGAATCAAAAATAGAGAAAAATTCCACATTTTATGTATATGATTTTATTAAGGTTGAAAGAATTTTAGAGCTAAAGGACTAAAGAAAAATCTTGTAAAGAAGAGTTTCGTGTGTAGTCAACATTTAGGAGAAGAAAGATGGAGAAAATAGGATTCGATGACGGTCCGTGTTATGCAAATTGCAGGCGACGTCTACGTAGGGTAATTATGGGAGATATATGTTAAAAGTTTCCCATCTTGATGGGTTACATTTTTAAAGGTTTGTCTTCTTTTAGGGACTATAAGAAAATAATGGTGTAGATACTATTTTTCTTTCTTCTTCCCTTTATTTTTTGAAGGGGAGAAGACAGGCACTATTGCTCTCTTGTATATTATATATCTATATATCAATACGGAAGAGTGGAAAAAAATGCGTTAAATCCACTCCTCAACAACGAAATTAACCATCAAAGACGTTCGATTGAAGCCAGAGATCTCTTTTAGATTTTAATATAACAAAAGGATAAATTTTAAATTTATATTGATTGAAATAAAAGATGGAATATACTTTCTCCTCTTTTTTTGGCTACAAAAAGAAGACGTCAACGTTTGCCACAATCATAGCAATTTATTACGAAATATCTGATTATCTTCGAAAGATCACATCCGCAAATTCTTTTGGTTGTTGGATGCATTTCTAATCTTCCAGTTTTTTTTTCGTGACACTATACAAAGTGAAGTGAAAAGACTAAAAGAGACGCTTTATCCAGTAACGCTTTGAAATTTTTGTCGAATTTGTAAATTTGTCACAGATACTATCGTTCTAACTGCTTAAATTCCTTTAATCGAAATGGAGTTTTCTCTTACTTTGAAGCTTATAGAGGAAAATTACTATCTACTCTTAGCCAATGTTGAACTAACCTTCCTTCATTAAACTGTTACGTTACGGTTCACCATCTGGAAGCAATTTATTGCAGTATTATATCCAATGAAGGGTGAAATTTATTGCAGTAGATCTAAAGGTGAAATGATTGTGTAGTAAGTACTTAGATTTTTCGATCTTTAGTAATTTACATCATTTCCCAGAAAAAGGTTGTCAACGGAAAATTGAGTTCTCTTCGATTGTTGTTTTAGAATAGGAAAAGCTTATATACTCATAAAAAATAATGTTTTCCTCCCTACACCATCAATCGTTTTCTCTCTAGTTAAAATATTCATAAAATCATTAGTCAGCAAAAAGAAATGTTGATCCTTGTTAAGTAACATCATCCCTTGATAAAAAAGCGAGAAAAACTATCCTAATGCTGTTGATAGTAACTTGGATATTCGATGTACTGCTATTCCATTTAAACAATGATGGATACAGTATTATCATATTACAGATGGAGGAATACTAATTTAATTATATAAACAAACAAACATTTTAGCCTATATGATTATTATTATTGTATTATTGTCTAATTAATATTTTATTGGATACGAATGTATCGACAAAATTCATCACTTTATAGAAGCTACATATAAAAATAGTAACACTATAGTGATTATATACATTCCTCTCTCTCTCTCTCTCTCTCTCTCTCTCTCTCATTCTCGTCATTCCTCAACACAATAACAATTTTCCACACTCAATTGATGTTTGCGTTGTTTTGCTATAAATATTGATAGATGTCGTCAGTTGACCCTTTTATTTTTCTCTCTCCTCCTTTTTCCATAACCCAAAAAGGTCTATTGATTACAGGGAATCTTTTGAAGGGAATAAATACGTTAGAAGCGTGATAAGAAACTGTATAACTACGTCGTTCTAAGGAAGTATTTAGCCTCGAAAATCGTGCAATCTTGACAATGACGAAATGAAATGTATTTAATACTTTTCCATTTTGTTTTATTTTGGCAATAAACTAGGTTTTTTATGATTATTATTATTTATTTTTTACACATTTACTTGCTGCTTTTCCTCTCTCTCTCTCTCTCTCTCTCTCTCTCTCATTTCTATCTGCATTTAATAAGAAATTTTGCTGAATTTCTAATTTTATGTGTTTTTTTTGTTTTTGGTTATTTTTTTAGGACAATTGAATCAATTAATTAACTTTCAAATGTTTTAATTAATTAGTTAATTGATTATATATTTCTTTTTCTTTTTTCTATTTTGTCGTTAATTACGTGTAAATCCATTATTCTTGACAATCTCTGAAAAGACTGTTGCAGATTTTTTTGCGGTTCTTTTTCTAGCTGGATCTTCGAAATCGACATGATATATTCCAAATCTCTCCAAATATCCAACGTTCCACTCAAAGTTGTCTATTAAGGACCAAACAAAGTATCCTTTTAAATTTACACCATCTTCGGTTTTAGCTTTGAGCAGTTCTTGTAGATGTTCTTTAAGATAATCGCATCTATCCGTATCCTCGATAATTCCAGGTTTATCCGAAAAACCATTCTCAGTGATATAAATGTCCGGTGCGTTGTAATTACTATGAATCCATTTAACAAGCTTTCGTAGTCCCCAAGGAACCGATTTTAGCCACTCTGATTCTCCCTGTTTCCACGAAGGATCACTATGTTGTTCTATGCCTGAATCATAATATAAAATATTATAAATAATAAATAATATTCTACCCCTAAGTTCACCTTACCTATTACTTTAGCCTCAGTTACAGGTTCACTGAAATCTTGGCAAGTACTAACGTATCTAGACGTATAATAGTTAAGACCAAAGAAATCAGCAGAACCTTTATTCAATTCAATTTCCTTTGGTGTAAATTGCGGTAGAAATGATCCAGGAAATCCGAGCATTGCAGAGACACTTCTTGCACGAACTTTCATTGCCTGGGGATAATCTCCATCCCCAAAAATTGGATTAGCGAACCAACCGAGTTTACACTGAAAATTTACCATTATAATTAAATAATCTATTTAAAAAGAATCATTATTTTCTTTATTGCAAATATTCTCATTAAAGGCGTTAAATATATGGTTTTTCAGTACATTGAGACAGAAGCGTCAGTTGACCTAGATAACAAGCAAAACATAAGCATCCTTGATGATCCTAATTAGCATATTTATCAAAGCTAATAATATATATATATATATATAACTCTTTATATATTTAGAAATATTTGAATTTGATGAATAACGCTGATAAGTACTAGCCGTCTGAGCATCAAATAGCGTCAATTTTGCGTTTCCTAGGCCTAAATTTCTTGCCTAAAGCATTTTATTTCTTACATGACAACTTTAAGCGAATGCACTTTGGTGTCTTTTTAAAGATATCGATTATTTAAAGCTTTTTCTGCTATTTTTGATAAAATGTATATTTTATATTTATATAAAAAGAATACGTGGAAAAAGAGATATTTTATATAATCTTCAGTTAAGATCCTTTGTTTAAAAAAAAACAACGTAGAATGCTAGGGAATAGAAAAACAAAAACAGAGAGAGAGAGAACCATCAATCATCTCTCTATCTCTCTATCTATCTATTCATCCATTCCTCTGCTTTAAAATATTCTCTTTATGTCCTCGTTATAGGTAACGTATTATTGCTTATTATAAAGCCTTTATATACAGATATTCAATATTATGCTCTTTTGTTTTTATTCCCCTCCCCTCCCCTCTTATACCATCTCTCTATCATATTACTTCTTTCTTGTTTTATTTAGTTTGGTTCTGTATTCGTACTTTCCTTTTTCAAGATTTGTTTACTTAAAGAAATAGGATTCGATGAGGTCTTTGCAAATATTCATGAGCCAACTCAAAAAAAAGCTATTAAAGTCTATATAGTCCAAAAAATACGAAATGAAATGTTTTAGTCGCTTTTTATAATAAATAGAATGTTTGTCATCCAGATAAAGGTAGTATTAGGATAAGAAGAAAGAGAACAAAGGATGTCTCTTCTAGACGTCTATATACTCGATAAAGTGTTTTCTATAGGAATATTAGGACCTATTGATTGTACTGTGTATAACGAATATTAAATCGTTTCATTCTAGTGGGAAATTTTAGATTTATCATTAACAGAGAGTTTGCGTCAAACGTTGACAATCAATAGGAAACAAAATTATTAACCAGAGGCAGTGAGAAAGAACGTTTGATGAAAAAATATGAGTCAATCTACCTTAAAAAAAATACTAGATACTCAATTTGCCTAATCCGAATAAGATTCAAATTGGATCAAAATTACATGAAAAATGTGTCTAATATCCCTATCTACCATCGGAAAATTGCTTTATATATTTACCTGCATTCCCAAATCAGCAGCTCTTTTATCCTTATCGCTATTTGAATCTTTCGGCTCGTACCAGTCACTATTTAAAGTTATACCAACGATACCTTGATTGTCTTTACGAAACTCATCGTTGTATAACTTATAAGTTAGGGCGTGAGCTTTTATTACGTTATGACCACCTTTAAATGGAGAATTTAACGGATCCTTAATTCCAGGAGCGTGGGTTCCAACTCCATAGCCGAGGAAAGTAAACACTGTTGGCTCGTTAAACGTTATCCAGAATTTTACCTACAGAAAGATTAATTAGTCAATTAATGGAGACAAGTTACATATATTGCAATGCGTAATTTATATCTATAATCCTAATCCCCTTCTTTTGGTTCTATCCAGAAAGACGTAGAAATGTCAACAAGTATGTTGTATATATATGTATATATATATATATATCCTAAAATCAATATCCCAGTTCTTTAATTAACCTTCACCGATGCTTAACAACGGGCCTAATCAAAAGTACACTGTCTTGATAAGTACTCGTTCTGCTACTTTTTCTAAACATTCTTAATTAGCTAAACATTATTATTTACTCTTGCTTTCTTTAATAAAAACGTTGAAAAATATTCTAAGAGGACAAAAAACCCCTTTCGGCTTCTCTCCATTCTCAACCAAAATTGATCTACAAACCCCTTTAAAGAATCCATTTATATTTATGGTTTGCACACAAACTCTTTAAATAGTAGAAAGATTTAGAAATAACTATTTTAGTCAACAGGTGAAAGTATCTCTTACATTTTTCATCTATCTCATTTATATAGGTCACCCTTACCCCTCCCCCAGCCCCCCTTCCTTATTTCGTAATGTATCTTATACAGATATACTGTATATATACAATATATATATAATATATTGTATATATATATATATATATATATATATATATATATATATATATGAAGAGAGAGAGAGAGACGTTTAAACGTCTTTGCTTCTTGTACTGTCTGAGAGCGACAAAAGCATACTATCTGATATAATGACTACTTCTGAATGGTATATTGCAATAATGGTAATTCTAATTGACATATTAGTAGTAAAAGTGTTATAGGGACAAATGGCTCGATTACCATCTTTTTTTATTTGTTAAGACGATCTTTCACCTTCCTTTTACCACATATGAAAACATATATGCACGTTCACTTCCCCTCTTCTCTCACCCACCCATTTTGTCTTCCATTTCTATGTTATTTTTATCTTTCTCTCTCCTCCATCTCTGTCTTTAACTCTGTCAGCCTGTCTATTGGTCTGTCCGTCTCTTTCGTTGCCTATCTCTCTCCCGTCTTCTTTCTCTTTTCTCTCTCTCTCTCTCTCCCTTCCTCTCGTTCCGTCTCTGTCTGTCTTACTCGACCTCAATCCTTTCCGTCTGTTAAACTTTTTGTACAGTAGACCAGTTAACACTTGAAAAAAGCTCTTAAAATTGAAAATGGTACAAACGATCAATTCCTTGATATTTTTTTTAGGAATTTAATTAATTGATAAGCCTTTTAAATCTAAAATAAAGTTTGACCTCTTCATTTTTTACTATCTAATCGATTTTTAAACGATCAGGACGAACTGACAAAGTAGGAAATTACTTACAATATCTCCAAATTCCCTGAAGCATATTCTTGCGTAGTTAACAAAATGGTTAACAATGTCCTGAGAAATCCATCCTCCCTTATCCTGAAGTACTTGTGGAAGATCCCAATGGTAAAGAGTAGCGACTGGAACGAGACCATTATCGACAACAGACTTGAGGAATTTCCTATAAAACTCAATTCCTTTCTTATTTAATCCTCCTTCTTCCGTTCCATTTGGTAGGATTCTTGGCCAGGAGAAGGAGAATCTATAGTGGGAGACTCCGATATCTTTTAGGAGTTGAATATCCTCTTCGTACTTGTTGTAGCTGTCGGCGGCAACATCTCCATTGGATCCATCGCTTATTTTACCTTTTGTATGGGCGAATGTGTCCCAAATTGATTGACCTTTTCCTGTATTGATTTCAATTGATTGAAAGTGAATTAATTATCGAATTTTATGTACATTGTTACCGTCAATATTCCATGCTCCTTCTATTTGATAAGAAGCAGTCGCAGCTCCCCACTTAAAATCATCACCAAAGTGGCCGAATATGTATGAACTCTCTTCAGACATGACTCTTTTTCTTCTTTTTCTATGTCTTTAGAACTTTAAACAGGTTGGCAGATTTCTTAGGCCTAGATATTTGAGTTTATTATCCACCGTAATCTTTTCGTCGAATCTTCCTTCGTATTTGAATAAAATAGGATAACCTTATTAAATTTTTGACTTATAGAACTATGAAATCTATTGGGAAAAAAATCAATGGGTGCACGAAAAACGTCTGAAAACGACGAAAATCCCTTACTGTGATTTTCCTAGTGCGCCGCTCATGAATATTAATACATAATTCCTCGTTTCTGATTGGTTATTGAGAAATTCGCGCAAATTATGAAAATTTTCTATAACCAAATATCATTTAATTATGAAAACGTTAGGGGTGACAGTACTCAGTTAATATTTTTTAACTAATATTTTAATAATTAAACGTAATTTCACGTGAATGAGATACAAAGGAACATACATACACAGACACACACACATATATATATATATATTTATATATATACACATATACGACGTGTTTTAATTTGACGCCCATATAAAGTTTAACCTTTTCGAGAGGCGAAAGATGACCTGAATGGAATGACCGGAGATGAAAGAAAACAATATGAAGATTTATATATATATATATAATATAGAGTATATCGCTATATAAATCTATATTTACCTATAGATTTCTTTTATTATTTATATTCTTTTATTGATGATGCTATGGCATTTCAAAATATTAAAAAATTATTCTTATTCAATCATTTAACCGTTTCAGCTTTAATTCATTGTTCTATAAGGATTAATAAGAAGTCTAAGGGTGTAATTAAGCAAAAATCTACACTGTAAAATCGTCGCTTTGTTTTTAAAAGGTGAAATCATTCGTGTATAAAAAAGCTTACTACAGTCGATTAACAAAACGACTCAGCTGTAAAGGTTCCTCATTCTCGCATATTATTTATCCTTATTTTGTTATTATATATCTATTAATGCAGTATATTAGATGATTTCTTCCATAATTTATTTAGAAAACATTTGTTTGTCCGGTAGATGGCTTTTATATTTCTTTCTACCGTTTGATAACTGGTAACAGTTAGGCGATATTTCTCTCTTACTTATGATATTTTTCAAACATATAAAAAACAATTAATTCTTCTGTCGTAGTATTATAATGGCTGCTGGTAAACACTTAATGTTTGTCTATGGTACATTAAAAAGAAATCAACCAAATTATATTTTCAACACATCGGCGTTTGACGGTATTTCTATATTTAGGGGTAAAGGTCGAACTGTTGAAAAATTTCCTCTAGTTATTGCTACAAAATATAATGTACCATACGTTCTAGACAGTCCTGGAAGAGGAAATGTTTGTTTAAACTCTTATATTTATATAAAATCTTGTAAAGAAGTCTTATTAATAATCAATATATTCTTTTTATAGAATATTGAAGGAGAAGTTTACGAAATTGACGATAAAAGATTAAAAATATATGACGACCTAGAATTATATCCCATAAATTACAATAAGAAACAAATCCAAGTAAAATTGAAAAAGGAAATTGAGGACGAAGAACACAGCGACAACAATCATGAGATTTTACAATGTAACATTTATATTATAACCGATTTTAAGAAGGAATTACTTTCCAAACCTGTTTTATCAAATTATGATGATAACTTACAAGAGAATAAGTACGTTACTGGAGAAAATCGTTATCAATTCGATAACCTTAATTATGATACTAAATGTGATGTAAAAGAAAATTGGCCAAGTGAGATATACTTTTTTTTTTAAAAAAAACAAAAACATTCTTTTCTTCTTTTTTTTTTTACTAAAGAAATCGAAACTAACAATCCAAACCTACCAATTCCAATATTTGTATATGGAACGTTAAAAATTGGAGAGCATTATCACAAATATTTAAAAAACCCTGAAAAAGGAAAGGCTGAATTTGTAGGAGAAGCCGAAACTAACACAAAATACCCACTAGTTGTTGAATCGAAGTATAATTTACCATATTTACTATGGTCACCAAACAATGGAAATGTAAATAATTCCTTTTACTATATTCAATCTTTTATCACTGATTTTTATATGAAAAAATGTTTATCTGTTATTTTCTTTTTTTAGAATGTTAAAGGTGAAGTTTATAATATTGATAAAGATCTTCTAGCATGGTTGGATGAGTTTGAAGACCATCCAAAAACTTATATAAGATTACCGTCTTTAGTAAAAATTAATGGAGTTTTGAAAAATTGTTGGTGTTATTTTACATATTTTCTCAAGACTATTGACGCTGAACTATTATCTAAACCAACATTGGAAAGCTATAGTCAAGCTCAATATCCCTGCCTTGAAATTGGTGTAAGTTAATATATTTTGTTATTTCTTCATTTCTTAATTGGTTTATTTCTAATTAAAATAATGATAATTCATTTTCCAGTGGTAGGCCCAATAAAGGAATAAAGAGAGAGAGTACTATTTGTTTTTTGGAAGATAAGGAAAAGCCCGTCGTCTCTCCCCTGAGTTGTTTCATAAAGTTAACTTTAAGAATTCATCTTTTTTTCTATTATACTCCCCAAATCTTACGATAGAATATCTGCAAAATATCAAATAATTAATTATCTTTAGTTTACCAGATTGATATTAAAACTTACTCTAAGAAATCAAAATCAATTGAAGAATTTGCCGCTTGAATTAGAGCCCAAACACCCCAGAAAAAGTGAGATAATAAGGAAAACTTATTAACTTGAACATAAAGCTTTTCAACTTCTTTATTGTCCACATCTCCACCGTTTTTCTCTCGTAGAAATGTCTTGAGCCATTTCATTTGATATTCTTTATCCGGATATCTTGAATAGTCTACTTCATTAACTCCGGCGTATTCGTTGAAGTGATTGGCTATATCAAATGCCTCGTAGTTGTAAAATCCGTATTCGTAATCGATAAAGTAAACTCTGTCTAAATAGAAAAGAGTGTGAGGAGGGGGGGAAGAGAAAATTGCACTTTTATCAGAGTTTTAATTACTTAACTAACTTTTTTCTTTATTATAAATAAGATTTTGCAATAATAAATCGTTATGGCAAAAGCATACGGGAGAATCTAAATTCGACAATTCATTTTGCAACATTTCCATCTCATTTAAGAGAGTTTCTTTCGAGGCAATCTTTTCTTTCAACCTATCAAAGGAGGAGCTGTAATTTAGCTATTGATTTATTTTCCTTTTTCCTAATATTTAATAACTTGGAGAAAAAAAAAAAGATGATGGAAATAAAGGGGAAAAAGAGGGTAAAAGAGAAAACAAATTATAATAGGTGAAAATGTAAAGTACTTTTTAGTGCGTTCCTCTTCGGGAAATTTTTCTGGCATATTTTCAATAAACATTCTGGTCTTTGTCCAGATATAGGCTGATTTTTCCCCATCACACTCAACAGAATGAAATCTAATTATCTCCTTGCAAATACATCTAAAGTAAAGAAAATGGAATCGAACCTTCTTTAGAATGCTAAATAAGATCAATAGTTTTTTTTATATACCTATAAATTTCAGGATCTTTTACAGTTTCTTCGTCCAAAGTGACGCCTTCAATAAATCCGTAAGCAATTCCATTATCAAAAGTAGCATATAGAGGTTTCGAACATCCAACTTTACACAACAATTGAATATTTCGGCGTTCGACGCTTCTATCAATAATGACATCAGTATTAGCGCCATAAACTCTAACTAGGATACCATTCTCCCTCTCTCCACTCCAAATAAGTATAATCTTATTGGTAATACCCTCGGAAAATTCCTATTTTTTATAAATATATTTTAGTTCTATTTGTATTGTTTTTAGTTAATAGGACAAAATGAATGACAAACTTTCGTTTGTATATCTTCATCTTTCCATTCTGGTTTTATCTTCTTCACAATTTTAATAGCATCCTCTTTGAGATTATCCTCCCTAACGAAGCCATCAATTTTACCCATTAGGCCAAATTCATTGAAAGAACTACCTTTGTCCATGTTTTAAATCAATCTGTTTGGACATTGATCATACTGATTAGTAGGTTGGTTAACAAAATAAATTGTACGTATATCTTTAATAGTCTTTTCAATATTTTAGGAATTGTACACTTCAAATCATATTAATAGAGCTTTCTCTTACTGTTTATCTCCATATTTTTATTATAAAAAGCATATATTTATTAATCTATTGTTATTTTATCCATTTGATTTACACCTTTCTTCTTCCCCCTCACCCTTACCCCACTGTCACTCTTTCTCTATCTCTGCAAAACCTACTTGATATATATATATATATATATATACAAGTATATATGTTAATAAATTAGCAAAATTTAGACAACTAATGTTAGCTAGTAAAAGTTAGCTATTCAGCTGATATTTATTTTTTAAGTACAAGATATTAATCAATAAAATATCGCTGATGTTTCAACAGTTCTTATTAAATAACATCATTCAAATCGGTACTTGTTAGAATTTTTAGATGTGCAATTATTAATTGGACGAAAAAGATCTATTTCTTACTGACTTTAAAGGGAGTAAATTATAGTAAAAACTTGTTACTTTGTGAAATGAATTCCTATACCAGTTTTCGTTTTAGAGAAATTGCATACTTTTCGTAATTTGGCTCGGTCTTCCGCACATTTCAATCGCTTATATTTCTTTAAAGAACTGGGGACGTACTTTATGAGTAGACGTTACCCTATTAATTAAATAGCAAGGACCTTTTTTTTATAACGTTATAATTACGATTTCAATTATTAACGAACTTGATTAATTCGAGCTATAAGCATTACATCGAATCCTTGGTTTTATGTATTTTATTACAAGAGAATTTAATGAATGGATGGCGTAGAAAAAGTTAGTATAATATAATACTATTTTATCGCTCAAGTTGTGAATACCACGCCTCTTAAAAACAGATCTCGCCCGAAATGTCGACTAAACATCGAAGAACCCTTAGTCTAGTCAAATACGCTGGAAGTCATGTTGCCGAAAGGAGTGTTAATCTTGTTAAAAAAGGAAGGCGAGCAATCGGTATCAAAGTCTTTCTATACTTATCCAATATAGTCCTTCTTGTGGCAATATTTGTCGGTTTATATGCAAGATGGCAACAAAACTCTGAAAATTTTATACTTTGGTTATCAATTTTGGGGATAATAGTTTTTCTATTGTCTGGTGCATTAATGCTTTATACGTCATATAATGAATTTGGTATGCATTTATCAAGATTATGGATGGGAGCTTTCCTAGGATTGCTAGCATTTACGCAGAAACCGAATATGTATGGGGAAATTACTCAGATGATGGATAGTCTTTTTATAACAAGGTAATAATTGATTAATAAGACCAAAAATATCTTTTCTTTTAAAAATCAATATCTGCACACATATACACACGTTTATATTCACATAATATCCATCGATAAACTCCATGTTATTTACTATTTCAGCATCTGTTTGAAGGCTTTTGATAGTTTAATCAGAAGAGTTTTGGGTTATGCTAATAATGTGGTACTTTTATCAAAATTTGAATCTATCGAATTATTTGGACTTATGTGTTCTTCAACACTTTTTCATTCTCAATATCTTTCAATTGCTCTACTCTCGTTGGCGTTCATTGCTTCAATTATTGGTATTCGTTTGAAATCTTTCTCCTGTCTTGTTCAACTAGTTGCATTCCTAATAACTGCGAGATTGGAAATCTTTCCAAGATTATTTCAAATTCATCCCAACGTTCCTGCATTAGCAGCATTTGCTAGTAGATTTTGTTTCTCGGCTGCTTTTGATCTGTATTTCGGGGCTCAATCTCAATTGGAGAGATGGAAAAAGTTGTTAAGAACACCATCTATAATAAGAAAATTGTCACTTATATTCCTTTTTATCATTCAAATAGCTTATCTTACTATTCATTCGTTGTTAATTAAGAATCATAAGGAATGGTTTATAGTTGTACCGTTATTCGGTGTATTTAGTGCTATATGGTGCGTTTTTCATCTAGCATTTATTGCCTGTTGTTGGACTATTTCGAATCGAATTACCCTCTGCAATCAGTCCTATTATGAAGATAAAGAGTCATATAGTAATGTTTTAGCTAGTCGAGGCGTTCGTCATTTGGCGTTAACAGCTAGCCGTCTGGTAAAGGCAGCTGTCTTTCTTACTTTTCTTATAACAATTATATCATGGAGAACAAAAACCGCCCTCAGCCTATCATTAGCTTGTTTTCTTCTTCCTCTTGAGCTAGCTATTTGTAGTCTTGTTGGATCTTTTGGATCTAAATTGGGTGGAACTTGTATTGGTTATGCTCTTGTAGCACCCGCTGTTAATGTTCGTCCTGATCTAAGTCCAACTTTGCTACCATCTAGCCACGTTGCGGATGTAAGTGGCAGAGCAACCACTATACTAAATGTTATACAGCAGTTTTTTGTTAGTCATCTAATTGATAATGCCGGTTGTGATTATACATCTTCAGGCGTTACCCTTTCGGACGTAAAAACTAAATTATGCTCACTATTCTCAAAACGAACCTCGGATGGTCCAAGATACGATACCTATATTGTCTATTATTCAGGTCACACTCATCAAAATGGGGATTGGGCTTTAGCGGATAATGATATTTTGAAGTTTGATTTTATATTGCAGTGGTGGAAAGAGCAGGTTATTATTATTATAAGCAACCTATATACTGTATATATACATATACCTTTTGTTCTCTTACTATTATATAATGAATATGTAAATTACTTTAGAGTTATAAAGCATTCATTAATCAAAGCGTCTTTTAATAAGTTGTTTATCTTTTTTCGTTTCTTTCGTAGGGAGACAGTGGCTCAAGATTACTTATAATTGTTGACGCTGATAAGGCTTACAATTGGTCGAAGGTTGTTCGTAGAGCCGACGAATTCGTTGCTTTACAAACTTGGCAATGGAGGAAGGGTGCTGACCTGGAAAATTCAGCTATAGGTTGCTTTACGCACGACTGGGTTACTTTCAATTCGGAAACTGATAATGATATTGACTGGCTCCAGCGACCGTATAGATGTATCTATTCAGTTTCTTCAGATTGGCCGGATTTTCAACTTCAAACACCAAGCGGTCAAGATGTATTAGATCATTGGGGAGCTTGCGTACCCAAAATGAGCCGACCACTCCTTAAATTTGTATCAACTCCAAACTCGAATTGTTTTGCTATATTTACACCTTGCGAATGCGTTATAAAATGTCTAAGAAAGTTGAGAATGGCTTGGGTACCGCCAAGACATATCGATACATCGCATGGGTTCAAGTTATTTAGGACTTGAACGCATTGTTTCCTATTTTTTTTTGTTTTCTGTTTATGGATATTCATACTGTGTGTTTTTTTTTCTTTTTTTATATAAAAAATTTCGAGTATCTTGAAGAAGTTGAAAAAAGAAATAGTTTCAAATTTAAGCCTATAAATTTATAAATCATTCAGTTCACTCGTGAATACTCAAATTTTTATCTCTCTCTCTTTTTTTTCTATTTTTATCGAATAATGTTATTCTTTATTGATAAAAGGGAATTTTTTTATATATATTTAATTATTTTAGGCCTTCGCTGTGAGATTAATTATCGAAAAATTGATCTCGTACTTGCTGATCGGATAAATGAGTATCAGAGAAGCTAGTATCGTACGCTTTAAGATCTTCTTTTGTCTTTTCCCAAGCGTTACATTCATCTTTTAGCCTTTTAATGACTTTTAAACATAAAATACTCATTAATAACACTAGAAGGCACATTAAGAAAATAATTGTCACTAATATTAAAACGCTATACGTATATTCGTCATTCTCCTTAAATAGAGACGAATCGTTTCTAAACTGTTTATTTTTTATAATAGAAGATGAAAAGTTCATGTTATTCAACAGTCTAAATCTAAAAAAGCATTATCTTCTTCGTATTTATGGAATTTTTTTCATCTGGAAGCAAAAATAATCTACGAAAACATTAAAATGAAAATTTCAAATTGAATTGATGATCCAAAACGAAGATATATACATACTGTATATGAATTTATTGGTTTTTAAATCATCCTATTCCCTTTATACTTTGTATTGTTTATCTAGAGAAGAAAGAGAAGAAGAAGAAGAAGAGAGACAAATGAAATGTATAACCCTTTTGCGTAATTAATTAAAATATGTCTAAAACATGATAATTATCTTATTTGCATATCTAATTTAAATTAGAATGATAGACATATCAGTTAAAAAGTTTGTCAATATTACGTAATTTTTACTTTAATTAACGGCTGATAACACAACAATTATATAATATTCAATAAAATGTGAATATTTTAGAGATAAGTTTCACTATGTATTAGTGTATAGGATATTGTACTATACTTAAACACAGTATATATCGTCTCTGAGTTTGAAAGTTTGTCAAAAAGCCAGACTGGTGACAACACGAACCTAATCAACTATTTAAATTTAGGTTACCAGTTTCTATTCAAAGGTATAAATTAAAACGTAAAGTTTATGCGTAATTTCTCGCTATATATAAGGACTTTATCTTATTTTTTTAAAAAAAAGAACAAAAAAGCTATTCAGGTACTTTTACACCTGAAACTATGAACTATCGTTTAAAAGTCGTACAATAATTGATTGACCGATACGGCATATTTCTCAAGGACTTTTGTTTTAATACCTCTCTTTGTGTTAGATATATAATTTATTCGTTTTACCTTTGAACATCATTCAATGAGCGGTCTGTGACCATAAAAGATGACATTATCTGATTAATTCCAAATTATCTTGTATCATTAAGACACCTAGCGTCTAAAGAGGCTTATTTAAGGGAATTATCAATGTTAATTGGTTAATTTTTTATTTACATTTGTGTTGTTTGTTAAATTTTTACAAGTATTGTTTTTGAACTGGAATTTAGATTCGAATGAAGGAGACTACTGGACTATTGTCAACGGAGGAGAATACTTATGAGAGTAACCCGGAAAAAGAGCCTATAACTAAAAAAGAGGCTTATAAGGCTCTTCTCGCTGTTTCTTTTTCTTTTATGCTCGTTTTTACTGCTACAATATCAGTATTCGCATTACAAAGCAGTATAAATGAGATAGCTGATTTGGGAGTTATAGGTTTAACTACGAATGGAGTTGGTATTATAGTTTCTTGCCTTTACGCTCCTATTTTTGTTAAAAAGTTTGGATGTAAGAGATCACTACTAATAAGTTTAACTTGCCAAACTGGAATAGTTTTGGCTCAGTTCTATCCTAGAATATATACTCTTGTACCCGGAAATATTATTTCTGGATTTCTCTACGGACCCATGTGGACTTCTCAATCAGTTTATATTACAATGATTGCGATTCGTTATGCAAATACTTATAAGCTAGATAAAGGCGAGATTATTAATCATTTTAATGGGATATTTTGGGGAATTTGTCTAACAATGAAATTATGGGGGAATTTGATTTCCGGTTTTATATTGAAACCATCTGGAGAGAACATGTTGAATGTTACAGAGTGCGGAAAAAATTATTGCCCTTATAGTGTTCCAGAAGAAGTTTTAAGGCCTAAGAAGCCATCTCCATTTCAAATATATACAATTATGTCAATATTTTTGGTTTTTGATATTTTAGCTATTTGCACAACTGCAATATTCCTTAAAAAACAACAATTAACTGTTAAGTTACGAGCAACGTCATTTAAATCTTCTGTATTATCAACTTTAAAGGCTCATAAGAATCTTCTATTCATTCTAATTATACCAGCAACTATCTTTACAGCCTTTGAACAGGCTTTTATGACTGTTGAATATGCTCAGGTAAGCCTCTTTTATTCTAATTTATTCAATAGCATATTAATAACTTTTTTCTCATACAGTCTTTCGTTAATTGTGCAATAGGCCTATCTTACGTTGGATGGTTTAACGTTATATTAGGTATCGGTAGTTCGATATCATCATTCCTTCTGCCTAAGGTAGTTAAAAGAGTTGGCCAATTAACAATAATATTTATAGCATTCTTCATGAATATGGGATTATTAGTATTTTTATATCTTTGGAAACCTGGACCAAATTCGAAAGCATTACTGTTAACATTTCCAGCGTTATGGGCTATAACAGATTCTGCTTGGCAAAATACTCTACCATCTTACCTAGGTCTACATTTCTCTCATAATCAAGAATCAATATTCGCTGCATATAGATTATGGCAAGGGGCCGGTTATATGTCCAACAACGGTTACAGCCCCTTCTTATGTATGAGCCAAAAGATAATTATATTAATGTCTGTATTAGTATTAGCTCTTATAGCTTTTACAACTTCAAAGATGGTTATTAGATTTAGGTTAAAGAAGATGATAAGATACAACGACTTGTAGAAGAAGTGTACAGTAAGAGATACTGTACTTTTTTTGATCTCCTCTCTCTTCTCCTGTCTCTTTTTATCTCTCTAGGTTTTTTTCTATCTGTTACTGTAATTTCTTTATCTTTTCTCTCCTTTGGATTATTTTTTACATCATCTATTAAAAAGCAAAGAAAAAGTACTCATACTGTATATTGATAAATCTGTTCATACTTGAATATATGTACAATATATGAACATGCTATTCATATGTTACAACATAGTATATATAATATATATATATATATATATATATATATATAAAAACTAGGTATATTTTGTTGTTTTTGTATTATTTTATTAATATATTAGATATTCTTTTTTTTTTATAAAAAACAACTAATCAATAAAATTAGAAATATCATCAGAAAAAGTCTATCACTCCTTCCTCTCCTCTTTTTAAATATACTAATTAATTCGTATCTTTTCTTCAAAGATTGCCAGTATCAACATTAGTCCAATACCAATTAAACTTCCGCCATTTGCCACCAAGAATTTTTTTATATTTTCTCTTCCTTTTAAACGATCTAATAATTCGGGCAAAATATCAACAGCAGCGACGTAGATAAACATTCCTGCGGTTATCGCAAATATCCAGTTTCTAGTTTCATCTGTACTCGATACTGCAACTCCTATATAGAGTCCTATGAAAGCTGTACATGCTGACAGAAAATTCAAAAGGGCAGCTCTCTTCACCGACCAACCGGCATCAAACATAATAGCCATATCTCCTATTTCATGGGGTACCTCGTGCAATAGAACGGCTAGAGATGTTGAAATTCCAGATTTCCAACCAACAGAAAAAGCGGCTCCAATCGCTAAACCATCTGCAAAATTATGAACTCCGTCGCCAATGGTAGCCATCCATGCGACGCTTCTATGTATTTTTGGTTTCTCTTCTTCAATGCTCTCTACCTTTTCGAGAGGTTTCTCGTTGAGATTTTCCGGATCAATAACTGGTTGGACGGTGGAAGAATCTTGAAGTCTTTCACTAAAATAATGTAGTATATACTGAAGAGCAAAGAATGCCCAGAGGCTAGCTAATGTGCTGAGCATTTTCCAGACGAATGGTTCCACTTTAATTCCGCTGGAAGTTTCACCTTCGTGTTCATGTTGTACAGTAAAGAAATTTTTATACTCAATGTTATTTCTATGCGAAAGTGATAATGGATGGGTATGATTATCACTTCCAGAGTGATTGTGACCGTGGTCGTGATCATGATCATGATTATCATGATTATGTAGACCTAGTGAATGAGGTATCAGATGCAAGAAAGTATCTCCTAACAAAGCACCAGCAGCAAGACCCAGGGCTGCAGCCATCACGAAGTCGTAGGCCTTAGAACCCTTTAATTTAAATATGAATATACCAATCAGGCAAGAAATACTGATGATAAAGACGGCAATTGTACCATATCCGTATTCTATTGGAGAAAAATAATAGTAGGTTAGAATGAAAAGCACTTAACTTGAACACCCTTTGTAAAAGGGTTAAAGAAAAAGAAACTACGAAATATTAGAGAGTAGCTCCATCTTATGGCATAATTTTTATATCTCCTCTGGATTGATTATAAATGCCATGTAATACATTCATGATTCAAGTGTCTTATCAACAGTTGAATAAAGCTATATAATAGTTCAAGTAGTTGTTAAATCTTTATTAAAAATTATATTTATCTTATCAGGATTCATGTAGGAAAAGTGTACTATTTCGATAAGACAATTAAAATTAGCCTTGAAATAAATTGTGAAATAATATAATTATCTCTAATGATAATGAGACTGTTTGAACTAATTTTTATAATTGATAAGAATGTCATTATATGTTAGGAAACTAAAGAAGTAAATATAATTTTTGTTTAGTTTCGTGTGCAAATTTTAATAATATATATATATAGATGTACTTACGTTTTGCTTTAGTATAACTGTTATTGGTTTCTGGTGGATGACTATGAAGAGGTTCAACTAGAAAGCAGCTATCTGAAAAATATGAAAAATTAATAAAGGAAATATGATCAATTGCGAACTATATACCTTTTAGATAGTTAATTATAATTGAACTCGTCAATTCAGCTAATTCGTAGTGTTTTGATACAGTTCTTAAAGGATTTTGTAAAGTTGCTACATCGTAGAAAATAGTTGTGTCAACAATCTATAGAATTGTTAAATGGTAATAAGAGAGAGAGAGAGAGAGAGAAGGAAAGAAAGGAAGACTTACTTCTTGGCAATTTTTAAAGAAATAGTCGTTGTTCTCTTGAATAATTTGCAGGTTTATCTTTTTACTTAATTCATTTAATAATTTATTTAAATTATTGAATGAAAAATATTGATTATTTTGTATAAAAGATAAAATATAAGTTGAATATATCGAATGATGAATATCATTTGGACATTGTCCACTCTTTATGATTGACAAGGCTATTAAATTTGCTTGATTAAATTCTTTTTCGTTCAGATTTGCAGATTGATTCTTTTCAAGAATTCTATATATATTTTCAGTTGTAAGACACTGTAAGTATAATATATAGAAAATATACTTATGAATTATTTTAATATAATTCAATATATTTCTAAATTAACCTCTTTACAGCTAGTACACTCTGATTTATCGAGCAATTTTTCAAGCCAAACTTCAAGGGTATCTTTACCTATTTCATTAGTTTTTGGCTGATAATCGCTGTCAAAAAGTTCTAATGTCTCGTCTAAACTAGACAAATAAGTTTGATGGGTTTTATTGTACAATATCAATGAAATTAATAAGAACGTTGAAAGTTTGAAACTGTTGAAAACAAATATTAGAATAGTTGAAAATTTTTTCTTTTTAAGAATAAAAGAAACTTACAAATATGTTGCCATGGCTGTTGAAACTTTTCAATTTTTACCAAAATATGCAATGTGAATCAGTACGTGAGTTGCAGCTTTTATATTTGAAGGCGATAACCTAGTATCATGTGATATTTCTGCACTCTGCTCTAAAAAATGTGATAAAGTTTTGAAAACCACTTGAAATTTCCAAATATAATATAATTCTATGAGCACTGTATACAAAGTACAATTGTTCTAATTGACAGAACCTAAAGTAGTTAAGATAACATACTCTAAATATTTTCAACCTTTTTCCTTGGTTGATAGAAATTAACTATTTTCAACATTTTCCTTTTAATAAAATAATAATAAGGATAATTTATTTTTCGTGTGCAAATCTTATCGTCACAATTCATCAGAACTAGGTTACAAAATTACAATGAAAACATGAAAAGAATAATCAGTCTATAATAATTATTTATGTATACCTCATGAATGAGCGAATAAGGGAAAGACAGAGGATGATACTATAATAGAAAGTTACAAAGCAAAAAAAAACTAGAAATATTATCAATGACAGACGACAAAATTTGACATTTTTGTAACTTTTGTTAGAACAAAGAAAGAGATTAATTCTGATAATGATAATAATAAATATCAATCTTTCTAAAAAGTCTAAAGGTTCCGATAAAAGTGAATTTTATTAATTTTTCATAAATTCATTTTATTTTATAAAATTCTAAATTTTTCTTTGGTCTTTTTAATAGAAAACAATAACTAAAATATTCTTTTTCTAAATAAAACAAAAAATTAACTGGGAAACTTTGAGAAAAATTGTGTTATTTTTTATTTTGTAAGAGATTTTAGTTAATTTTTTCAGTCAATTTTTTAAGTAAATATATATATATATATATAAATTCATACATACATACATACATACATATATATATATATATATATATAGCTATTTTAAAAATGCGTACACGAAAACCCGAACAATTAATTCAATTTTGTTTTGAACAGAATGTTAATAATTTTGAACAAAAATTAAAGTATATATGTATATATGTACATATATAGTGTATCAGAGAATAAGAAATGCAGAATTTTACTTGTTAAAGTTTCGATTTCTGAAAATCTTCAGCCAATTTCTTTTAAATTCTGAAAATGATTGATTTTTTTTCTTTTCCATAAGCACACAGACATACGCACATATATACATACACACATATACATATATATATATATATATATGTATCTATATATATATATATATATATTGTACAGTTGTTAAAATACTTTTCTCATTCAAAAATTATTTTGTTCAAACAACACTATCAATGGCGTACCAGATCTTGTCTTAAAAAAATATATGCCACGATTTTATCACTTCTTATCCGTCTAACCCAAATTTTTCCTATGTTTGGTGAAAAGAGGCGTAGTGATTGTGTTGAAAAAAAAAATTATTTCCTTTCTCTCATTCTTGTCTAGTTCATTTGTTTGTTTTTTTTGAACTTGAATGGAAGAAAAACATATAATGAACAAAGTTCGATCCAAAAAAATATAAATACTTCTTTTTCTGTTTAATAGATAAAAAAAAACATTTATGTTCAGAGAACGTGAAAAAAAGAATCCTCGTTTCTCGCGATTCGTGTACACTCCATTCGACTTATTCCGCTTTTTTTTATCATTTTATACACCAAAACCATATTTCTACTGCTTTCTTCTATCTTCTGTTAACGTCCGTAATAGGATATAGGACAAGAGAATTTTCATAAAATTTGGACGATAGTGTACCGGATGTTTGTCTTTTAATCTTGTTTTACTATCGCTTTCACGGTATCTTGACAATATAGGCGTCTCTGATCCGTGTATTCGAATTTTGTTATAGTATTTCTATTGCGTATTAACATAGAGAAAGAGGGTATATATATATATATACATATATATATATACATACATATATATATATATATATTTATATAATTGCTATATATAGATATATATATATATATATATGTATAAGTTGTTTCTCCATCCGTTTAAACGATCTGTATAAAGATAATAGTTATAAACGTTTCGTTTTTCAACAAATAATATATTTACCATTCAATCAGAGTTGCTTTTTAAGTGCCTTGATTTTCTTTCTTTCTTTCCTCCTCCCCCCCTCCCCCTCTTTCCATTTACGCCTTTCAAGGCAATTAATAGGCTCGTAATCTAGATAAATAGTTAAAAAATTAATTAATATAAACAATTTATGTTAATTAATTATTTACAAAAAAAAACTGTAATAAATACCGAATCATCGTTGGGTAGGCGACTGCTTTCAATGGGCGCCATTTTAATCGAGCCACGTCCTTTTACGACTGTTACCAAAATCATTTTTATGATTTATACTCCATTCCGTCGACGTTGGCTTCGACTAAAGGCACTCCTCCTATAAACGACTAATATTATATTCATGTTTTACACATTAAGTCTTGTTAAATCAAGATAAACAATTAAAAAAAACGATTATTTCGTACCGAGAGACAATTCTAGATCGTAATTTTGTTCTCCCTGTCGCCTACTAATTCTTGTCTAACCAATCAGATATTAGCAAACTACCAGGGGCATTTGTATCGACGATTCGTATTGGCCATTTAATAGGCCTATAAGTATATAAAATTGCATATACGTATATATATATATATACATATAAACACAGCTTAAAGTGCATAATAAAGCTCAATATTTATTTATATATATAGAAATTACCTTGGCAGATTAGTTACATGTTTTTTATTTTATTCTCATAGGCCTATAAATATATTTACTCACTTAAAAATGTCTTAGTTAAACTATTATCAGTATTATTACTATTATCAGACAAATTAGATTTACCAAATGTATGAAAAGTTGGATAATTAAACAACGTAGACGGTGTTTTAGGCGTATTTAGTATTGGTGATGATTTTCTCATTTTAGATAGCGTTGGAGATGATGATGCTGATGCTGAGGGTGACGATGACGGTGATAGTGCTTCAACGCTTGATTCTTTATCATCCATACAAAATTCATTATGAATTTCATAGAGTGAAGTTAGAGTTGAATATATTGAATTATTTAGCTGAATTCTTCTATTTTTCAAATATATAACACCTGCCGTAATTACCCCAAGAACTATTGCCATACCACATACAATTATACCAGTTATTATATTATTATAACGCTCAGATTCGTCCAATGAGCTAACAAGTTTTCCTGTTTAAATGGTAAATATTTATAATAATAAGCGTCTCTCTCACTATCTCTATTCTATATTGAACGGATATATACCAGCTATGAACTTTTTGTCAATTTCCATTTATAAATAGAAAGATATAAGCATGTAGACCTATAATTAGAATATATAAGTATATATATATATATATATATAATTTATAGCTTTAACAAAAACACTCTAAAAAGAATAAGAGTAAAATTTAGCACTGAAAAGAACAAATAGTTAGTAGAGTGCGCCATCTAGATTGAATTTGTTTTTATGTGTTTTTGAGTAATTTTTTTGGAATAGCTCTATATTTTGGACAAGTTTTTTAAGAGGAATAGAAGATTTACTTAAATAGTAAACATATATAGATATGTATATATATATTTAGTTTTTATTAATCAATTAATCAGAACAGATTTATTTCTCAATCCATAAATTGGGATTAATAACATGTAATTCTGCAGCATTTCTAATACTTGAAATTCCATAGGCGTATAATTTCTCCAATCTAATAAATAATAGGAATATAATAAATTAGTTTAAAATAGGTCAAGTAATAATTAAAAATGAAAAAATAAAAACTTACGATTTACAATTAGAAATTAATTTCTTAAATGTTGACATTGTCAAACTTTGACAAAAGTTTAATTTACATATTTTAAGAGTTTTAACAAAATAATTTGCTGCTGAACAAACTCTGTTTATTATTCAAAAAGAAGAGAATTTAATTAATTTATCTATAGTACTGTATTTCTGTTGTTTACTTACCCACTATTTCCTATTCCTGTTGAACTTACATCTAAATATGTTAGACGATTACATCTTCGAGATATGGCGAATATGCCTTTATTACCAACTTTTTTACAACCCGAAACGTCCAAATAAGAAATACTTGGTGATAAATTCGATATACAAACTAAGCTATTATCTGTTATAGCTGGGCAACTCGCTAGAACAATCTTTTCGATATTTTCGCACTTTGTACATAAGAGTTCTACAGTACTATCCTGTAGCTGAAGAAGATCAACACAATTAATGAAATATACAATAAAGTCTTATTATTGTTAATTTATATATTGTACTTTAATAATTCCTCCAAAGTCTACAGAAACTAGTTGAGGCAGCTTGACAACCATATTTTCAACAGATTCGTCCGTTATCTAGATAGAATGAAATATCCAACAGTCAATAAAGAAGCATTTAAAAATTATTGTATATTTACTTTCCAGCACTGAGTTAGGCTTAGGTACTTAAGATTTGGGCAATATTCAGAAATTGACATGGCACTTTTTTCGGTGAGGCTAAAGCAAGCTGATAATTCTAATCTCTTGAGGCTAAATTTAATATAGAATAGCAATATATTATTGGGATTAATATAGAGCAAATTAAAGGCTTAATAACCTATTTTGTAAATTGGATAGTAAATAGTGGATTGCGGTATCCGTTACTTTCGGACATCCATTGAGACATAGGCATTTCAATCTGATTAGAATGATATACTTAAATATTTAAGCACAAGTACATATATATATAGATATATTAATTACTTATTAAGACTGTTTGCAATGGCTTCAATACCGTTGTCGGTAACTCCACACCAAGATATATCTAAATATTTTAGATTTATGCATCTTGATGAACAATAGAAAATAACTGCATCGCCTGCCAATTGATCTCCTTTGAAAATAGAAATCGTTACGTAATAGGAATAATACTATTATATATTGTATATATTTATGACAATTTACCTTTACATTTATTGACAGTTAGACTAGTTAAATGTTTTGATAAGCCTGTAAACAATTTTCTTAATGAACCTGATAGTAAACTTCCTCCTTTACATCGGATTAGTTTCAAATTTTTTACTCTTCTTTCAATAATTTCCTCTAGCCAGTATTCTTTAACTGTACGATCTTTTATTGTAGCATTTGTCCCTTTTTGTTTTTCAAAATGTTCAATAATTAATTCATGCATTCATTCAATTCGTAAAAAAAATATACTCAACTCACATAATGTATGATCTTTGCAGATATTACTGAAAAAGTTGCAGGTCCTCGCCAATTGTGCAGTAGAGTACGGTGATAGATATTTAATTATTTCAAGCCATATTTCATCAGGTAGTTTCAACCAAGAAGCGATTTGTTGTTCCTTAATTAGGTATAATTTGTAATTACTCATTATTAATATAATTGTGTTGAAGATGCAATTTTACCTCTTTTTTCATGCTATTGAGTGGGTCAGCTAGAGATTTATTTTGAGACCATGTCCTTCCACTAATAATAAATCATTTAAAAGGGTTAATAATGTATTTTTAATAAAAAAAAAATGCTTACTTGGCCGATTTTGCTCTTATAAATGCTTGGGATGATCTAATTGAGCTAGAATTAGGCCATTTTGGTTGGTAAGAATTTACGGCTGCTGAGGCGCTTACTAAGTTCCTTTTTCTGCAAAATTTACCTTCCCTAACTTTAGGCGGTGATGACTGAGGAGCTCTAGGAACGAATAATTGTTTACTTGTCTTCTTTTCTTCAGCCTTTTGTTGTTCTTCTCGAAACTTTATTATGGCCTTTTCAATAGCTTTCTCCTGTGCGTCGTCTTCGTCACTACTTTCATTTGAAATTGATAAATCATCTTCCGGTATTTGAACTTTCGGTTTTTCATTTAAATTTTCAACGTCAATTGATAATTGTTCCTTCAGTTCATCCGATAGAGATCTATGACTTTTCTCTTTTGGTGACAAGTATTCAAATTCTAGGGCTTCCGCTCTATCGACTAGTGCAGGTTCAACGTTACCGAACGCTTTTGAAGCGGATTGCTCCTCTAGTACGTTAAGATTTAAAGGAGGAATAAAGTCTGGCCTGGATGATTTACAGACAACTTGCTCAGCTGAATCATCAACTTCTTGATCTGAACTTTCAATAGATTGTATTTCACATTTTTCATCTTGTTGAGCTGAAGGTGATGATTCAATTTCAAGTTTAAGCGTGGCCGATGGTTGTTCTTGCCTTTGGGAAAGAAGAACTGAGCATTTTTGGCACCATGTAACAAAGCATTCATTTTGAGTTTCACAACTAGGACACGCTATAGTTTCCGAGAGAGAACTTAAGGAAAATCTTCTATTATCTATAGATTGTTGAATTGATGAATATGATAAGTCTGATTTATTATCGATTTCCCTTGAAAAACACTCTTCTCCTTCAACAATTGACGAATCTGCAGTTGTAGAGAAACTTCTAGCACTCTTAATTCTATCCGCCATATCATAAATCTGACTGGATGAAAATGAGAACTTTGTTGAGGGTTTTTGAATAGGTTGTAGGAATTTAGGATGTTTTTTGATTTGTTGATGTAAATAATCATACTGTGAAGCGTTAGTGTTTGATATTAAAGCAAACGAATATGAGAGAGGATTTTGACTTGGTCGATGAGTTTCAAAATGCAGGTCTTCACAATTGCTTTGAGACATTTTTGATTTTTTCTTCTCTCTACTCAGATAAATATTATTTTAAAAAAAAATGTCGCTCCATAGAAATTTTGATTACAGTCGTTACTACGGTAGCAGCAGGTAATTTAGACTGGTAACCTATTCCGTTATATTATTGATTGCACGGATAACAGTAGATGTCGTTATCGTTTACTATTAGTTGTTAGAACTTCAAAATAATGGTATATATATATATATATATTCGAGTACATCTTCAAAGCATGTTTCAAAAGAGAAAGCGATGAATGAATATTAGAAAGATGGGGAGTAATGTAGAGAGAGTAGACAGGAAAAGTTCGATTAACATATACGCACACTTTTAAGAGAGTTGAAAAGAAAAGAACCTTTAATTAAGTAGAGTTAAGTGAATGGAAAAGTGTAAAACAGGAAAAGAACGAGAGACAAGGAGAGAGAGAGAGAGAGAGTTAGAAGATGAGGCAGTTTTTCTTTGTTTTAAATAGTTTCTGCCCCAAAGAATTTATACTTGCATAGCATGCAAAGAAAGTAGAATTTATTCGTGAACCGTAACAAACTCAGTATAAAAATTTGTCGAGCAAATTGCTGACTAAGATGTTTTCACGCCCAATTAGCTGTCCGCACTAGGAAAATCATTATATAATTAGTGAATGTCACGTAATCTCTTCCAACAAATAATTTAATTACGCAATTTTTCATAAGAATTATTTAATTAAATTATAAGAAAATATATAAAAATAGAACAAAAATATCCACAATATTCGATAAAATTGTATTAAATGTATAAGACATTAATGATCTCAACGTTCCTTGACGGACTTGTTTATAAATATGTACTTTTTAATGATTTTAATATGAATGGGCTTTAAAATAGATAATTATAACTCGAAGGTTATATGGCTTTTAAAGTAAAATGAATTAATTTAGTCTGGCATTTTACAAGACTTATCGGTTTAATATTGAAGAAACCATTTATACACGAGAAATTTGAATTTTATAGTTGATATCTTATAAAGACCTTAAAAATTAAATTTACGAAAGGGAAGAAAAGGTAGCGAATAAGAGATAGAGGAAGAGAGAAATCGACTGAATGGTATAACAGAGAGGAGAGAGAAAGAGAGAGAGAGAGAGAGAGAGAGAGAGAGAGTGACAGAGTGACAGAGTGGTAGCAAGACAATAAGACAAAATGTAACACGACTACGTTAATCTAATTTCTAAATATATTAGTTATAATTGAACAATTTTTGTAATAATTAATAGTCTTTCTTGAGAAACAGACTTGATGGGGATAGGTAGAAAAACAGACTAGAGGATTCCTTTTCTTACATACGGAAAATAGCCATGATAACAAACTCAGATAAAACTTCGGGTAAAATTTCAAACAATATTAATAATTATAATAAGTTACATACAATTAATGTAAATAATATTATTTAGAAGGTTTTATTTGGATTTGAAACAGGATAATTATATAATGCTGCGTGTTGGGAGTAATGTTGGGAAAGGATGTAGACGTGACGTTTGTAGATTATGGATGTAGGGAAAAAGTTTGTCTGATTATATTCCAAAAATATCATTTATTCATAAACTCCACTAGGAAAAGGAGTTGTGAATATATGCGTTTAAAAAATATGACTAGTTAATTCCGTTCCTTTCACGCTTTCTTGTAAATCTTGACAAGAAAAGTTTGTTTTTTTTACATGGCCCTCTTACTTTACTTTAATTTACGTTCCGTTCTCACCTTGTTTCTTTCTCTTTCTCTCTCTCTCATTCTTTCTTTTTCTTAATTTCTTTAATCTTTTCTTTAAGAGTCTCCTATAATTTTAATTTTCAAGGATTACTATTAGAGGTGGAATTTATGACATTGGTGCTCAGAAAAATATGTCACGTGACACAAAAATAATGCTAATGATGTTGCTTAGCACTATTGGGTAAGCCAATCATTGCCGATTCTTTCGAATATCTTACGTACAAGTCAAATTAAAAATGAAAGGCAAGGCATCACTTCGATTTACTCTTTTAATCGTGTAGGTATGAAGAGAGATATCATCTTGACTCTTGCTCTATTGGTCTGCTTGTGCAGTCATTTGAAAGCAGATTACGAAGAAAATGAAGTTAACAAGAGGACCTTGTTCTACAATGGTCTCCCTTTTTATTTCTATGGAGAAAATAAGCGCGTACCATTCTTCAAAAAATGGGCTCGTGGTCCTTTGATGAAGCTACCCTCCTACTCTCATCTACCAAAGCATAAACAACCTACTAACAATAAAAGTATTCCAAGATACGGAAAAAAGTAATCTACCTAACAATAAAAAGAAAGAAAAAGTAACATAACAAGGAGACTAAAGAGACGCAAGAACTTTCAATCTGTTGTCTATATAGGCTAAATTTTATTATGTATAGTCTTTTCTTTTTCAAATTGCATATACTGCAACTTAAAGAAATAATGAAATGACTATTTTCAAGCTAATTAATATAATACAGATGTTTTCAACAAAATTAAGAAGTATTCGTTACGAGCTTGTTATATATAGATTGATATGGGGTCTACACCTCTCTCTCTCTTTCTCTCTCTCTCTCTCTCATCCTTCTCAAGCTCCTCACTCTCCTCACTCTCTCCTCCTTTAAGAAATATGATAAAAGAATGTTATATAAAAATGTGTAATATTTTCAATTGTCTAATTTACCGTTTTTTCGAAACGTTTGCACACTTCACTCAACGTTAAACGCTTTTTTCAGCTCTTTTTGACGTCAAGAGTACGCTAAGCCTATAAAAACTGTAAAAATTGAGTAGGCTAAACCTGCAGGAATGAAAGATATTTCGTAAAAAAAAAAGGAACTTACACTTTTTGTTATGCTTTTAACAACTCGACAAAATAGGGAACAATTAGCAGACAAGAAATTCAACTTTTTAAGTTTTTCTCTTTTAGATGTCAATTGTTTCTTTCAATAGTTTCCTCTTTGTTTCTCCCCCCCCCCCCGCTCTCCCTCCCCTTCCACTCACTTCCCTTTTCATTTGTTCTCTACCAAATTCAATAATGTTCCACCTGGGAGTGAACGTATTTCAATTTAAAGTTTATAGCAATATCTATAATATATAAATTAATAAATAGCTATAATATGTTAACATACTTATAAAAGTGTTAAGGAGTGTACACAACATACATTGGAATTTTTTCTATCTTATATTCTTTTCTGTACTGCTTATCAGATTTCTTTGGAATATGATATTTTAATTTGCTTACTATTGGTCAATTTACTTTTAAAATGACCCTTAAAATGTCATAAAGTCTTTCTTTATTATAATTTTAATGTCTTTTCTTGTAATTAATTTTCATATTAATTTTTATTAATGATATATTTTATTTAGGATAGAATTCCATCTCTCTTCTCTTTCGTAGAAGAGGAAAAGGGAAGAAAAGAAAGGTCGAACGAATAAGTACGAAACGTCATAAATCTTATTAACTTAACATATAACTAATAATTACAGTGCAGATAAGTAGACTTGATTATATTTACTTTTTTTGACTGCAACTTCCGGTTTCATTTGATAGTTTCTTTTTCTTATATTTTATTGAATGGTTTTCTCAATAAAAGATCTTTTTTACTATCTTTTGTTATATTTCCTCATTACAATTTTCTCTTCGTTTTTCACTCAATCTTTACGTTCAGATATCGCGCCTCTTTCTCTCCCATTTCGTAATCAAGTTCAAGGTCAATATGGCGGTTATATGTAAATAGTAGATTCCTTGTAGTAAAATTGAAGAGTTTTTTATTTTTTTGACACATAATGACAGCCGTCAATCTACCACATGAAGTTCTATTATCTATATTCCAGTATCTAGAAGTTGAGGATTTATGCAGATTATCTCGGTATGTTTTGATTCCATTAGAAATGTAAATTATTTATTGATTGATAGTGTAAGGCTATTTCAGAGTATGTAAGCTGTGGAAGAAAGTATCCAATGATAGGAGTCTATGGAAAGTGGTAACTTTAAAAAAAGAATTAAAAGTAGGTCCGCTTAAAAAGCTCCTATATCATCATGCTGCTACCGATGCTTTACAAAGATTAGAGATTAAAGGACCACTCAAGCTACGTATATATCCTAAAGGTTCTGCAATAACTGATAAATGTATTGAATTATTGAATGAGAGATGTCCGAACTTGACAACACTGGTGTTAGAATCGTATAATTTAGAACAAATTAGCCATTTACCTAAAAATCTCAAACACTTAGCTCTGGTAAAGTGCAGTACACCTTTAGATGGATTTGCTGGACATTTAGTACACAAATTTTCAGAATTAAAGTCACTAGATTTAACAAATTCAACAAAAGTTGGTTCAAAAGATTTAACCAGCTTAAGTAGTTATACATCAATTACTCAGCTGAGTTTAGATGGATGCTATAGAATATCTGCTTCATTTCTACAAGCATATCTTACTTTGGAATTTCTATCTCAGCTCGAAAAGTAATAAATCTACATATTAATTATATTCTAATTAATGCCATTCTTTATATATCACTTTTATTTTTTTAAGATTATCAATTGTTGGAATAACTATGAATGATGCTGATGCCCTCATTAATGTCCTTTCATCTCCTAAAATGAGTATGCTTAAAGTTTTACGTACTTGTGAAATGATGTCATGGGAATATTTACCAATAAATTTACAAGCTCTAATTGTTATTGGAAGTAAAGAGGATTCAAGAATTACTTTAGAATCGACTTTTTACCTTGAGAAAGGATTAATAAAATTAAAAAATTTGAAGCTCTTAAAGTTCAATAAGTTGACTATTAAAGAACCGGAGAGAATAAAACACCTCTTACCAAGGAACTGTTTAATGACTTTTGAAGATGATTCCAAATTTACGCCTATATTTGATCTTTACAACAACTTATTAATATAGTTGTTATAGAAAGCACTTTTCCCACAGTACAACATTGTCTTCAGGTAGATGTAGCATAGTAGGCTTAGGTAAGATATTAAATGTCCCATTTCTTACTTTTGTATATATTAGATATATAAATATATATACAATATGTATGTTTTTACTTAATAAACAAGTCGTTTCTTACCATATTTTTATCTCTTAATATTTAATAAACAATAAGAAATACTAGATATTATATCTGCTATATTTACAAGATTTTTAAAACAAAGAGTAAGGTGTTTTTTTAAAAAAAAACAGAATAAAAGAGTAATAATCATTATTCAACTATACAAGGCGGTTAGAAAGGATGAACATGTTTAGTTTCATATACAAGTATATATGTATAAATCTAAATATTCATAAACTATTTAAATAACAATCTGTTACTATCACTGCAAATGACTAATACGTATGTAAGTCTATCTCATCTTTAATAGCAAAAGACCTGTTAATCGTTAAATATAACCTAAAAAACAATCATATTATTGTCAATATTGTGTAACACAAAAAGGTAGATTTTGCTTGTAAAGAAACAAACAAATAAGGCAAACATAGTAGGTTGTCGTCTATTTATATCCCTTTAAACAGAGAATGTTTAAAAGTTTTCCTTTTGTTTCTTTTATGAGTTAATATCATTGAAAAGAAGAGTTCAGGTATTGAATAGAAAGTTCAGAATATAAGTAGGGGTACCATGTATATATTATATATATAATACAGTATATACAGTATACAGTATGTATCTGCAACAGGTGTTGGATTCCTTTAATAAATAAATTGTTTTATTTTGGTACGAATAACAAAATGAGCTTTAGTGATCTATCCGAAGAGATTCTTATTCGAATATTTCTATATTTAGATACGGACGATTTAGGAAGACTTTGCAGGTATAATAAATAAAAATTATTTGTCTTTTTCTGCTCATCTACCCATCCCCTCTCTGCCCTTTTCTTTCAGAGTTAATCAGTTATGGTATAGAATTCTAAATGATCCTATCTTGTGGCGTAGAAAATTTATTCATCTAAAAAAGCGCTTGAAACACGGAGCCCTAGAAAAATTCTTATATTATAAAGGCATAACAAAATATTTAGAAAAACTATGGATTAAGGGAAAAGCGCCGACTGCGTTTATTGGAGAAATTCCGTCTCCATTACCGCCTTATATGGTCTATAGTAGATCTTCCAGAATAACTGAGAAGTCTTTAGAACTCTTAACGTTAGTTTAAAATAGTTTTCCATTAAAGATAATCATTAATTTTATATTAACAATTTGCTGTTTAAGTGAAAGATGTGAGAATTTTACAACTTTAATTTTAGAATGGTTTAATTTGAGCAACGTTCCTGGGAACGTTTTACCAAGATCTCTAAGAAAGTTAGCCTTAATTGGCTGTTGTACAACGGATGGTTTTCCAAATCAATTTGTTATTGATGCTTTGAGGCATCTTCCTCATTTGGAATCATTTGATCTAAATGGATGGAATAAATTAACGAGAAATGATTTACTTGTTATCTTTAATAGTAGAAAATTAAAGGATCTAAACATCGATGGATGTACGATAAGTATTCTGCCTTTGATTAAAATTCCAACTGTCGTTGAATTTCTTCTAGGATTGAGAAAGTATATCATTAATTCCCAATTAATCATTCCTCTACAAAATATATTATCTTTCATAGACTCTCAATGATTGGCACTCAAACTTCTTTCAAAGCGCTGTCTAATGCCTTCTCTACAACGAAAATGACCGAATTACGCCTTCTTCGTATAGACGAACGAGCGCCGTGGAAACATTTACCAAACGGATTAAAAGTTCTTATAATAAAGAACTGTCACTACGAAATGGTAGAATTAGACTCCCTGTCAGCAATGAGAGGATTATCTAACAACGAATCATTACGATTAGTCGAATTTCTTCGTCTTCGAGTTAGAAATAGAAGAGAGATTATGTCCATTCTTCCCTCGCATTGTCAATTGAGCGTGAAGGAGTTTGGTGAAAAGACTGGCAATGCCAAACCAATTTTTGATTTATACCAAGAATTTATCTGAAAAGTAAATTAAAGTCTATTTTTAAAACAAACTTAACTTTTATAATGGTCCGTTTTTGTTTTTTTGCAGACAGTAATACGATGACAATTTAACAGAAATTGCTATATTATTATTATATTATTTAAATTTCAATCATGCCGGACATCAGTAAATTGGTTGATTTTTCAGAATTGCTCTATCAAATTTTCTAATAATTGAAAATATATATTTCTATAAATATATTCATGTTTTTAAGTTATTTCAAGCAGCAATACAGCAATAGCAACAATTTTAAAACTAAAAAAATGCTTAAAACTCGCACCGTTTTTGCATTAGTCTTCTGTTTAGCAATGATTGTTCAGATTGAAGCAAGATCGCTATTGATGAAGAGATTTTTAGCTGGAATTATTGATAATGAACCATGTGGAGCATTCGGATGTTCAAGCAGTCAAGATCTAGGATCGTCACCAATGTATGGAAAGTCAAAGAAGAAGCATAAGACTTATCACTCGAAAGTAGAAGAAGATCCTTGGGATCCTAAAAATTTCGAAACAGGTTTAGATGATTAGACAGTAAATTACTATTATCTACACATATATACATATATATATATATATCTAATGTAATTATCAAACATAAGGAAACTATGAATTATGTTACGTCAACGCTTAAAATTGATGATTTGGCTTTCTTTTTGATTGCTATTTATTAAAAAATAAAAAATGAAAACTGAAATTCATATTATTGTTATAAATAAAATATATTAAACGACTTTTAATCTCTGACTAAAATTTGAAATCATACTTTTTATCCTCATTTGATAAACTTCATTTTTAAGTTTAATTTTGTTTGTCTACTTCGGATATGCACAAGTAATTTTACAAGGCAACTGTCGATCTAAGAGGGTAGAAGGTATACTTTTAAAATGGATAAAACTGCAATTAGGAGTTTTAGTGATATTACTCCTCAATAGAGTGGATCTTGCAAAGTGCGGAAGTAGGTTTTGATCTGATCATCATTATGTGGAAATGTATAGCAAAACTATTCAGGATAGAATAAGTCAGTTATGAATATATACTGTATATAATAAAGAAATAATAAGCTTTTTAAAGATTATATTTATGAATATTCAAATAAAATATTCAACAGCAATGTATAAACGAATACATAAACGTCTAGTATACACCTATTTCTCCCTAACCTTTAAATCATCTTTGAACAAAAGGCTCTGGAGGGATTCGAACCCTCGATCTCCTGTTTACTAGACAGGCGCTTTAACCAACTAAGCCACAGAGCCATATGTTTATTTGTCAACTCGATAAAATTTTCTGACATGTTTTTAAGTATTTTTTATGTATTTGAATAGACATAATCTATTGATAATCTGTATTGAAAGCAGATGGTTTTGATGACTATGTAAGCCCGGTTAGCTCAGTCGGTAGAGCATGAGACTCTTAATCTCAGGGTCGTGGGTTCGAGCCCCACATTGGGCGATTTATACATTTTGGCCATTCATTTATCGCCAATGGCCTCTGATTTCTCAATGAAAAGATTCCAAAACTTTTTTTTGTTCAAAACATAAAACGAAATCCTGTTTTCGAGATGGATTAATCTTCATAAGGTGGATGTGAAGGTTCCATAGTGTAGTGGTTATCACGCTCGCTTAACACGCGAGAGGTCCTGAGTTCGATCCTCAGTGGAACCATTCATTTCTTTTTGTTGTATGCTCTATTTCAAAGAACTTTTAAAAGTGCTACTTATTATAGCAACTACAAACAGCTTGATGAGAAATTTAGTCATGTTCTTCGTTGGGTATGGGTAACTTATGGGTAAATTGAAAAATGGGGAATGGATTCCAAATGATTTGTCAAAAGGATATCTAGAATTTCTCTTCTAATTCTATAAAATATATCAATGAGCATTAATATAGTTTAACAGATGAAAAAGCAACAGATTTAGAGAGTCAATACAGCATTATACATCATTAGAAAGTTCTAAGTTATCTTTCAGTGAAAATACTGGATATAGATTATGAGTAATTTATCAAAGAACCAAATCATCCCCAAGCACTTTGAAGGAACTTCAAATTGGCTTTTGAAAAGTAATGAGTATGGGGAATATTTAGGCAAACTGAATTTGTTGTTTATACATGTCTTATACAAATATACTTCATTGACTAACAAGGTCTAAAACTTTTCAAATGTTAGACAAACTCTTAAACTATAACTTTTTTGTCAAAAAAATATATAAATCGCCCAATGTGGGGCTCGAACCCACGACCCTGAGATTAAGAGTCTCATGCTCTACCGACTGAGCTAACCGGGCTTACATAGTCATCAAAACCATCTGCTTTCAATACAGATTATCCCAGATAATCCATAATGAAGCATAAAATATAAAAATTCATATTGAAGAGGAATTTTTGATAAAATAATATAAACATTGTAGAATTAGTGAAATTGGAAAATTATTGACGATGGCTAAGAATATAATTGTAGAAGATTGATACTGAATGACCTACTGAGAAGATTACAGGTTTAAAACGATTTAAAATAGTAAAAAAATTGAATGGTTCCACTGAGGATCGAACTCAGGACCTCTCGCGTGTTAAGCGAGCGTGATAACCACTACACTATGGAACCTTCACATCCACCTTATGAAGATTAATCCATCTCGAAAACAGGTTTCCATTTCTGGCGGAAAAAGTGGAATAGACATCATAGACATGAAATATTCTCAATTACTATTGAAAGCTTTTAAAAATATATCGAAGTATACGAGTAATCATGAAGAAATGATCAAAAATATCTTAATCGCCCAATGTGGGGCTCGAACCCACGACCCTGAGATTAAGAGTCTCATGCTCTACCGACTGAGCTAACCGGGCTTACATAACTGTTAAAAACACTTGGTTTTCTTATAAGATTAAAATAGATCATCTATAATCTAAATAATAAAGTCTTACATAGCAAAGTTAGTTAGCAGATGACAGAAATTTTTTACTAAAATATAAAATAAATATGTGGCTCTGTGGCTTAGTTGGTTAAAGCGCCTGTCTAGTAAACAGGAGATCGAGGGTTCGAATCCCTCCAGAGCCTTTTTGTTTGCAAATACACAACACGTAGTTCTTGTTCCTGCAAAAATAACGCATTTAAAGATACATTTAAGAAGATGATAACTTTATTTAAAAAAGCGTATATAACCTTCGCTGTGTAATCCTTTTTGATGATAACTCTTTATTTAGAAAATTGAAATATGCAACAAAAAGATTGGAATGGTTCCACTGAGGATCGGAACCAGAACTGAATTACATCAGAAGTTTTTTCAAAATTGAATAAACGAATTGCTGCTAGTGATCATTATGAAAGTGTAACTGCTTTTACTATATTAAATTACTAGAATTATTATCTTTATAATATATTTATATGATGATTAAAAAAATATATAATTTGGTTCCACTGAGGATCGAACTCAGGACCTCTCGCGTGTAAAGCGAGCGTGATAACCACTACACTATGAAACCATCTGATATCGGCTTGATAACGTTTTTCTTGTAGTTTATTTCAAAGTCAAGAAATTTATAAATGAAGTTTTCAGAATGATTGAAACAGTTTAGAAAATGTATATTAAACATTTAAATTGCATCAATAATAAATATTATTAGCTGAAATTATTTTATAGCCAAATGTAGATTATAGAAATGGTAAACTTCAAGAGATATAACCCATTTTTTACATAATTCAAAGTTATAAAACATTGCTAATAAACGTTTTTTTTATAAAAAGTATAATACGTTATATAATATAATAAAACTGTTAAAAACTAGTAAAAGAAAACTGTATGGAAATTAAACTAATAGCAAAAAAAATCTATTAAAAGGATAGATTAAGAGAGAGAGGGAAGAGAATCAGCTCTCTATTGACACTTATTTAACTTTCTTTCTATTGCGTTCATTGTATACTGTATATCTTTCTTATCGCGAAAGAATGGAATATTCTCTACAGTATATACAGTATATATATAACAGAAATACTTTAGATCTAAATAAAAAGAAAACAATAAAATATACGTCACGTGTTTTCTATTACTGAAAAAAACTTCATATAAAAGAATGTACCAGGTTTTTTTAGTTTAAAATTAGTTGAAATTTTAAAAAAGACTGTTGAAAATGCTTTCTTCCAAAATAATGATTTCTCTTTATGTTATTCTTTTTGGGTTGTTTGTCAGTCAGGTATATTATTTTTACTCTTTTTCTTCATTAACTAATTGTCTTTCTTCAATATTTTTATATAGCTTTCTGTGGTCGAGAGTCAATCTGATGGTCCTAACAGTACTGCAGCTGCAGAGATGATAACTACACCGAGCTCGAATACAACTTCACCGAGCTCGAATACAACTACAGAGGGCAAAACGATTGACGATAAAGAAAACGAAACAGAAAATAACAATAGCGATGAATCTGATACTGAGAAAGACAGTGAGGAAGATGAGGGTGACAACGATGACGATGATAAGGACGACGATGATAATGATAACGATGATGGTGACAGCGATGATAATGACTCCGATGAAGACGACGATGACGATTGCGACAAGGACAAAGATGAATCAGAGGATACAGACGAAGAAAAATAATACATTTTAAACTGTGACTTATTGTAACAACATTGAATAATACAATTCAAGAATAAATGCAATTATAATAAATAGTTAATTTCATTTTTTCATAATTTCTATATTAAAATATACAGCCTTAACAGCGTTTACTATAAACCAAACAGTTGTTTGTCGTTTTTCAATAACAGTTAATTGTTCAAGTTGTTTTCATTTAACAAAGTTATATTTATTGAGTAATACTGATAAAAACTCCATATTTATAATTACACTATTTTCAATTGAACTATATAGTATTAATGAAAAATTTAACACTTTGTTATATTTGCCATTTTCGTTTATTGTCAATTCACAGAAAAACTTCAGTTAGGCTGAAAGATAACTCATTGACAAGATATACTTTTCAATAAAATTCTTTAATTTATATAATGTGCAATTAAGTATCATTGTTTTTAAATTGAATCTAATATATTCTTCATTATTCTATTATCGTTTTCATTTCGTTTTCAAGTCATTTGTAAAGCCCTAGCTTCTTAGTTTTTTCAAATAAATTGCTCGAAGTTTTGCCAAGTGTTTTTGCTGAACTAGTCGTTCATGTGCTAGTCTTTTTTGATGAGCTAATAGTTGTACTCTGAGTTTATGTTGAAAGGCTCGTTGTTGGACTATTAACCTATGACGAACAGCTGCTTGTTGTTGGGCCAATTTTCTCTGATGGACCAGACGTTGGTGGATCAGTCTTTTTTGTTGGACCAATTGTTGGTGGATCAGTCTTTTATGTTGGACCAGACGTTGGTGGGTCAGTAGTTTTTGGTGAACTAGACGTTGGTGGGTCAGTTGTCTTTGGTGAATCACACGCTGGTTGGCTAGTCTCCTCAGCTGAACCAGCTGCTGTGTTTTGAATTTTTGTTGAATTTGTCTTTGATGCGCCAATAATCTTTGTTGAAGTATTCGTAGTTGTGTTATTCGTCTCTGATGAACCAGCTGCTGTGCTCTGAGCCTTTGTTGAAAAGCTCGTTGTTGGGCCACCAACCTTTGATGAACTATTGCTTGTGCTCTTTTCTGTGCAATTTGTTGCATTCTGAGTTTATGTTGAAAGGCTCGTTGTTGGGCCAACAACCTTTGACGAACTACTGCTTGTTGCTGTGCCAGTCTTCTTTGTTGTACCACACGCTGTTGGGTAAGTCTTGAGTTTTGCAATTGTTGCTGTTGTGCTAATCTTCTTTGATGAGTTAACAGCTGTATTCTAAGTCTATGTTGAAAAGCACGTTGTTGGGCCAACAACTTCTGACGAACTGCTGCTTGTTGTTGTGCCAATCTTCTTTGTTGAATCACACGCTGGTTGACTAGTCTCTTCTGCTGAATCAGTTGTTGTGCCTTGAATTGCTGTTGAATTCGTCTTTGATGGGCCAATAGTCTTTGTTGAATTAGTCGCAGTTGTGCTATTTTTCTTTGATGAGCCAATTCCTGTGCATTGAATCTTTGTTGGAATGCTCGTTGTTGGGCCAACAACCTTTGACGAACTGTTGCTTGTTGTTGTGCCAGTTTTCTTTGCTGATTGAAACGCTGTTGATAAAGTCTTGTGTTTTGGATTTGTTGTTGTTGAGCTAGTTTCCTTTGCTGAGTTATCTGCTGTATTCTGAGTCTTTGTTGGAATGCTTGTTGTTGGGCCAACATCCTTTGACGAACTGCTGTTAGTTGTTGTGCCAGTTTTCTTTGTTGAGTCACACGCTGTTGGTTAAGTCTTCTCTGCTGGGCCAGTTGCTTTGTTCTAAAGTTCTGTTGAATTTGTCGTTGTTGAATCAGTAATCTTTGATAAATTTGTCGCTGTTGTTCTAATCTTTTCTGATGAGCCAATAACTGTGCTCTGAATCTCTGCTGGTATGCTCGTTGTTGGGCCAATATTCTTTGATGAGTTGCTGCTTGTCGCTGAGCAAGTGTCCTTTGCTGAACCAATCGTTGCTGTGTAAGTATTCTTTGCTGAACCATACGTTGTTGTACTAACTTTCTTTGTTGTTCAGTCAATATTCTTTGCTGATTTAATCGTTGTTGTGCAAACCTATTTTGCAGAATTACTTGTTGCCCTTGAAGTTTTCGTTGGATAGCCTGTAGCTGAGCAACTCTCCTTTGATGAATTAATAATTGTTGTGCTAGTTTTCTTTTCTGAAGTTTCCGTTGTTGGGCAAATCTATTTTGCTGAATTAGTCGTTGATGAGCCAATTTTCTTGATTGAACCGTTTCCTGCACTCTGAGTTTATGTTGAAACGCTCGTTGTTGGGCCAATATTCTTTCATGAACTACTGCCTGTTGCTTCGCAAGTCTCAATTGTTGTTGTAGTCGTTGCTGTGCAAGTCTTGCTTGCTGAGTTAGTCTCTGTTGTGCCAATATTTTTTGTTGTTGAGCCAGTTTTTTTTGCTGAAGCAATCTTTGCTGGGCCAGTCTGGTTTGTAAAACTACTTGTTGTTTTTGGAGTCTTTGTTGAATTGTTTGTAACTGAGTAATTCTCCTTTGATGAATTAATTGTTGTTGCGCTAGTCTTCTTCGCTGAATTTCTTGTTGTTGAACAAGTTTGTTTTGTTGAACTTCTAGTTGCTGATCCAATCTTCTTCGTTGAACCACTAGCTGTGTTCTGAGCCTTTCCTGGAATGCTCGTTGTTGAGCCAATATTCTTTGGTGAACTGCTGCTTGTTGTTGGGAAAGCCTGCTTTGCTGAAGCAAACGCTGTTGGAGAAGTGTTTTTTGCTGAGCCAATTGCTGAGCTCTGAGTTTCTGTTGAATTCTTTTTTGTTGGGCTAGTGTCCTCTGTTGAATCGATAATTGGCTCTTAACTCTTGCTTGGAGAGTTCGAAGCATGGCAAGCTTTTTTTGTTCAATTGCTTTTTTCTCTGTAACAGAAACAAGGAAAGAAGCTATAATACGAGAGAAAAAAAAGAGTACAAAAGATGAAATTAAACCTGCAATTTGAGAAAGATCCGATGAATCGGGTTGTTTTAATGATCCATTAGATAAAACAATTTGAAATAGAGACAAAAAAATGAGGCAGCTAATAGAAAGCCTCATTTTCTATTTATTTTTCCTTTATATATTCTTTTGGTTATTACTTTAAATGAAAGAAACTTTTTGACTATGAAATTAACGAATATTCAAAGTTCTTTCACAACAGTATTAACTTTTCATATTCGTATTTATACCATTCATTACGTGTTTTTACAAGAGTTAATTAAACAATATAACAAGTCTGTTGGCTTTCTTTCCCATGTTTTCTCTTTTATAAAACTATATTTCTAGGTAGATATTCATAAATTATAGGTTTTTTTTCATTCAGACTACTTTATTCTTTTATCTACCAATAAAATAATTTCAGTTTTATTTTTACGACAAATAAAACTACAGAATGTTGAATGGAAAAGAAAAAATGGTAATTGGTCTCATTTCTAGATTACTATTCAAGATAGAATTATATATTATACATCATTTCTTGCAGTCTAGTAGTATAGCAATACAATTCTGGACTATGTGAGTTTATTTGGAGAAATAAATAAATAGAAATTTCAATTTTTAAAAAGTATTATTCGCCCAATGTGGGGCTCGAACCCACGACCCTGAGATTAAGAGTCTCATGCTCTACCGACTGAGCTAACCGGGCTTACATAAGATAAAAAAACCCTCCTATTATTTCATACACATTCATTCATCTCTTCTTGCTACTTGCTTTCACTTTGAAGTAATTGTAAAAAATTCTTTATTTAGACATTAGACATTCTTTTATCTGATCAGGGAATCAATATTTCAATACTTTCTTCATTAATCCTGGATTGATTAAGTTATTGTTGGTTAATCCTTATATAGGTTCCATAGTGTAGTGGTTATCACGCTCGCTTAACACGCGAGAGGTCCTGAGTTCGATCCTCAGTGGAACCATTCAATTTTTTTACTATTTTCAACAATAAATTTATATATACTGTATACTATATACATTATTCAATGAATAGATTATAACGTTTATACGCGTTCATATACATTCTAAAGCGTTTCTTTCATATTAATTAAAAATATGAATAATTTCAATTAGATAAAATGTATTGAATCATATTTGACAAACTAACAAAACAAACAAATTCGTTAAATTTTCAAGAATTTCGTCTATTCCTTATAAAATTTTGAATAATTTTACCAAATAAATTAATTAAATATCTTGATTGTTTTGGTGTTAAAATATCAAAAGTACCAAAAACTTTAATTTGAATATTTTGGTTTGAATTGACAATTTTTTTTTCAACAAATATTTGTTTAGTATTGAAATTTTTAAGATAAATATAATTTTCATCAAATTCAATTAATAACTTAATTAATGATTTAGCTATTTTATAAATAATTATAATTTTAAGGTTAATCTTAGAAATTGAATCGAAAGGATATAAAGTTGAATTTGAATATTGACAACCAATAAATCCAATTCTATTGGCTAAATAGAGTATTTCGCAATCTGATGATATAAAAGTAATTAATAAGTATATATACAATTATATGTTATTTTATACTTCTTTCGGCAATTTTAATCCTTTTACTTTTCAATAATCTTTTAATTGTTTTTAAAAAGTCAGAACAAAAGTGTGAACAGTAGATTATTGGATTTAAAGAGCAGTTTAAGGGTACTACAAAACCAATTATATATGCGTAACTAGCCGACGTTAAAGGTGATATTGACAAAGCCGCAAGAGTACCTTTACACATGGAGGAAAGATGATAATCTCTATTTATAAGTTTGTTGGAAAATTCTGTAACTAACTAAGAAAGAAAATTGGTAATGAAGCTAAAATGTTTGTCCAGACAACTGGTAGAACTTTCTTTAATAGTTGCATATTTTCTTTGTGAACAGTCTCTTTTGATTTTATTTGAGTTGACATTCGAAAATTATAGATACTTTTAAAAAGGAAAGCATAAAGAATAACAATGATAAAGGGAATCAAAAAGTTAAACAATGCGGTCATAATAAACGAAAAAATCCATCCGTTCACTTTATCATTAGTTAGGTGAATTGATAAACATACCCCAGATCTTGAATAGAAATGACCATACTCAACACCTTTGCCTTTATAAATCAATAATGGAGCTATTGCGGTACTGATTGATATGAAAAAGCAAAAGAGAGTTGTAATATTCTTTATAGTGTTATGTCCGTTCATTTTTGCAAATGATTTAATAGTCCATGTTATAACCAAATATCTTTCAAGAGTTATTATGACTAGTATCAATTGAGAATAATGTATGGAAGATGTGGCTAAAAGGCCAAGAAATTTACACAGAATAGACGGTCTCCATCGTTCGTCATTCTGAATATAAGCATTCCTAAAATATGTATCTACACTAGCTATTGCTAATAGATAACAACCCATAAACATGTCCGAGATACATAGGCTGAATGTAAAAACTGAAAAGTTCTTTATTTGATAGGCAATTTGAAATAGAATTGACAGAGTATTAAAAATAATTGATATTATTGCCATAAACCATATTGATACTCTTAACACCTTTAATCCAATTAAATCGTCACATGTACTAAAATAAGATGGCTCAGCCGAACATATTTGTAGATTTGCTAACATTTTAGTAAAACAACATAGTTTATATTGTTTTGTATGGAACACCTTTAAATTCTCCAACTTAATAAATGCCAAATTTGATACTTTGACTATTAATGTATTAGTTAAATTTAAATATTTTAAAGATTCCATACTTGACAAACAAGTTGAACAAATCTCATTCACCTTTGTAAATGATAAATCAAGTATTAAAGTTTCCTTTGCATCCTCAAATACATTATGAATAGTAACCAAGTTTGTAAATGATACATTTATACTCCACAGTTGAGTTGTATATTGAGATAATTTTGGTAATCTATATAAATATTTATTCCTGCTAAGATCTAAATATCTTAAATTAGGAAAATATTGAAAAAAGCTATTATTCAATAGTTTAATTCTTGTATTGTGAATTTTCAAAGAAACTAGCCAAACGAATATTATTCTATGCAAACGTTTCAGTAAAATAGTAGAAATATTTGAATTAATAATTTCCATTTGATTTATTGTTCTAATATTGTTTAAATTCCATTTAATATGATCTTTATATGAGATTTGGGAACATGAGAGAAAAGTTTCATTTTTAATACATCTCTTCATTTCATTAATAGAACATAATCTTTCATCAGATCCGTCAATGCAATGGTTTATTCCGTCGCATAAATGCTCTTTTCTGCCATATTAAATAGATATGATAACTTATATATATAAACGAATGCTAAAATGTTCTTACATAATACACCTTGGTTCTTTTAAACATGCGAATTGACCTTTTTCTTCGCAGTTGATCATTTCGCAATTCTCTTCATCATCCTCGTTGGGACAATGAACAACGCCATCGCATATATTATCTATAGAGATACAATAGCTCCATTTACATTTATAATAGTTCTTGTGACAAATTTCCGGTCCTTTTAATGCTAATTGACATACAGATTGATGGAAATGTATTAATAATTAAAAATAGAAAAGAATATCAACCGCAAAGCTTATTAGAATCAAACGAAAACGAAAGACTAACAAGCGTTTCTTGTTCAAATATATATAAATTGGACTTTTCTTTTATCATTTCATTAGACATTGAAAGATTATAATAAAAAAACAACTGTCTCATTGGAGAATGAAGTTGAGTGTTGAAATTCAATATATTATTAAATTGTTGAAAATTTGTTGATAAGTTTAAATGACACGAATTGATTTCATTAAATAATTTTGGAGCGTTATATTGAAATTGATTAGGTTTTTCTGAATTATCATAAATTTTACAATGATAATTTGAGCATAAACCGTTATTCTCGTCGAAACAACTTGAACAATCGCATTTTAAATCGCATACTTTTGATTTATGAATGCATTCATTCGTTTTAAAGTCACATGTAAACAATTGTTTATTTAAATCTTCGCATTTCGTTCCCTTAATAAATGCTATTAAAAATTTATTAATGTTTATAAATAGAAGTATATATGTAAGTTTATTCTACTATGATTTCTTTTTACAAGTTTAACCTTGTATTAAGAGTCATTGATTGGAACATTGTTAAGCAGGTTGGAACGTGAATATTCAATATATTCGTATCTTCTGATCTATTTACGGACATGATCATTCAATGAGTCTTGTTTAAACAGAATAATTTTCTAGAGCAAGTAGTTTGTTTCAGTTTACGACTTGTCCATTGTCGAATTTCAAGTTACAACCTGCTAAATACTGTTCCCTTAGTTCTATGTTTATATAAAGACGTCTTTCCTATATATTAATATATTATATATTAATTTACAGCAAGATTTTTCATCGCTAATATCCAAACAATTTGGACTTCCATCACACCATTTTTCCAATTCAATACATTCACCGCTTGAACATTGTCTTTGAGTTGTTAAATTACATTTTTTCAAACAATCTTCTTCATCACTTTTATCCTGACAATCACTTTTACCATCACAAAATTGAACTAATAAAATACTTTCGCCATCTTTACATTGCAATTTTAATGAATAATTTCCAATTTGTCGATAATTTGTTGAATTCTTCATCTTTTTCTCACAGACATAATTTGAAAATAACTCTTTATAACAGTCGTCTTCTTTTAATACAAATGGAATATCTATATCTCTAATTGTAAACAATAAAATAACCTAAGATAAATAAGAAGGAAAATAACACTAATACTTAAATATTATGTTATACCGTTGATAAGTAGAATAAGTCTTTTTATGATTAAAACTATCGTATTCGGTTAGCTCGTAATATATACACTTAGCTAATGAATACGAAGGTATAGTACCAAATCTCCAAATGTTTACTACGCATTGGTCATTATCACTTGTATTTAAAAGGGTTTTATTGTTTCTTCTTTCTTATTTTTATGTTATTTTTACTTACAATAGAAAGGATTTATCACGTTCATTTAAGAAATTAGGCCTAATTAAATAGAATTTCAATAATAATCCTTTTAAATTGTAATTTCAACTTACGACCATACTGAAGTTAATTCTGGATTTACATTACCAGGCGAGTAGTATTGAACTTGATTATTATCAGTTTGTCGTAGTTTAATACCTATAAAAAGAAAATGAGGATAAACGACAGATGGAGACAAAGAGGTAGATTGAGAGAGAGAGAGAGAAATAGTAGTTTTTCACCAGCTGGAATAATAGTTGTCAACAATGTATGAAAATTCCTTTCAAGTGTCAATACCCAGGCAAAAGCTGTTGTTTATTAATTGATTGAAGGAAGGAGAAAAGAGAATGTTAATGAGTATATTAAAAGTCTTTTAATTAGTTAATTACAATCATTATTAAAATAAATTAAATTTTCTTTTATATCCGATATGATTATGTTCAGTAAATATTGCGATTCTTGAAGAGTATTTATATAAGCTATTTGGGATTCACCATCTTCTTCGCATGCTAAAAGTATTTGAATAGTGGTTAATTAATTAGTTAATTATCATCTATACAGACCAGTAGCAGCTTCGTGGTGACTCATTTTTGACCTAAACTTTCCAGAATGATAAAAGCTATAACAACTTCCTTGGAAATAGTATGGAAATTTTTCTGGGCATTCTATATGACTTTTTCAGTTATTTAGGGGAAAGTTATATTTATTTGTACTACCGTAAGATTTCGTCTTGTTGGAGCATACTACCCATAATTCATCGTATTCTGAACATCTCTCCGAGACGTATTTTAAAACTGATAAATTATTATTATGACACTTTGAAGCATCTTGATGTTGGCAACTTTTAAGCATCGTCATAGGATAAACTGGAATATCAGTTACATGCCTCCTCTTCTTAAAAATGGATGTTTCGTACAATAATCCACCAGGAGCAAACTTTTCAAATATTTCATAAGCTTTTAAATATTCGGGAGAGTTGTTTTCCACTAGATGCAAAAATCTGGAATATCTTAGATGATAACCACCAACATATCCTAAATTTTGGCAGGCTTGCTTTTTAAAGATTAACCACTTTAGCATATTTTATCAAAATTTTTTCATTTAATTACTAACATTAATATCTAAATTATATACAAAATCATCACAAATCGAATTCCAGGATTGATGTTTCCAGATTAAAAGACGTCCAATATTCTTATCTGGCGTTATTGAATTTTCCAATCTGTACTTTTGATTATTTCTATTTTTATCTGATGGAACAGAAATAGAAGAAAAGATAAGATAAGTCTCAAAGTTATTTACAAAGATTTACCTTCATTTGTTCTTAATGAACACCAATTTACATTAAAAGGAGTAATATCATACAATATAGTTATATGAACGAGTAAAAAATTGTCTTTTTCATGTTTTTTTCTTCCACAATCTCTAAGCCTATATTCAATTCCTTTACAATTATAAATATAAATCTTTTCCTGAAGGGATAATGGATTTATAAAGAATAATGCTGAATTCTTCTTTGCAAATTGAGAGATAACAACTATTCATGAAATGTTCAATTTACAAGATATATTTTTAATATGTAATATTTTTCGTTTACCATTTTGTTCATATCTTATTCTAGTAGACGCTTTTAACTTAACATCTTTACATACTAAATCTATAATATTATATCTTTTAATAGTATCTACAAGCATACTATTACGCAATAGAATAGGATTATATATTTGATCTTTTGCATTGAATTTATAAAGTGTTTCATTAAATATTAAATCTATATTGGAGAATTATCTCAGTATCTTTATATTAAATTGTAACATTGCATTTATACTTGCAGTTGAATATAAAAAATAGCATGATTTACATCTGAACTGTTCATTTTGACTATTGTCTATATTAAATGAATAATTTTGACAAATTAATAAATCGTCTTGATTGTAATTGGTTCCATTATTTGTTGAAGTGTGTTTCAAATTTTCAAGTATTAATGAATTGTTTGTAGCAGTTAACTTTTTACATAGAATTTCACATATATCTTGTATTTTTTCCTTATTTAAATATTTCATATTTTTACATGAATTATATAATAAGTCATTTATTTTCATTGTAAAATATAACGGAATAATCCCATTTTTTACTTTAAAATCATCATTAAAACCCAATAAGAAGTTAATATCTAGTAGAAATAAATAAATATACAGTATAAATACTGTACGAAGGTGTTTATACCTGGTTGATTGTTATCTAAACATTCAAGTAATACAGCGTGACTACATTCACTAAATCCTTTAAATGGTTTTGAATATGTATAGTATTCTTTATTCACAGAATATTCAATTATGTTAAAACCGATGTATTCGAACAAATAGCGAGGAACAATTTCCCAAATACATCTTTTTAATTTATTCTTTACAAAACAGACTTTTTTCAAAAATGCCTTCAATGTAACTTTTTAATTAGAAAGAATATGATTAAATATGATATTAATACTTTGTCAGATTCAATCCCAACGTTTTTGTAAAATGCTATAATGGTTTTCTTCAAGTAATTGTACTTTAATGGTATTCTACTCCGTTGAATATTTGAGAATTCTTTATCTATTCTATTCAAAAGCTCTTCAGTTATCATCTCGTACTACGGATAATAAAGATTATAACGCTACAATAGTAATGTTATGTAAAGATATTATATCTATATGTTTACATCGAAATATAACGCTTTTGAATAACCCATACTAGAGCAAATTTGATCAAAATTTAATTTTTCTTTAGCAAATAGTAACTTTGAATAAAGTGTATCTAATTTAAATAAATTATACCAGAGTATACACAATAAAAGACCTCAAAATAATTAATTTATTACCATATGTAGGATTATATAATGATATTCCACAAATTGGTGCTTCAATCGTTACGTTATTAGCCTTTTTATTAATATGCAAAATAGAAGAAAGTGTTTCTAAAGTGAAAGATGTATTTTGTTGAACTTACATTTGATAAATATTCACCCATCAATATGCTCTTTCCATTAATATTTCGTATTTTAAAGTTTTTAATATCGGTAAAATATTGAGCATCTCGAACTTTTATTCCATTAACGGAAATGATAAAAGATAACAATAAGTTATAAAATATATCTGACATTTTGTTGTCGTGTTGATATTTTACTTTTTGTCTGAGTACAAAGCATAAAGTAATAACAAATATAAATAACATAAATGATCTATCTTCTCCAGCATAATAGAAGAATAATTGGGTAAATTACATATATTGCATATTACTAATTTTCTCACTATTATTAATAATATTTTAATTAAAGTATGCAGTTTTTTCTTTGTTCCAGCTTTTCGTTGCAGTAGAGTTAAACTTTAAAGTTTTCAATGTTCTAAACGTTATGCTTTATTTTATTTTTTATTCATAAATGCTATGTATAGAAGACTTTTTTATCTTCATTTAATATAGTGGAGACACTGATAATCTTCTTTACGTGCTTTTGAATATCAAGTGATAATTGAATAAATAAGCTTGCCTCCTTATCGACACAAGAATAACTTACTAAGTCTTATCTTAAGAAAGCGGTTAATTAGATCAAATATTTATTCCCCTAATAACTTAATAGATAACACCAAAAGCAGTTTAGCAAACTCTTACTTCTTATACTAGTCTAACATTCCTTCTCGATATTGTTTCCAATAGACATTATTGTAAACAAACGTTAGCCGATAAAAAGAGAAATTGTTATATATTATTATATTTTTAATAGAAAACAATTATATTCTCAAAGAAACACGCAGTCAACCAAAGGGTAACCTTGACTTTTTTACATAAAGTAGACACTCTATAAACTATGTAAAATGATAGTTTAATGTTTTCAAGGTTCCACTTAATATACCATTAAGGTCAGAGAGTTTTGTCTTCATCTACCTAATACTGTTTTCCACGAATAATTATTGAATATTGTGGAATCTTATAAGATTATGAATTGTTTATCCTATTAATTTATATAAAAAAAAAATAAAGTAAGTTCAAAGCCGAGTTACAATAGAAATTTTTTTTTTTACAAATAATTGAAATAGATAATTCAATATATTGAAAGAATTCCCTTAATTAAACCTTGGCCTCTTTCCAATTTTTTAAACAGGATTGTTGGTTTAGTTCTCTTTTTTCTAAATTTTGCTAATTAAAAATGAATTTTCGGAATTGGAAACTAATAAAATATTTACAAACTGTAAGGTAAAATGTTCAACTATAGCTTAAGTATTAAATAAATGAGTAAGATTGTACAATAGATTCTATATAGGAAAGAGAGACGCAGTATAATATAAGATAAAATGAAGATTAAGATTTCAATTTGTTTGAATAGTTTTTTATTTATTTTATGCCAGCATTATTTTGTATTTAAACTTGTTAACATAATTCAACGTTTTGCTCTCATTAGTCCTTTTCGTTTTTCACCTTTATAAAGGTGATATCATTTATCATTTCTTCTTCCCCCCACCCCACCCACTCCCCTCTCTTCCCTCTTTCTTTCTCTTTCTCTCCGTCTTTCATAAAATTCTTTTATAAGTAAGACAGCTTTCGTAAGAATTTTCTTGATTAATTAGCGTTTCATTATGTAAACTACATAATAGAGAGTTTGGATAGAATGTAAATGCCATGCAGTCATCCAATCTTAAACAATATCTACTGCAATCAATGTCATTCCTTTCGTGTAACTCTTGTAATTTCGTAAAATTGTAAAGATTCTTCCCAGTATTGATTAAAATAAATGTTGAGATATTGTTCTGTTCAACTAAAAAGATAAAAAAATTGAATGATTGTTTTAATAAATACATTAAATAATGTAATGTAATTACCATGATTTATTGGTTCCTTAGTGGTCATAAATGTTGTTGGAATATTCGTTGTACTAACTTCACGCACTAAAAAGCGTCAATTTCATTATTTTATGCATAAATTAAATATATACTAGTTAGCTAAAAACCTTCAGGCGTAATAGAAGTTGAATATATTAGTTCCTTAGATGTCATGTCTTCATAAAAAGTTGAAATATCTGATAGAGTTTCGTTACATGTATATCATTTTTTTTGTGTTAAAAGTAATATTTTACCTGTAAAAGATATATTCTCAAATAGAGCTATTTAATAATTATATAGATATATTTGAAAACTGAATGCTATAGTACCTGGTGTACTTGATGAACTATGATGAAACGTTGAAGTTGTCATTGGTGCTTTTTTTTTTATAGAAAGAAAGTTGTTTATAATATATGAATAAAAAGAAGATTGAAAGATGATATAATAAGCAACCTGCTTCAGAGTAATGATGTAGAATATAGTCACAATTTAAATTATCTGCTATTGAATTAGGAAATGGATAAGAATGTTCACAAGCTGACCAATATTTGTCGAAACAATATTGGCTTATCCATTGCTTATTACTTTCATTAGGTTTAAATGAGCAACCAGAGTAATATGCAGTTTTTCCACCTTTCCAATTTTCGTATGATATAACTGATCCATCGTCGTAACGATGATCGCTATAATCACCTGGAAAAATAATCATGTTTTTATGAGCAAATTTGAAAAATTTGAAGAAATAAATATCCAACTAAAATATTTAATTCCAAGCCATATTCTTGAAATGGAAGAAGTTCCCATTAAAGCTTGAATATGATTCTCATCAATGATATTAGTTAAACGGACCATATGAGCTCCAATCTTGTTGCAGCAAACTCTAAAAATTCACAATAAAGTAGTGTATAGTTACAATCTTCAAATGTAGATTATGATGACTTATACTTTACTTCATCCCAAGTATATTTTTGAGAAATATCAAAACCGTAACATTTATCGGAGTTTACCGATTGGTACCAGCCAATCGGACAACTAGCAAAATTGCATTGAATAGCGTTGAACAGAATAATAAGTATATGAAAAAATGTCATCTTCATATCGTTAACAGGCTTGTGAGACGACAAATGATTAAAATAAAACTTACAAGTATGAGATTGTTAAATGAATTGAAGGACAGTTTGTGACGTAGTATAATTGTTCTTTAAACAAGTCAAAACTGAAGGTTATAATTAATATCTTTTACCTGAGGCAATAATCTCAAGTAACACCTTTAAAAGTTGAATAACCTTAATAAAAATATCAATAGAAAAACGAAATGAATTTCCTGTTTGTTTTCTCGTTATTGTAGGAAATCAAGCGGTTTTTTGAACACTTTGTGTGCTTTTGCGAAGGAAAACAAAGGAAAAGTATAGCATAATAATATTTGAAGAAGGGACTAGATGATGGACCATATATAGGAATTTAAATCCCCACTTTTAGTCATATGCTGACAGATACATACAAAAGAAGATCGATAGTTTTCTATATTAGATTGAACGTCATAAAAGCGGAAAAAGTTATTTCAAGGTGATAGTTGTAGATTAATATCCTCTTCGGGTGAAAGTACTCTATCTATTTAAAGAACCGTGTCTTATTCACACTCTTGTACGTTTATTCATTCATACTTAAATCATTTGACTAGTTTAGTTTCACGTTTTATTAGTTTCTTCCTTAAATTTGAACATAAACTATTCATTTATTCAAAATTCTTTCGATCCACAGAGTTTTTAAATCTATATTCAATTTCAGTTGGGTATTCAATGGTAGTTTCAGGTATTCCGCCCTCCGATTCACGAAGTTTGCAACAGTAGGAGAGGATGGTGCAAATATGGCATACCCAACGTCCAAAATGAAAGCATAAGTATATTCCAATAATAAGAAAGAAAATCAAAGCAATAAGAGAGCAAGTAACAACAATAGCAGCATCACCATCAATCTTTCCTTCACAGCTATCTATAAAATCTATACAATAATTTTTATATAGAATAATAAAAGAAACAAATACTTACTAATTAATAGAATGGAATAAATGATTGCAATCCGGAGCATATCCATGATAATCATTTATTAAATATATATATATATATATTCATATATGTATGTTATATTATACGCTATATGTAATATTGAATTCAGTATAAAGCAACAAAAAATTATTGCACAATAGGCGTTTATTTTGTTTTCCTATTGAGAAAAATGAAAAAAAAACTACGCAAGATTTAGATTCAAGTAAGCTTCTTTTATATAAGTAAAATGAATTAGGATATGCATTGCCAGAAGGGTTTAATCAATTCTTATTGATCAGAAGAACCTATTAACGTCTGTTAGGTATAGAAAATAACTTGTTGGTAATAATTGTATATATATGCCTGTATTTCAAGTCTTTTCTCTTTCGTTTACTTAGGCCAAAAACCAGGAGTTTTTATTTTCTTAGCATATTGAAATATATATAAACATGAACAAAATTCAATTTGCATCTTGTACAAATTCAATCAACGACACATTCAGAACGAAACAATAATTCTTCTATCAACGTAAAGAATATTAAAAACATTTCGATTATATTATCATTTCTACTGAAGTATATATTATATCATTCATGTCATTTTTATTCATTTATTTGAAAATTCGACATTTTATTGACTAATAAAGCATTTTTAACTATGTCACATCCGTTAGGAAACTGCTCATTTCCTTTTTCACAACAACATATACTATATATATGTTGTATAAATTATACATGTATATATCCTTATTTTTCACATGACCTTAATTTTTCTACATATATAAACGTCAATTTTCTAAGGATTCGTATTAATTTCCGTTAGATATTTTCAAAATCTCTATTGCTATTATTTTTCTAGAGCGCCATCTATAGTATTCAAGTAATACTACAGAGAATAACACTTATCATTGTTTGTTTTGCAATATTCGTATTTATTTCAGTACATAAGATTTCCAAAATATTTATACTTATTCGATTAAATCTATATATATTTAATCATTATTAATATTTAACAAAAAGAGCAATAGATCGACCCAATTCAGAGACAAATCATCGTTTACAACAACGTCAATAAAACAGTCTATTGTGAATAAATGGAATATTTATAGTAGGCTTAAAAATCGTTAATTCCTAGACAAATGGATAACAAGGTAAAATCGAAAAAAGGAAGGAAAGTAAGAGAGAGAAAGATGAATAATCATATAAATGTTATTAATAAGTAGTAGACAAATATTATTATTGTATGTTTATTTATATATACATATAGACTATACTATAAGCCATATATATATGCTGTATACATAAAATACTATTTAATATACTTGAAGATTATTATATCGAAGGAGGTATTGCGTAATATTTCGAGAAATATGAAATATGCTTGAGCCTTCTATATACTATATATATATAGATATATATAAGAACGTGTGTGAATTTTCTTCTTTGTTGCTTCCCAGCCTAGTCACGAGACCTTATAGGTAGTTTATTTTTACCAATTAGTCACATATTGTTCTCTCTTCTTAAAGACGTCCATTTCTTAATATATAAAACAATAAATAATTATTCATATATGGAATAATGAAGTTATAAATAACGATAAATATATTTTGAAGCCTTTTAATTATTGCTTTAATTAATATTTAATTAATTAGTTAATTAATTATCTAATATATCTATCGTTTCATAATTTTCTAATAAATTTTTCCAACCAGTATATATATTGCGTAATCTATTTTTTATTTTTACATAACGACTCTTAATATAAGATATAATGAATTTAATTGAAATGTTAGGTTAATAAATTCAAAATTTAAATTATTATTAGAAATTTAGAAAAAATATTCAATTATTTTTTTGGAATTTGTACCTTTTATACCTAAATAGAAAGTTTTTATATAAATAGAGAAAAGATAAAGAAATTTATCATAAATTTTTTACTAAAAAGCACTGAAATAGTAAAAACACAATTTTCTCTTTATTTTTACTTGATAAATATTTATTAAAAATTTGTTTTATGCCGTTAAAATATAAAAATTTCTTCAAAGTAATTCGAAACCAGCTACATATGATAAGTTACGAGCTATGCAATCAACCTTGACATTAAAACAGACTTTTAGGTATGACTAAATCTTGTTATGAGACACAACTGGCAGTTAACGCTGTTTGCTTGCAGGAGTAGGAATAAAAATGAATTGCGCTCTCTTCGCCTCCGATCTTGTCTTTTTTATCGGTAAATATATACATTAAAAGTATAAATATCATATATTAACATATATATATAACTATTATTTCATTAATTAATGATATTTTGATCGTTAAATATTTCTAACGAAAGAAGCAGAATATGTGTTGTAATCTGAAAAAGGTAAACAAATGAGTGATAATAGGTTTATTTTGATAAAAATTGATTAGAATCATATATCTTAACAATTTTAACATTTCGCAGCGTTTTATAACAGGAAGGCAATTCTAAACCAGTTACCTATCACTTTTTAAGATGAACTATATACGAAGAGAAATATATACTAGGTGTAGCAAAGGCTGTTGCTATACAATCGTAATACACAGCTGACTGTTAGGTGGTTTATATAAAACTGTAAAATTTCTGACCGTCACGTAGATGGTACATAATAATAGTAATATTTATTGAATAGTGACTGATTTTTATTGATATTTTTCTATTTTTTTTGTTCTCTTTTTTTTTATTTAATAATATTCAATAGGAATTTTTTGGTGAGTCATTAGTACCTCGCAAAAAAAAAAAACATCGCTTTTAATACGTTATTAGCCTTTATTTGCGTATTGCATAAATACATTCGTTTCGTATTATAAATATTTGAATATTTAATTTTTAGTTAATATTTTATTATGATATAAAGATTTTATTCTTAGTAGGTCACTTAATGTGTTGCAGTGATAAAAATAGGGACGATGTTATTTTGTAAACAAAAAAGTATAAATCTATTTTTTTAGTATCATTTGATACTGTATTGTTTTTTTAGCAGACTATATTTTTTATATTAAGTGTTTTAATTCGAGGTCAGTGTTCTTTAGAGTCTATATAGGAACCTAAGATTAAAGTACAAAACAAAAATTTCTGTAGGTCATGTGTGTTATTGACGATCATTGTTTAGTATGACCAGTCACCAGTTTTTCCTGAGCTGAAAACGAGGCTCAGAAAACTCGTGACGTCACGAAGCAAAATAAAGGAGACTGTCTACATTATTGTTGATTTTCATCAGAATTTACCGAAGATAAAGAAGTTGGCCATGAACAAGCTTTAACCAATCGCTTAATTTAAGTAAACTGGCCTCGACGTCGGACAGCGAAGACAGCGGTAAAGCTAGTCCGCCGCGTAAAAAAAAGAGACTGGCCACTACAATAATGCAAGCGAACGGCTGTGAGAATAATCATGACGGTGATGATACCCACGTATCGAACGGTTCATGCAATGGAACTTCTTCGGTACCAACTGCAAACAGTTCGAGAAAGAAAATGTCGAAAAAGGACATGGATATTGTCCGCCTTATTGGCCAGCATTTGCGCAACCTCGGACTCAAGTAAGTATTTGCCAAATGTTTTGCATAAACAATAATATAATATTTTAAAGTAAGATAGCCGAATTTGAACAGTCGTTTCCGGTATTTAAACTTTTTCATAAACGCCGCCTAGTGGCATATTTTTGCATGGGATATTTTTTGGGGAGTGAGTAAGATGTCAACGTTCCATTCGCCCATGGAGCATTGATATCAATTTGTCAGTTCTTAATCCAAATCTTTAATATTTCGTTGACAAATTCTTATTTTAGAAGGTGGTAACTTTATAGTTTCGGTAGAAGTAATATTCTTTTATCGTCATAAAAACCATAATATAAACAAAAATGTAAGAGAATTTATTTGAAGAATTAAACAACGCATCTTGGTATTTTATAACGTTATTAAATTAATTTTTCAAAATATTATCTCTCCTACGAAGCTGTATAAAAAATTTTTGCACAACAGAATTAAGTAAACTATATAGATTCGTTAAGCATGTCAACATTCTATACTAGTCAAGAGATGATACTTTTTCCCAAGATACCATCTCATCTAATAGATAACTGAACGTATTAATTTTTTCTTTTCCTCTTATATCTTTAAAACAAAACGATAAAAGCAAGGGAAAAACTACATATTGTGTCGAACTAACCTACTGCCTTGATTAAAAATTTCTATAGAATATCCTATTTATCGAATCCTTTTAATATAAATCGATTAAATACAGCATTTAGTTTTTATTATTACTCTCCCTCTAGTAATTTTTTTAGCATTACAGTTTTAAATTATTTGAAAAATTACTAAATATCCGTTACATTTGGACTATTTTACATTCAATAACAATATTATCATATTTTTTTTTTTAAGTTTTATTCTATAAATAAAATTTAAGAAAATAGGAAAACTCCCTCTTTATATTTAACTTTTTAATATGATTACAATAAAGAAACTGTTTGGTAGCTCTTTCCTTCTCCCCCCGCTCCCCCCTTCTCTCTTTTTCAATAAATAAAACCTTCGTTTCGTTTGCCGTCAAGTTCACTGAACTTGGGTGAACTCTTCAACGAGTGTCAACGGTCTTAGCGTTTTCAGTCTATAGTAGTAGTTTTTATAGAATTTTTTTCTGCAATTAGATTTTTTTATATTTAGGGGAAAGAAAACATAAAACTTAGGGAAGTTGTTTTTTGTTAAATTTTAGTATTTCTACTAATAATTACATAGGAACATTTTTATTTAATATTCATATGCACGATCTTATTTAGTTTAAAGCGAAATGGACTTATCCTTTAATACTGGATGGTAGGATTACGTTCTATCTTGGTATGACCTTTTTTAAAATGCTCATTTTCCCTTTTTTCCTCTGTTGTAACATACCCGCTGGGCTGTAAATTTCTCCTGCTAGTCATTAATGACAATGACTCCGTTTTCATAATCGAGACTGCTTTCGTCCTCTGCATAATTAAATAACTCTCATTGTATGTTCGTTCTTTACGCTAACATAAAGAAAATTATATGATGCATCTTGGACGAAATTAAAACTAATCCTTAATTGAAAAATGTAATTTGCAAATCATCAAGCTTCTAAGAAGTTCTAATTCTAAACAAGCCTTAAAAATATTCTTTGAAGCTGTTGCAAAAAATTGTTAAATGCAATGAAATGCGTGAACTTTTAGAGCTATTTAAGAATGTCTTTAAATTGAACTGTCGACGAGAAAAAATCGGATTTGATAAGATGTTATCGAAGCATTTATCTGTTCTATTACCAGATAGCCATTGGTGCAGAGCAGGTTGCGAAATAGTGAGACTTAGGCGTTGGAAATGCGCATGCTCCGCAGCGGTCTAAATAATCATAATGTTACCAGGGTGGGTTAGACATTTTGAAAATTGATGTGAAAACAGCATTAGATTTGACCCAAAAACACCAGAGGAAATAGCTGAATCTTTGTACCATTATATAAGCAGTTGTAATTTATGTAATTGCGATAAAATATTGATCTTTTACAGATTAGGCTTTTGCATTAGTACTAAAAATTCTTTTGTTGAATATTTCTTATTTATTTTGCTGAGAAAAAATTGCAAAAATTCTTGTTTTTCTTTAATTTTCTCAAAGAAAATCGATAAGTAAATATTGTAAAGAACATTGATAACTTTAATTTTGAAAATAGCTGCAAAAGCTTAAATTTAATTCATTGTTTACATTATTTCGTTAGAACTATTAAAACATATCCAATTGTGGATTGAGAAGCGAAAAATATTAAAAATATACATTTATTTACATTCGTAGAATTACATAATAAAACATTTTTGCACTAAGCTTCATTCAGCAAAACGATAATGTAATTTAGGCCAAACACGTGTATGTTTTGCAACAAGTCTAAATAAAAAAAATAGATATTTTTCTTTGCAAAAGATTATTTAAAAAGAGAAATGTTTTTCTTAGATTAATTAACTCTTAATTAATTTTAACTATTCACTTTCAAAACCAAGCGAATCTGTTGATATATAGTATCTTTCAAACTAATTAAACTTTTTCCCTTCAGAATATTGAAGATTTTTTTGTTATTTTTTTGTTTTCTAATTCTTTATTTTTTGCAAAATATTTAAAAAAAAGACATTCCCTTTGAGGTTACCTTATCGTAACTATATTACAATAACGTTTCTATGGATCAGTATTTCTGCCACGGAAATTTGAAAGAATGGCTAAGCTTATTTTTCCTTTTTCAATTGAAAAGATGGATAAAATTTTCCCTATTCTTCCTTCTTCGACTTTTTGTTTTGTAATAAAAGTTTACTACTTACTTAATCATAACATTTCAATATAAGATTATTAAATATTCTCTCTTTCTCTCACTTTTATTTACCGATGATAAAACTATATATATATATATACATATATAAATATTTTTTTTAAATTTTCTTAATATTATTCCGATTGATATGAAAACCACTTATAATCATACCTTTAATGAATATTATAATTCGGATATTTTACTTGCTTAATTTTAACAAATTTATTATATATACAGTATGTAATATATGTTTATTTACTATACTGTATTTCCATATTTTTTTAAAGCGGTTTTATTAACCCTTGTCTCAATCTAATTGTTTCTTTTGTTCTTACAGTAGAACTGCAGAGCAGCTGATTGTAGAATCCGGATGTAGTCTGGAACATCCGTCAGCCGCTAAATTCCGATCTCATGTGATGGAAGGGCGTTGGGATTTAGTAAGTACTTAAAATGAATGTTCATATATTATAATGGAATGGGTATCGATTAGCCATTCGTATGCAGAATTTGAGGCCTTTGTTTCGCACGCATGGCTGTTTTGCAAGAAAAGTAGGGCGTATCGTCATAAATTATGAGACTACTCATTAATATTTATATATTTATCATATGTTTAGTTGGCAACACTAGAAACATTTTGTGACTCAGCTGTTGCGCAATATTTTGTTTGTTTTTGAGTTTTCTATATAGTTTTTATTATTAGTTAAGCCAATCTTTTATTAGAAAGCTTACTTGAACGCAAAAGGTTCTTCTACAATTCACTGGAGGCAAGCTATTATTCACTTTTTTTGGAAATAAATACCCAAAGATAAATAGACGTGTATACATAAATTTATAGATTTTTTTAAAGGCCGCTTAGGGTTTACTGGGTCAGAATGATCTAACTAAATTTTCAATGTTAGCGACCGTTTAAAAGTAAAGGAAAATTCTGACACAATCTGTCTCTTCTTGGGCTATCAAATTAAGGCTCTTTATTGACTTTTGGCCTTTAGAAGACTGCCATATATTGGAAAATTTGAATAGCTTAATTTGTTCCCTTGTATATGAGCAATGTCGCAAATATGTTAGTCATATTTTTAAATACCTGTTTTACTATTTAAAATATTTTTCTATAAAATGGTTTGTTAAATTTTTATCCTTCCTTAAAACTAAACAGAATGTTTTTAAGCATTATTTGACAATCGATTCTGATTAAGAAAAACGTGATTATGTCTGAAAGTTTACTTTCTACATCATCATTCTAGGCAAAATTCCTTAGGAGGGTGTTCCTGAGTGAATCACATGTGTCATACGTTGTTGTTTTTTTTACTCATATTTAACAATCAATTATTATGCAGTGAATATATATATTATCGTATTCTCTTGCTTCCCTAACAGTATAGTGCCCTGGTAATCCAGGGTACAGCAAGAATGTACCCGCTATTAACTGCTTTTTTCTGTTATGGTAGAAACTTAAATTAGAAATGTAGCCCCCTTTTACTTTAATCGTATAAAACTATTTCAATATTCTTTCGTATTGAAAATATATCATCTGGTTTTTATAAACATTGCGCAATTTATTTTACTACACAGCTTTTACGACCAATGATTTATTTGTAGCCTATTGCTCTTGTGTACGCATATAGCAGCCTTGATCCCTTCTACTTTTTATATACTCTACTAGTTGACTATGTTTTTACATTAATCAAAATTATTCAGCTGTATTCTGTAATTATGTAATATGGTTTTTAAGTCGAATAAGAAAGCTTCCACTTATATTTTCTTTGTCTTTATCCGAAATTATTAATAGCAAATATATTTAAAAGAAGATAGCAGAAGATAATTCTATATTTATGTACACGTATCTTTTTTATCCTATTGCATTAGCGATAATAAAATAAATATCTTGTATTGACTCTTTTCAAATATCAACTTAGAAAGTGTACATTTTTAATTCGCTATAAATTGCAGTCATTCTGTTTTTATTATTTCAAAATACTGTATTTTTTTTAATTAAAGCTTGAACGATCGAATTTCTATAAGTTTTATATTGTGTTATGTAGATTTTATTATTGAATATTTATATATGGTGATAAATATGATTCGGGTAATGTTGTGCGTAGAAAAGAAGAAAATATGTATAAAATTCTATTAAAGTTATAGGCAGATGATTAGAGAGAACCCTTTATTGATTTCCAGCATTAAATTGACTGTTACGATTGTGGTTACAGAAGAAACCCACAAATCTAAGAAATACGTTTCATAAAACAACTACATTTTTTTTCTATTATACTCTCCGACAGGTAACAAATTTTAGGAAGCTCTACTTTATATAATAGTTTAATTGACTTTATTTTATATGGAAGATATATATATATATATATATATCTTGGGTAAAGTAAAAGAAAACCTGGATTAATGTAGCTTTCGAATTTCCAAAAAGAACACACCTTTACGCCTTTATTGTAGTAACTATAATAAAATGTTAAATTATGTTTTAAATTAAGTATCTTTTTTTAATTGAATTATTCTAACAAGCCTTATTAAAGTAGAAAGTAATTATTTTTGCTCATAAATATATGTAGATTATTATACTCTTTACATTTGATCAATATAATACCTTGCAGACACAGCTGCTGATATATTCGAGTGATTTTGTCCACCTGTGCGAATTTGGTGTTAAACATTTAAACTTGCCTTAATTTGATCTTAATCTATCATTAGCTAGGCAATCAGTATATTAAAATATATGTAATATATATATATATATAATAAGTTTTTGCCAACATAATGATTATGTAGGATTATTATGTAAGAGAATAGTAATTGTAAATAATACGCACATAAGTTGTTTGTATGGTAACTGCAAAATTTAAGATTGATTTAATATGCTTAGTTGTTTTTTTTCATTATTGTGCTCGTGGTGTTATAGAAATTTCAACTCTCTAAAAAGAATAATTTTTATTTATACTTTAACTCACAGGCCGAAACGTCCTTATCCGATTTCAAAGATCTAGTTCTGCATGAAGACGGCTTACTACGCATGCGTTTTTTAGTCCTAGAGCAAAAGTATTTGGAACTTTTGGAGGATAGCCGTCTATTGGAAGCCTTAAACGTCCTACGCCAGCAATTGACACCTCTCCACTATTGCACAGAACGTGTACATACATTAACTACATATATGATGTGCTCAACGGCCGAAGAACTCAGGGAAACCGCCAAATGGGAGGGTAAAGGTTCGATTTCCAGGCAGAGAGTGATGGAAAGGCTCCATGAATTTTTACCAGCCAACGTGATACTTCCTCCAAGAAGATTAGACACGTTAATATCACAGGTGGGAATTATGTTAAGTTACGCTACTAGAACATTAAGTTGAAGCATAAACAACTGTAAATAATGTAGGCTTTGCAATAAAAAGTCAATGTTTGAATGGACTTTCTTTTCATTCTTTTTTGTATTATCTCATTTTTACAATCTGCTCTGTTTTGAAAAACTACAGGCTGTCGAACTGCAGCAGCAAAGGTGTCCTTATCATAACAGCAAAACAACGGATACAGACGATTGCCTTTTAGTCGATCATCAGTGTTCTCAGGAGCATATGCCAAATGTCACGATTCAACTGCTAACAGATCATACTGACGAAGTATGGTTTTGCAGATTTTCCCCAGATGGCAATAAACTGGCAACTGGGTGTAAATCCGGTCAACTTATTCTGTGGAACGTTGATAAAAAACGGTATACTGTTCAAAAGTGGAAGGTATTGGATGGTCATTCATATGGTGTTTCAACGGTGAGAAATCGTAATCAGTTGTTATTTAATCGTTTAAAACTTGAAATTGAAGGCATTCATCATAGTAATTCTTATAGCTTGATAATTTTTTAATAACGATTATAAATTCATTAAATGAATCATTAGACAAAACTTGAAAAATTTCTTTACGTTAACAGATTGCATGGTCAACGGACAGTAAATATATTATAGTATGTGGTCCTGATGATTGCGCTGATTTATGGATTTGGAATGCCGAAACGGGAATTTTAAAGACCAAAATGAATAACTCACCAGAAGATAGCTTAACAACAGCATCATTTTATAACGATACCTATCAATTTATCGTCGCAGGCACCAGAGGACAATTCTTTCATTGTGTTAGTATATATATTTTGTTATACTCTTCGAGATAATTACTCCCTCGTCAGCTATTGAATACGATAGATTATTCTATAAAAGTAAAAAGCTAGATTGTACTTCCATTTTTATCCATTCTACTATTTTATCTAATAGAATGAGCGTTTAATGAAGTAGAATTCTAAATAGAACCAATTTCGTTATGGATAATCTTAAAGGATATTGAAAGCACATTCCCTGTAAATTAAAAGTTGCATAATTTATTTCCTAAAATTTCATTCCATTTTATCTAAATAACTATACTTCGAAAAAAATAGAATGAAAACTCTTAGATAAAACAAGAGTAAATTGGTAAATTCATGTGAATCTCACAAGAATCAAAAATTTAATGTGACGTTAGTGAAATGTCTTTTTAATCAAGACGATTTAATAGGGATGAGAGTAACTTGGTTTTATCATATACGTTGTATATATATACGTATATACAGTATGTATACTTATAAAATACGTATAAAACTTTAAGGTTTATCGTTTACTTCAAGAGTTCATTAGATATATGACATAAGCCTTTCCTAAGTTTTTCATTAATAAAAATAACGATCTAGTCTTTTCAAATAATGCCAATAGAATATTTTGACTACATATAGCGATGAAATAATTATCCGCATTGAATTATTGATTTGCCAATGCGAACTACAATGGGTTGGCGGCAGCACCTTAAAAGAAAAAGGGAATATAAAGAGGAGTGGTTTCGAAAGATCTTAGATCGTTAATAGAATTTTGCTTATATATCAAGTACTAATGGTACATTATAAATTATAATAATCTATCGAATTCATGGTATTGTTAATTAAGATAAAAATATCTTTATCCATTTTTAAAAACTTTAACGATGGAAAATGTACAATACCTAAATTAAGAGATTAGAGTTTTTAACTCGAAGAAGAATCTCGTTCAGCATACAGGTGTGAGATACTAATTAGATCTTAACTCTCTCGTATGGTGTTGCTCACAGGATTTGGAAGGTCACGTGCTGGATCAATGGGAAGGAGTTCGCGTTCAGTGCGTTCAGTGTTCCAATGATCACGTAACAGTATACGCAGCTGATACGCATCATCGAATAAGGGCGTATAACTTTGAAGAAGTCAGTGATCAGGATGTATTGATGGAAGATCATGCTATTATGTCTTTCTGTTTAAACGATTCATGCGAATTGGCTTTGCTCAATGTGGCCCAACAGGGCGTTCACTTATGGAGCGTGAAAGATAAGATACTCGTACGCAAGTTTCAAGGATTGACCCAGGGATATTATACAATATATTCCTGCTTCGGTGGCTTGAACAACAACTTTATAGCTTCCGGAAGTGAAGGTAAAAAGCTCTATAAGATATTTTCTGATTTATTTCATTTGCTTAGTAAATCTTCTACACAAAGAAATCATCCAGAAGGAAAAGGATTGACAATTTTTAGTCATATAAGATTATCTTACCCGCTCCCTTTTACTATTCTTTATTCTTAACATTTATCAACTTTGTTCTCTTTAAGTTGTAGCCTTCTACTATAATACATTTGATGTAGTAGGGTACCTTTACTTTAATATGTAGTTGCCATTTCTTTTGCTTGGAATTAAATTAATACTTGTGTCGTTATTTTAGATAATAAAATTTATCTGTGGCATATTCGGAAGGAAGAGCCAATAGCCACCCTTTCGGGACATAATAGAACTGTAAACTGTGTACATTGGAATCCATGCGTTCCAGAAATGTTAGCCTCAGTCTCAGATGATAGTACCGTTAGGATATGGGCGCCGGCTGCTGTGCAAGCTAAAAATGGAACTTCAACACCTATTTAGAAATATAGAAGGGATAAGAAGACAACGCTTCTATGCATCCATGCGCAAAAGGTGCTCTCTTCAATGAGACAGACGAATAAAAAACAAACTGGTCATATTGTATAGCTTATATTATATAGGTTTTTGTGCTGAGTATATTTGTTAAAGGTGTACTAGACTGGTTACGGAATGGTTAAAGTATAACTTGATTTGGAAGATTTGTCCCATATTAATTCTAAAAAAAGCCTGTAAAGGAAAACTAATGGAGAGAATGAGAAAGAAATTGATTATTTCGTAGAATATGATCTTTTACTGATGCATGTCTAATCATTTTAAAATCGTATATATGTATAAAATCATATATCGTATATTATAAGTAGCCAGTTATCGGTTAAACATTTACAAATGTTCCGATAAAAATGAAGAAAAGTCTCTTTTCAAGACAAATAGCATACAAAATTACCAATTTTTCTTAAAATAATTGGATGACAACTATTTTTTAGATGAAAATTATCACTAGCTGAGAATTCAATGAATTCGAAATGTTAAAAAGAAATTATCGATTTCTAATGATAATTAGAGTAATAATAGGTTAATCTTAAGAAAACCAATTGAAATATATTCTTTTAAAGTAAGCGAACGAAAATCTATCAAAATTCTTTTGTTTTTTCTATTTTTAATTTTTACAATATAAGCGAAATTAAAATGTCAATAGAAAATATTCTTCAATTTTATCATCTGATTTGTCTTAATTAATACACTAAAAGGTGAATGAAGTAAATAAGTAAATTTAATTAATACGTAGTCTTTTATACATATATGCATATAAAGACTATTAAAATCATCATTAACATATAATTCGTATTTTCAAGAAAAATACAAGGAAGCTGCTTAAAAAGCAATCTGTAATTGACGAAAGGAGTTTGTAAAATAAGTTTTTTTTGTAATGTATATATATAAATAAAAGAAAACAGTTTTATCTTAATCAGTCTAGTACAGTTTAAAGAAGAATGTATTACGAATATTTTTTCTTTTTTTGATACCTTTACAGTTTAATATATATACTAATATATATATATATTGTTATATATATATATATATATATACAATGTATATGTAACTTTTTTGGGATGGAAACATCTGTAATTTTTTTTTTTGCCTTAAAATTTGCTAGTGATTTATATTTTTTCCTTATGTTTCCCTTTTTTTCTGTTTCTGCTTTAGGGAAAAAAAAAGTGCTAGGTAAAAACAAGACAAAAAAATGTGTGCAGTTTCGTCGTGTAATTTGCACAGAAATATATATATATATAATTCTTCAGTTATAATATCCATATATATATATATATATATATACAGTATATATATATATATATATATAGATATTTCTTTCTTTCTTTTCTCTTTTCTTCAAAATATTCACTGAATGATCAATTTTTTTGAATAAATTGAATCGATAAAAACCTGTTAAGTTAATGTCTTTTTTTTAGGAGTTTATTGCTTTATTTCACTATTTACCCAGACGTCCCTGAAGCAGACGTTGTCGACGATACAATCTCACTTTGTATATATAAAAATAATTATTTTAAACGAATAATGACCTATAGATTGTTAATTAACATTTATCTCAAGGAAATCTGGTTTTGAAGTGAAAACTGTTATACTGGGCCAAGGATGGTAACTATTTCTCTATGGACAAAAAACACAGCTATACTCCACTCTGTTAAAAAGCGATGGTTGAGATGAGTTTCTTTTATGTCTTATGGACGGTCGATGTAGATCATTACCACATTCTTGTTGCATTAGACAGTTTTTTCTTAGTAAACGTAACCTCGAAAGCCGAACAAATTTACTATAGAAAATGACTTTTGTGATATTCTTTGTACTTTTTGTCAATTACAGAAGAAAATATATATAAAGCTAATGTCTTCTTATTGAACTTGTTCTATATTGTTTCTTCATTTTAGATGAAAGCGTTACAAATAATAACTATAGAGCACAAAGTAGTGTACAAAAAAAACATATAATCTTCAAGGTTCAACAATCGAGGACAGGATCGTTCTAATTAATATAAGAAGTTTCCTTTAAACATAAATTTTGTAATTAGTAAAGACCCTGGAAGAAGTAAACTAGGACGACTAGTTTTTTTTAATATACAGTACCAACTATCTACCAACTATTAACAGCTTATTGTTTAATGTTATTATATATAAAAATACAGTATATACGCATTTTATATTTTGGTTATGAATAATAATTATAATAGAAAATAAAAACAATAAAATACTGCAATTTATTGTTTTGCAGTTGACAGATAACTGTATATATATATATATATATATACAGAATATATATAATTTTCAATATTCTACAATAAGCACTTCTTTTAAATGTTTCTACTAATTTTTTTTTCAATCGCAGGTAAAGTAAATATTCAAATTATTGATTATCTAATGTTTAATTGGTTTTTTATAACACCTAGGCCTTTCTTTCTATATTCTTACAACTGTTTGACTATCTATAAATAAATAGCAAGATATTTCTTTAAAAAAAAAAATCAACATTTGCTGTAAGAGATCATTAGAAATGTGTTTAGAAAGAGGAAAATATGGGATATATAACATTTAGTTTTAAAGAAATTCTATGCCAATGTCATATTTAATTTAATAGGATTTTATAAGAGAAGAAGAAATCGTTGGTATCTTTATATTTTTGACTGGGTAAGTTGAATAAATCATTGAAAAGAATTTTATTAAATATGTGTAGAAACTTGAATAGATTACAAATGATAAACTCTTGTTATTTAATATGGAAGAAGAGAAATATATATATTCTTATAATGGTATAAATACACAAAATACTCCTTATTACATAGTTTCACAGGTACAGTATTAATTTGTAATAAGTAATACCTTATATGTTTGTTAAGCAGTTTAATAATTCAATAATTGTAAACCTTAAAGATAAATGAATGAAAAAAATTGGATACTAAACTAATAAATAATTCATTATTATTTTTCATTCCATTAATTAAACGCCTATCAATATTTTACGTTATTTTTTACTTTATCTTCTTCTTTCCCTTTTGTTTTTCATGAACGAAAACAAACAGGCCTATGGCAATAACGTTAGTCAATCGATCTATTCTCAGCAACATTCTTTACGTAACGATAATCCTAAAAGCTCTCCAGTTAATGTTACGATCGGCTACAGAAAGCCAGTTATAAAACGTAAAAGACTGATAACAAACGATGGATGCAAGTTGTATATTATACTTTCTTTGACAATTCTAACGTTGATAGGACTAGGAACTGGTCTATATTTTGGTTTTAGTTTTAAGCAAGGTATAATTCGATTTTTGGGTGAAAATATCGAAATAATTTATTTATGTTAGATAAAAAGGTTAACATTGAAACAACAACAGAAATAAATTTTTCCCAATCCGATACAATTGATGGAAATATTCCGTTACAAACGCTATTATTTACTGAAAGTCAGAAAATCTCCTCCTCTCGTGATAGTGAATTATCAACTTCTATAGCGTGGACCTCAGAGGTAAAATGATGTAGGCATAGGGTAGAAATAGCTTGTATAACATATGTGGCTTTTAAAAAGGGGAAAACTTCAAAGGAGTCTTTTTCAAAAATATCATCATACGTCTCATCAGTAACGGATAAAATTAAATTTGAAAATGTAACAATAAGAGCAGACGATGAGGCAACAAAACATCGGGAAGAGACTAGCTCTTTATTTACAACGAACCCTCCTCAAATCTCCGATAAAACTACAGAAACGTCAACTGTTCCAGATAAAATTACTCCAATTTCTAATACTATTTGGACAAGACTAACGAAAAAAGAAGATTTTACTTCCAAACAACCGGCAACAACTAAAGACGAGGATAAACAGACTACATTATCCTCAAGAGCAAGTACATTTCCTATTAAAACATCTGATATGATTCCCTCAAATAGTTTGCCCGTTACAAAAATCAATTATAGTCAAGATAATTTAACTAAGAAGCCTTTTAAGGGAATATCTACGACTAGAAATGCAATAGAAAATACGTCCGTTAGACAAACTTTTCCAATTGATCTTACGGATAGCACGAGCAATCCTAGAGAGACTAAAAAACAATCCGTTACAACTGATGATGGTTTCAACACCAAGTCGACTTCTATCACGCTTGAAGCTAGACAAACTGATAAAACTAATCGTGTTTCAACAGTTTCCTTCGAAACCCAAACAAAAATGGCTGTTACAGTTACAAAATCGATAAAACTTTCAACTATGGAATTATTATTAGCTAATTTAACAACTGGTCCGACAGATAGAGGGGAAGCCTCTACAGCAAAACTGCAAACTACTACTTTTACTCCCATTATTAATAATTGCGAATCATTAAATGTTATCGCTCCCCGAATCATAGGTGGATCGAATACAGTTCTAGGAGAAATACCCTGGCAGGTAGAAATGCTTCATTTTTTTTTCTCCTTTTACAAACGTCTTTTTAACATTGTATATCAAAATAAAGCAAAAACAACAGAATATAAATTAATTAATAAGCAAAAATATACATTGTTTAAGGCCTTTTTGAAGATAAATAGAGTTGGAATGGTTAGTAGGTGCGGAGCTGCTATTATCCATGAAAGATACTTAATAACTGCTGCTCATTGCGTAGAAAAGTTAGCATAATTTTTTAAAGCTTTTTCTCTTTGATCCTTTCTTTAAAAAAATTATTAGGCAACCGTTTCGTGTAACTGCAATTATGGGAACAGCAAATATCAAGAGCCCTGAGAAAGTGGAAGTTCTTTGTACAGACTATTATATACATCCTAACTACTCATCATTGAATTCCGAATATAAGAATGATATTGCAGTCTTACGTCTTGATACAGTATTATCTTTTGATTGGAAATTAGGACCAATATGCTTTCCTCAAAGGGATTATTCCGAAGATATTTCCTATGAATGCAATTCATCTGGTTATGGTAGAATCCGTATTAATGGTAGGATAAATAATTAGATATATACGTTTATATATATATATATATATTGACAAAGTTATTTCTTTTATTGAATCGTTATTTTATCTTTTTTTCCCTCTCCTCTCTTCTTCCTCGAAGACGACAAAGTTAGTGACATTTTAAGGAAATCTTATCAAATAATTGTTCCTGTAGATGAATGTAAAAAGCATTTCTTAAACGATGGTAGTCGTGTGACATCACCAGACATGATATGTTCTAGAGATAAATATAAAAAAGACTCTGGTACTTGCAACGTTAGTATTCTTTATTATTTAATTTATATAGAGTTTTCTTTTTAATCTTATTCTAATGTAACTAATTGTAATTGGTTTATTGCATATATCATTAATGATAATAATTTGTTCTCCTTTTAAAACGAAAGGGTGATTCTGGCGGTCCACTATCCTGTTTTATTGATGGCCAATGGAGAGTATTGGGTATCACTAGCTGGGGAAGAAAAAATTGCTCAGATGGTTTTACAGTCTATTCTCGGGTAACAATAAGAAAACCTTACCAATAATCATTACTTCGTATATGAAATAACCTGTTTTGTTTTTTCTATTCATTATACAGGTTTGGACTTTCAGAAACTGGATTAACACAGTAATTAAGCTTACGAATAATTAATCAAATTGAAGGAGTTTATCAATTGTTAATTCACATATGGAATACTAATCAGGATAAAGATGTCTTTCCTTTTCTGGATTTTATCAAAGCGAAAAATGTATATATACAGTATATATAATAAAAATTAACGAAAACTGATACTTAACATAATCTATTAATAGAAGTTCAAAGTTAATCGATAGAGAAGGATACATAATATATATATATATATATACTGTATATGTATTCAAAGAAACATTCTTTTCCTTCTTTATCAAGATACACACACATTATTTATAATCTAATAGCCTAATTATCATATCACAATCTATAATCGAAATGATGAGACGCTTGCCGCTACCCCAAAACACAGCCTTGAGCGTTTATTATTAATTATAGTAGTTCTATTTATAATCTTCACTAATTTATTTATTAATATCATATACCTGTTTTTTCTTTTTTTTACAATTTTGCATTATATATAGGGCTTATAAAAAAGAAATCCGTACTAATTCTTACACGCTAATTAGTATTTATTTATTCAAATCATGCTAATAAGATAATTAATGCAATATTGGTTGAAATATTGCAAAATAATTCCATCTACTTGCAAGTATTATATAATCGTATGAAAATATTTTATCATTTTGACGATAGATGGAGATGATTAATAGGATTGATTTTTTTTGTACTTTTTTCTGGCTTTACCTTTATTTTCTCCTACTCAAAACGTTATCATTCACGTTTCCAGCCTTCAATTTGATTCTAACTGATAAAGAAATATAATTTAATAATTGATATCCTTTTCTTTATATTTTTCCTTTTAACTTATAAGAGTCATCAGAAAGATCAAGAGCTAAAAAACTATAGATAATGAGATAGGAGGAAGGGAGAGGGCGAAAAAGAAAGAAAGATAAATAGACTTAGAGATAGATGGTGAGAGGACTATAGAAATATAAAGTAACGAATGAGAGAGTGGGACGGAGTGAGAGAGAGATATATATTTAGATAGATTATGTGTGCATGTGAGTGTGTGTGTCTGGATAAGAAAGAGAAAAGAGAAACATAGTTGGAATAGAGAAAAATATATTTACTATTGTAGCCAGGATATAATCTGTGCACCCATATACCTAAAGTTTAAAAGAAACAGCAGAGCATAATATGCTCGTGTTACCTATAGCAGAAAAAGAGAATGTATGATATTTTCCGATAAGAATCAATTCCTTAGAAGACTCAGAAATGTTGGTAACAACGGATAAATACATATCTACAGTATATACAATATACTGTATACTATATATTGTATATAAAAAGTTAGAAGAATAAAAGTCACGTCCAGTAAAATGATCTTTTATTCAAATAGTATAATTATATAGATTTTAATCATTTTATTCAATATTTATTAACCTATTTAACGAAATAGAAGTAATGTTTATAATAAGAATGTAATATTTATTATAACAAAACTCGTTTCTCTTTAAAACAAATAGTAAAAAAAAAATAGCAGTTCGTTGACCTTCAAAGGAAACAATGAAATGTATAAAAAACAGGGGACGTTTATTATTTTAATCTATTTATCTTATATATATATACTGTACAGACAGTTAATATTCTTTAAATATTTTAAATTATTCGTCTCTATATACAGAGTTTCTTCTCTCTGTTTCTAGATATTCAGCTTTTGCAGCTAAATACATTTGACGCTCAACTGTTGTTCTTGACGCTGATTTTTTATCCAATGCAGTTTTTAATTTCATTCCAGGCCGTTTTTGTAGAGCTCTATTACCTGTAGCTAAACCATTGTTATAGCAAACCGACCTCTTTCTGACCCTTTCCATATCACCGCCAGCAGCTGAGAGTTTAGCTTCCATTGTTAATCTGTCATCTCTTTCCCTTCTATCCTCTTCCTCTAAGGCGTTTGACGTGACCGTTAAATTGAGGATTATGTCATGCATTTCCGATTTCATTTCTTGCACCCTTTCCCTGAGCTCTTTAGTGCCCTCCCAACTTCTTACCATCTTTAGGGGCTTACTAGCCGCCGTTCTAGGTCTTGAAGAAACGTTCGAATCGTCTGACCCTTTTCTAGAAGGTCTAGTTTTGGAAACGTTGGCGGATTTTGCTCTAATTTCAAATTTTGTCTCTATAGGTGGTTGGGTAACAAAGACAGAGGGGCTAGCAGATACGGGTCTTAGAAGTAACCACGGTTGCGAAGCATCATAGTTCAAAAGAGCGGAAGCCGAAGTATTACCGGCAACAATTTTCCTAATAGTCTCTCTATCCTTATCTTTCTGAGCAAGTCTAAAAGTGGAGAAGGAGAGAAAGAGAGAAAGAGAAAATAAAATACTTTTTTAGACATCATTTGACCAAAACTTCTAAAAAGTTAATCGAAAGATTTTTTGTCGCCTATTTCTTTACACTTTGCTTTGAAAATATAGAAAAAGACGTCAAACTAATAATATCTAAAGCGAGAAGAGAAAAAGAAAAGCTTCTTTTATACTATTTATGCCATTATATTTCAATTCTTAGCTAATATTATTTCATTAATATGTTTATTTAACGTATTGTGATAGTACGATTTATGATAGGCTAGTTTTATTTTACTTTTATTATTCAATAAATTGTATAAAGTTGATTGAGCGGAAAAATACTTCTTTTCTTTACTAATTGCTATCAATACCATTAGGTCATAAAATTTATATTAATAAGTGTTATCTAATTTGTGTTTTATTATAGCTTACTTACCTTTTCTCTAATAGTTTCCTAGCAGATCTTACTGTAGGAGAGACGTAGAGAGATCTGTTCAAGCCCGTTAAATCACCAGCGCTAAATGGTCTTCTAGACGGATAATGCAATGGTTTTCTTTCACCATTTTTTGGCTTTGCATAAGAAGGATGTCCGATACTTTCAACATTTTTACCTTCGTAAACTTTATTGCAATTGAATTCGAACTGCTGAACTTTAAATTTCTTCTTTTGCAAGTCGAATAAAAAGCTTCTCCTATCCTTTTCAATACTAAATTGTTCCTTTTTTAAGAGCACATCTTCTAACTGATTTTTAGCAATCACCGATGGATGTGGGTTTAAAGAAATTTTTAATTTGTTGTCCACTTTAGCGGCCATATTGCTGAATGCAGAGATATTTTTTTTTCGCCAAGAAGGCCTTCAATGGCCTCTGTAAGAGATTAAGGCGGGCTTTTGTCAATAGGAGGATTATATAGCGAATAGTTATTAGATAAAATAATTGTCTGTAGTTGAGTTTTATAGTCTTTTGAAAGCCTACGGAGTGTATTTAGACCTATATTTTTAATTTTTATAAGATTTTCTACTGATAAGAAGAATCTATAAAACAAAATGTGACTGTTTGTATTTACTTTTAAGTATAGAGTTGCGATGTAAGTTTCATTTCAAGAAGGCTTTTAAGTCTTTACATAATAATCATAATAATAGAAAGTATAAAATAAAACACTTAATGATTTACTAAGTGAACAAACCAATAAGAATTGACAAGCCTCTTACTTAAAATCTATTACTCTATTTACTTTTTTCATTCCCTAAATGAATAGAAAAAAAAATAGAAAATATATGGAAATTCTTAAAGGATTGAAGTACTTCCCATACAGTATATTAATAAAGATTATCTATGTTATTCTTTGGAATTAAATTAATTATAGGTATTTGTTGAAATTTCTATGTTCAGTGTGAGAAAGAGGGGGAGAAACTATACAATATTATTTCTTCTATTACGAAGAATATCAAGTTTTATTTCATCAATCATTTACGCCTTTACGATTATGTCTAAATGGGAGAATTACTTACTAAATTCATAAATGTGTTGTATACAATCATTTCTCGTCATATCAAAAGTAGTAATCTATTTAAAAAACACCTAAGCCACCCTAATACTCTAAAATCCCATATTATTACATATCTTTAATTAGATATATCCTTTTCTGGTGGAAAAAATTTACTTTCTCATTTAGATAATCATCAAAAGTAATCGCTAGCTGTTACTATCAATAACCTTTATGCTTATATAATTAATATATGTATATGTATATGTAAAATAAAACTATATCTATATTTCATTTCCACTTACCTGATAATACAATTTTACAATAAATTAAATCCTAACAATTTCTATAATTTCATATTGATTGCCTACATAGTTTGTTTGAGAATTACGTGATTGTAAGGTAAATTCATTTTATTAAAAAATTTAATTTGAATTATGAATATTCATATTGTGATTATGCTCTATATGTTATATAATAATAAGAATGTTATTAATGTATATATATATAAATGTATATATATACAAAGTTAAAAGTCGGAAAGTATTGATATTTTTTCAAGTGATTTGTAAACAATATATAAATAAAAAAATTGATTAGGATAGGTTGAGGTAGTAAACACATTTCTGGATAACAAGGAGAGGAAAATACTAAGTTCATTATTTATTAAATATCATTCAAATTAGTGCAGTACGGTGGATATAGATAAAAAAATTTAAATAGTTTTCTAAAATATTCCTTTTCTCTTCTCTCTCTCTCTCTCTTCTCTTCCTTTCTGTTTTCTCCCACATTTTTTGAGGTTGTAAATGAATTTTTTATTCTAACCTTGCGGTAATTGCAAAAAAAGAGAGAGAACGTAATGTTTAATTCTCTACAATATACTTTTCTTCTATGCCAATATAAACTTGAATTATTTCATGTAATTTCTGATATAGATAGATGTATAGAGATTGTTTTCGGTTCTTGTCTTTGGTACTTACTGCTTTTAGCAGCTGAACCACATTGATTTTCTTTTTTTTGATGGATGAAAACTGGGTTCTTCGTGTTAACATTTCAAAAAAAAAAACAATTATTATGACTACCAATCAAAAATAGTTTAGAGCCGAAAGAGGTGTTTCTAGGCAGGGAGAAAAACAACTTTTCTTCAAGTATACATTCATATTAAAGCTTTCGTTTCTTTAAGCTGTGTTTGTTCTCTGTGTATTAGGGTTAGATAAAATATCTTCGTAGGAAGGCAATCTGTCGTCGACTACTTCATCGTAGGAAGGCGGTTCTAGTCTATTTTCGTTGCTAACATTTATATGAACACCAGGTGCTGCCACGAGAATTGGCAGTCCACCCACCCTACTTGAAACCCTTCCATCTTCTAATCTACCTAGTGGAAGTTGCTCGACAGGAGCGTCTATCACTACCGTTGTTCTAGACGCCGATCTATACTTTTTTAACATAATTGAACAAACTAAAAATAATAATGTTATAGGTAAGACAAGACAGATGATATAGTAAATTCTTTTTGTTGCTCCATCAGTATAATTCGAACAAGTGAAATATGTTTCACATTTGGTATTTAAATCTCTTCGACAAATTTCCGATTGGGCAAGACACTCGTATCCGCATCTTATAAAACCCATTGCACAGCCTTCCTCCGGACAGTATAAGTCTCTAGCTATACACCGTGGGTATCCCGTATAACATTTCTTCTCGTTCGAACTACACTTTGAACAGGCGGTGAAGAAGAGATGTGTCTCTACGCACGAGAACGTACTGGAACACCATTTCATATCAGGACCACAATTTGCAAACGGATAGTCATATTCACATTTGGATATATCCGAAGTTTTGTCTATGCATCTGCCATTAGGACATCTCATCTTTCCATTGGGACAAGAATCAATCATTCCTCTAACTCTTAATAAACTAATTAACGTAAGAACCAATATATTTGATGTAGACATCGCCTTAGAGATACACCAAATGAAACTAACACTTGTGACCTTGACCGTAGCTCAGCCTGGCGGTTAATCAATAAAATAATTCAGAGATGGCATCTAGTGAGCGTTTCTCTCTGTACTGAAAACTTTTTTCCCTGTGCCCCCCCCCCCCCTCTCTCTCTCTCTCTCTCTCTCTCTGTCTTTCTCGTGTCTTTCAGTCTGTCTAAACTTTAGTTAGTGTTTGCCCTTTTCTCAGTACAAAGTATTAAAATACAAAATTATTTAATGAATATTTATAAAAAACATAAATCGAGTACCGTTTCCCCCAAAATAATAATAAAAAGAAAATCGAATACATTCAAACGGAAACAATTAAAATATAAAATATGACTGTTATAAAACTTACAGAGCGTTGCGTAATATATCTTATTTGTAGCAAATTTTTCAATTATTCAACGAGTTTTCCAACTGTTAGTTGTTTAGTAGTTTACTATCAAGTATTAAAGGAGTATAGTTATATATACTAATATATCTATATATATATATATATAGAATAGTACTAAAAATGAAAGGGAAGAAGAAATACAAAGGAGAAATGAAAGAAAAAAGTAGAAGAGAGAAATAGAGTTAAAAGACATTAATTATTAAATTAATAACGAAACGAAGAATGATTAGTCAAATCACGATATACATACACACTATATATTTGTATAGCATTTCTTTTATTAACTAAATGTAACAAAGTTTATTGGGAATTCGACATAAAGGAAGAGAAGGGCAAAAATATAGAATAGTTAGAGGGTAGGATTGAAAGGATGCTTTCTTTATTTCTCTTTGAGCCAATAATACATTCAAATCGGTTGTTGGATACTTGCTATTACATTTAGAGAAAGAAAAGACAAATTAGGTTATCTATTTGTTCGCCGAAAGTAACATATAGATATATTTTGTACATTAAATGAAAAATGTTCTCTCATTAACAAGAAAAATTTATCTTTTAAAAGAAATAAATAAACAAAACAACAAATAAAGTTACAAGATAAACATAGATGTTCTATGCGAATGTCCATGTGGAATAATATTCCTTTTATTATATTTATATTGAAATTCAATTTAGTTTAAAACGTTTCTTGCTGTAAACGAAAAAACTATGTTCAGAAGAATTGTATTATTGACTATTTTTCTAACAGTGTCCACTGAAGATATTATTGTGGACACACAATGGGGACAAGTTACAGGACATACTGTTGATTTGTCCGATGGCACTAAAATTAATAGCTTTTTGTCAATTCCTTTTGCTAAACCTCCTACTGGCAACCTACGTTTCATGGTAAATGTATTCTCTCTTATTTATTTAACATTTCTATCTTAATTGTATCCTCATTTCTTAATGATAATAAAAAGAATTTCTCACTTCTAGCCTCCAGAGAATCCAGATAGATGGGAAAATTATGTTGCCGATTCTTTAGGACCTGTTTGTCCTCAAGGATCTGCTGGAGTATTGTTGCTCACTCATCCTTTGTGGGATTCATTTGATGAAAATTGCCTTCATTTGAACTTGTACGCTCCAAATACCACGTCATCAAGTGAAGGGTATCCAGTCATGGTAAGCTTTGCACTATTTTGCAGACTACAACTTATTTGTTATTTGTTATATTTCGTGAAAAATAGGTTTGGTTCCACGGCGGTGGATATACAAGTAGTGGCAATATTCAATACCCAGGTCATTTCTTAGCTTCTAAAGGGGTCATTGTTGTCGTTCCTAATTATCGTCTTGGACATTTAGGTAGACTAACGATACATTTACTAAACAGTAAATTGACATTTTTGATAATATAATACAGGATTTATGTCAACTGGCGATTCTACAGTTCCTGGTAATATGGGTTTATTGGATCAAAGAAAAGCTTTAGAGTTTATTAGAGATAATGTCGCTAATTTTGGAGGAAATCCTAATAAAGTTACTTTATTCGGTCAATCTGCGGGAGCTAGTAGCGCGGCTCTTCATATGTTAATGCCAGAATCAAGAAGTAAAAAAAAAAACAAAGTTTACTATTTAAATGTCACGCATTGTATATAAATTTGCTCTTTAGGTCTATTTCACCAAATTATTCAAGAATCGGGTGTGGCAATATCTCCATGGGGCTATAATGAAGAATTTCAAGAACCTGAAAAATATACAGAAGAGGCAAACATCTTATCTAATTTAATCAAATATTTGATATTTAGCTCTATAATATAAATTTCATGTTTTCTTATCTTGCTAGGTTGCTAGAAAATTAAATTGTACTAGGCCGACAACAGCAGAAATGATGGATTGTTTACGAGATGTCGATGCTGAAACTTTGAGGACGACTCCATTCGATTGCAAGGTATTTTAAAGAAAACTAGATAAATATTATCTATGGCCGTATATTTTGAAAAATAGGCTGGAACTCTTTGTCAAGGATTTGCTCCCGTAGTCGATGGAACTATTCTACCCAGGGATCCTCTTCAAATGAGGGAGGAAGAAGATTATAAAAAGTGTCCAATTTTGAGTGGACAAACAACCGAAGATGGATCATTGTATACAATTGCTTGTAATTTTTCTTTAGTTTGTAAATACGCAATCGTTATTAATTATTAGTCGGTATTCTCCTCTTATTATATAGTGGTTCCCGATGCTGTGGAAGGACCCCTAAATATCACAACGTTTAACGAAAATATAGATAGATTAACCTCGTATTTCGCTCAAACCTTTCCGAATAGGAAAGATGACGCAATTGCTATTCAACGTTTCTACTATTCGAACTGGGACGATTTGAACGATGGTGAAGCCAATAGACAAAAAATCAATGAAGTAAGTATTACACCTATTTCACAGAATTACTTCAATTATTGATTAAATAAAGATGATAACCGATTTTGCGTGGGGATGGTGCGGAGATCTGCAAGCTAAGCAGCAATCTGAACACGACGATGTTTACATGTACTTGTTCGGATTTAGGAGTAAGCAGGCGGATGATATTGTTCCTCCTTGGATGGGTAAGTTAACTAGATTTTTTAAAAATTGGAATAGAATATCTGTTTTATAACTAATAGAAACATATTAACAGGCGTTCCGCATAATGGAGAACTACCTTACGTTTTCGGATATCCATTGTTGGAGGTAAAATCTCTTATTAGGCGTACATTTCTCAAATAGAAGACATATCTTATTTAATTTATTACAGAGAAATCCAAATGTAAGGCAAGATCAAGAAATGTTTTTCGATTTTATTCCATGGGATAATCTGGATGTAGAATTTTCAGAATATGTTCAAACTTTATGGACAAATTTTGCTAAAACTGGGTACATGATCTAATTTAAAGAACTTTTAGAGTTCATTCAATAAAATAATTAAGTAAAAGGTTTCTAACTAGATTTCTCCCTTTTTTTTTTTAGAAATCCAACTCCTACACCAGTAAAACCACCCGGTGACCAACCGGAAACCAACTGGCAAAAGTTTACTAAAACAAACAAAAACTATTTGTATATTACTGACAATGATGTAAATATGAAAGTTAATTATAGGCAAAAAAGTCACGCCTATTTCAGAGAATTACTTCAATATCTAATAAATAGTGAGCCAGGTGAGAGCCTAAATAACCTTTACAGCTCTAGGCATCAAACGTGTCTTGTATTTTAACAGGGAAAAAAATTAACGCTAAGCCCTGGGCAAAGAGTATGACTTCCGATACCATAGAAAAGGCCTACAGCAAATTAGGAAGAAAGTTCATGAGAGGATGATAAAGACATTTTTAATAAACTAATTAGAGAATTGATTGAAGTTTATGCATTGTTAAAGAATTATAGTAATAATATCATAGGAACAGAGTTAATATTATAGCTATAAATATACACTAATATATATATAGTTACTACATATAGATACTATATACAGATATGTGAAAGTATCTTATACAGTAATAATTCATTATCATTATATACACAAGAAATGATGTATTTATCTAATATTTCATAAGAAATATAGAGAAAATACCAACTAAGTAACTAATTACATATAAACTGACATTCTTATTTTAAGAAGTAAAAACCAGTAAAAGAGAAGATAGCATTTTTAACCTTGGAAAAGGTATATATACAGTATATTTATGTATATATATATATGTAGGCCTATGCATACTTTTTTTGAGAATAGCCAGATGGTTTCCAAAAAAAAGGTCCTTTAATAGAAACGAATTGTTTAAAAAAGTTTCTTGCAACGATATAATGAACCTTAAATATTTAATTGTCGCAGCAGTATTTACATTTGTTTCTTCCCAAGATGTTGTTGTTAGAACTGAGTGGGGTAATGTAACAGGTCATGTTGTTGAGTTGGCTAATGGAAATAAAATCAACAGCTTTTTAGCTATACCTTATGCTAAACCTCCAGTGGGAAACTTAAGATTCTTGGTAAATAATTTTCAAGTAAAATATGTAATCTAATTATCTGTCGATTGAAAGCCTCCTGTAGATCCAGAGAAATGGGATAACTTTGTAGCTGATTCTCTAGGAGCCGCTTGTCCCCAGGATCCAGTTGGTTTTATATGGTTTACTCATCCCGGTTGGAATCTTTATGAAGAAGATTGTCTCAATTTGAATATCTTTGCTCCTAATGAATCTCCACCGGCATCAGGCTATCCAGTCATGGTAAAACACAACTTTTACATAGAAATTAATAATTTTCTTTATAATCGACAATATTCTTGTTCGTTTTCTTAGGTCTATATTCATGGAGGCGGTTATGTTTTCAGTGCCAATGTCCAGTTTCCATGTCATTTTTTGGCTGACAAGGGAGTTATCGTAGTTGCTATTAACTATCGTCTTGGTCATTTAGGTACGCTATTGATAAACTATTTAGATTGTATCGTATTGAAAATTTTGCAGGATTTATGTCGACGGGAGATAATACTGTTCCAGGTAATATGGGATTGCTTGATCAACGTAAAGCGATGGAATTTGTTAAACAAAACATAAAAAATTTTGGAGGAAATCCAGATAAAATAACTTTATTTGGTGAATCAGCTGGAGCATCAAGCGTCGATTTGCATACATTATTACCAGAATCAAGAGGTTTATTAACAACAACACTTTTTAAAGAACTCTATGACAAAACTTATTATTATTCTAAGATCTTTTCCATCAAATGATTCAACAATCGGGAACTGTAGAATCCCCTTGGGGTTATTTGAATGCTAAACATAAACCCGAAGAATATACTGAAGAGGTATTCTTTTGCTTTAACTAGAAATTAGGTTATATATATGTATGCGTGTGTGCACTTGCATAGGTCGCCGGGAAATTAAATTGTTCGAGACCAACTACTGAAGAAATGATGGACTGCTTAAGACTCATAGACCATAAGACGTTGAGAGAAGCCAGTTTTACTTGTAAAGTAAATAGATGTTATTAATTCTCTTCCAAAATTGCTATTTACCTTCCAACATTCTAACAGCCAGGTTTATGGTGTGTAGGTTTTGGACCAGTTATTGATGGGGATATTTTACCAAGGGATCCAGTCGATATGATAAGAGACGGAGATTATAAGAAATGTCCTTTATTATCTGGAATAATGTCAGAAGACGGCGTTACCTTCATTGCTAATTGTAAAAATCTTTAAATAGACTTTTAGATTATATAATAAATTTGCATTTTTGACCTAACTAGTTATACCGGAACTCTATAATGGACCAGTAAATGGAACCCGATTTGACGAATATCTAGAAAATATAGTTGACTATGTCAGTCAAAATTTTCCATCCAGAAGAAATGATCTAGAAGCTCTGTTCAAATTCTATTATAGGAATTGGGATGATCTTGAAGACGGAGAAGAAAACAGACAAACGCTTATCAAAGTAAGTAAGCTTAGCTCCTTGAATAAGTAAGAAAGATGAAAATTGCAAACTAAAGGCGTGACTATTATCAAAGATCGCTACAGACAGCATATTCGGCGCTCCTTTTGATCGACAAGCTAAAGTAAGGTCAACTGACAGCGATGTATACAAATTTATATTTTCGTATAAGAGTAACAACGCCGGTGACATCATTCCAGAATGGTTTGGTAATAATTAATTAATAAATAAAAACACGATTATTTGATAATAAATTCAGAATTAACGTTGTAACATTTTAATAATTCCTTTAAATAAGGTGTACCACATGTTGGAGAAATTCCGTACGTTTTCGGATATCCTTTATTGGAAGTAAGGAAATAAGTATACATTCAAAGAGTATAGTGTTTACTAAGCTTAAAATTTGTACAGAAAAATCCTCAAGTAAGACAGGATATGGATATGTTTTTTGATTTTATAGAATGGGATGAATTGGACGTTAAATACGCCGATTACGTTGCTACTTTATGGACAAACTTTGCTAAATACGGGTTAAACCATAAACAATCCATTAATTTTTTTCTCTCTCTCCCACTCTCTTTCTCTCTCTCTCTCTACATATATTTTCATAAACTTAAATAAATCACGCATTTACATCAACAGAGATCCTACCCCATCACCGGTATCTCCACCTGTTGGACAAGTTCCAACCAATTGGTTAAATTTTACAAAAAGCGATAAAAATTATCTATTCATGGGCCAAAATAATATAAATAATAGAGAAAATTATCGACAACAACCTATTGCCTTTTGGGATAAATTAATTCCTTACTTTTTTCAAAATACCTCAGGTATGAAAGAAATAAACGTTATCTAATAGATAGAAAACTTTATTATATATAACTTATATTCTAATAGGTGAAAGAAAATTAAATCATTTTACTTTCTCTTCAAATATTCTTGAGAAAAAGTTGGAATGGATTAAAGATCATGCTAAAAAGCGTCTTGTTAAAAAGCTATTACCTTTAATTGTTTAGAATAAATGAAATTAAATTATATTTGACTTTCGTGAAGAGTTTGTAAACTCAAATGTAATATTAATTGTAAATAAAACATCAAGTAAAGTTTATTTTATATATTAATGTCAATAAGTAACTGAGATATGCATATTTGTTAGGCCTAAAACATAATGATTGTTGCTAAGGAACTCGTGACTGTTCAAGGCATAGATATCAGAGATTAACGAAATATACAGAATATACTTTCAATAGGAAATTGTTGATTTCGCCTGATCTAATCCCATTTTAAATACTAGGAAAACGAATATTAATATACGAGAGACCCTAATATTAGTACACATAATCAATATGTCTGACTCGTTGCTATGCTAATCGTCGATTCTTGTCGATCTATATCGAAGAGCAATTTATAAAAAGAATCTACTGAGTAAGCATGCGAATTTTGAACAATCCTAATTCAACTAGTTTTTTGCTAACCTTTCATTTTTCTTAACCAGAACTAGAATAAAAAGGATTTTATTGCCATATCATCAACGGTTTATATGCAAAGATGAATTATCCAAAAGAGTTGAAGGAGCCTAAAGTGTTAAGAATATTTTTTTCATCTCCATTCAATGGTATGGAGATAGAGAGAGAAGAATTAACGAAAAGATATTGGCCAAGAATACAATCTCTTTGCAAGTATATTATTTCAAACTATCATATATTCTCCATTCTATAAACCTGAATTATACAGTGTACATGGACTACAGTTTCGTGCTGTTGATATGAGGTGGGGAATCACTTCGCAAAGTTCGGATGCTGCTAGAGTCATTCAGATTTGCCTTGCAGAAGCTGCAAGATCTGATATATTTGTTGGATTTTATGGGCAAAGATACGGATGGCATGGCGAAAATGATAAAACTCTTCAAAAGAATTTTGATAATGCATTACCAAGCTTTCCGTGGATTGATAAATATAGAGATAGGAGTGTTACTGAATTAGAATTTTTAGCAGGACATTTGAACAATCCCGGAAAAATTCCAGCATGTTTATGCTTTCGAGATAAGGTATCTCCTAATTTATAGCAATAATAATCAACATAAGAGATATTTTTATCTTTTTTATCCGTTTAATAACTAAAACAAAATGCGTGCAGAAATTTGACGACAAGAAAGTAGAAGAAGCAGAAAGAGTAGACAAAAAAGCTGCCAACAAATGGAAAATTGAGAGTGAAGTTGCCGAATTAAGAATGAATGATTTGAAAAGAAGAGTAAAGGAAACTGAAGACGCAGTAAGTTATATCATATGAAATAGCAATAGAGCATCTTAAATCATATTATTCTCAGGCCTTAGGAGTTGATATCTGCTATAAAACTCCTGAAGAGGTAATGAATTCAAATATCTATACTAATATCATTAATTTAATATCAATTATATTTTGAAAGGGAGCAAAGTTCATGTTCGATTGCATCTGGAAACATTTAAATGATTATTTATTAATTCATTTAAGATCGACTGGTGAACAATCAAGACTATTAAAACAATTGACTCTGCATAGTCAATTTACTGAAAGCCGATGTAAGATTTATGAAGAGGATCAAACACTTTTGGATAAGTTGTCAAATTATATCAACAGTAACAATAACATTAAATACATTTAAGTAGAAGATATAAAATAGTTAACTACTCTTTGTAGCATCCAACTCAAAACCTATATGTATAGTTGGAGAATCTGGAATTGGAAAGTCAGCCCTACTATCAAACTGGAAAGTATCGTATTCTCAGAAGAACAACGACGAAGTACTATTCCTGTATCATTTCGGTTGTGCTAAAGGATCAACATCAATCGGGAGCTTTTTAGCAACTGCTTCAGCATATCTAAATGATATTCTTATCGAAAGAAAACAAACTAAAGATTTCTTTGAAATATCCGACAAGAAAGAATTAGTTCGAAGTTTTCAAAAGATTTTGAATGATTTTAATGAAGAGTTTAAAAGAAAGCCGATAATAATAATAGATGGATTAGATAAATTAGAGATTGATAAAAGTACAGCTCCATTTTTCTGGTTTCAAACAAATATCTTACCTTTGGGACATTTTATATTATCAACGAATATTAATGATTCAACACACTTAAAAGTGATAGATGAGAGAGGATACGATAAATATGAAGTATCCGTTCTCTCTAAGGAGAGAAAACAAGCTTTTTGCACGGTATGATTTATTAAATAATTATTATTTTATAATATCGGAGAGATTATCAAAGTTTTATATGAAATAGAAAACGTTGAAAGGATATTCAAAAGAATTTTCAGAAAGTCAATTAAACAGTGTAGTTGAAGTTAAACAAACTGAAAATCCATTATATCTAAAGGTATTTGTGGAGGTTTGTATTGAGAAATAAGAAAAACTCTCTTTTCCTAATCATGTCTTATTTATTTAAATTGATTTGAAATAGGAAATTTGCTCTTTCGGATACTTTAGATTACTTGATGAGAAAATTAGTGATCTCTTAAGTGCGTCTACCAGTACTGATCTGTTTGAAAAAGTATTGATTAGACTTGAAGCTGATTACAATGATGAAAATAATCCCACGTTTATTCAAGACGTTTGTTTTCTTTTTTGTATAATTTTATATATTGAATTTCAATATCTAATGTTTGCATTTGAATAGGCTTTGTGCAGTCTTTTACTAACAGAATACGGATTATCAGAGAAGGATATTTTAGATTATTTAAACGTTGACCAACACGTATGGGTTCCATTTTTTTTCTCCATAGAGAAGTTTCTAATAATACGAAACGGAATGTTACAGTCAGTAAATAATTGAATTATCTTGAAATACGGTTAAAACGAATAAGAAACTTTGTTTAGAATTTCTATCAATGAATTTGGATTAGCGATTAAAGCAAAATACTGTCCAACTGATGAACTATTGTATGTATTTTCAATAATTGTTTATTAATTTAATCTATTATAATGTTTATTGAAAAGGCAACGTTCAACTCAAAAATTGGCAGTTTTCTTATATTCTCAATTTGAGGTACAGGAGGAGGAGGAGGAAGAGGAGGCGTTACATAGTAATTTCTATATATATTTTTGTATTAGAAAAAGAAAAAGACGGGAGAAAATATGGAATCAGTATTGATGGACGAGTTACCTCTTCTTCTCATGAAATTAAATGATAAAGAGAAACTATTGGAGTTTGTCACAACAGAAAATGTTATTAACTATTACAAGTAACCATCATTAATGTAATATTTTAATGATGAATATAAATATTTCTTATTTTCCTTCTTTAGAAACAAAGTTAACGCAATTCTGGAATTCTTTTCGAAATTTACATCGGACGAATTGTATAAAGCATTTTCAAAATTCATTAATAACACTGTTTGTTATAACTATATTGAAAATGAAAGAAACTTTTCAGAGGATGATTTTGTAGCAAAGGTAATCAATTAGATCTATATATAAATAGTTTATACGTTTTTGATATTAATATAAATCTCTTTATATCTTTAAGTCAATTGATCTCTTGATTTCGTTAAAAGAGATTGTTTACGAATGTAAACATTATGAACTGTATGAAATTATTACCAAGAAAGTGATGACACTGATTCCTGTTTCTAAGCATTCTGAAGACAAAAAAAAAGAATTGAATTTATCAATGAAATACGATTTAGGGTGTATCTATTGTGATTGTTTTGAAATTGATAAATCAATTGCAATTCATAAAGAGCTTTTGGAATATTATGAAAGTATTAATAATCTTCGCTTACTTCAACAAATATATCATGCTCTTGGAACAGCATACATTAATAGTGAAGTTTATGATGAGGTTCTAATAGATTTTATTGTTGATTATTTCAAAATCATACTATGTTTCTTTCATTATTTTCAGGCCGAAAAGTGTTTTGATAAATGCCTCGAAATACTTGATAGTGGAGAATTAAATGTAGTAGATAATACAAGAGGACTAGTTTACAGTAATTTAGGTCTAATTTATCAAAAAACTAATAGACTAGAAAAGGCCTACGAAATGACATCTCAATCAATTAAAGTATGTATTCACCCTTTCAATTTTATACTATTTAGTCATTAATAAATAAGTATTAATGCTAAAATAGATTGAAGAAGAATATTACTTTGGTGATTTGCCTTTAAGTATTTCCCATCGTATTCATAATTTAGCAATAATTGAAAGGAAAAGGAATAATTTGGATGAAGCTGATAAACTCTATCTTAAGTATGAATAATTTATATTAATTTAATTGTCTACTATTTTAATTTCTATACAGATCTTTTGAAATTATTAAAAATACTGTTGGTGAAAATTCAATAGATGCTGCAATGATCTATCAGAATCGTGCAGTTGTTGAAGGAGCGAGAGAAAATCCCGATCTTGATAAATGCCATGAATTGACCTTGAAGAATTTGGAAATCATGGAAGTAAGATTCTATACCTTTTAAAATTTATACATATATATGAAAGTGTTATTGATATTTTAATAGAAAGCTATTGGAGATAATGTGAAAGATATGAGGTTAACTTTTGCCTTAGAAAATATGGCCCTAAATTTATTTAACAGAAAGAATTTTGATGAAATGGAAACTTATTTGTGGAGAGCAGGTTTATTATTCATTTTCTCATGATTCAATTCAGCATATTTAACATCATTCCCCTAAAAATTTAACCATTTTTAGTTGAGAGACGAGAAATAAATCAAGACTTTAGATCGGCACTTAGCTTTTATGATCCTCTCATAATAAAATATGTAAATGAAGATAAAGAATATACAAAAGCTCGAAGACTCATTCTAAATCTATTTCACGCTAAGCAGCAATTGTTTTATTTTCTTGTATTATACTTATGTGATAAAGAAATTGGCGATAATCCTGAAAGACCTTACGAAATGACTTTAGAATATGCTTCTGAAAAGTACATATATAGATTAACTATAATGTCATTTCTCTTTATGATATTCATGATTGTTTTCTTATTTCCTTTTAGATATCCAACTGATATGCAAACATACTTTTTTAGATTAAAAAACGTTCTTATACCCGAGAAAGCAATAGATAAAATAATTGATGCAGCAAATAGATTTTATGTTACAGCACACGAAAGCAAAGATGAGGAAGCTATAGGGAATTGTCCTTCAGTATTGGAAGTAAGTATTAAACTCTTGAGAGATAAGGAACTACCTGAAGTAGCCGAAAAAATGGCTATTGAAGCCTTAAAACATGAACCAGAAAATAAGGTATGAATGATACTTTCCCAATTTGTTTTATCAATGTAAAATATGTATTTATATTAAAAAAAAGGAAATTCTAAATGAATACGCAATTACACTGGAAAGCTTAAAGAAAAAACCGGATGTATTAGAAGTTTATGAAAAGTTGTTTAAAATGCATCCTGAAACTATAGAATTTGCCATAAATTGTTGTAAATATTGCTGCGAACTAGGAAAAATTGAAAATGCAGAGAAATATTTAGCAGATTTCGTAAAATTATCGGAAACTAATACAACTCATTCAAATTTGGTAAAGAAATTACAAAAAAACAACCTAAATTACATATTTATTATTTAATTTTCTATTACCAGATTCCAATATTTGAAAATGCAATTAAAGAGATGAAAAAGAAGAGAGAAGAGTATGAAATGTCTGTGAAAAATTCAGAACAACATTGAATTCTCCCAAAATCTATTTTATTTTATTGAAAGATATGTTCAAACCTGTTCACAGTTTTTATAACTGTTATTATTTCTACTGTTTCGCTTTAAACTATGGTTTATTAAAGTAATACAAAATGAAATAGGTTTCAATTTATTTGTCATCTGCATATTGTTTATATGAATACACTCTGCGTTCTTTTATATATTACTATATAGCCTCATATATTCAATATATTTCAAGCATTTAAGCTATCACAAGTATATTTTCTATTGATATATTACTACATACGTAACACATTACATATTCTCTTCACGGAAGTATAATTAAATTGATTAGCGTTGATGTTGATAGCTACACCAACAATAAATTTAACCTGTTCTATAATATAGCGTTTAATAAGTTTCTAACATTGTCTAGTTTAACAAGTTTACCAAATACCTTTTAATGATTCGACGCAGGATAAAAACCGTAATTGAAAATGTATAGACACATGAATATGCCTATTTATTCTATTTTTTTTAAACATTAATTACTTAGCTACTGTAATACCAAATTCACACAGGATATGTTTATTAATATTTTAAAAATGCATCAAACCTTTAAGAGAAGCTAATAAGGAGGATATATCTAACTATAAACAATTAAATCATAGGCTCTAAAACATATTGAAAAAGCGAATACATAAAAAAATGACAAAAAATAGTAAAGAAGTCCAATGGATGAGTCATATATAAATTAAATAGGACTTGAATGGTATTAATATTAATGAAAGTAAAAGACCCAATGAATTCACAAAGATGTGAAAGAAAGAAAGAAAGAAGCAAAGAATTAAAGCAGCAAATTCTTCAGGTGAAAAAGTTTGACGCTGTGTTTTTTTTAAATATAAATAGAACGGATGGAATATTTTGTTTGCAATAATTTACTTTTAGCTTATACAAATGCTAAATTATGTTTTTTAATGATCAAAAAGAAAGGAAAGACAGAAGAAAATGTATTCAATAACAATATCGCATTCTCTACCTATACAGTATTTAGCTTTAATTTAATTGAATTTTTTTTACATGTTTCATTAATTGAAAAAGAATTTTTGTAGTTGGAGAAATTCTACAATAAAACGTTCATTCAGTAAAACTGTTGAATATGGGGTGAACCGAGGGCATAAGTCATCAGTTTTTACCAAGTATTTGTTTGTCGTGACTCATTTCGTACAGTTTTTATAGTAGGGAAAGTTTTCTTTTTCTAGCTTTGCCATGTTTGAACATTTTAGGGAAATTATGTCAAAAGATGGATTTTAAAACAAATACATCTATCCCCCCTTCTCCAATCAAAGTTATCGACTTTTACATACATCATTGAAATGTTACAGTTTAAAATAAACTGTAGTGTATATAGAATGTATATAGAAAAAGCATAACTCTCTCTCTCTCTCTCTGTAATGTAATATATTTGTATTCAAATTACGAAATTTTTATCATCCTAGGCAAAAGCATATTGAGCATAGGCAGAGTATTGCAAATTAGTTAATTAAACAATACTTAAAGCTAACTTTATATACATTTTATAAACTGTATATATTAATAATAATATATATATATATATATATATATATATATTTAAAAATAGCCAAGTTATACAATTTGTTTCATGAGACAATTAGTCATTTTAGAGAAATTCCGTATAGATATTTATATTTAAATACAATCTGGGGTGACGAGCTGTAGCGATGAATAATCAGCCTGGTGAAACAACATGGAATATTTAGTTGCAATTTTACTATAGTTGCTATAGTTCTAAACATATAAAAATTACTTTAAATTGAAAAATATTAAACAGTACTTCATTAAATGTGAATATTTTAGTAAATATAGCGTCTAAAGAGTAGTTTTTACGGGGTGATTCCCTTCCCCCCCTCATCCATTTACCTTTGGAAGGTATTGATTGCATAGGTGTCGCCTCTAGTAGCATATAGGGTACTATTGTATTTTTATTGAAAGGCTTTCGCAGGGAATTTCATTTTACCTCCAGTGAGAGATGGGTACGAGCTCATGGAGGCAATTTCGCCTTCTTATGTGGAAAAATTGGCTTATTCAAAAGAGAAAGACAGTTTTAACCTGCTTCGAAATTGGTTTACCTGTGTTTTTTGCAATAGTTATATTTGGTATACGTCAAATTGTTGAAGTTACAGACCACGATAAAGCTGTTCAATGGAAACCCTACAATATTCCAAAACTATCAAGAAACGATAGTCTAATCATGTATACCCCTGATAATCAGTTAACGAAAAACATACTAAATGATATGAAAAATGACTTAAAATTAGCAAGAAAACGTAAGTTAAATCTCTTAAAAAATTGAGAAATTAAAGGAAAAATATTGAATAGATTACATATCCCTTTATAATTTAAGCTTTTATAAAAATCTCTATGTTGGCTAAGAATTAGGAACATAAAATAAATCAATATAGAAAATAAACGATTTTTACTTTTAAACCAGAAATTTTCTTTCACTTTTATTGCTAAGCACTTATTTAAATAAACAAGTACAAATATTTATACGTACATTGCAGTCGCATCTCACCCTGTTTTTAATAATATACAATGAATATACTGTACACATTGAGTGATCCGTTAAAAGTATCCAAATGTATTCTACCTCTATTATAGTTGATTCCTCTTTTTTTTTATGACAGCTATTGGTTTCCCTTCGGAAAAAGCTCTTGAATTGCATATTGAAGATTCTGTACGAGGTGAAGAATACAGACTCTCTGTTGGAGTTGTATTTACTAATCTAAATGGCAGTCAATTACAAGATTCAATTAAATATAAACTACGATTACCAATTGATACCGATGGTATCTTGGGTCCACGCCGTTGGTTTACAAAATCTGTATTTCCTGCTTTTCAAACTCCTGAGCCAAGAGAAAATGGCCAAGAAGATTTTAAGCCAGGTTATACTAGATGGAACTATCTAACTTTTCAGTATGCTGTTGATAAATCAATTATAAAAAATATTAAACCTACGTTTGATGCATCGAAATATGATGTTCAAATGCAGAAACTTCTACATCCTCCTTACATCGACAACCCTTTCCTCAATATTATCCAATTTCAGTTGCCGTTTATTATACTTTTGTCCTTTATCCTTCTTGTTCCATCCATTGTCAAGGACATAGCTTTGGAAAAAGAAAAACGTCTAAAGGTAATATATATATATAGAGGAGAAAAAGAATATAAAAATGTAAAACATTGTTGTGTTATTTTCAATAGGAATCGATGAAAATGATGGGATTGAAGAGTTGGTTGCACTGGAGTGCTTGGATAGCGAAATACTTACTTTTTATGATGATAAGCATTTTACTATATACAATATTTTTTTGTATACAAACTGGTAAAGGAGGAGTGTTTGATAAATCAGATCCTATCTGCATATTCGTGTTTTTATTTTTGTATGCTATATGCACAATTTCATATTGCTGTATGATCACTACATTCTTCTCCAAGGCTAATTCAGCTGCTGCTGCGGGTGGAATTCTCTTTTTTGCCACATATACTCCATATTTTTTCTTGTCTACCCAAGTTCAAGAGTTAACTACAGGAGTAAAATTTGCTTCATCTCTTCTACACAATCTTGGAATGGCTTATGGTTGTAATGTAATCGGAGTTTATGAAGGTACAGGTGAAGGAGTACAATGGAACAATATTGGAAAGCTTGCGACTGAGGACGAAAATTTCAAAATGTCGGATGTATTCTTGATACTTTTAATTGATACCATACTCTATGGCATAATCACTTGGTATGTTGATAATATTCACCCAGGTGAATTTGGTCTTGCTAAACCGTGGTATTTCCCCTTCACCAAGTGGTACTGGTGTGGAGGAGCTCAAAATTTCACTGGTACAGATGATGACAATCTCGAACATGAAGTCAATACCGAAATGTTTGAACCGATTAACCCTGATATTGAATCAGGTGTTGAAATAAGAAACTTACGAAAGCAATTCAAAGTTGGAGGGAAAATAAAGACAGCAGTTCGAGGCACGACGATTAAAATGTTCAAAGGTCAAATTACAGCTCTACTTGGTCATAATGGAGCAGGAAAAACAACTACTATGAATATGTTGACGGGCTTTATTTCTCCTACGTCTGGAGAGGCTCTTGTAAATGGATACAATATTAGAACTGATATCGATTCAGTGAGAAGCAGTTTGGGCTTGTGTCCTCAACACGACATTCTCTTCGATAATCTAACAGTTGAAGAGCATCTAGAGTTTTTTGCCGCACTGAAAGGATGTCCCAGCGGGCAAATAAAGGGCGAAGTAACCCAAATGATAAAGCTTTTAGGTCTTGAATCAAAAACAAAAAAGCTATCAAGTACGCTTTCTGGTGGTCAAAAACGAAAAGTTAGCGTTGGAATAGCTTTAATATATGGATCGAAAGTTGTTATACTGGATGAACCTACTTCTGGAATGGATCCTGAAGCGAGAAGACAAACATGGGACATTCTTCAGTCTCAGAGAGAAGGAAGAACAATTATTTTATCAACTCATTTTATGGACGAAGCGGATCTGTTGGGCGATAGAATAGCAATTATGGCTGAAGGAGTAGTTCAATGCTGCGGAACAAGCTTATTCTTAAAATCGAAATACGGAGTTGGCTATCATATGACTATTGTAAAGCAACCAACATGTAATGTTGATTCTTTGACAACGATTATAAAAAATTATGTCCCAGAAGCACAAATGGAGTCAAATGTAAGCGCTGAACTATCGTACATTTTACCTCAGAAGTGTAGCAACAAATTTGAGAGTATGTTCAGTCATCTTGAAAGCTCAAAAGATTCTCTAGGAATTGACTCGTTTGGAGCAAGCGTTACAACAATGGAAGAAGTATTCTTAAAGTATGTAAAAATTCATCAATTTTTTTATTATTAACTGTAAAACAATTTAACCAATAGAGTTGGAGAATCGATGGATGAAAGTCTTGCGACTAGGCTACAAACGATTGACGAGAACGGCAGTAATTATTTTATAGAATAATCTTTATTGCAACACTAATTAATATTCAACTTTTCTAGCAACGTTAGATATAGAACAGGATAGAAACACAAGTAAAAATTCAGGATTTACTCTATATATTCAACAATTTCTATCTGTATTCATTAAGAAGGCGATACATTCATGGAGAAATAAAATTTTGTCACTTGTTCAACTCATATTACCTACAGCCTTTACGATTATGGCTGTTATAATAGTTAAACAGATTGAAGGAAACCTGGGCACTGAATTAACTGTAAAGAAGCTTAGTCTTAGCATGTTTTCATCTACAACTACCCTTGCTGAAATAAGTAAACAAGCTGACGCAGAGGCTTTAGGAAATGGTTTCGAAAGATTTGTCAAAGATGAAGGTGGAAATACTTTTAAAACTGTAGCCAATCTAACATCCGAATTAATCAGCTTTTCAAGTGATAAGCCTATCAGCTATAATAAACATTATATGATTGCTACAAATATTGAAAGTTCTAACAATCGCTTTATAATTACTGCCTTTTTCAACGGAGAAGCCTTTCATACACCTCCGATTTCGCTAAGCGGAGTGACCAATTCTATTTTAAAGAAGGAAGCTGGACTTGATAGAGGTATTGTTATCTCCAATCAACCCCTTCCCTATCTTCCCAATACTAAAGCGAAGACGGAAGTCAACTCTCAAAACATAACGAGTACTATAATCATTTACATTTTAATGTTTGGATTAGCGTTTTTAATAGCATCGTTTAGTATGTTCGTCGTTAAAGAGAGGGCCATTAAGGCCAAACACTCTCAATTGGTATCTGGAACAAGAAGTGTTATATATTGGTTGTCAACCTTTTACTGGGATTTCTTCAATTTCTTAATACCGTGTCTTTGTGTTATAGCTGTTATTGGAATTGGAGATATTGAAGGATATGTAAAAGATGATAATCTCGGAAAATTATTTTTACTCTTCTTGCTATTTGCTGCAGCAGTCTTGCCTTTTACCTACCTACTAAGTTCGCTATTTGATGTATCAGCATCCGCTTTTGCATGGTTATCCGTAATTAATACTCTCACTGGAATAATAGCTCTTTTAGTAACACAAATCCTATCAGATGACTCTCTTGGAGCAACCAGCGTTGCGAAAGTCCTTAAAATACTCTTTACCATATTTTTGCCTCATTATTGCTTTGGTTCGGGAATGGTTGATATTCATAACAATTACCAAACTCTAAAATTTTGCTTACAGCCGAAAATACAAACATTGTGTTCAATCCCCCAAGCATCGAATCCATGTTGTAAGGAAACTTGTAAGGAAAGTTGTTTTAATTACGAAGAGAACTATTTCAGTTTCGATTTACCTGGAATTGGGCGTCCTATTTTGGGTTTAATTGGACAGTGTATCTTTTACATGTGCATAGTTTTATTCAAGGAGACAAGCACTTATAAAATGATCGCTCAAAAAGTAGCCAATAGAATTTTAAACCCTAGAAGAAAATCAATAGATTTACAAGGAAGACAGAATAAAGCTTACTTCAACAACGAAAGAAATTTATCAGTTTCACCTGAACCATTACCGGGACAATTTCAATTGGATGATGATGTTCTTAAGGAGAAAGAGAGAATCAGAGCTATGGATAAGAAACAACTTAAAGAACAGTACATTATTGGTATTGACGATATTCAAAAATATTATGGAAACTTTCACGCAGTGCATGGTCTCAGTGTAGCTATTCCTAAAGGTGAATGCTTTGGTCTTCTTGGGGTAAATGGTGCAGGAAAGACAACAACATTTAAAATGTTAACTGGAGACGAGACCATTTCATCAGGTCAGGCTTGGGTTAATGGTCACTCTGTAATCCACAATTTGCAGCAAGTTCAACAATCTGTTGGCTACTGCCCTCAATTTGATGCTCTAATTGACCAATTGACTGTTAAAGAGACGCTATACATGTACGCAAGAATTAGAGGAATAAAAAGAGAAGATATGCAATCGGTTGTTGATGACCTAATAGACTCTTTACTTTTAAAAGATCACTCTGAAAAAGAGGTTTATCAACTGTCTGGAGGAAATAAGAGAAAACTATCCACTGCACTCGCTCTTATTGGAGATCCGCCAGTTGTATTCTTAGATGAGCCTACTACTGGAATGGATCCCGTAGCTCGCCGTCTTTTATGGGATACTTTGTCAAAAGTAAGAGCAAAGGGTACAACTTTGGTATTAACTTCTCATAGTATGGAAGAATGCGAAGCTCTATGTACACAGATAGGTATAATGGTAAATGGCCAATACAAATGTCTTGGAAGTACTCAACATTTAAAGTCCAAGTTTGGGGAAGGATATACCCTTTTGTTGAAGATTGGAATTTCTGTAGATCATTCTTATTCCGTTCCGGAAGTGACAGCTAAACTTATGGAGTATATTAACTCTGCATTTCCCGGGGCACAATTGAAGGATTCGCATGATGGCTATCTTCATTATCAGATTTCCGACGAAGCAGCAACCTGGTCATCTATATTTGGAACAATAGAGAGAGCCAAAGAAGAGTATCACATTGAGGATTACTCAGTTAGTCAAACTACACTAGAGCAAGTATTTATTAACTTTGCCAGACAGCAAAGATCACCGGAGGACAACAAGGTTGGATGCACAGTGAAATTTAAAAACTGTATGTCATTCTTCTGTTGTTGCGGATGTTGTGCTTGAGAAACTAGCCATTACTTTAAACACTTTTAACGACAATATAAATTATTTTAAAAAAGAAAAATCTGTTTTAAAGCAAGCACAAATGTCTTTTTTGTGATGAGTTTACGCTACCTAAATGTTCTGTGATAATGAAAACATTCAATCAAAGTACGTAATACAATAATTGTAAATATCTTAATCAATAGTATCAATTACAATTGAAATGCTAAACTTCTAAATTAGATAATTTAAATATCACTTGACTATTTGAAAATGAATCCGTAATTAGATTATGAGAGGAAGCGAGAGGATTTTTGCATTATCTTTTAGAAATTTTGTTCTATTCTACAGGTATTCTATTTTGATATTCCATTGATTGTTTAATTAATGGTTTTCATAATCGGTGAACATCAACTGTAAAACACTTAAACAAACTTACAAATAAGAATTTGAATATTCTATATTTAATGAGTAGCCATCTCAAATTTATAATCAATTATTAATCTATCATATTTAAATAATCGTTATTTATATGATGACTAATTTTGATATTTCTAAAACTACCTTTAAATTACGCGATCATGTTTCTTAATTGAGAAACTTCAATATTAAAATTGATAGAATCAAAACCCTAATTCTTCAACTATAAACTCTAATATTTCATTCTGAAGGCTATATTATTGGAAATTGGAATTTTTGTCAACTATAACATTTCATTACTAATATTATTGCTAATTGAGAGTAGAACCGAAATAAATAACTAATATCCAGATAATAGAAATAAGAAGATATCTTGTATTTTCCATTAGTTATTGTGAATAAGCCAATTCTTTTAATTGTATATGTTCCATTATCATTTATTGGCCTAAAGGTAGATAACGTAAATATATTTCTTACATTTTTAAAAGACAATACGTGACCTAAATAACTATCTAATATGTGAGCCGTTGAAAATAAATACATTCCAGATTTTTTTATGTTTATACTAATTTCCAACGATTTATGCATGCTGGCTAAAATTCGATTTTCTATTCCGCACTTTCGTATTTTGGATATCATGAAGGACTTATTGTTGAATTGCAATTGACTAACTTATCATCTTCTCTTTGGCGAAATCTTTAACCTCTATAAAGAGTATTTTCAGAGGTTTACTTTTCGTTCATTCTCCCTAACAGCCTGCCATTAAATAGAATAACGGACATTTTAGCATTGCACAGTTTATCTCAGGATTAAAATACTATCCCTCAGGATATAGGAATCTCATTAATGACTGATTATATATTTCAGCAATCAAGAATGTGGTACAGTTTCACTTTTGTTAGAAGAGCATTCATCAATATTATTAGAGTAATTTATTGACTGGCTGTTTCCCATAGACATTTTTTAGATTCTTTAAGAAAGTTATAAATTGTATTTTGTTACTTAGTAATCAGCGTGTGTAAACATTTTACAATAATCAGCATAAACCTTCAAATTGTACAGGGTTAAAGAGTTCAGATCTTTCTTTAACTTCCATCAATTGTTATTATAACAATTTAAAAATTTTATATCATCGATAGATATGTTACTATTAATACTTATCTATTAATAGCAGATGTCCAATAATAACATTTCCTTTGAATTTTTACTGTCAATCATCTTTTAGAGAGAATAATTCTGATTAGTGTTGGATATTCTTAGCTTGACTTGAATAATCTGACTCTAGTTAGCGTGTCTAGTTTCTTCTATAAACAAATTATTCAACCTACACTCTCAGCAGGAGAGAGCGAGAGAGAGAGAGAGAATAAAGCTTTAATACGGTTCATCATCGGTGCTGTCACTGAATAAAAGTTAATATCTGATTTATAGATGACTTATTTTAAACTACAGTATAGTTGGGGCCTATCCCTAATTTACTCTTTTATAGCTTAAACTGTCACATCTGGCGAATATCTTTAGGGTGAATAAACTGTTATGATTGTAATTTAAAGAAGATTGAGAAAATAACATGTGTAAAATAGGCCTTATTTTAGAGAACTATAATATTGAATCTTGATAGTAACAAAGACGGTATTATTATTTATTTCTTTTATTTTAGAATATTCTTACATCCATTGTTTTATTAATTGATTTGCTTTTCTCCCGAAATTTTAAGATATTCGAAGGATGAAGCGAATTTTGCTCAAAAAGTACCTGTGAAGCAGTTATCATCTGAGGAGAGCTTGGCGGAAGGTCTTTAGATAACGAGGATAATACTATCTCACAGAAAAGACAGTTTTAACTAGTTACTCTACTAATACTTTTAAGATAATTGAATTGAACAATGACTTTATGTTTAACAACAATAATGCAGGAGATAACAAATGCACTTTTCCTAGAGATATGAAACTATTTGTAGCATCGAAATTTCTTTTTCAGTTATCTTCCTATCGCAATTTAGATATTGAGGCTTTTCAAATTCTGGTGTATCTTTTAAGGCTTTTAGGAATTTCTCTACTTTTTTATTCATAGCATCTTTTTCCGTTTTGTCTTTAGCCAAAAGTACTTCCGACAATAATAATGACATTTCACATATTAGAAGTTTTTGATGGTCTCCTTTTATCTTCGATAGTTTTCTGCCAGTAAAACTTAAAGCTATTCCAAATAGTCCAGTTCCCATAGCTAATAGGCAATTGTTAGATAGAATAGTCCAACCTAAATGTGCAAGAAGCTTGAAAGCTATTGTACATCCGATTGATGTTAAACAAAAAAATATCATTATTGCGGAATATATTCTAACAAAGACTTTTAACTTTTGCCCTCTGATTGTATCTTTTTCATCAGCTTTTTCAATGTTAATTCGAAGAGTTTTAATTTCATGAAAATTATTGTTTATTATCCAAGTTCTTAATCCAAGAACAATGCAAACTCCAATACATTCTAATGCTGAATGGGCCTCTTCAATTTCTTCGCCGTTTTTCTCTCTAACCTCCAATAGTATTTTTAGCACACCCAGTATAACAGCTGTCAGATGTAGAGTTAATATAAACGGTTCAGACGTTACAAAACTTATAATCTTTTTAAAAATAGTATTATTTTCGTTGTTTTCATCCGAGCAGCAAGGAAGGAAAAACTCCTCTAGAGATTCCTTGAAAGATTCATGATTCTGTTGTTTTCTTTCTATTGCGTATCTCGTATGATATTTAACTTCAGAGGTACTTTTTTTACCAAGAACTAATGCTCCTTCCAAACCATTATAGATGCTGTCGTTAGAAGCATTTGCACTGTCTTTTCTATTAATCATAGATAAATTGACGTTGTCCATATCCTTCTCAACAGACATTATTTATCTAAATCTGGAAAAGATAAGCGAATTGTTTAACAATGCTCCATTCATTCTTCTATTCTATATGCTATAAAAAGAGGAGACCACTCTATTTTTACCAGGTCATTTACTTATTATCAATTAAAAATATCAATTTTAAACTTATATAAATTAGTAAAACAAAGAGGAACCATATCCATAATATAAAACTATATAAATATGATATTGCAGTTCATCAGAATTAATAGATAATTGAAAAAATATGTTATATATAATTAGTATATAAGTAAATAGTAATATATAACGTACTGTTTAGGTAAATTGAAAAAATCTACAATACTTTAATGAACCACAAGAAGAAAAATCAATTTTTGCAGTATAGCTTTTTTTTTATACGCATTGAACGTATTTTATTCACTGTTGAATATACATGATATATTTTCTAATAATACCCGATTTTCTAGTTTATATGCAAAAACTTGTTGTTTCACTTACAATTTATAATTCTGTTTCCTCGCCAAAATGTAGAGAAGCTAAGAAAAGTTTAAAGGCCATTCGGTACTGAGAATACTTCGTAGGAAAATACTGTACAAATAATATTGAAAAACATAAGAGCGCATGCACCAAATCCTCTACATCTTCTGTGTTATTTTTAATGAAGGGTTTTCCTTTCCGGAAGTTGGGTTGACAAACGCTGCAATCCTACCCCTAACGGGATTATTCTGAGTTATGGAAATACTTAGTTTCTTATAGTAATCAGTTTTTAAAATACTTATATACAGTATATATACAGTATATATATATATCCTTACTATATAAATGTATATACAGTATACTATACAGTCGCGATATTTTAGTAGTTATAACAAATTGATCGAATCAATGAAAAGTACTCATTTTATTTTATTATACATTTTCAGATAGGTATACAGTTTATATGACAAAATCATAATATTTAATATTTTGTATGCATACCCCTTTCCTTTTTTATTTCGAATGGTCATTTTTGGCATTCTCAAGTGATCCAGGATACTTTTATCAGATTTCTAATGATAGTCGATGCATTTTATAATAATTCCAAAAAAAAAATTGTATGTTCTGAATTCTTTGTAGAATAAGGAAACAATATTTGTAGGCCAATTCTTTTTTCAATGATTTTTTCCGCAATTTCCATTATTAAAAGTAACAATTCTTATCAAAACCCAATTATCGCTCCAATTATATACTACGGGTAATTTTAGTTTGTGTTTGTTTTTCTTTACTTTTATAAATATACAAATTAAAGCTATGTGGCTAAAACTTATTTTTACAACGTAAGTTTATACCTCTTACAATAAATTTTATATAGAAATTCTAATGTAATCATTTGCATTCGTCTAATACACTAATTAGGAATTATTAAGGGCTTTGAATGTATGGTGAGAATAGGATGTATTGAATATATATGTGATCGTGTTTTATTAGGTATAGCTCCATTAGTAATTACGTATAAATAAAGCTGATTAATTAATTAAAATGTATTCTTTATTGTGTTTTTTTAAGTTGAGAAAAAGTAAAATAAAGAGAGAGATAGAGAGAGATATATACACATCTTTGAGAATTTCAATTTAAAACCCATAGTAATAGCATCTACCATTGATTATTCTTTTCGTACAATTTGATCAAATGAATTTGGGAGCAGGGAAAAGAATATTTATTTAATTAAAAATACAAAATAGTCGGTTAATTCTTGTAAATCTTTTAATTTTCTAGTTAAATTTAGTGCGAAAAAATTCAATTAAAGCATTTTAAATATGTCTCCTTGAGGAAATCTAATATTTCATTTAAAACGTCAACTTCAGTAATAATTTACAATATATAAGCGATGGATAATTATTTATTGATTATTCGCTTTCCTTAAATAGAACCTCTTTTTTGGGTTTTTATCTATTTGCCAAAAGTCAGCTGAAATTGATTATATGCACTGTCTTATTAATGTTTCTAAGCAATGCCAATTGTAAATAGGTTTTTCGAATTGGAACACTAATCAATTGTACTTTTCATTGGACAATTGTATTAGTAACTCCTATTATTTATCTAGTATTACTGTAATTTAACTTATCAGAGTTATTTATCAACCCTATTAGCTAAAATGAAGACTATTGTTAAAATGATCAATCTCATATGTATTTTGCAGCAATTTAATTATCAATTTTACTGTATATATATATATATATTTACATGGTAACCTGTCCAAAATCAAGTTCTTTGACATACCTCAAGCATTATTAATTCTACCTCCACTGTTCGTCACAATATGCCATCAGTAGACGCCATATGAACGGTCATTATTGCCATTTTAATTAAATATATACAATATTAGAAATACTGTTGAGAAAATGATATAAAAAGAGATAATAATATTAAAGTAATAATTCAACAATTATTTAAAATTAAGCTATAATTTCCTACTATTTATTAATTAAAATTAATATTGAAAATTCTTAAACTCAAGTCAGCTGATTCATTTGTAAAAAAGCAAAAATTAGTCCTATAAATTAGTAGGTAATATGTTTTCAACCTATAAACTTGTATAGACTTAACCATCGTAATATAAATAGGTGTCTTATTGTAAAATTTTCTTACTTTCTAAATAGGATATCTAAAGAAAATATCTTTAAATTTTTCTCCAAAATCATTGAATAATATCACTTTCAAGGTGGATTAATAGAATAAACAAGAGAAGAAAAGGACAGATATAAATGTATCTTACATTTTAACAAAACGTTGAGTCAATTATTCTTTCACTTCTTTATTAAAGATGAATTTGGAAAATGAAGATGAAATTTCTATTTATATATCATCAACTCCTCTCATGAGAGATGAAAAGGAAGCATTTAAGAAAACGTATTGGTCACAAATTGAGTATCTTTGCAAGTAGTTATACCGTATTACATTTTACTGTATGATATCTCAATCAAATTTCTTTAATTTTTAACATTTTCCTAGAAACAATGGTGTTAATTTGAAATTGATTGATCCTTGGGAAAATTCAATGTCCGTACCTGATCCAAGTCAAATTATTCAAACCAATCTGAATAAAATATCTGGTTCACGAATATTTATAGGGCTATACGGACAAGTATTGCACAGATATCATACAGTTGATCCGTTATAATGGTTAATTTAACTACAGGATATTTCCTCCACATATAACGAATCTAACGAACAAACTTTACAATCAGCTTTCGATAAGGCATTATCCGATTATCCTTGGATTGGACAGTTTAGAGATATAGATTTAATTGAACTTGAATTGATGCACGGTTTCTTGAATAATCCTGATAAAATTCCAACTTGTATTTGCTTTAGAGTTTGTACTTTTACTTGAAAAATATATGAAAGACTGTTCTTTCAATTCTCTTCAAATCAGAGTAGTACTACTGAGAAAATTGAAACTATAAGTGAACAATCAAAATCTATATTCAATCGATTAAAACAAGACGTAGCAAAACATAAAAAAACTGTAAATATTATATTGAATTGAATGGCATTATTATTATTATTATTAATATTAATATTTTATAGGCTTTAGGCGTTAAAGTGGATTATGAATCTCCAAAAAAGGTTAGGATATGAAATTATCATTAAAAGGAATAATGTTTATATTTTAATACCAATAGGGCGCCGAATTCGTATTTAAATGTATTGAGAAACACTTGAAAGAATACTTTAATCACTCACATAAGAGATTTTCAGTGTTAACTTGCCACGAAGATTATTCTTTTATTCAATGTAAATTACATGTAAAGGAACAATTCAATCATGACGTTTTAAACAATTATATTCACAGTTTGTTCAATATTTAAATGTTAATATTACATTTAATATATCTATCAATCAATCATTTATATAATCAGATTCATCTAGTGTTACACCTTTATGCTTCGTTGGACAATCTGGTTCGGGTAAATCAGCTTTATTAGCAAATTGGAAAAAGGATTTATTGAAATCCTGCGAAAATTATGATGTATTTCTATTTCACGTTGGTTGCGATAATGATACAACAAAAATTCGAAATATTTTAATTGCAATGTATTGTTTTCTTTGCAAAATACTTGAAACTGAAACTATATTTACTCTTTTCGAGAAGACATTTTCTAAAGCAGTTGATAATGTTGAAAATACTTTATTAGAGTATAAATCAAGATTAAAGAAGAAACCAATTATGATTATAGATGGTCTAAATAGAATAGAAGTTGGTTGTAATTTCAAACCTCTTTGTTGGTTAACTGATAGAATGTTAAATGGAGCATATTTTATTCTATCAACAACTCCTTCTGACGATAAACATATTAAGGTTTTATTTCAAAGAAAGTTTGAAATATGCGAAAACGAACCAATTTGTAGTTTTTCGATTGAGAAAACAAAGGAAGCAATCTATTCTGTAGAATAAATTTTAATACGAAAATGAAATATTCTTGACCTTTTCTTTATACTTTTAGATATTATTCAAGGACAATAAGACTTTAAGAATTGCTAAGACACGATTAATGTCTATTTTTGAGAAAGAGGAAACTAATAATCTTTTATTTTATAACCTATTCATGAGGGTTAGTATCCAATCAACTATTAACTACACTCCAAAAACTATAAATCCTAATTATTTCTCATAGGATATATGCGAGATTAGTAAAGCCTCAATTCTGAAAGAAAGGATAAATGAATTAATGAATGTAAAAACAATTACTGCGTTAATTGAACTCATCTTGAAGAGATTGGAGAGAATTTTAATCAACGATCCAGAAAGTTTTAGAAATGTGACCTAATTTTCTTTTAAAAAATAAATACAAGTATATATTCAATTTCCAATAGATTTTATCCTCACTTATTACTGTTAAAACTGGTCTACCAGAAAGTATTTTGAAGGATTATTCAAAATTAACTGAGAATTTATGGGAGAAATTCTTTTATTCATTAAAAATGTTTTTAATTTCAAGAAATGGATGTTGGCGGTAAATTGAAATTATACTTTTCCAACTGTTAATAATGAAATTCATGCATTCAATCAGAATTGAATATAAAGAATTGTATGATATTATTAAAACAAAGTATTTTTTGAATGAGAAAGAATTGTATGTAGTTTATTAGAATTGAATACTATTAAGTTTATATTTGTAATTCATTGAACAAATTGTCAAAGGTTGAGAAGCGAAAAGAAATTAGTTAATTATATTTGGTCTTTATACGAAGTATATTCATCATTTTTAATTAAAACTATCATTGTTTATATGTATTATTTTTCAACGTTTTTACAGAAACATTATGTGAAACAGGAATGTTTACCCTATTTTCTATACGAATTTCCAGATTTGCTGTTTAGACTAAACGAAACGGATAAACTATTCGAAATTTTAAAGAATGAAAGTATTTTTAACTATTTCAAGTAAATTGACAATGTTTTTAATCTTCTTTCTTATTAAGTAAACCAATCAATCGTTAATATTTATTCTCTTTACTTTTATTATTAAAGATTAAATCCACGGCTGTTTTTTAAATATTTAACCGAAGGAGAAAAAGTTATGATTATGCAAATAACTAATTCAAGATTTCTACGAATCACATTATATTTCATTGAAGAGATTATTAAAGATTATAGACTTGGTTATAGTTGTAAAGTTGAAGATGCTGTAGCGATTTGCTTAAAAATCAGTTTATGCCTCGATAAACTTCTAGATGAAACACTTACTCCTGAACTTGCTCTCTGTTGGCTTGAATTATTCGCAAAGGCTACTGAATTCAATACGGAAGCTTATTCAATTTTACATGTTTTTGAGAATGCTAATCTTAAAAATTCTTTAGAAGTATTAATAAATAATTTGCTTAAACTGGTATATCAATTAATACGATTATTTCGATTATTTTTAGCTCGATAATCATCTCAAGAAATATCTTTTATTCGTTGAAAAGAACAAGAATAGTCTATCTGCATTTGAAATTTCTCTTACTATTGCTGAAATTGCAAATTTCTATTTCAAAATGGATCAGTTAGATAAGACCGAAGAACTTTGTCTACAATCTTTAAAGGTTAGAATAATATCAATTAATTAAATTAATTAGTCTGTAAATCCATTTAATAGATAATGCAAGATAGTACATTCGACGAGCCTAACATAAGAACTGCGCAATCATTTTTCTATTTGGCTAATTTAGTATACGAAAGAGAGAAACCAAACGAAGCAGATGAATACTTGTGCAAGTTAGTTTCGTATAAAATATGATTATATCTTATAATATAGAAAAGAATATAATTACTTTTAAGGAGCCTGGAGATATTTAAACTATTAGATACAGATAATTCTGAATATATAGGTGATATATATTATAAAATGCTTGAAATTGAAATGCACAAAAAGGATATAAACGAACAAAAAATCCTAAATCTATGTCAAAAGACTACGTCTATATACAGAGTAAGGAAGATTACTGTATAAAAGGATTAAGAGATTTTCTTTTAAATTAAAAATTGTTCGAACAGAATATCTATGATAATCTTGATGAAAAATTCATAATGATGATAAGTAGGATGGCTTATTGTTTCTTTAAAATTGATCAAATGAATCTGGCAGAGAAATATATTTTAGAATTTTGTAAGAATAGAATATAAATAGTCTTTTCATTTTATTAATAAATTATAATAAGAGTTTTATGATTTTCAGTTAAATTAAAAGAAATAGCAATACCTGAAATTTTTTATCAAGAAGATTTTATCAAAAGATTTGTTGAAGTTGAAAAGTACGAAACAGCTAAAACATTAATTTTATATATAAGAAAATCCCATATTTATGGAGATTTTGATATTTATGATGAAATATTGGATTTATGCAACAAAAAACTTGGAAACTAGCTAACGAAGCGCTTAGAATAACTGTTTAGCTTATTATGTTGTAGTATAGATCCTTTTGTTTAGTTTCTCTATTAACAATATAAGAATGAGATATACTGAATAACACTAGTCTCTTCTTTTCTTTTTATCATTTTGAACTTTTATCAATATTCAAAACTGGCCAACGTTCACACCTTTAAGAAGTTCAATTGAAATTAATTGATAATATCTGAAAGAGAAATCTATCAAAAGTAACTAACTTACTTATTCATTGTTTGTGTGTAAACTGTGTCGGGGAATATACTTTTAAGGTTTCTAGTCATTTTCTGTTTAATGGCTAATGCTGCAACGTTTTTAGGTGTATGTTGATTTCCATTAGGCATTACCGTAAAAAGCCTACGAGCTTTAAAAACTTCTTTTCTCTTCCAATAGTTATCAATTAAATCATCGTAATAAGCTGGAACGGATTCATAATATCTCATAGTAGTTCTGTTTTCAACTGGAAGAAATGATAATGAAACATTGGAAATTTCAAACAAATAGCAACAAAACATTTTACCAGCTTGCCACAGATATTTTTCCATTAGTTGATATCGTTGCAATTTAAGTAGGCAGTAACCAAGTCCTTCGAATGCTTTAACAACTTTAATATTTCTATTGAAATTATTCAATTTTCGCTGTAAAAACAATTCAATACTTTTCATATATATCTATATTTTTCATCTAGAAAGAATCTTTAAACCTTAAATATGTCTAAACTTTTACTAAAGAAATCAAAAGATCTTTCATAGTTGGAATCTCCTTTTCTGTTTTCTATAATACCAATTTCTAAACAAGCATCAGCGAAGAGAAGACAATCTTTTCTTCCAATTTTTTTAAATAGATCAATAATTCTAAAAGTAATCTTGCGCTTGTAAAAAACAAAACAGTATAAGAGATTAAATTCAATTCTTACTTTAGGTAATATCTTTCTGCACTTGTAAAATTCTTTCGATCTTTTTCAATTTTACTTAATTTGAACATTGTTTCAATAATTTCCATTGGATTTTCATCAAATAGACGATCTTTTATATTCTGGTTATTTATTTATACTATAAGATGATTTGGACTAATTATAGAAATTGAATATTCTAACTTTTAAATATTTTTCAGTTAAGTTATAAGCTTCATCAAAGTCTCCTTCATCGTAGTATAATAAACTCAACTTTTTGTACATTATTGCTCTTTGAACGATTAAAGATTTGAATGCTTCGTGTTTTATAATATCGCTAGCATTAGAAATCGACAATTTACACTTTAATGGTTATAGGGAAAAAAGGAAAATTGTTTAGATTAGAACTGGAAAATTTGAATGTTAAAGATGGTTTACCTTTTCTGAATCTTTTAAAATTTTAAACTGTTCAACACACTTGAATGCATTTTTTAAATCTTGAAAAAGATCAAAAATCTGATTTAAATCTTTAATTAATTTTTGAACTTTTTTACAAGGATTATTATAATTCATTAAGAATTTAATGAAATTTTTCACAGATAAGTTTAAATTGCTAAGAATAAATTCTAGAACGTGTCCTGCTTGAACAAATTCATCCCTTTGATAGGTTTTAACAATCATTTCAAAGATAACTCTAGTAACATTTAAACCAAGTTGATTACATTTCTCAATTGGAAAATGTGGAATAACTTCTAGAAACAAATCGCATTTTAAACTGTAAGAAGAGTTGTTAATAGACAATATACAAGATATTCTACTATATCATTACCTTATAAATTCAAAGAACCTCTCTGTATTTATAAGCTTTGATAGTTCGGTTTTATCTTTCATTTTCATTAACGAAAAGGATAATTCGTTTAGAAAACTTAATGAAAATTCTTCATTCGATTTCTGTTCCTATATTTAAAAAGAGGAGTAGAAATGTTTTTGATAAAAATTACAAACAAACAAAAATAATGAAATACGTTATAAAGTGATAAAAGATAGTTGGCCAATGCTCTCTCCTCGTGTAATCTATATAGAAGAATAGAATAAACAATAGAGACGCTTGAAAAGTAAGCTTACAATTTATATTTCGTTGGAAAGTACTTCATTTCAATGGCTTTTCGAAATTTTCCATTTTCAATTCTATAATTAATATATACATGTGTATTAGATTATACTGAATATATATTAAATAAACATTATAACTTACTGCCAAACGTCATCCTTACATATTAGAAATTGTTTTAATGATTGAAAAAATGGCGTCCATACTTGTTTCTTTAATTTTGAATAGTTTCTTAATTGATTTTCTGTTAGACCATAATTAAGGAGGCTAAGAGCGCATAATGTCTTCAAGAGAGAAAAGTATGATAATCTATATTTACTTTCTCAATATTTTCAAATGTATAAAAGTAATAAAGTACCTTTCTAATAAATTCTTCAGCGTTAAACTCCTTTTCTAGTCTATCTAAAGATTGTTTGAATAGATCTTCAATAGATTTTGTTGAAAGAACAGACGAAGTCTTAAAGTTGATATCTTTTAATGCAGTTGACTCCTATTTGTATTGATTATATGTAAAAAATTATTAGAAAATGGCTTATAATCTATATATAACAAACTGATAAGATTGATTTAAATATGGATAGATTATCGGCTTCTTTGATTTCTAGAATTAATTTACATGGAATTTTTGTTCTTTTTACTTTACCATCATCAAACATTTTCTGTAATTATTTCTATTGTAGTAAGATACGTAGATAATTTTGAATAAAACATGTTATACTTACTTTATAGACGCCTTTCTTTAACTTTTCAGTAACAAATATTTCGTACATTTCAAAGCTTCTATTCTCCATAACATGCAAATGATAATTGTCCGAATATCTTGATGAAAATATAAAGCATCCAAGCTTTATCATTCTATCCGTTATCCAATAAAGGGCGGGTGACGAAGGGCTTTTTTCTAATCTATCAAGCCCGTCAAAGAGTAGAATTGGTTTCTTTTTAAATAATGTATTAAACTCTTCCATAAGTCTTTCTAAACTTTCTACAATTGTTTGAAAGCCTAATTCGAATTGAATAAGAGGACTTGGCTTTCCAAGAATCTCGTAGAAGAATGCAATAGACGATAAAAGAATGTTTTTAACAGTTTTAGTTTCTTTTTTACATCCGATATGAAATAAAAGAAGTCCGTAATTTTTTTGAAAGTCTGTTTGAAATTTTTTCCAATTGGCTAATAAAGATGATTTTCCACATCCCGCTTTTCCAATTATACACAATGGCATTGCTAAAGGATCTTATATAAGGAGAAATGTTAATAGATTATTATTACTGAACAGTCTACTATTGAAATATAAAAGTTATATTAACTATTAATATGATTATTCAGTCTATTGAATGCAGCTGAATCCTCAACGTAAGCTTGATGCCTGATAAAAGAATAATTTTCGTGAGGTTTCATAACTGACCATTGAATATTATCAAATTCCAATTTTATCCTATTAACTAAAAATCCATTTAAATGGGTTGAGATACATTTGAATAAGAATTCAGCTCCCTATCAATTAAAAACGTAAATGTTTACCGTTAGCTTTCTAAAAATACATACTATAATAATTTATTCTCTAATACCTTTTCAGGAGTTTCATAGTCCATTTTGACTCCTAAAGTCTACCGAGATAGTATAATATAGTAGATAAATTGGGAAATTATTGTAAACATTTACCTTTTTTATAGTACTTTCGCTTTTGTTTATTATTTGATTCATTTTAGTTAAAACTTCTTCACTTTCAAGTTTTATATCCTCTTCTGACGTATGATCAAATAGAGAATCTTCTGATTTATTTATCTTTTTACAACTCTATTATTTGGAAGGGAGTAACCAATGGATAAACAATTATATACTATATGATGTATATTAACCTTTTCTCCAAAACAAAAGCATGTTGGAATCTTTTCTACTTTGTTTAGTTGATCAAGACCTAAATCTTGGTCTAATATACTAAAATCTTTTAAGTTATCAGCTTGCGAATATTTTTGAACAGTTTCCTCAAAATTCTTTTGAAAGACGTTATTATTCTTAGCATACCACCAGTAACTCTGAAAGAGATTCTTTGTAATAATGAATTATCATATTTTGCTTAAAAGATTACCTTTCCATCGAATTCTATAAGCATATCGGCTTCTGATAGTTTATTAAGCTGCCTACTGATAATTTGAATAGGATCAGCTGACTCTTCTTTCTCCTCTAATAAGTCAATAAGACTTAAAGTAATATTGTTGGTTCTAATATGTTATAAATAATAAGTTATGCGTTCTGTTATGTAATATATCTAAATATATTTAAGTATACCTGCAGATAGATTCAATTTCGGGTAGATAGTTTCGTTTAAGTTCCTCTTTTTCTTTCTCCATTCCAAACGGCGATGAAGTTATATAAATATATATTACAGTCTCGTTTTCTCTATTATCATTCAAACTGTTCATTTTCTTATTATTATATATATATTTCTTTTAAAAAAGTTCATAAACAAACGCCGCAAAGCTTAAGCTTGTCTGCCTCAGAGCTTCGCGAAAGATTTAAACATTTTGTTTAACAACCTACTTTTATATGGAAGACTATTTACGTACGATTTTTACATTATTTAATGTTTACTTTCGTTTAGTTTTTTCTTACTGATATTACTATGATCCGAGAGTATTTGCGGTGTTTTTTAGTTTTCATATAATAAAGAGAATTTCCCCTTTTGCTTAAAATAGTAAGGCAGAGAGAGAGAGAGAGAGAGAGACAAAATAATCTATTTTGAACTTTTATTCAACCTGGTTTGTTCAATCTTCAAAAGTAGCATTACCATACTGTTAAGAGTATTTTAAACTGATTTTGTTTTTTTAAGAAACTTACTTAAACTAACCGAAAATAGATTAATATTTAAACAATAAAAAAAGACAATTTTCAATGAAAAAACCAGCTTAATAAGTTTATTCAAAATTGCATGAAAATTAATAAAAACAAATTAATAAAATCAACATTTTCTTTATTCATAAACCGGAAAATATTTGTATGAGATATTTTTCTTCTCTCCACTATGATATTTATATATCTAGTGATTGCTTAGTAATTTTTATATTTACCCTATGGATCTACTAACATTATACACCTTTGATAGCCTACTTTTCGCACTTTAAAAGACAAAATTTCCTTAAAAATATTAATAAGTTTATGCATAAATATCAATTTTAATATTGTAAATTTAAATAATAATCTATTTTAAACTGTTTCATGTATGTAGTACAAACGAACGATATTGCGTAATTCATCTCCTATCGCTTTATAATTAATATTTATTCAATTCATAATTGAATGGGTAATCATCAAAAAGTTTAAACACATACATATGTATTGAAAAATTGAATTTTGTAAAATTCATAAAGCTATTCAAGTAAGTTATCATTTCCAATAATCTATTATAGCTAAACTACCGGGACTACTTGGAGACGCAGTAATAATGCGTGTATCGGAAACGCACATACAATGTAATTGTATAGGCTGTCTGTGAACAACATGTAGACAACGTTCTGTTCTCCATTCCCAAACAACAATTTTCTTTCCATGGCCAGCGCTGATAAGAATGTTATTACTTAGATTAAGTATAGAAACAATTCCTAAATGATGACCCTTCAATATTTTACAAGAATAGAAATGTTCGTCAATATACCACAATCTAATAGTAGTATCTTCGGAAGCCGATGCTATTAATTCATCATTCATTGTAACGGCATGCTGTATTATTTCAATACGAAAATGCTTCAATTACAAAAAGACTTAGTTATACTTACAATATCACCAAAATGACCAATTAACTTTCGAAAGAGATTTCCAGTTGAAATAGACCAAACAAATAATTCTCCATCAGATCCACCGGACACTACCAATTCGTTGTCACAGCATATACAAGAAACAATATCTTTATGACCGATAAGTTGATGATTTAACTGTATTTTGAAAGATTATATATACAGATAGCGTATTTTAGTTATCTTCTATACTTTGGGATTCTTTAGATCGTATATACAAAGAGATCCATCAAAAGATGATGATACTAGATTAAATCCAAATTTTGCAATATCTGTTATATCATCTTGGTGATTGGAAAAGCAATGAATACATTTTTTTCCTTCTAAATCCCAAAGTCTTATTGAACTTTTCAAGTTTTAAATAATAGTTTAATAGTAATAATAAATATTTTATAATTTCTTAACCTACTGATCTAAACAGGCAGTTATTAGATAGACAGCATATATCAATTTAATAACTGAGCCCCTATGTCCCATTAACGTTGATAATATTTTACCAGTTTTGTAGCAAATAAGTAAAATATTGCCATTATCGCATCCAGCTATTAGTTGATTGTTCTAAAAAGATGAAAGAATAGACAATTGATATAGATAAACAGTAAATCTCTTGAATAAACTTAATTGAACATTACATGGAATAATAATGAATATATTTCTGAATTAGTATGAATAGTTGTTTCGCATTGTTTTGATCTTAAATTCCATAATTTAATTATTCTATCTAAACCACCACTTGCTAATAAATTATCTGTTTAGAAAAACAAAGGATATATCGTATTACTTTCTTAATAACTCTTTACCTTTACAATCAATACATAAAACTTTATCAGAATGAGCTGTATATATTGGATAAGGTGTATATCTTCCATTTTTCCAGTTTTCATTTAAATGATGTACCTTTAGAAATATTATTTTCCAATAACATATTTTTGATATTGTGTCACTATCTATAATCGAATATAAAGAAAGTTAACTTTATAGTAACAAATATCATATAAAAGCATCATATAAAATATCATTCTTACAAAATGGTACTTGAAATTTTGGATGACTTATTTTATTCGAATTACTTCCTTCAACATCATTTTCAACTGGTAATAATTCCTGTTGCTCACCAAATTTTAACCAACCTCTAATTTTACAATGATACCTCCATAGAGCATTTGAATTAGCTATTTCTCTCCATGATTTTGCAGTCAATGAACAATTTGATAAATCTTTGGCACTTAAAAATGAAAATATCTCATGATTTATTATTGAAGGTAAAATGTTTACAAAATCATCGCAAGTACTTTGCATATCTAGGAAAGATATGGTAAAACATAACAAATTAAATCTGAAAACTGGTAAAATATCTTATTTTTACTACTGTAGTTTAACATAAAAAGAATATTGTTGAAGATCAATAAAACAATTATGATGGATTGAAGTTCAAAGATAATAAAGGGATTAGCACTATATATTCATTTTGTATATATTTATACAGTATACTGTCTATACTGTATATATCGAGCATCTATGTCCAAATTCTAATGATTTTATTACGACTTTATTTTCAATAAGTAACTTTTCAGTTAGTAATCTGATAGTGAAGATAGCCATTACGTGAATCCTTTATATGTGCTCCAGGGAATGAAGCAACGATATGCTGCATCAGCTTATTAGTCATTTCCCCAAACGGTTTAAGCATGACCCACAGAAATTCCAACTTTCCATAAAAGATCACATCCTTTCCCAAAATTGGATTTTTTGAATTGGTCATTTACCATTATAACAATCTGTGTACATAGAGCTTCGCATACTTCCATACTATGACAAGTTAATACCAAAGTTATACTCTTTGCTCTTATTACTTTCAGACAGAAGATAAATCTCTTCTTCAATATGGTCTCTTAAAAAGCAATCTTCTATTAGGTTGTTGAAGACCGATTCCATATTAGTTAGTTTATCAGTTAGATCTTCGAAATAAGGGCAACAATCAACAAATTGTTGTTCTCTTGATTAGCCTATAATGACAGAAATGACCGCTAACCGGAACATTACATGATTCATCACTGAAATATTTAGGCGCAGTAATGTTTACAATAGCTATTTAATTAATTAAAGAAACTTTACACAAGATTAAAACTACGGCCACTATATACATATGTCAAATTTTATAAAGTGTTACACTATATTAATAACCAATAGATCCTGGAGTGGGCAAGCAAAGAAATTAACCATCTAATTGAATTTAAACTGATCTCAAATTATGATTTATAATCTATTTGTATAGGAAATAACTATGTAAACCTAAATATAATACCTCCTTAGGTTGCTCAAATCATATTCCTCTAAAATGTCGAATCACTTGATTGCTCTTTGTTATTGGAAATATAAATTATTATATGATATTAACATTTTTGTATAAATGTAAAGTTATAAACTAAAACATGAAGTCTGTTTAAAGTGCTGTTTTGATGGAATTACGGCATGATTTTGTGTTGAGAACCTCGCAACTGTAAAGTATGTTTATACAAAAAGAATTTTCACTAAAGTATGCTACAAGTTCTTGATAGATATACAATATTTTATCATTTAAGACATACTGACGTAACCATGAAGCCATAGATGATGGTACCAACCTTACATATACATCAATAAAGCACAAAATCTAATACGGAAGAAGGTGAACATTGAGTACGTATTTACCTACAAGGCTTGGCAATTACTTGCCCAAGTAGACTGAGTAGTATCTTTGAAACCTTTAGTACAAGAAAGCACTAGCAATGTAGGATGCGAAAGAGTGAAAAAATTTGAAACCTATTAAATTATATAATTGCGATAGGGTCGAAAATTGAAGAGCAATTTCAGCTTTTCTGTATGTCATTCAAAGAGGGATACACTCCAGCCTTAGGTATGTTTAGAGATGGCTATTGCTGTACTAAAATGGATAATTTTAGCAGTGACAGAATGTGGTTATAGTAGAACAGAAGAAAGTAATTAGAGAACGCTTCTGCGTTGATAATCGAGCCCTCAATAGCAACAAGTTTGCGCTCTCAAACTTACAATCCAAACACTTTTTAAACATCTGAAGACTTATTTCAATCTAGCAAAGCAAAACTCCAAATAATCACGTAGGAGTAGATACCGTAAATAATGGCATAAGATTGAATATCTATATTCATTTAAAGTCATTGGCATTCTGCGGAGTTCTAGGGGCTTGGTGAGTTCTGATTAGCAAACAGGTGTCAAAATCCATTGGTACTAAGTAAGATTTGTAAATAATTAGGATTTTTCAACAAATTGAACTAAGAGTGAGAATTGGCTCCTCTAAGCTAAGAGAGAGAGAAAAGAAACGAAAGGATTGGAATAGCGATCGTAAAATTCCCGTCACATCCACATCATTACCTCTAATGTAATGATTACGGCGTTGATGACTTATGAAATACACAAAAATACTGTTTTCCTTAATAAGAAAACTTACAGTAAATTTATTATTTAAAGAAAGCAAACTGTTTAGATAATTAGAGAGTTTTATATTTGAAGAACAATATCAATACCAGTAATTTCATTTCTTTCTTTAGTTTTCCTTCAAGACATTTCAAAATGCATAAAATTCTGCAATATACACAAATACTCTATTATTCAATTGAAGATATTTACAGCATTAAATTTCTATACGCTGTATTTTCTTATATACTTACAACCAAGAAAGCAGTTCCAAGCATTGAAGCTTTTTGATGATTAGTCAAGTTGTTGGGCACTGAAATGAAGTAATTTATATATTAGGTACGATCTGAAAGTATATGACGTTTTGTATTTTTATTTATAATAGTTAAGTTATTTTAATAATTTCTTTTTTATATTATAGCCTATAGTCTACTCTAGAAAAATTAACTATTTTATTCTTTAATAGTCCCCCCCCATTGTTTGTACATGTCTGCCATTTGGATGGAAGTAGATCTATCCCTTTCCGATAAAAAGAGGATGGCTTTCTCCTCAAAAATTCCCTGATGTCTTTTTTTAGCTCATCCAAATTTTCGTAATCAACTTCCATGATATGATCTTTCAGTCGGCCAAATAGGTAAAAATCAGATGGAGCCAAATCAAGGCTGTATGGGGGATATGGATAAAATCAGTTGTGTGCTGACTTGTATGGGGTCTTGCACTGTCATGTTGTAAATAATCTGTTTTTCAGGCCTTATCCTATGCAGTCTCCTTCTTGATCTCTTTAGGGTCTCCACTTAGGCTATTGGGTTGATTGTTTCACAGTAATCCATAAATTCAAGATGGATTAATCCTGAACAGTCCCTGAAAACTGTACACATCAGTTTTTCAACTGATTTAGTCATTTTTAGCTTTTTTTCAGGTGGAGATGATGTATGTTTGTAGGTTAGGGAAGCCCTCTTTGATTCAGGATCATGGAGATAAACCTCAGATTCATCTCCAATTACTATTTTTTTCAAAAATGATTCTTTTTTTGCCATGTGTCTATCAAGTAGTTCCATGCAATGACTCACCCTTACCTCTTTTTGATCCTGATTAAGATTATTATAGGGGATCCATTTACCACAAATTTTTCTGTACCCCAGCTCCTTAATCATCTTCCCAACAGCCTCTTGACCATTATCCAAATTTTTGGCAATTGCTCTCTGAGATGTGGTTTGATCTTCCCTGATAAGCCTGTCAACTGCTTCTTTATTTTGATCTGTTAGAGCTGTCTTTGGACGACCAGATCTTGGCAAGTCTTCAAGATTTTTTCTTGCTTTTTTTATTTTGATAGCCCACCTTCTTATTGAAGCTTCACTCAGAGTTTCATCTCCAAAATAGCTTTTTAACCTTGTGTGAATATTCTTTGAAGAGGTCTCCTCATGGACTAAGAATGCAATAATTTGTCGCTGATCGGAACATATAGACATGACTTGCTGTTGTTTGCACCGAAGTAATTTTGTAATGGCTTGACAGAACCGGATGAAAGTTTTCACAATGAAAGTTTACAGATTAAGTAATATATTTAGAAAGTATCGATAGTATTAGATAGGCCGTTTTAAAATTAGAGCGAAACGTGTAATACTTTCAGATCGCACGTATTATTTATATATACTTTATATATACAGTATATATATACTGTATATACTGTATATACAGTATATAATGTAAATATGGTTAATTTTAAGTATTTAGGGAAGGCATAAATTGAGTGATAAACTTACTATACATCTCGCAATATTCATGACTGACGTTTATCCTTCTCTTTCCTTCCTTTACTTCTTTTGCAAGATATTTTTTACTGATGTAACCTACTTCTTTTACTCCTGTATCATTTATTATCTAAATCAACAAAATAAATTATAATTTTCATTTTAGATAGAAGGAAATTAAAACAAACATCAAAGTGCATATCGGTACAACATCGGCAAGCGCAGCAACTACCTCTAACTCGCATAAAGATCTCCTCTTCAGGATCTTCAACCGTAAGTTTCAAGTTGAAAATATGAAATCTTTCAACAAAAAGAATAGCTTATAATGAAAATATCTGTAATAGAAATAATATTCTAACCTCTCTCTTACTCTTCCCAAAATCCAACCATGAGTATCTCTTATCTCCAAGCTATGCTGACAAAGGCAACAATTAAAGCAGCAGCACCAGTCGCATCTAAAATACGATATTTTGATTTTTATGATTATCATGTTAGTATTAAAATGCCTGTATCGTTATACCTGCAACAAGATCTATCAAAATGAAGTACCGGAGTATCGTCCGGCAAATAAACAGTAATATGAAACATTCTGTGAGGACCACATGTCCATCTACAGAAGCAATTTGCATCTTAATAGTGTTGAAAAAGAAGAAAGTATTATAAAGTTGGATTTTGTAAGTATATACTGTATATATATAGATATTACCTTCAACAGCGTAGAGTATCCTTTCATGATTTCTATCATAAATATTATAAGTATTTCCAGCTCCACATCCAGCTGTATATCAATTTAATAACATTTTAAATTTCTCTATTAATCTAATTATTATATAATATGTGTAATATATTTTCTCTCTTATCAAATAGAATAATTTATTCATTTAATCTCTTTTTGTAGTTTCTTTATTCTTTTAATAGCCTTTTGCTAGGAGATAGCTATTGCGACTCCAAGAATTTTTTCTATATTTATTAAAAAGGCCTATTATCCTTTGTTATTTAGTTTCCGGTATAAATAAAAATTTCTCTTTATTGTTTATCTTTTTTATGCTTAGAGTTAAAAGTGTTTAAAAGTATCCTTTTTACTTGTTTAAAGTAAAGTATATTATACAGAAAATGTAATTGTTAATCTTTAATTAATACATATACTTTACCTTTTAAATCAAAGGGCATTTGCTGTTCAATACGAACCAAATCTACATCTTGAAGGAAAGCTAATTCTGACAAACCAGGCAATATAAATTCTTTCATATTTTGATCATTTAAAGAAAGTTTGTCATCTTCTTTCTTTGGTTGAACACTTATAATCGTAGGCGTTCTATTCATTCCTCTTGACATATTTTATAATTCAAATGTTGTCTGTATCTTTCGTCCAAAACAAAGTATTTTCTATTTGTATCTGACACTGAAAAAAAAATACTAAATATTTTTGCAACGGAGTATTAACTGCAGCGCCACCTTGTAAATTAATTTAGAAATATATTTTTCTTATTTGATCGTTCAGTCTCTTATGAATATTCAATCAATACGAGTATTGAAGCAAAAAGGTAAAAAGAAAAAAGTGACATTCTTGGTTGCCTAAAAATATAAATAAACAAAGGAATTGCACAATTTAACTTTTTTTTCTCTTATACAATTCAATGATTCATTTCAAATGTATAGATTGAATTAACTAGTAATACAAATAAGTAGTGTTTATTCGTTTTATAGACCTTATTTCAACTCCTTGCTGATCAGAATATTAGAACTACGAATCTCTATTTGTTTTCTATATACATATAGTTAATTTCATCCTTTCTTCTTATCTTATTATGAATGTATTATTCTCTTATAAAGAGAAACCTTCGTTTATATTCTCTATATATTGAATTTTTTAAGGTCCGTTAATATCTGGACCAAAAAGATCATTTTTCTCTTATTTGTAATATGTTGAATAGAAAATATATAGGATAAATTGGTTTTTTTCTCTCTAAGTAGGTCTATATTTTCGATAAAATATCTCTTTTTTACAAAATCGCTAATGTAAACTATTGAATGTTGATTATATAGGAAAAAATTCGAAGAAAGCATATTGAATGGTCGCAAAGAGAAAAAAAAAGTAGATTTAAATGTTGAAAAAGAATAGAAAAAGGGAAGATTTTGGTCAAAAAAAAAATGTCTTTATTTACTTTAATACGTTTGAAGAAGAGACAATTTGTATAAGAGTAAGAAAGAATAGAGGAAAAGATAGAGAAACAGACGAAAGTGATTAATAATTATTTATTTAAAATAAGTAATATTTCAATTGTTTCTAAAGGGATAGATTTTTTAATTTCAACAAAATGGAAAAGAACTTTAAGAGATTTAATCTTCTTCTTTTTGTATGAAATTGAAAACTTTAACTCAAGAATATATCAATCAACAATCACTTTGTATAAAATTATATAAGCACTTGCCATACAAAAAGGATGAAACAATCAAAGAGAATATGTTATTATTGACAAGAATACTATGAATAATATGGATGGGATAGCACCACCTGTTTGCTCGTCCCTACTTAGTTGTCAATAGAAAACCACTCAATTTATCTTCACAATTTGTTGTCTTCGTTTTCTGTTTTTTTTTCATTCTCTTTAAGATACAATTGCTTCCGGCAGTTTAGATGAGAACCTTGCAATGGTGAGAAATGGCTCAACATACAAGCAACAGTACTGTTATACTTGAAGAAGTAAATGAATCTGGTAGTTCTATATCTGTTATTTCCAATCATACAACATATATTCATCAATCTATGAGAGCCTCTAAAGAATTTAAAAAGTTTAATACAAGTATGAAAGCCAATGACGAAGATGATACGGAAAGTGATAAAACTGAAATGACTACCATGAGTAGAGTGGAAAGTAAAGAAGTTTTGGAAGTAGATCCAATGACCAGTACGGAAAATTTACCTAAGCTATCTAAAACTACTTCTATGCCAAAGATCGCTAAAATGGTAATGATGCCAGGTTTGAATAAGACTAAATCTTATAAAAGACCCCACGCTTCATACGATGCGTTTATACTATATAAAGTGATTAAACCTGTATTATATGTTCTACAAAGTTGCGGTATGCTACCTATGAAAATTAAAACTGGTAAATCAACAGTTTCACCTGAATTGGAATCTAGGAGAGAGTTCATTTCCGTTCCTCTGCTTATATATTCAGGGATTATTGTTGTTGTCATGACTGCCAATTGTATTAGATCGTTTCTTGCTTTTAATAGCACTGATAATTTTGGTAGTAACCTATTTTTTAAGATAAAGATAACGTTATTCTGGTACGAAGCAGCTTCGAGAGCTATTTTAGCTAATATGGTGTGTATTAGAGATAAAAAGAATGTTCATAACGTTTTCAAGACATTCGCACAAATATGTTTTAATGATGGTATTATATCTTACGAAGCCGCTTTGAAAAAGTCTATGGTTTATTCTCTTTTGGTGGTTGTTTTTATGATTATCTTAAACGCCGCAACGCTATTCTATGGTCTATTTATTGCTCCTAAAGAAGTCCAAGTTCTATTTGGATTTATAGTTGCTCCTCTAGACCCCGAGTCTATTACTGCAAAAATAATTATCTGGTTGCTACTCACCTGGGCTGGAGTAGTCGCCCTAAGTAGTTTATGCCTATTTACGACTATCTGTTACATATTCTACAAGGAATTTGAAGTTGTTACAAAAGCGTTTGCTTCAAAGATAAAGGAAGATGGCGTCTTTTTGGATGATTTAGAAAAATATAGGCTAATGCACCAGAAAAGGTATCCTACACTTTTCTTTTCTATAATATAAGTAGCTTATTCAATTTCAATGGAAATGTTGACATTCGCTTCTTTTTAGGTGTAAAATATTGGACGAAGCTGATCAGATATTTAAATATTACATTGCTAACACCTACGGTACTAATATTCCTCTTCTTTGTTTACTTTTATATGGATTGGTCTTTTCCGAACACCAGGCCGCTGGTCGTTTAACGGACGCCTGTTTTCTATTAGGCGTTCTTTTTCACGTTACAGTTATTACAATATCAGCAGTCATCGTAAACGGCATGGTAATATCATATATTTTATTTAAATAACTTGAATATATAGTACATATTTATATATTTATATAATATTTATTTGTGTAAAAGGCTATCGACTTGTATAATTTAATCTTTGTTTATTAGGCACACGCACCCTTGAATGATATTTACAGTATTCGGGTTAAAAATACAACTAGCGAGAGGCAATTAATTGTTAGTATGTTTTTGAATAAATTAACGGCAACATCAATTGGAATGACTGCCTGGGATATGTTTGTCATAAACAAACCAACAATTTTAACTGTTATTGGAATGTTTACAACATATTTCTTTCTATTGGTTCAATTCAAGAATCCAGGAGCCCAAGCTCCAAAATGTCTATGTACAATAGATGGAAATCAAATGTTTAATGGTTCGATTATTAATTAAATAAAGGATTATTAAAATATACTGATTTTCTTCATATACCTAAAAACCAAATAAACAAACAAACAAACAAAAATAATGATATAATCCTACTATTTGAATACAAGATGTTTACTAATCTCTATGAACAATTAATGGGAAAAATGAATGTTTCTCTGTTCTTCTTTTGCATTATATGACAGTGTCTTTTTCTAATCCTGTATACTGTTTACTTTATACGTATCAGTTAAAATATTGCTACTTTTACTTCAAACTTTAAGATCTATGCCCTCTTTCCTCTCTACCCATCCTTTCAATTATCGTTAATTTAAGGTATTAATTAAGCCCAATTATCTCTTATTTATGCCTTTTCTCTTATTGAAATTTAGTATAAATGATGAAATTAAAAAATATATGAAGGAATATAATTGTGAAATAAAAAAAACCAATAACTAAGTTGACGGAGTGAATAAAAGAAAGTATCCATGTCATTCGCCTCCTTTCATTTCCATGAACATACAAGCTTTCATAAGAAAGATTGAAATTGATAGAAAATCAAAGAATAGGTAAAGAATATGAGAGAGAGAGGGAGGGAAGGAGGGAGAAAGAGAGAAAAGAGAATGTAAATGAGTTGATTAAGAACGCGAAAATAATCAATTCTTTATTACTTCTCTTCTATTTTACTATTTCTTTCCCTCATTCTTTTTCACAGAACTATATTGAGTCGCAAGAGAACTTAAATAAGAAATAAATGGTTTTTTTTATTTAAAAAATAATACTAAAAAGAACTATTTCACTAGGTCAAAGGTTTCTTTTTAATTTAAGTTCGAATTAAAACTTTCAGAAATAAGAACAACTCATTTCTTTTTTTTGCCAAGATATTGAAATTTTTAAAGGTCGTAGCCTATTTGTTTCCGTATTAACAAAAGGTAAAAATTGAATAGAAAGAAAATAATAAAAGAGACTATATTGCCCTCAAACTAAACTTTGATTGGTTAATCTCGCTTGGTGTAAGTCACACAAAAATAAATTAATCAATAACGTTCTTCGTTGCCTATTTATTTCATTGAATACTGTTTGTTGGGAGTGCAGAGAAAAAAAGAAATAGAAGCCAAATACGAAGAATTAGCGTTCTTTTTTTAATTTCTTTTGATTATATTTGTGCATTTCTTTTTTACTTTTATTAAAAAGGAAAATCTTACTTGAATATTAATTATTGATAAATTGATTAAACCAACTGATAAAACTGGAAAATTGCTTGAAAATTCATGAAATTACAATGTTAAATAAGCGCTGGTCGCTTTTGTACCTGTGCATTTTAATCTTTAATTCACTTGAAACAACCGAAGGTTTGTTTATTATATTAATTTAAATCTTTCAATAAAATTTATTAAATAGACCTCATAGTTTAATTTGAATAAACTATTTAATTAATGAATATCTTAGCGGCCTGTAATTGCGTATCGGATTGCGTAGCATCATGTTCAGCTGGACAATACTTTGATAGCAGCACTGGAAATTGCGTGCAATGCGAAGCTGGATACTAGTAAGTAGAGAGAGAGAGAGAGAAAGAGAAAGAGAGAAATATACATATTTTAAAGAGTCTCAAATCAATTTTGAATCTGAAAGTACAATTTAACATAGGACAAAGAAAGTTTAAAGTAGTAAACTCATGTTACTTTAATAAACAGAGGTAGAATAATCAATAATGACAAATTCTCTTTAACTGATATAATTAATGGGATCAGATCAATAAGTCCATTATTTACTGTATAAAAATCAACTCTGAGAAAATTGACTTTAGAAAGGTAAGACTAAATTTTTGATGGAATAAGAGAATTTCCTTTTCTTTCAATTGAAAAAGACAATTTTCTTTTGATAAGATTTATTTCAAAACTTTCTTCATTAAGAATAGGATTAATTCAGTATATAAATGATTATAAATATCATATTAAGTGTATGCTGCATACGATGTATACTGTATAGCTTATATGTAAAAAATATTTATCAAGGAAATCAATTTAACATTATATCTGATAATAAAGGTTTTCCCTAGATTATATGCAAACTTTATGGGAATATAAGTAAAATGGTATGGCTATTATGCATCTTCAAATTAATTATTAATGAATACTCTATTATTTATTCATTAATAGTCCCTTTTTACAACAAAATAACACTTAAACTTACTTCAATCGATATTCAAACGATTCATTGCTATAAGACTACATAATATTGGTGTTAATTTATAGATTTAGATAAAGATATAGAGATAATGATAGAAAAGGGAAACAAAAAGTTAGGGTAAGGGAAATGGAGTAGAGAAAATGAAAGAAAGAAAAAAGACTGAGTCGAGTAAATTTGTACTTAATTAAGAAGATTTCTTTTTGTACAATATGAGAAAATGTACTTGTTTATATCGTAACTATGACATAGAAGTATTGCAAATATAACTTGCATAGAACTATTAGCTGGCTTAAAGCCATAAAATTCATATTGGCTATTGTTATATTAAGTTTGCTTTTCTGTTCTTACTAAAATATTTTACCGTTTACTGACAGATTACAGACGAATAGCAATCTATAAGTTGTATTTGATTTCGCTTTTAGTATCGGATTAGGATTAAAATTAGGTCATTGTCTAGGAAAGTATTTGGTTATGTCATTCTCCTATGCCTATTGCGTAATTAACTTGACCTGTTGAATATACTAAGACAATTCAACAGTAAAGAGTTTATTCAAGATAAATTTCTATTTATAGGAAAAATTTAAAGCTTTTTTTATCAAATAAATAATAAAGTAATCCTATTGAAAACCTTAATAATGGAAAAAATAACGATTTGTCGTCTATTATAGCTGCGCCGGTGGAAGTACAGCAAAGCAAGCATGTCCTGGAGGAACCAAAAATTCGGCTACTGGTCAATCGCTTGTAAGCGCTTGTGTTGATTGTGGAACTGGTTATTATAGTGCTACTGGGTCATCTAGTTGTACATTGTGTCCTGCTGGACAGTCTTGTCCATCAACTCAGACAACAACTCCTCAAGATTGTCCTGCTGGCCAATTTTCTCCTGATGGAGCAGCAACATGCACAGATTGCAGTTCCGGACACTTTTGTCCTACTGTAAACAGTAAAACCCAAACTGCATGTCCTGATGGCTATTATCAAACTGCTTCAGGACAAGCAAATTGCAATAATCAATGCCCAGCTGGTCACGAATGTCCAGGAAAAAGTACCGCTGTTCAATGTGCCAAAGGATTTTATAGTCCCGCTGCAGAAGGTGGATGTAAGCCTTGCGCAAGCGGCTCCTATTCTTCTTCACCAGGTTAGATCATTTATTTAATTATTGTTGTACTTAGAAAATTAATTTTAGGGGCCGCAAGTTGTACTCAATGCCCCGCTGGATACAAGTGTGCAGACCCAACATCAACTGCTGTAAAATGCCCAAAGGGATGGATATCTGCTGCTGGAAAAATTGCTTGTACAAAATGTGCGGCTGGACAACAATCGGATTTAGATAATGAAAACTGTGTTGACTGTACTGCTGGATACAAATGCCCAGACCCTGAAGCCAATCCTGTAGCTTGTTCAACTGGTGAATACTCACTATCTGGAGCAAGTTCGTGTAGTCCCTGCCCTGCTGGAAGCCAATGTCCAAGTAAAAATAGTGCATCCGCATGTCCACTAGGAACTTATTCTACAGGCGGATGGGCCACTTGTAAAGATTGTCCTGGAGGATACAGTTGCACGTCTTCAACAAGTCCTGTGCAGTGTGTTGGTGGAAAATATTCTGCATCACAATGTAACTAATTCTTTTTCTTAATCTTTAATTTTTTCTTTTATTAATTCATTTTATTCTCAAATTTGATTTTTCAGCTATGACATGCTCTACCTGCCAGGCAGGAAATTATTGTCCACTTGGAGCCGATAGGGAATATGCTTGTCCAACTGGTACTTATAGTGCAGCAGGAGCAACTGCTTGCACTGATTGTCCAGCTGGTAAAAGTTGTCCATCGCCTGGTAATACCGCTACTGACTGTGAAGCCGGACAATATTCTTTTGCTGGAGAAACAACTTGCACTGATTGTCCAGCTGGTCATTCCTGTCCAAGTAAAGATCAAGTGCCAGCTCCTTGTGCCTCTGGATATTATCAAACATCACAAAAGCAAACATCGTGCACCCAGTGTCCTGCTGGAAGCTATTGTGATTCGGCCACAGCATCTCCAAAGCCTTGCCCAGGAGGATATCAGAGTTTGGCTGGAGCAACAAGTTGTGAGGCATGTCCCTCTGGATATAGCTGCAGTGGCAATGATCTAGCTACACCGAATGCAGCTTGCCCAGCAGGTCACTACTCCTCAACTGGAGACGTGGACTGTCACGAATGCCCTGCAGGGAAATATTGTCCAACAACACAGTAATAACATAGTCAAGTTTTAAAAACGTTTAATGTGTCTTTACGCATTTTTAGGATAACAGCACCAATTGACTGCGCTCCAGGAACTTACTCCTCTGCTGCCGCTACAGCCTGCACAAACTGTTCACCAGGAAAAGCATGCCCAAATCTGGATGGTTCTGGAATATTAGATTGTACCCCCGGACAATATTCATTGAGCAGTAAGCAAAGATTTGTAACTAAAAATAGTGTAGTAACAATTACTTTTCACTAGATGCTATTGCATGCACAACTTGCTCACCTGGATATGCCTGTCCAAACACTACAAGGCCAATTGTTATCAAATGCTCTCCTGGATTCTATTCCATTGGAGGTCAAGACGAGTGTACACCATGTACACCAGGAAATGCGTGTCCTGACATAGAAAAAGCGACTATTAATCCATGTCCAATAGGAACATATGCAGTAGCAAATCAGTCTACATGTACTACATGCCCAGCAGGTTTTGAATGTCCGGATATCGATCAAGATACAAAGTAAGAACTATAGAGAAATGAAAAAGATATATTTAAACTTGTTATTTTACTTAATTCACTAGGAAACCTTGTGAAGAGGGATATTATTCATTTGGAAATCAGGAAAAATGTACCTACTGTCCAGAAGGATATAGCTGCCCCCACAAACATAAAGGACCTCAGCTATGTGATCAAGGTTTTTATAGCGAAGCAAAATCCGTTAATTGCACCGGTTGCGAACCCGGCTTTGCTTGTCCTGAACCTCAAGCGACAAAGAAAAGCGAATGTGCACCTGGAACTTACTCTTCAGGAGGAGCTATTGTATGTTCTCAATGTGACCCTGGGTTCAGATGCAAAATGGGTTCAACCTCTCCTAGACCTGATGATGGTATTTGTGAGAAGGGTGGATGGTGCGATGGGAAAGCCTTTTACGCCTGCCCATCAGGAACTTACAACCCTTTAAATGGTTCCTCCAGCGAAACTGACTGTAAACCGTGTCCTCCAGGATTCTTTTGTACTGGACCAGGAGAAATAGATTATTCTGATAAACACTGTCCACCTGGACACTACTGTTTGCAAGGAACTACAATTAGCACAAATTTTCCATGTCCAGGAGGAACATTCTTTGACAAGGTAAATGCTACAAGTAAAAACGATTGCCTACCTTGTCCAGAAGGTTTTTACTGTCCACCTGGAAATTCAGTTCCAATAATCTGTCCTGCTGGCTTCTGGTGTACTGCATCTCAAAGTACAGGAGTCCAGAATGCTTGCCCTCTAGGAACATTTAGCAGTCTAACAGGCCTTAAAAGTAATTAATTATTAATATTAAAGATCAAATTTTTTTCTAATATGAATAATTTTTGCAGATTGGACTCAGTGTACAGACTGCACCGTTGGTCATTATTGTCCGTTTGGAACTGAAACAGAACCAAGAATTTCACCATTGCCTTGTCCATCTGGAACTTATAATCCTAATGATAGAACTGGAGATATTTTAAATTGTAGAAGATGCGATGCAGGATATTCTTGCCCAAGAATTGGCCAACATAACGTAACTGACCCATGCGAGGAAGGATATTACTGTCCTAACGGCACAATTACACCTGGTGAATTTCCTTGTCTGCCTGGAACTTACACGGATCAAATACATTTGAGATCAGCAGATGAATGTTCGCCTTGTCCCGAAGGACACTACTGTGATTGGGGAACAGCAAATTTCAGCAGCTCGAAGCCGCCAAGACCTTGTAAACAAGGTCATTATTGCCCTGCACAAACAACAGCTCCAGATAGATTTCCATGTCCAGCGGGAACATATACAAGTCAGTCAGATTTAGCAAGAGCTGATCAATGCACACCATGTACTGAAGGAAACTATTGTCTTGGAGGTGAATCCAGTCCAAGTGACATTTGTCTTCCTGGGCATTATTGCCCCACAGGATCAAGATTTGCTACTGAATTTGCATGTCCGAATGGAACTTATAATAAAAATTATGGAATGAAAAGTCTTGCCGATTGCTTAAATTGTACTCAAGGACACTATTGTGAGGAAGCATACGAATTACCAAAAGATTGTCCAGAAGGAACATACATGCCGTACGGAACAGAAGTTGCAACCGGTGACTTCAAAGGTCCTGGAGGGCCAGCACAAAGAGAATTTGCTTGTCTTGACTGCCTTGCTGGCTACTTTTGTGGCGTTGCAGAAGTTACACCACAACCATGTGGTAAAGGGAAGTATTCAAAAAAAGGACAAAAGCAATGCGTTATATGCGAAATTGGGTAAGATCATTTCCGTTCCTACATATATATATATATAAATACTCAGTAATTTCTACTCTTTAGTCATTATTGCGATGAGGATGCTACGTCAGAAGAAGCTATGCTTAAGAATAAGAGGTGCCCAGCAGGACAGTTCTGTCAAGCTGGATTACAAGCTTTAGGGGATGCTGTTGATTGCTCTCTTGCTAAATATTGTCCAGAAGGTTTATATTTAAATTTAAAATTAGAATACAAACATAATTTTGTTTTTTATCTTTCCAGCAACTAAGGAAATGATTAATTGTCCAGTGGGAACATTTAACCCTACAACGGGAAAGGGTAACAAAACAACCGATTGTCTTCCATGTACCGAAGGATATTATTGTCTGGAAGGAAGTTCAAGTGCAACTGGTGCTTGTGAAAAAGGCTTTTACTGTCCAAGTCCAATACCAAACCCTTATAGTAATGATCCACCTGAAATTGGCTCTTACGGTCCAAAACAAGAACAATGTCCAGAAAAAACCTACACTGATGTCACAGCTACTAAGAAACTGGGTGACTGTAAAATTTGTCCTGCTGGTTATTATTGTACTAGAGCAAGTTCAGCACCAATAGATTGTCCAAGAGGATATTTTTGCGTTGAAGGAGTAGAAAAACCTGCTCCTTGTCCAATTGGCCGATACGGCAACGAATCTAATGCCGACGCTTTAGAGAAATGTCCGCTTTGTGATAAGGGATGGTACTGCGATGCTCCAGGTTTGTTACAACCAAGAGCCCCTTGCGATCCCGGTTATTTATGTCACGAAGGCGCCAAAGAATCTGGTCCCACAGATGGCGTAACTGGTGAAATTTGTCCAGCTGGAGGATATTGTACCCTTGGTTCTTATGTGGCTAAGAATTGTCCATTGGGTACATATTCGAACGTCACTGGTGCTGTGAACGAATATGATTGTTTTGATTGTGATCCTGGATATTACTGTTCTGCAGTATCTGGAGGAGAACCTACTGGATTGTGCTGGGGAGGATACTATTGTACCGGAAGAGCGAAAACTCCCAGACAAAACTATACTTTGCCAGGTTATTACTCACCAAATGGCTCGGTTGCTCCCAGAGAATGTGAAATAGGCTCATATCAACCGTACGAGGCTCAGCCCGATTGTATAACATGCGAACCAGGATTCTACTGTCCTGAAAAGAAGATGGATCACAACATTGCTTGTCCAGCAGGTAAATTCTGTGGAAATGGTAGCTATGTACCTCAAGATTGTCCACCAGGAACGTTTTCAAATAGAACTCATATGACACACGTAGAAAATTGTACAGATTGTCCACAAGGATACTATTGCCAAGATAGAGGTATAACAGAACCAACAGGAAAATGCAAAGCGGGTCATATATGCTTCCAAAATGCTCTGAACGACGACCCTGTCTTCAATGATGATGTGTCTAGTAACAAAACTATTGTTACTTACGGTGATGTTTGCGCACCAGGCCATTATTGTCCAGCTGGAACCGCTTTGATGATTCCTTGTCCGAGAGGGACTTATAATCCAGACAGGGGAGGTATCTCAGAAGCGTCAGCTTGTAAACCCTGTCCCGCTGGCAGCTACTGTAATGGAACCGGTCTCTCAGGTGTTTCAGGAGCATGTGATAAGGGATACTATTGTGTAGGCAGAGCTTTTCTACCAAATCCAAATGACAATACTACAGGATTTATTTGTCCACAAAATCATTTTTGCGTAGAAGGAAGCCAAGTACCTAAAACATGTCCTCTTGGTTATAGTGCAAATTTTACAGGTTTATCAGAGTGCACATTGTGCCTAGCCGGGTATTGGTGTTTGCCAGGAGAATACCCAAGATTATGTCCCAAGGGATCTTATTGTCCAGCTAGTACAAATTCCATTCCTCTTACGATACCAAAAGCTTGCCCAGAAGGTACGTATGGAGGACGAGATGGCCTAGAGAAGTCAGATGACTGTAGCAGTTGCGATCCTGGACATTATTGTGTAGGAACTGGACAAACTAACTCTACAGGATTAATTCAAGCTGGACATTGGTCAACAACAGGCTCAACAACATCAACTCCTGCTGAAGATGACTCTGTAATTAGAGGATTATGTCCAAAAGGTTACTACTGTCCAGAAGGTAGTAGTAGACCAGTTTCTTGTCCATCAGGTACTTTTGGTTTTGGATGGATGTATAAGACTGTCGACGATTGTAATCCTTGCGAAGGCGGTAAATACTGTCCCGAAACGAATATGACAACAAGCGGTCCAGACTGTTATGCTGGTCATTATTGCTCATCTAAATCACCAGTTCCTGATCCTGTTAATCAAACATATGGTAGCGAATGTCCAACAGGTTTCTTCTGTCCTCTTGGCTCAGCGACACCTGAGCCTTGTCCAGCTGGAAAATTCCAAAATGAAACGAGACAGAGCGTGTGTAAAGATTGTCCTCAAGGATTTTATTGCCCGTTAAATACAAGCAATCCATTCTCTTGTCCCTCTGGTTACTGGTGCATTGCCAATCAACAAGAAGCATTTTTAAATCCATGTCCAATCGGAACCTACAACAATCTTACAGAAAGGCGAACAGTTGCAACATGTCGATCATGTCTTCCGGGTCATTATTGTGCCATTCCAGGTTTAAGTGAACCTACTGATGAATGTGATCCTGGATGGTATTGTCTAACTCGATCAACTGCAGCTCAACCAGCTGTCGCCGCTGAAGGAGGAAGATGTACTGCTGGTAATTTCTGTCCAAAGGGAAGCTCACAACAAATACCTTGCACTCCTGGAATGTATTGTAATAATGCAGAATTAGCAGAACCAGCTGGTAATTGTTCGGCCGGCTACTATTGCTCTGCCGCATCGACAACACCAACTCCAACAGATGGTGTTATGGGTAATTTGTGCCCAAAAGGATTCTATTGTCCCAGTGGTAGCGAAAGTGGTATAGGATGTCCACCTGGTTCAATGCTTAACGTTACTGGAGGCAAATCAATAGATGAGTGTTTTAACTGTACTAAAGGATATTATTGCAGTGGTTATGGAAATGATGATCCAACAGGACCTTGTGATCCTGGTTATTATTGTCCAACAGGAATATCTCTTCAAAATCCATCTGAATACATTTGCCCTATTGGTCACTTTTGCGTAGGGAATAATCACGAACCAGTAAGATGTGTTTCAGGAACTTACCAAGATCAAACAGGACAAAGCCAATGTAAAGAGTGTCCGAAAGGATTCTTCTGTGATAACACAATTGCGCCAGTCGTTCTCTTCAGTAGTTCAAAATGTCCAGAAGGTCATTACTGTCCACCTGGTACGAAACATTCAACGGAATTTAGATGTCCATCTGGAACATATAGCAATTTCACCGGATTAGAAAATGTAACAGACTGTCTTCCATGTCCAGGAGGTTTCTACTGCGATGCTGAAGCCCAGATATCATATTCCAAAATTTGCCAAGAAGGGTATTTATTACAATGTTACGGTTTTACTTGTTTTAATTTTTAACTCTACGGAATTTTATTTTTAGATACTTCTGCAAACAATACGCCAAAACAGCTACACCAACCCAAAATACAGATGCAAACGTATGCCCTATAGGTCATTTCTGTCCTTCAGGCACAAGTCAACCAAAGAAATGCCCTATCGGAACTTTTTCGAGTGCAACCCTTTTAACCAAAGAATTAGACTGTCTTAATTGTACAGCTGTACGTTAAAATTGTCTATTATCTAAAGTTCATTTCTAATTTTGATAATTCTTTGCAGGGATACTACTGTGCTGATTTAGGTAGAACAGAACCAAATGATCCTTGTTCAGCAGGATACTATTGTCCTGTGGGATCGAGTAGTCCCACGCAAATTGATTGTCCCATGGGATACTATTGCGTTAATGGCAGTGCAGATCCAACAAAGTGCCCTATAGGAACTTTCTCAAACAGAACGATTGTTAAGGCTAAAGACGACTGCCTTAAATGTCTTGGTGGATGGTATTGCGACACTGAAGGATTGATCACACCAACAGGTCTTTGCAGTGAAGGATATTTCTGTCCTGAAGGATCAAGTTCAAGACAACCAGCTGCTACTCCATGCCCAGTTGGAAATTATTGCCCAGAAGGATCAGCAGCTCCATTACCTTGTCGAAACAATACCCACGTCAATCATACACATGCAGTACAGTGCTATAATTGTCCTGCTGGTTTCTATTGTGTTAAACAAGGGTCCTCTGAAATATGTCCAAAAGGCTACTATTGTCCAGCTGGCACTGGCTTAGACTGGAAAGCCTGTCCAAGAGGATCATATAGTGATGTTGAAGGATTATATGAAAGATCTCAATGCAAACAGTGCCCGCCCGGAAAATACTGTGACGGAGAACATCTCGCGACACCATCAGGAGATTGTGGTGAGGGGCACTTTTGTACTTATGGAGTAGATCAGAAATACCCAACGGGAATAAATCAAACTGGACCATTTAATAATACTTGCTATGACGACAGAGAAATTGGATCAGGAGGAATATGTCCAGTCGGCCATTACTGTAGTCAAGGTAGTTTTGAACCCACGCCTTGTGCCAACGGAACCTACGCCAATAAACCAGGTTCTGCTTCATGCAACATATGTCCTCAAGGTTATTGGTGTCCACTTGGCAGTGTCAACTTTACAGATTATCCATGTCCTAAAGGATACTATTGCCCAGTTGGAACCAAGTGGATCAATGATAATCCATGCCCAGCAGGAACGTTTAATAATAGGACAATGAGATTCAAATTAGATCATTGTTTAGCTTGTCCAGGAGGAGAATATTGTAAGGACGAAGCATTGTCTGAAACATCAGGACTCTGTGATGCAGGATATTATTGTAATATAAACTCAACCACAGCTACACCGTCAGGAGGTTATATGGGAGATATTTGTAAAGCCGGGTACTACTGTCCAGCAGGATCTGATCATCCTTATCCTTGCAAGCCTGGACACTTCTGTTCAGGTGACGGACTTAATTATACTTCTGGCCTATGCTCACCTGGTTACTTCTGTACAATTAAAGCAACAATTGCTAATCCAACCGATGGTAACATAACTGGAGATATATGTCCAACGGGTGCGTACTGTCCTCAAGGAAGTTATGCTCCTCTACTCTGTCAAGTTGGCACATACTTGAATGGAACTGGAAATGATGAAGCAGCCGATTGCCTGCCCTGCACACCAGGATCTTTCTGTCGTGGAAGCGGTAAGTATTAAAAAATTCATACTAGAATAGATAAAAGACTAATTTAATTAATATGAACAGGTAATGCTATACCAGACGGACCTTGTGCTGCTGGTTGGTATTGTCCTCCAAGCCAGAGTGATCCTAGACCTGTAGGATATAATTGTACTTTGGGACATTATTGTCCTGAAGGAAGTGCCCAACCAGTCAGATGCTCAAGTGGAAAATATCAAGATGAACTTGGATCAACAACATGTAAAACATGCCCGGCTGGTTATTACTGCGATTCAACTTTCGACCCAGTGGTACTCTACAACAGCTCTTATTGTCCTAAAGGTAAGGTTATATAAAAATATAGTTACCGAAATATCAATTTTTCTTCACATATCAGGCTACTACTGCCCAATTGAAACTAAGTATGCAAAGGAATTCCCGTGTCCTATATCTACTTTCTTGAATGTTACTCACAAAACAAGTGAAAGTGATTGCTTCCCTTGTAGAGGAGGATACTACTGTGATCAAACGGGACTTGCGGAGCCGACTGGACCATGTGACGCAGGTTATTACTGTCACCATAGCTCAAACAGCTCTTCGCCAAATCTAGGAGAACTCGGAGACGAATGTCCACCTGGTTTCTATTGTCCGGAAAATTCGGTTGCTCCTCAAGCTTGTCCACCAGGGACATACAGTTCAGCTATGAAATTGAAATCCATTTTAGAATGTACCAACTGTACTGGTGGTAAATACTGCTCTAAATGGAACATGACAGTCATAGAAGGAGATTGTCAAGCCGGCTATTATTGTCCTAGTGGAGCTGATAAAGCAGACTTTATAAGTTGTCCGGCAGGATCATACTGTCCAACAGGAAGCATAAATCCAACATTCTGCCCAAGAGGAACATATTCAAACTCTTTAACTCTAACTGCAGTAGAATTATGTAACAACTGTACAACTGGTTTCTACTGTCCACAAGAGGGACAGACTGATGCAACTCTCACTTGCTGGGGAGGATTTTATTGTCCTCCTGGTCAATTTGATCCTAATCCAGCAGAGTTCATATGTCCTGTTGGTCTTCATTGTCCAAATGGAAGTAGCACTTACAAGCAATGCCTACCAGGATACTTTACAAATAGCACTGGAAATAGTGAATGTCAAATATGTCCAGCTGGCTACTACTGCTTACCAGTTCTTCCACAAAATGCTTCTCTCAATGCTCAGTTGTGTCCAAAAGGCTATTATTGCCCTGAAGGAACGGAACTGAACTGGAACAGCTGTCCAAGAGGTACATTCAGCAATGTTGAAGGTCTAAAAACGGTTACTGAGTGTACTCCTTGCACCGGAGGAAAGTACTGTGACGGTATCCATCTTGTCGATGTAAGTGGCGATTGCAAAGCTGGTCACTACTGTGAATCTGGTTTAGATAGATTAAATCCAATCATTAATAATAATTCAGGAATAGCAACAGATTGTCCAACAAACGCATTCTATACTGGCATAGGAGGATTATGTCCAAAGGGACATTATTGTCCAACCGCATCAGACAAACCTCTGCCATGTGAACCGGGTACTTATGCTGATAATGAAGGACAAGCTTTGTGTACGTTATGTCCTGAAGGATACTACTGTTTGGCCAACTCAACAGATTTTGTAAATAACCGCTGTCCAGCTGGCTATTATTGCAAGAATGGAACAAAACATGCCTTCGAATTTCCCTGTCCAGCTGGAACATATAATCCTTCCGAGTTAGGAACTTCAGAAAATAATTGTCTAGAATGTACAGGAGGATTGTATTGTCAAGGAACTGGAAATCCACAACCAACTGGAAACTGTAGCGCAGGCTGGTATTGCACAAAAGGTTCTGACGATCCAAAAACAACTACCAAAGGAGGAAAGTGTCAACCAGGATATTATTGTCCGCTTGGTTCTAAGAGTCCTAGTCCATGTCCCCCTGGTGAATACTGCGAAACTGAAGAGCTAGCTGCACCAACAGGTAATTGTAGTGCAGGTTATTATTGTACTGGAGCCAGTGAAAAGAGAGATCCTGTAAACGAAAGTTATGGAAACAAATGCCCAGCAGGATTCTACTGTCTTGAAAAATCTGAAGTCCCTACTCCCTGTTCTCCTGGGACATATAGTCCAACTGAGGGAAATACACTTGAAGCTGACTGTCAACCTTGTTCTTTTGGAGATTATTGTCAAGGATATAATCTAACTCAAACAAGTGGAAATTGCACAAGAGGATATTACTGTCCTCAAGGACAACAAGTAAATAACCCTTTCATATGTACAGTAGGTCACTACTGTCCAGAAAGTTCTGCTAACCCAATCTTATGTCCAAGTGGGTATTATCAAGATCAGACGGGACAGTGGACATGCAAACTATGTCCATCAGGATACTATTGTGACAATTCAACAGGCGTTGTTGTGATTAATGACAATATCAAATGTCCGAAAGGTTATTATTGTCCTCCTGGTACAAGACACTCTCAGCAATGGCCTTGTCCTGTTGGAACATTCGGTAACTTAACAGCTTTTAACTCAAGTATGGATTGTACTCCTTGTTCACCTGGAAAGTATTGTAGTAGCGTTGGACTAACAGAACCAACTGATTTCTGCGCTGAAGGATATTATTGTAGACTCTACGCTGAAACTTCAACACCGAACCAAGCAAGCAATGCCAATATATGTCCACAGGGATCCTACTGTCCAAAAGGCAGTGAACAACCCATACCCTGCATACCAGGTACTTACGGAGCATCAACAGGTTTAGCAAACGTGACTGGCTGTACGCAATGTACCCCTGGAAAGTATTGTGAATCAAGTGGACTATTGGCTGTTGAAGGTGATTGTCACCAAGGTTACTATTGTCCTCTAGGTTCTAAATTGAGACGAGAAATAATTTGCCCAGTTGGTCATTATTGTCCTACTGGTTCGGCAACTCCTGAAAGATGTCCATTGGCTACTTTCAATCCATACCTTGGCTTAAATAGCTCAGATCAATGTACCAGTTGTACTGCTGGAGATTATTGTGGCACGCAAGGATTAAATGCAACAACAGGACCTTGCGAAAGTGGTTATTATTGTCCTACCGGTCAGCAATCGTCTAAAGCTATTGTTTGTCCAGTAAGACATTACTGTCCGATTCAATCGTCCATCCCACTACCATGTCAGAATGGAACTTACATGAATCATACTCAAGCTGCGGTATGCGACATTTGCCCTGCAGGATTTTACTGCTTGGGTGGAGAATTGACTGATCGATGTCCGGAAGGTTACTATTGTCCAGAAGCCACTGGCAATAACTGGCAATCTTGTCCACTAGGAACCTATAACAACGATACAGGTTTGAAAATGATAAGTGAATGTAAACCATGTCCAGGCGGTCAATACTGCAACGATTATCCTCCTGTGAATCCCAGTGGTTTGTGTGCACCAGGCTACTTCTGTGAATATGGAGAAGATAGATCAAAACCAACAGGTGGAAATATAACTTACGGTATAAACGGAAGCTGCCTACTATCTGGAATAGAAACAGGCAAAGGAGGAATATGTACACCAGGTCATTATTGTCCCGAAGGAACAATAGTTCCACTACCATGCGGAGCTGGTACTTATAGTAACAGAACTGGACTTCATCAATGTCTACAGTGTCCTGCCGGCTACTATTGCGAAGCAGGTAATTATATCGCAAAGTTTCTACCAAATCAATTTTAAATGACATAAATAATTTCCTCAGAGGCTGAAACTTATCTCGATACACCATGCCCAACTGGAAGGTACTGTCCACCTGGAACTAAAATGGCCAATGAATTCTTATGTCCAAGTAAGTTGCTATTATCAAAGTTATACTAATCTATTCTAATGTCCACATTTCAACAAATTAGTCGGTACCTTTTATAATCAAACGCATGGCAAAGAATTATCTGATTGTCTTGCTTGTACCCCTGGAATGTATTGCGAAACTACTGGCCTTCCAGCTCCAACTGGAAAATGTGCTCCAGGTAACAACTTATAAAGCTTATAATGAATAGCTTTTGTATAATTTTAAATTTCTTCCTGATAGGCTGGTACTGTACAATCAATGCTACACAAAGAATGGAAACTGTACAAGGAGGCCAGTGTCAACCAGGATTCTATTGTCCTGAAGGAACCCATAAACCTCTGGATTGCGATCCTGGAACATACTGTGAAACTGCTGGTCTTGATTCACCAACTGCTAATTGTTCAGCAGGATATTACTGTACTCTGAGAGCAATTATTCAAAATCCAACAGATGCTACCACAGGAGATATATGCCCTGTTGGACACTTCTGTCCGATAGGATCTTCAGTTGCCACCCCATGTCCAACAGGAACATTCTTGAATGCTACTGGACAGGTAAAATTTTAATTAATCGTTAAGTGCCATCTAATAATTTCATTTATATTACTTTCTTCAAAGGATGATGTCGGTGATTGTGTAGATTGTACTTTAGGAAAATACTGCCCTGGTACTGGTCGTCAACTACCAATGGATGACTGCGATCAAGGTTTCTACTGTCCTGGAAAACAAAATGTTTCCTCTCCACAAAGCTATATTTGTCCTGTTGGACATTATTGCCCAAGAGGTTCACCTGAACCAATTCGATGTCAGAACGGAACATATGAAGACAGATTTGGATCTTGGATGTGCAAGATTTGTCCTACTGGCTACTTCTGTGATAACACAATGAATATTGTTATTTTAGATAATACAACCACAATATGTCCAATGGGAAGTTACTGCCCGGACGGAACGAGTTATAAAAATGAATTCTTGTGCCCAATTGGCACATTTAACAATAGAACAGGATTAAGAGAAGAATCCGCCTGTACCCCATGTATTGGCGGCTACTATTGTCCAACGCCTGGAATGGTGACAGTAACAGATCTTTGTGATGCAGGATATTTCTGTAAACAAGGAGCCAGAATCTCCGCTCCCAATCAAGGTTTAGATGCTAACATCTGTCCAGTAGGATTCTATTGTCCTCAAGGAACTGCTGACCCTGAACCATGTCCCAAGGGAACTTATAATAATAGAACAGGTTTACAGAAACTCCAAGACTGCATCGACTGTCCATCGGGAGAATATTGTCAAGAAATTTCCATGATACAAACCAGCGGATTGTGCTCGGCAGGTTATTATTGCGAAATCAATTCAAACAGTTCTCACAGAACAATATGCCCTGCCGGTTATTATTGTCCGGAAGGTAGTCCATCTCCAACTGCCTGTCCTAGAGGAACATTTTCTACTAGTTTAGGACTTGCAAATAGTAGTCAGTGTACTCCTTGTATTCCTGGCTCTTATTGTAACGGTACAGGCTTAAACGGACCAACATCTATCTGTGATGAAGGATATTACTGTCCAGGCGGTAACTCTGAGCCAAACCCTATTGCTACACCATGTCCAATCGGTTTACATTGTCCTTCTGGATCATCAACACCCGTGCCATGCCTACCAGGAACATTTGCTAACTTCTCCCAAGCAGCTAGCTGTGCTGAATGTCCAGGTGGATTTTATTGCGTTCCCGAAGAAGTTATTCAAGGAAATTCATCAAGCGGTCATCGGCTGTGTCCGAGAGGATTTTATTGTCCCGCTGGAACTGGAAGAAACTGGACTGCTTGTCCACCTGGAACTTTCTCCAATGAGCTCGGATTAGAAGATGTGGGTCAATGTACACAATGCACAGGAGGATTCTATTGTGATACAACCAACTTAACTTCTCCAACTGGACCTTGCTCTCCTGGTTACTACTGCACTTCAGGAGTTAATGTTCCAACGCCATCTACTGGTCACCTGGGCATAGGAGGCGAATGCCCGACTGGTAATCAATGTCCTGGTACGACAGTTGTTCCAGAAAATTGTCAAGCTGGATATTATCAAGACATTACAACGCAAAGTTCATGCAAGATTTGTCCAGAAGGTTATTTCTGTGTTGCCAACTCTACAACTTATACTCATCAAATTTGTCCTTCTGGTTATTATTGTCCAACTGGTACAAGATTTAACATTCAATATCCATGCCCTCCTGGTACTTTCAATAACTTAACTGGCCAAAACAACGAAAGCGCTTGTTCACCATGCACACCTGGACACTATTGCGAAAATAACGGACAGTCGGAGGTTACTGGAAAGTGCCATGCTGGATTTTATTGCACTATAAGATCTCATCTAGCAGAACCTTCACTATCTAGTATAGGTGGCCGATGCTCTGCAGGAGAGTACTGTCCAATCGGTAGTTCAGCTCCAATTGGCTGTGATCCTGGTAAATATTGCGATGTAGCTCAAATGGAAGCACCCAGAGGACCTTGCTCACCTGGATATTATTGTATTGCTAATTCGACAACATCACAACCGACAGGCGTTAATGGCGATCAATGCTCACCGGGCAATTATTGTCCAGAGGGCAGCTTTATGGAAACTCCATGTGATCCTGGCTTCTATTTGCCAAGTTCTGGAGCGTGGAATATTTCTTTCTGCATAAAATGTACATCTGGAAAATTCTGTAATGAAAGTGGATTAGCAGCTCCAAAAGCAGATTGCAATAGAGGTTTCTTTTGCCCCGAAGAACAAAAAGTCAAAAATCCGAGTTCTTATCCATGCCCGAAAGGATATTATTGTCCAACCGGGTCTTCCACTCCAGTTATCTGTCCATCAGGATACTATCAAGATGAGGAAAATCAATGGACTTGTAAAGATTGCCCCGCAGGATATTTCTGTGACAACTCCTTGGAACCGGTGGTCAACTACACCGCATACGAATGTCCAAGAGGATTCTACTGTCCAGCAAATACAAACTCTTCCAACGAATATCCTTGCCCTGAAGGTACTTTTAATAATATAACAACTCTAGGATCTGAAAGCGAATGTCTACCTTGTATTGGCGGTTTCTATTGTCCTGGTGGAGCTATAACTTATCCATCAACTCCATGTAGTCACGGCTATTTCTGTAAGAGTGGAGCGAAAACATCAACACCAACAGAGGGATTAAATGCCAATATTTGTCCTGTAGGACATTACTGTCCCGAACAGACCGCTGAACCGATTAAATGTCCCGTTGGAACAATGAGTAATGCAGCTGGAAATAAGAACGTAACAGACTGCCAACCATGCACCAAAGGTTATTACTGCGAAGAACTTGGACAAACAGTAGTCACTGGCCCATGCTTACCAGGACATTATTGTCTAGAAGCATCAACCGTTAACAACTCAATTATCTGTCCAATAGGAAAATATTGCCCAATAGCGACTCATACTCCAATCAACTGTCCAAACGGAACTTGGTCTAACGTTACAAATCTTGAGGCTGAAAGCGATTGTACTCCATGTCCAGCCGGTTATTATTGTCAAGCAAACGGTCTAATCGAGCCAGAAGGTCTTTGCCAACAGGGATATTATTGTCCAATCGGTTCTAATGTTCCCAACCCAATCACATGTCCAATTGGTTTGCACTGTCCTGTAGGATCTCCTGAGCCAAGGTCTTGTTTGTCTGGTTATTATACAAATACAACTGGTATGAGTGTTTGTTTGGATTGCCCCCCAGGATTTTACTGTTTACCAGAAAACGTTACAGCCACAAACCCAGTTCCTGGATATCATGATTGCCCAATGGGCTACTACTGCCCGAATACCACTGGCTTAAATTGGATGCCATGTCCAAAAGGAACTTTCTCTAGACAAACAAACCTCTTTAGGGTTGAGCAATGTCAAGATTGTGCACCTGGAGTTTACTGCGACAAGGAAGCAGCTGTTAACTACACAGGCCAATGCTCTCCTGGCCACTATTGTGAAGGTGGAGTTGATAGACCTAACCCAAATAATGCTGAAGTAAATAGCACTTATCCTGCTTCATGTCCTCTCCTAGGAGGTCACACTGGTGTTGGTGATGTTTGTCCTAAGGGTTTCCATTGTCCTTTGGGCAGTGCCCTTCCTACACCCTGTCCAAGTGGGTACTATCAAGATGAAGAAGGCAAGGCAACGTGTAAAAACTGCCCTCAAGGATATTATTGTACAGTCAACAGCACAGACTTTTCCGATAAAATATGTCCATCAGGTCATTTCTGCCCTCTGAACACTAATAGTGCCTTCGAGTTCCCTTGCCCTGAAGGAACTTTCAATAGCCTAGAAAATCAAAAAAACATATCAGCCTGCAAAAATTGTACTCAAGGAAATTACTGTATGGGAACAGGATTAAGTGCACCTACAGCAAATTGCAGTGAAGGCTGGTACTGCAGAGAAAGATCGACGAAACCAATGCCAGTAGATGCAGATGAAGGAGGTGAATGTCCAACAGGTACATTCTGTCCTGGAGGATCATATGTACCAACACCCTGTACTCCTGGAAATTACTGTCATATTGCAGGACTTCACGAACCTTCAGGTCCATGTACACAAGGATATTATTGTACCTTGGGAGCATCTTTACCCAATCCAACAGATAATATCACAGGAAATATTTGTCCAATGGGCCATTATTGTAATATTGGATCCCCAGCACCAGCTCCATGTGAAATCGGATACTATTTAGACAGTACAGGAAATGATGTCGTTAGTGATTGTAAGATCTGTACTGAAGGCAAATATTGCGGAAGTGATGGTCTGTCAAACCCGACTGGAAATTGCTCCAGAGGTTTTTACTGTCCACCTGGTCAAAAAGTTAATACACCAGGTAACTACACCTGCCCAGAAGGGCATTACTGTTTAGAGGGAGTTTCTGAACCTTCTCCTTGTGCCAGTGGATATTATCAGGTAGGAAAGTAGGTTAGTCCTCATATAAGCATTACCCTTTAATTTTTTTAAAGGATCAACCAGGAAAATGGGATTGTAAAGATTGCCCACCAGGATTCTACTGCAACGCAACACTAGGTCCAGTTGTTTTTTATGGAGCATACCAGTGTCCAGAAGGTTTCTATTGTCCAAGCAGAACCGAATATGACAAGCAATACCCTTGTCCATATGGAACATTTAACAACAGAACAGGTAATAATATAGACAAGAAAGTGCTTGATTAATGTTGTATTATTAACCAAAATTTTTTCATAGGCCTAAGTCAAAAGAGTCAATGTACACCATGTATTGGAGGATATTCTTGCGACGAAGAAGGCATGGCATATCCTGAAAGACTCTGCTCATCTGCTTACTACTGTAGAACTGGCTCCAACTCAACAACACCAAATATGGGCTCTACTGCAGACTTATGTCCAGCCGGTTCTTACTGTATTGAAGGAACTGATGCTCCAGTACCCTGTCCCGAGGGAACTTATAGTCCTAATGAAGGGTTACACTCAGAGAATGAATGCTTAAACTGTACTGGAGGTTATTTCTGCAATTCAACTGGTTTAACAATGGTCAGTGGCAAATGTGAAAGTGGATTTTATTGTACCGAAAGAGCTCACCTATCAACTCAAGAGCTATGCCCAATGGGCTCCTATTGTCCCCTTGGATCTCAATATCCAACCGACTGTCCCAATGGTACATATAGTAATGCAACTGGATTGAAATCACAAGTCCAATGTACAGATTGTACCGAAGGTTATTATTGCAATGGAGTTGGTCTTGTTACTCCAAGTGGACTTTGCAAGCCTGGATACTACTGCCCTACAGGATCAGAAGTTGAGACACAAATAATATGTCCAATTGGAATGCATTGTCCTGAAGGAAGTTCAGAGCCAAAGAAATGTCTACCTGGATCATATACCGACTATAAAGGAGCAGCTACCTGCATAGAATGCCCCGAAGGATATTATTGTATTCCTGAGTTAGTTATTGCAGCTAATCTGGCATCAGTCAAACATCCTTGCCCAGAAGGCTTTTATTGTCCTAATGGAACAAGTTATAATTGGAAACCATGTCCAAGTGGAACATATAGTAATGTACAACTTCTAAGGAACGCTAAAGAATGCACACCATGCGATGCTGGCTACTATTGTGGTGGAACCAACCTTACTCAGCCAACGGATAAATGTTCAGCTGGCTACTACTGCGTTTCTGGCATAGATAGACCAAACCCAAGAATGCTAAATGAAAGCCATTGTCCAGAAGGAACTGCACATCCCATGATAGGCCATATTTGTCCAACTGGTCACCGCTGTCCAATTGGATCAATTACACCTTTGGGTTGTGCACCAGGAAAATATCAAGTAAATTTTCTTGTTATAAATATACTTTTAAGTGCTAATTAATTATAATACTATACAGAATTTGGAAGGACAAGATACCTGTTTAGACTGCCCGAAGGGTTATTACTGTTTGGCTAACACATCGCATTACCTAAATAATTCATGTCCATCGGGTAAGAAGATAAGATTAAAACATTTGGTTATTTTACCATTTTCTGCTACAAATTATATTAATTTTTTTTAGGTCACTACTGTCCCCTTAATACACCTGATCAATTTTCTAACCCATGTCCTGCGGGAACATTCAACAATAAGACAAATCAATATTCTTCATCATCTTGTTTGGCTTGCACTCCTGGATACTACTGTCAAGGAACTGGAAATACAGATCCATCTGGTAAATGTAATCCCGGTTGGTATTGTATCAATGCTTCGTCATCAGCTCAACCAGCAGACAATACTGGAGGAGAGTGTACACCAGGAAATTATTGCCCTGAGGGTTCATACGAACAGACCCCATGTACAGAAGGAAAATATTGTAACTCTTCTGGATTATCTGCACCTGTTGATTGGTGTGACGGCGGGTGGTATTGTCCCAATGGTTCTAGTTCCCCAAGAGAAATTATCTGTCCCATGGGTAGCTTCTGTCCAAGAGGAAGTAAACTGCCTGATCCATGTAGAAATGGAACATATGGAAATGCTACAGCTCTTAAAGACCAAGAAGAATGCAGAGAATGCGACCCAGGCTTTTACTGTAATGAGATTGGAGCGATAGCAGTTTCTGGTCAATGCGATAGAGGCTTTTATTGTCCACCTGGTCAAAAGACACCAACCCCATACATTTATAGATGTCCTGCAGGTCACATGTGTCAAGTAGGAACCTATATTCCACAAAGATGTCCAAATGGAGAATATCAACCTGTTGAAGGCAAATGGAGTTGTATTTCTTGTCAAGCAGGCTATTATTGCGATAATGGTCCAGCACCTATTTCATCATTAGCTAACTATACTTGTCCAGAAGGACATTATTGTCCAACAGGTACTAAAACAGCAAGACAGTATCCATGTCCTCCAGGTACATTTAACAACTTGACCAAATTGGAAAATGAGGGACAATGTCAGCCATGCTTACCAGGAAAATATTGTCAAAATAGTGGATTGTCAATGCCAGAGGGAGATTGTTTCGCAGGGTAAGCAGACATTAACTTTAGTTAAACAAATTTACATTTGGCAATATCTCAAACTTAATTTCTTAATCACAGATTCTACTGTAATGGAAGCACCATTGAACCAAATCCACCCTATGCAATCTGTCCTATAGGAAACTACTGTCCAACTGGAGTCTATGAACCAATACCTTGTCCACCAGGTTCATTAGCTCCGTCTACAGGAAATAAAAATGTTTCAGCTTGCGAGCCATGCGCTCCTGGCCATTACTGTACACCTGAAAGTAATAAAGTTGGAAAAGCTGAAGAATGTGATCCAGGATATGTCTGTATACGCAGTGCCGAAGTTCCAAAACCAACTGACGGTGTGACAGGCTACGTATGCCCAACCGGAAATTTCTGTCCAAAAGGTTCTGGTAAAGAACAACCATGTGGATTGGGAACATTTGCAGATGTTGTAGGCCTAGGTAAATATAAAAAAAACTGATACAACAAAAAAAAAGCTTAATTGTATTTAACACATATTGCATATTAATTAATGATAACAATGCACTCCACAGCAAGTTATAGTAAGTTTATCAGCTGCATCCTCAGTAACTAATTGTTTTGTAAAAACCCAAACATTTACTCTCATTCCTTAATGTTTAATTAGTAGTCGTTCGTGCAATTTATAAGAATTTTTTTTATAAAAAAAATAGTAATGGAATTATTATTTCATTGACTTTTAGGTGAATGTAAAGTTTGCTTGGCTGGAAGAACTTGCCCAGAAATGGGAATGAATATCACAAATCCCTGCCCAACCGGTCATTATTGTCCGAATGGTACTTACGATTCTGGTGTTCCATGTCCTATCGGATCTTATAATCCCCATGAGGGAATTGCCGAATCTTCCCAATGTCTAGACTGTCCTAGTGGATTATTCTGTAATCAAACTGGTATTGATACACCTTCTGGAAATTGTTCAGCTGGTTATTGGTGTGTATCTGGTGCTGAACATCCCGGACCTAATGACGGAACCAATGGACTTTGTCCAGTTGGTCATTATTGTGAAGAGGGTACTAGAAATGCAACTGCTTGTCCTCCAGGAACTCTTAATCCACAAGAAGGTGGTAAGAGCTTGTCGGATTGTAGACCATGCACAGGAGGTTACTATTGTGCCGATTATGGTATGACTATACCTTCAGGACCATGCGATAGAAGATATTACTGCCCAGCAATTGCCAACATTTCTAACCCAACACCAGTTGATTTCAAATGTATACCTGGTCACTTCTGTCTAAATGGAACAGTTCATCCCATACCATGTCCACCTGGAACTTATCAACCGAATGAACTTATGGATGCTTGTATACCTTGTCCTGCTGGAACCTATTGTTTGGCAAACACAAGCGTTCCTTTAGAATGTCCAGCATACCACTTTTGCCCAGCAGGAACAATTGAACCTCAAATATGTCCTAATGGAACATTTACAAAATCAACTATTCGCAGCCTTACTAGTGACACGCAATGTGAAATGTGCGAAACTGGAAAATATTGTGTCGATGGTAGAGAAACTGGCGATTGTGCAGCTGGATTCTGGTGTAAGAAAGGAAATTGGCAACCAACTCCCTTCTCAAATGAAACAGATTTAGCCATCGGAGAACCTTGTCCATATGGCTATTATTGCCCAACGGGAACTCTGAAACCAGTACAATGCCCAGATAATCGTTTCATAGACAAGAGCGGAGCATCACACATTGGAGAATGCGGCTACTGTCCTGCAGGAAAAATCTGCGCCATTGGTGGTATTCCAAAACCATGCTGGCCGGGCCACTTCTGCCCATATAACGATACTATTTATAAATGCAACAAAACAACATACTTGGATGAATTTGGAGGAAAGAGTCCAATGGATTGCAAAGTATGCCCAGCTGGATATTACTGCTTTAAAGAGGGAATGACCAACTATTCTGTCAGCCCTTGCCCACCAGGATTTTATTGTTACGAAGCAACATCAAGCCCAATTCCATGTCCAGCTGGAACTTACAGATCTGAAGCTGGCGCCGAAAATATAACTGAATGTACTTTATGTCCTGCCGGTTATTTCTGTCCCAATGTTAATATGACCGTAAACGGTACACAATGTGATAGAGGAATGTTCTGCCCTCCAGGAAGCAAATTACAAACGATCTGTCAAGCAGGATATTATTGTAATAGAAGTAAAACTCAACAGCCTTGTCCGCAGGGATATTATTGTGAAGCCGGATCTGAAACACCAACGAGATGCCCATACGGTCACTACTGTCCAAGAAGCTACTCATCTAATGGAAACTTAAGAGGAGCGATGACACCAATCAAGTGCCCTCTTGGATACAAGATGTATGAGGGTTCTAACAGGACCACTTTTAGCGAGACTTGTGAACCTTGCATGAAAGGATGGTATGGTAATCATCCTGAAAGAAGAGACTGCTATCCATGCAGACCAGGTGTTGTATGTAAGGAAAGGGCAATCAGTGACGTTCCTTTGAGTAACAATTCAGCATCCTTCGGAGTTAACGTTACTAGATCATATCCATGTCCAGTAGGACATTACTGTCCAAGGAATAGTTCACTACCTACTCCCTGCCCAGTTGGAACTGCTAATAAGAAACAATACCAAGGTTCTATTGATAACTGTATACCTTGTTCAAAGAATCATTTCCAACCCTATGAGGGACGTAAAGCTTGCTATTCATGCGGATCTAAAGCCACACAACCAAAGACAGGACAGCCAACTTGCATATGTAATGGAGTAGGAAGAGATTTCCAATTTTCCGACAGAGACTGCCCTTGTAAAGTTGGATATAGAGTTATGCTCGGAAGAGAAACTGACTGTGTCAAACACGTCTATGACAATTGCGTTGAAGGAGAAACAAGAACTCAAGATGGTCTGTGTTACACAGCTAAACAATGGGAAACTCATTGCACAAACAACGTATGTGGAGGAGTAGAAAAATATGCAGGTGTAGAGAAATTGATTGGCTTATGCAAATGTATTACAGAAGATATTGATGATATATGTGATCTTAATTGTCGATTGAAACAAAGAAATTCTATACAATTACATTGTCCAGAAAACTTGGCGCCATTTATTTCAGTAAAAAATCAAAATGGACAACCTCTTGCCGAGTTCAAAGTGGAAAATCTCGGAAAAGTTATTAACAGTCAAGATGCTTTTGGAGCTGATACTTGTACTAAGAAGGGAGCTGAACCGGAACCTATGCATTTACTAGAATGTTCAAGCGATGGTTTCTTCGGTATTTATGAACCTGAAGGCGAACAATTGAAGAGCTTATTCTTAAACAATTACAAGGGCATAGTTAGCTTGAATCAAACTCAAGGAGGTAAACACGGCTATACTTATTCGAGAAGAAAAAGAGATCTTATACACTCTAGGCGTAGAAGAGCGGCATCAACCCTACCTGGGTCGGTCAATTCTGGAGTTTCAAACCCAACTGTTTGCTTGAAATATGGAGAAAGAATGCTTTGGACAATCACTAAAGATCATTACCCAGTTTACGACAGAAATAATCTATTCAATACCAATGAGAAATTCGATTTCGGAGGCTTTAGAAAGTTAATAGAAAAGAAGAGTCAACTATCCTCTTCGGCTACCTTGTTTGCCTACAGATTCGTTGATCCTGGAGCGTATGCTTTCTACTTAAGTTCGAATGTCTATAAGAAAATGTACATCCGAGTTATGGCTGAAGATGCTCAGTGCACAGAAGATGGTCCATTCTTCCCTACAACACCACGATATGTTATTCAGAATGGCTTATCTATTGATCAAGATATTCTCAGAGCACCAGATTGGGTTGTCATTGTGGTTCTTTTGGCTCTGATGATAGCCGCTTTCATTATTCTTATTATTGCGCTTATCTTATTTAGGAAATATGGATGGAATAAGTCTATGTTTATTAACCCTAAATACAGAAGAGTTACGAGGAAATATAATATGGAAGACTATTCTAGTAAGGGAGCAGCTGTCAGCGCTGCTAAGAAGTATCATAGACTGGGTCTTGCTCAGGAGGATGATGACGATGATACTACTTTGGCAATTGCCGGAAAAACAACTGGTGACGAATACTGGGATTATGACAAACAAGTTGACTTGGAGGCTTTCTCATCACCTAAATTATACGAAATTCTGTCTGGTCAAAGTAGGGCAGTTACAAGAGATCTTAGCAAACAAAAGGAAGAAGCTAAGAATATGTATCAAAAGGTTAATAATCAAGTTGATTCACTTAAAGGACTGTGGTTGGCTAAATTCAATTTGGATCCAGTTAGAGCTGGTTTGGCCACACATGAAGATGTAGCTGCATACGAACTGAAATTGCATGAACTTGAAAGAGAATTAGAACGACGTAAGGATCTAGGTTCTAAATACGAAAATGTTCTCGAAAGAATTCGTGAATTACAAGATACTGATGAAGAATTAAGACTCAAACATCAAGTTGCCTTTGATAGTCTAACTAGGGAAGCCATAAGACAGATTGATCAACATGTAGAAAGACTCCAAAGAGGAAAGGTTATCAAGAGTAACGGTGAATTTGATATGAATCAGCATCAGAGCATTTTAGGCAGAATCCAATTATTAATTAGCAAAGCTGATGATGAAATAACTACTGAGTGTACCAGACTCGGAGTTAGTGGAATATTAGGTGATGGAACTGGAGCACCATTAATCGGACCAAATTCTGAACCTCTCAAGAAAAATCAATTGCTAACAGAAGAAGGATCAGTAAGAGCAAAGGATATATTATTCGAGGATCCTATAACAGGTTTGATTAAGATCAGAAAAGGTTCTAAAATGCTTACAGCCGATGGTGATATTGTTAATGTTCCAAGTAATTATGTACTTAATACGCACACTGGTAAAGTTCTTCCAATTGAAGTTGCCGCTTCATTCGACCCCGTTGCTTACAAATTGGTAGTTACAGTGGATAACATAAGCTGTGATACTCGTCACTCAGAACCACTTTTACCGTATATACCAATAACCTCTTCAACTCCTATTAAATTTAAACAACCAGAAAACCGAAGGAACTTAAGACTTGGCGAGCCAATAGAAGATCCCGAGAGCGGTCTTAACGTACCCATACTAGGCGTGACTATCCATCCAACAACTGGAGCTGTAATCCCAGTTGGTGGTGCCTTTATTGATCCTGTGACAAGATTACTAACACCAATTGAAATTGGAGCAATGATGGAAGATCCTGATAATTCAGAATCCCCAGTTCCAATTTTGGGTATAACAATTGACCAAGAGACTGGTAAAGTCTTACCTGTTGGTGGATCCCGAACCTCATCTAAGGGAATTGTACCCATTATTCCTTTCGATAATTGTATAGAAAACCTCAGCGGAAAAACAGTAAAAGTAAACGGAGCTTATGTAAGAGGAGCTCATGTTAACCCATCTCATGGTGGCATGCAAAGTCTGTACGATTCCATCTCACTTTTCTGTGAAGCTAAACTTTCTCATGCAACTGGTTCACTTGTTGATGCTCTCCAGAAAGTATCTAATATCTCTACAGGTTCCACTTTAAATATTCGTCACGAAACATCTAATTTGAAAACAATCAGTGATGATCTTGAAAAGGGAAGGAAAACTATGAAAAATTCTCTTATACGTACTTGTCTCGATTATGAAAGACGATTGGAAAAGACTCATGCCTTGGCAACTACTGGAGGTTGTCCAGGCATGTACGAACACTCCCAAACAGGTCAACTTCTCCCGATACTCGTTGGAACAAACATCAGAGATACAGGAACTGAAATGGATGTACCTATCCTTGGAATTAGACGAGAAAAAACAACTGGTAAACTGAAACCACTAGGCGGTACTCATGAAGATCCAGAGGGATCTGGCTTGGTGCCAATCCTTCTTGGACATCATGCAATAGATCCTATTAACGGAAAGCTATCAACAATATCAGGAGTTAGATTTGAAAATAAAACAAATACAGTTGTACCGGTAACAGTATCAAGTTCGAATAGGAAGCATAGAAAACCACCTCTAGGAGCACTCTCCGCCTTAGAAGATGAAATAGTGGCAAGAAAGAGCTTCTGGAGAAGACAAAGACAAAGGGAGCAAGAATTAACTGTTCAAGAACATAAACTACAAACCGAGATTATGTTCCATATACAAACCTTGAAAATCGACCAAATAGAAGGTGCACTGAATGCATTTGAAGAAAAGGCACATGATCTTTCCGAAGCTTGGAAGAGAGAGCAGAGAAGAAGAGGAGATGCCCATGGTGAAATTTCAGCTATTGTTCCACCCAATATTGTTTCTGTTTTAACTCTTAACGATGAAGAAGAACAAAAATCAGAGGAAGAACATCACAATGCTCATAAAAAGTATACCGAAACAATTAAGAAGTTATGCAGCAAATTAAGAGCCGAACACAATAAACTTAAGACTAAACTATCAGAATTAGAAGGAGCAATGAATCCACAAGCTGAACAGACTGCTCACTCGCGATTTGAACAGGCAGTTAGTAGATTACAAGGAGAATTGAAAATGCATTTATTGCAGAAAATGGAAAATTTAGACAAGAAACAATCATCTGAAGAATATTCAAGACAAAGAAGTGAAATTTTGATGAACGAAGCTAAAGCAATATTGAATGGAGATATTTTAGTCGCTGGTGAGTTTGATTGGAGTTCAGCTGGTATCTTCTCAGAAGGAGAGGGAGAAAACTCCAACGAACTACTGCCATTATTGAAACAACTATTACAAATGCTTCAAAGCGGACAACCATTCTACTTATCGTCAGATTTACTTACAACTTTGCAAGGCGGCGATGTTACTATTTACCAAGGCAATAACTTACAGGTTAATGGACAATCCGGTCATGCTACTTCGTCCAGTTCATCTGCTGCTCAAGGAACAGTCGATGGTCCTGGTAGAAGCAACGTAGTACATGCTACTCATGTACAAAGAGCTGAACAGGTTACAGGAACAGTTGATGTAAGTGCTAATACATCAGCTTTAGTCGGAACAAAAGACTTGGAAGAAGGCTCAGGAGAATCGAAAGCAAGACAAATGTTTACAAAACAATCTTACGAGGCTGCTAAATTAGAAAATGACCTCAAGAGTGACGAAATCAGAAGAATAAATGAAACTGTTCATGAATATGAGAATAAAAAGAAAGGAGCAATGACAGAAGTAGCAAGAGATCTCCAAGATAAATTACTTAAGGCTAATAGTGAGAGTGATAGAGAAAGAATTGTAGCTGAATACGGAAGACAACTTCAGAAATTGACAGATGCTCTTGAAAAACAAAAGCAAAAACAATTAGAAAAATTAAGAAGAGAATTGATAGAAAAGAGGAAGGCTGAAAAGAAACACCTTCATAGAAAACACATCGGTATGTTATTTAATTTATTTTTTTATTTAATTATAGATGACCTAATTTAAAAAAAAAAAAACACAATACTTTCTATTCTAGGTGAAGCTCAAAACTTGGGTATTCCCTTGGAATTTGTACCTCAAATATCAATGCCTCCTCATGCTCAATTGGAAGCTGATATTCAACATCTAACATACGAACAACAGAAATATCTCGCGGAACAAGAGCACGCCAATGCACAGAGCAACGAAATGACAGGTACTGAAGGATTAGGAGTTTCCAGTGCAGAAATAGACGCTTATGTCGCAACATTAGATCTAGATCCAACTCAACAGGCTCAAATGGCAGAAACATTGAAAACGATGAACGAAAGAGCTCAGGAAAGAGGAACTAAATTGAAATCTTTACTCAAATCTAGAAAGGGAAGAAACAAGGAAAGACCAGTAGACGTTGATGGCTTATCGGACGATGACAAGAAAAATCTTCTCACAGCTACTTCAGCCCAAGTTGGTGCTGATAGAATTAATGAAGATAATGCTCTATTAAACGGATTGAGAGGAGCTCACTTAGAAGAACAAAGAAAGGCCGAAGAAGAAACTTTACGTAAAACAATGAAAGGTGTATCAGAAAGTGATATAAGAAAGATCTTGGAAGAATTAGATAGGCATAGAGTACAAGCTAAGGTTCTAGCTGATAGAAATCAAGTAAGCCAGAGAGATGCCCTCTTGGCAAGATTGGAAGCTAAGAGAAGGATAAAGGAAGAACTATTGAAAGAGGGATCTGTCTCTGAGGAATTAGACCATATCGTTAAGAAACAAGCTGAGAAATACGATCAAGAAACTGAAGAAATCGTTACTGATGTTGTCGGAAATCTTAAAAACGCCTATGATAGTAAAGATAGAAAAAATCTTCATCTCGAACAAGAACAATTACAAGCTGAAATGGATGTCAAATATAGACAAAAAGTGAGGGAAATGGAGGAAAATCTAGAAGAAGAGGAAGCTAAAGAAGCGAGAGAAACTGAAAACCAACTGGAAGATCAAAAGAGATTGGCAATAGACGCCAAAAAGAGTACCTTTGATAGGGAAATGTTGCTACACGGAAAGGGATTGAGCGACGAAGAATTCCAGAAAATGATGAAAAAACACGAAAAGGAATTAAATCGCTTGAAAAATCTATTTGACTGCGAAAAAGTTCGTCAGAGGAAAGCTTTGGAGAGGAAGATTGCTGAAAGAAAGAAGACAAGAGGTGAGAGGCTGAAAGAGGATTATAAACTATCTCTTAGCAAGGAACTTAGCGCCCAACAAACAGAAAGAGACAAAGCACATAATGATGCTGCAAAGGCTATCGAAGAAAAACTTCTCAAGGAAAAACTAAAAGATAATGACGATGCCGAAAACCTCGTTTACACTGTACTAAGACAGAGACATATGAGAGATGCTGTTCATCTCGAGGAGAGACTAGCTAGAGAGAAAGAAGCAGCAATTGCCGAAGCTAAAGCTCTTGTTGCTCAGCGTAGAGCAGAAGATCGTGAAAAGCTTGAAAATGCACATGAAAAGGAACTGACAGAACTTGTTGCAAATAACATTTCAATGTCTGGCGCCGAACTCCAGCAAAAGATTGATGAATTGAACAAAAAGTACAAACAACAAATGAGAGAATACGATTCCTTAACCGACAAAATGGTATTAACAGCTGGAAGTGATGTTGAACCTCAAATTGAAATAGACCAAACTAATGCTAGGTTGGCTCTAAAAGAAAAACACTTGAGAGAAATTGCCAATGCTATGAAAAAGATTGATTTGGAAGCAAATATCAGAGCAGAATATGAAGCAGCTGCCAGAGAAGCTGAGGAAGAGGCAAAACGTTTCAGAGAAAGTACTTTTGTTAAATTACAAAAGGAATTAGAACAACAAAAAGCAGAAGCTAGAAGAAAGGATGAAGAAAAACGATTAGAGATTGAAAAACAGATGAAGGACATCGAAAGTCAATTGGCTCTTGAGTTACAGAAGGAAGCTGAAGAAATAATGAAGAGAGAAGCTGAAAGAGAAGAAACTAGAAGGAGACAACTCGAAGAAAAAGCCATGCAAGAACGTCAAGCAATTATATCGGCTAATGTTAGTGAAGATGAACGTAAAAAGCTACTTGAAGACCATGATAAGAATTTGGAAAGATTGAATTCCACTCTTCTAACAGAGAAGGAGAAGGTTGCTTCGGCTCTGAATGGTAAGTTACTGAAATTATAATCCTATATTTAATACAAAAATTAAAATTCATTTTTTCAATATTAGCCAAACTGGAAGCAAGAAGAAAGGCAAAAGAAGAACTTGAAAAGGCTAAAGTTGAAAAGAATGCCATATTAGGAGAGGAAAATCAAAATTATCAGAATCTACAAACTTCCCTGCAACGACAAACAGAAATCAACCAACAGAAAGACGCAAAGGCTAAAACTGCAGGAACACAACAATCTATGCCAATACCAAAATCATCCGGTATGGAACAAGATTGGATGAACATGTTACTCGCTTCTCCTCTATTCCAACAAATTAGCGAATTAGAACAAATTCTTGACAAGAATTCTGGTAATGCTGCAAACTTTGTCCAAGGAGGTGATTATTCACAGGCCTATATTGACGTTAAAGATGCCCAATGGACTTGTGGAGGAAAACTTAAAACAACTGATATTTCTAACATTTCTCCTGCTCATTTCGTTCTTTATCGTTTCGGAGTTTTCGTCGTTAAACTACTCAATCATACTATTCAGACACCTCAAGTTACACTCATGTTGGCGTCTAACCTACCAAAGAACAATTACGATCAGAACTGCTTCAGAAATTCATTCTTCTACGAAAGGGCTAATAACATCCTCTACGTAAGACAAGAACGTCTTGAGTCAGTAGGAGATTTTGTTCTCCTATTGGTGCATGCACTGGCTCACATAAATTGCGATGAATTGAGCAGCGACAACAATCCTCTATTCTTGAGAACTTTCTACAGAGGTTTGAGAGTCGTTTGTCAAGATATGTTCTTCTCTCGATCGCGTACATCCGAAACTTCGCTAAGAATGATGACATCAACCGGACCAGGAGGAAGAGCAGCTTTGGAACACGCCTTTAAACTAACGAATATCGCTCCATTGAAGGTTAACGTTACAGAAGAATTAATTGAACAGAGAATCATCGAGGGATCTAACTCAACCGACTTGGAGAAGGAAGCCGATATATTGAAGATGAAGATGTTAATTCAGTCTTCAAGCGGAGATTCTCAAACAAACATTATTGAAGCTAAAATGGCCTCCTTAAAGGGACAAGAACCACCGAAAGTCCTATCTGGATCAGATTCGAAGAAGAGCGTCCAACAAATTAATTCTAGCGCAGAATTCCTTCAGAGTCAGATAACCGATCTACAAGGCAAAATTGATACAATTAATGAACAGATGGCTGAGGTGAGAATTCTATACAATACGTGTTTAATGACAAACAATTAATGAATATTTATATTATTATTCTAGCAAATGTCGCAAGAAATCCAATACAGAGAAGGCGTAAAAGTTGCTAAATCAGGCAGCGATAAAGACCAACTAAACGAAATAGAGAAACAATTGAATGAATGTATAGGCAGAAGAGAAGGAACTCAACAGCAATTGAAAATACTTGAAACCCAATTGCAAGAGAAATTTTCTCAGCTGAAAAAATTTGGAAAATGAACTTTGACCTTTCCCCGGAATTATTAATTTAATCTTTGTGTGACTATCTTTCCCTTCCAAAACATAATCCTTGTCTTCCAAAACAGAAATCAAAAGAATTACGTTTTTATAACTCTTTTTAAACATTTTCTAAAGTATGTTTATCTTGTATCTTTTGTCTATCTTATAGTTTTTTCCTCAATAGTTTCGGCAGGACCGAAGACAGTCCTATTTTTTATTTAAATAAAAGTGTGATATCTATCATAAAACTGCATAAAAAACAGAGTTCAGACCTATATTTTTGATAGCAAGAAACATAGATTAACCTTGTCGCAGAAGTTTATATTCTATATAGGCTTTAATCAATAATATATATAAGCCAAAAATGTGTTAAAAACAATATTTCTATTTGATACTGAATCATAATGAAACAATAGAAATCTAGATGGCAATACTGGTACCAAGAGAAATCTAAAAAAAAAGTCTTGGACGTAATTGAATATTGCTCAATTTCTTTTAAGAGGACTTGTATATACTGATTACCAGTTTGCAACAATTCTAAGACGTTAGCGAAGGTTCTATTTAATTATTAAATTTAAAAAAGATGAATAGAGAAGAGAAAGTTGAGCGAAATTTGGGTAAAAATAGAAAATTGCCCGATTGGATGGTAAAATCAATTGTAAATAGAATTTATATAAATTTCTTTTTCCCTTTTTATCATTCCCTTCTCAGTGTTTTAACGGTTTCATCATTTCAATATAAATATATAACAAAATCTTTCTTCCAACCCTTCACGCCTCTCCGACCTAACCGTTTCTCCTCAATAAAAGAATACGAGTGATAAAATTGTCTTATCGCCTATGAAGCTTCCTTGTTCGCCAGTTTACTCTTTTGACAGTAGCGATTGTTCGAATATTTGTGAACACTTGTTAGAAAGGACAGAAGCTTGTAAAAACAAAACAATTGCCGGATTTGATATAGAATGGGTTGTTAACTACAAACCAGGTCAACAATGTAAAGTTGCAACTATTCAGCTATGTTTTGAATTAGAAGATTCTAAAATAGACTGTTACGTCTTTCAAATTACTCCAATGCAGGGTATACTGTATATATTATATATATATATATATAATAGTATATGCATCTTTGCAATCTGTTCTAATCTTAAATGCTATTTAAAACAGATCTTCCTATTCTGCTCTGGAAGCTCATAAAAAGTAATAATTTACAGTTAGTAGGCTTAGGTATTAACAAGTAAGCGTTATATATACTATATATATATATATTCATACTTGAATGATAAGAAAAAACACGATTTTTCAGTGATTTTATGAAACTATGTAGAGATTATGCAAAAGAATACTCAAGAGAATTTTCCCTAAAACTTATAGATTTAAGTGAATTTGCCAATCAGAAATTAAATTGCCATGAACGCTGGAGTCTGCAGAGTCTTTGCCTTAATTTATTTCAAAAGAACTTGGTTAAGGATGACAAAATTCGAATGAGCAATTGGTCTAATTGTCCTTTAACTAAACAGCAAATTGACTACGCAGCTCTTGATTCTTATGTTAGTATATAAATAATCATTGCCTAATATTTATTGTATTTTTTAACTATTTTGCTATTTTTTTAGGTTAGTTTATTAATGTTTAAGAAACTGTATAACTTAAAATAGAGGGTAAATAGAATGGAAAATTACAGATTCTTTTTATTGTGACGTGACGATACTGTACTGTACTGGTTTTATGAATTGTACTTTGTATAACTACCTTATCTGATTTCTCTCAATTATAAATAAACACAAAAGTCACATAGTACTAATAATAATAATAATAAAAAAGCCAGTAAAATTTTCATTAATTCATATTAATAACAAAATATTAAACAGATTTTTGATATTCCTGGCTTTTTATCATTGAAATTTAAATAATTTATTATTTTCTCCTTAAAAAACAAAGATGAAGAGAGAAGAAGTGGAAGAACAGTAGGTTTAATGATTATATGGATAGTGATAAAGAGGTAATGAATATTTATGATTCAATGGAAGAGTTTCAATAAGTTTATATACTTGTATATTATATATATATATATTCACTATATATTGAATGAATCAGATATCACCTTTTTCAAATTTGTATACATTTATATATATATATATATACAACTTTTGAGGATTATGACTGAAATACATCCTGCTTCATCTCTTCCTAGGCAAGATGAAAAAGATATATCGGTAACTATAGTATATGTACAACATAAAGTGAGTGTTCTTCTAATATTCTTTTCATATTCAATATACTCTTTAGATTATTAGTGACCATGGAAGTGTAACGAAATCGGCAGAGAAGCCGGAACAAGACGAAGATAGTAGAGATAATTGGACAGGTAGATTTGATTTTCTACTGTCATGTTTAGGATATGCTGTTGGACTTGGCAACGTTTGGCGTTTTCCCTATAAATGTTATGAAAATGGTGGAGGTTCTGTGTGAAATATGAAATAGGTTTCAGATTGAATTTTATCAATACAATGATCATTTTTTAGGCGCTTTCTTTATTCCTTACTTGATAATGATGGTTTTTGTCGGTATGCCACTATTCTTTTTGGAACTCGGTTTGGGTCAATTTACTAGTAGTGGACCCACTACGTGTTGGAAATATTGTCCCATTTTTGGGGGAATTGGATTAGGAATGGTAGCAGTATCAGCGATGATTGGAATTTACTATAATATGATAATAGCTTGGGCAGGCTACTATTTGGTTATGTCATTTACAAAAATACCAAATTTACCTTGGGATAACTGCGATAATTCCTGGAATAGTGACGGTATGTGAATATTTTACAAGATATTTTCAGAAATGACTACCAATACATTGATATAAAAGAATAATAAATACCGTTTCATAAATTGATGTTTATAGAATGTTTTGACCGAATAAATCCGTGTATAAACCTAACAAAGAATGATAACGGACGATGCGAAACGCTGAATGGAGTGAAAGTAGGTTTTTGGAATATTTCATTAGCCAAAAAAGCGGGAATTAATTTGAAATTTGCAAGCGAAGAATATTATTAGTAAGGCTATATTGTATCTCGACCGTCTCTCTTTCTTTCGAATACTCAGATATCCTCCTTTCTTCTTTCTTTCTCTATTTTCGTTATCTATTTAAATACATTTCACGTTTGTTTTAGTGGGAATATCTTGGAAATGTCTTCAGGAATAGACTCTTTAGGAAAATTAAAATGGCAATTAGTACTAAGTTTATTTCTTGCATGGGTTTTAGTATTTTTTTGTCTATGTAAGGGCGTTAAATCTTCTGGAAAAGTTGTATATGTCACAGCAATAGCACCATATATTGTTTTAATAATACTTTTTGGCAAGGGAATGACTTTAGATGGTATGGGAAATGGCGTAAAATTCTATGTAACACCCAAATGGGAGAAATTAAAAGAGGCTAAAGTTTGGTACGATGCTGCGAGTCAAATATTCTTTTCTCTGGCTACATGTTGGGGTGGTTTAATAACACTATCAAGTTATAATAAATTTAAAAATAACGTATTATCCGATACGTTAGTTGTAACTATTGGAAATAGTTTAACAAGTATATTCGCAGGTTTCTAAATAGCTTTCTAGTTCTATATGTTTAACTATTAATATGAACATCTAGTTAACTGTAGTATCTTTTCTTTAGGGTTTGTTATATTTGCTTATCTCGGTCACATGGCTCATAGAATAGACAGGCCAGTTGACGAAGTTGTCGATGGAGGTTTGTATTATAAGACAAATCAGCTAAATACACGATATATATATATGTACGAATGCAGGAACTGGATTGGCTTTTATTGTTTATCCGTTTGCTGTAACCGAATTGCCAGGCTCTGTTTTTTGGGCCATTGCCTTTTTCTTTATGCTTATCCTTTTAGGATTAGATTCACAGGTATATCTGCCTATTTCTCCTATCATTTAACACTAATATTATTTTATATGGTTACTGTCAACCTAATGCCTATAAATTACTATTACGTAACACATCTGCATAATGAATACACTTACGGGTGTAACATGTAGTATAGGATAGTATAGTTTACGTATAATATCTAATATTTTATAATTCCTATTAGTTTGCTCTGTTGGAGACAATAACTACATCGATTCAAGATCAGCTTCCAAACTTCTTCAAAGGAAAGAAGAAAACATTTCTTATCATGTTTATATCGCTTTTGCTCTTCCTAGTTGGCCTATTTTTGTGTACTCAGGTAAAAATTGATTAGGAAAAAGGTTTGATTAGCGCAATAAAATAAAATAAAATATTCTCTTTGAAGGGAGGACCTTATATATTGGAACTATTGAATACCTATGTAGGTGGGTGGTCAATTATTACTTTAGGTATTTGTGAAACATCATCTTTAATGTATATATACAAATGGAAAAAATTCTCGAACGACTTACACGTCATGTTGGGGAAAAAACCTTGGATATGGTGGAGAATAATGTGGAGTTTTGTCACTCCTGCAATTATGTTGGTAAGTAATATATGAAAAAAAAGATTATTAGGATTTTTATACCATTTATAGCTTGTATAATATCGGCAGTTTGTTATGATTTTCTCGTTTATCGACTATTCTGGAGCTAAATTTGGCAGTTATATTTATCCTAATTGGGCGAATGGTGTTGGTTGGTGCCTTACAGCTATAGTTGTTGTACTAGTGCCAGCTTACGCCATCTACTTTTTAGTAAGATTGGATGAAAGGAATCTTTTAGAGGTAGATTAAAACAATGTTTACTGAAATTTAAAGTCACATGAATAGCTAATAACTAACCAATTAATTAATTAATTAATTAATTAATTAATTACTATCTCCCAGCAGCTATTGTTTTGTTTTTTTTTAAAGTCTATTAATTGTTTACTACTCATTTCTCTAGAAATTGAAAGTGTCCATCAGACCAACTAAAGACTGGGGTCCACGTTTGAACGAGAACAGACGTGCAGCAGGTTATGATCCCATCGAAGTAAATGATACAGTTTTATCGTCTCCCACAGAAGATAATTATCAAGAAGCGGTAATTGACTATTTAATAATCTATCATTAAACACTTATAATATAGTTTAACTATGTTTATACTATAAGTATAAATATAACGATACAAGGCATATTATTAAACATGGGATATTCTATATTTATCTTAATGAAAAAGCAAATTATTCTTCTCTATTAATATAAATGTTTATAAAAATAATTTAACAAGAATAAAATGCTCTGCCATTTTTTTTTTATCAGAATGAAGACGTAAGAGAATCGAAAATTGGACCATCATTCACAAATCCAAGTTATATCAATGAAACTTATTTATAATGTGTACTTGAAGTATTTTATTATATATAATATATTGTATATCAATTGAAAATTGAAATATTCAAGTAAATTCATTTCTTTATCTTCTATTTTTAGTTCTAAATATCATATCATTAGTTTTGTATGATTAATGAACACGAAATATTATTAATGATGTATTTTATGTACCTGTTAAATTAACTGGTATGCTTTAATAAAGTTTATACAGATTAAATTGCCTACAGCTGCAAATTTCTACGTTGGTATATAGTTTCTAATAAAATAGACATTCCTAAAAATCTTTATATATTTTCATTTCAACTTTGCATTTATCTTAGTACAAATCAATTTTGTTTCTCATATAATAAATATACATTTTACGTTGATGATAAATTTATGATGTTTAAAAAAGAAACATCATTTTTCTTTTTCCTTCCTTGACTGTTTTCTCTTCTTTTCTCTTTTAATCCTTTCATCGTTTATCCTAAGTAATTAGTAACGATGTTATCGATAGTAATAACTTAACGAGATAGATGTTATTCATTATTTTTATTAGTAGCGTAACGCGTACTCTCCTCCTCTACTTCTCTCTCTCTCTCTGCCTCCGTCTCTTTTGATTAACAATCCAAAGAAATAGTTTATTGGATTAGAAGAGAAATTTACTTGGTACAATTACTACATAATGTTAAAATTCTTACTAAAATGTACATTAAGAGTTTGGAGACTGCACTCAGATATAGCAATTCCAGCTCTTTCTATTCCTAGATAATAGCATAAGTGATTTTATAAGTAGAAATATGATAATTACTATTACTTAATTAATATTTTTAATTATCTATGTCATTAGTTTTTCACTGTTGTGATTATCATATTTAATATACTGTGTACTAATACATAAATGTGAATTGCTGCTTAAGATTTGTATCTCTTATGTAGGTCTTAATCTTTTCTTCTTTCAAATCCTAAGTGGAAGAAGGAGAAAAATCATAAGATTACATTGATTTATTATAAAACTGTTTGGTTATGTTTGTTTCTTTTTCTATTGTCTATCCATTTCTTTTATACATTAGTCTACCTAAGTGTTTTAACATATTTCTTCTTTTTCAACAACCGTTAACCAATCCAAATGAAAATCTTTTCTTTTCTAGTAAAATAATAATAGTTCAATATTAAATATCGTTTGTCTAGCATTTAATTTATCGATATAATTATTATTTAATCCGATAACAGGAAGAAGTTTATTACAACAACACCATACAATGTAAAGCTTCTTATTTAATACTCTATATTATTTTTTGGTAGTTTACTAGTTCAAATTGGACACATTAACTAAAAAAATAAACTATTTAAATTATATATACAGTGTATTAAGTATCTAACTTTGCAGGAACTTTCGCTTTTTCGGACACAATAGGCTTAAATAAATACTATATGTTAGTATTATGTTATAATTGTAAGAAATCTAATCTACACTCTTTTATACTTACTAATTAATTTTTTATATTAAATTTTAAGGAATAAGGGAGAAAATACCGAAAAAAAGAAAATACGTTTTGTTCCTATAAAACAAAAATATTTGTCTCTTTATTCAAATAAGAGAATTAGAATAATGTAATAATTATTAATTAAACCTATATTATAATTGTTATATAATTATTCTAACAATATTAATGATTATTAATCATTTTTAAGTACTAATAAACTATTGACATTTGACGCTAGAAATTCCTTTCTCTTTTTAATGTACAGGTGGTGTTTTAGCTCTATAATCAACTCGGCTTCCATGCAACCCGAATAATCAATAATACTTTTATTGATCGTATACGCGCAGATGCAGGGTTCTGTTTATTCATTCATCATCGTAACTTCTAACTAGAATGAACTTGACTAGGTTGGTATCTATGATTTGTTCTTTAGGGTAAACAAAATATTATCAATTTTCTAAATAAATAAACAGTTGTAATGTTTAAATATTGTGCATATTTGAAATAATATAATAATATATAGAGATATATACTGTAATAACTTTTCTCTATTTGATAAACAGCGCAGCTACCCTGTTAAATACGACATTGAAAACAACAACGAACGCTCCCATTCAAACAACATTGCCATATTACACTTACGCAAATGCCGAATTTGAAGTATTGTTACCTTGTATTTTCGGAATATTCGTTGTTATGTCTTTAAGTAAGGTCTAAGATCTAATAAGTAGTATTCATAAACTATCTTCCTGGTATTTTTTAATAGCACTTATGATGTTTTACTCGAAAGAAATGAAAGGAATAGTTTTTATATCAAAGAAGGAAGAAGAGATGGATGGAAATATAAACGAAAATGAAACGGTTGACTATGATGGGTAATGGAGTAATGTTAAATCTTTTAGTAAGCTAAAGAAAAAAAATTTTCATCATCTTTTCAGAGCGGTAAAAGTCAAACCAAAGAAATGGCAGCTACCCTTCCATCTGTTTCACGCTAAGAAAAGAGATAATTTATATTAGAAATGATGAAATATTTAATATTTTCTTTTCGCAAGTCAAAAACCTTTAAACAAGCCACAAAACGAATAAAGGAGGAGTTTCTATTTGGCACAAACGAATTGATAAGCACGAAATATAGAATATTATTATCAATTATCTTTATTTTTTTTCATTATTGCTTAAAAAGCCTTTGACTTTAAAAGTATTCTATTGTTGAGAACTTGCGCAGACGGACAGGTAAAGTTTAAAGATGTATTATGCCTCTCTAATTTGAATGTCATCCAGGTTACTGTAAACTATTAACGATTACATAACTTAACATTTTTTATAAAAGAAACTTCAACGTCATTAGTGTTTTAAATAGATTTTATTTATTATTAAACGAAAAAATAGAGAAATATCTCAGTATTGAAAAATCATTACAAAATATGTCAAGTTTTACATTTGAAACATGATACCTTGGTTTAATTATTAATATGTTCATGTTTCCATTCAATACTATCTTTAACTTGCTTTCTTTTCGTAAATTAATAAACTATTCATATGCAGAGATATATGTATATACTGTATATAGTATGTATCATATCTATCTTCTTCGTATATTCATTTAACTCATTAAAAAATAGTTTGCACGCCAAAGAATACAGAAAAAGATATAAAAAATAGATTAGATTGTGTGTTTGCGAAATGTGTATAAGTTATATAATTTAAAAACGCTTGAGAAAGATTTGTTTATTCTAGGAGGATATCCTTTATTGTAAAGATGAGTAGGAATTAGCTCTGAAAGTATCAAAATAACGATATATAATATGTAATCTAAATTATTATGTAACAAACTTACTCTCTTAATTTTTTTACCATCATCAAAATGACAATAACTAGTATAACTATAACTATTCCCATTGGAATTGCAATTGCAGCAGCAACAGTTTTAACTGAGTGATGGAGATAAAAGATAAATCAATAAAAATTTCATCTTTTCTTGGTATTTTTAACAGTAGAATTTATTCTAAATACTTACCAGATACTCCAGCTTTTGTTGGTTCTGGTTTTTTTGTTGATTTTCCTGTGTATGGATGTCCAGTGCTTGTTTTTGATCCACTAGTGGTTTTCGGGACCGTAGTTGTTTCTGGTACTTTAGTCGTGGTTTTCGGTACTTTAGTTGTAGTTTTCGGTACTTTAGTCGTAGTTTTCGATCCCGTAGTTGTTTCTGGTGCTTTAGTCGTGGTTTTCGGTACTTTAGTCGTAGTTTTCGATCCCGTAGTTGTTTCTGGTGCTTTAGTCGTGGTTTTCGGTACTTTAGTCGTAGTTTTCGATCCCGTAGTTGTTTCTGGTGCTTTAGTCGTGGTTTTCGGTACTTTAGTCGTAGTTTTCGATCCTGTAGTTGTTTCTGGTGCTTCAGTCGTGGTTTTCGGTGTTGTGATCGACGACTTTGGTGCATTACTAGTGTTGCCTATTTGGAAAATTCCCGGTTCAAATTAAATGATCTTTAAATACATATATATATAAATTTATATATACTAATATATATATATTATTAGCTTACCAGTTGTAATGGTGACAAGCAAAAGTAGAGCTGAAATGGAAAAGACAACATTATAATTAGAAAAATTGTCCGTCTACTCTTTAACAGCTTCATCTATTTTTTACAGATTTCAAGTAATATATATATATTTTAACAAATTTGAAGATATTTAATAATAATTGTAACTAATCCATACAACAAATTATCACAAGAGATTTCATGGTTTTTCACGTAGTCTCTGTTAGCTATAATGTCTACAAAATGTCGGTAGGGAAATCACGTGATGTCATGTGACCGTAGACAGACACCCTATCTAGGTTATGATAGAATACAGATCAATACTTTATTTTACCTTAACATTGATAGCCTATTGTCAAATGACTTTGTTAATGATGATAAAAATTGAGAAAATATTTGCCTAATTGAATATGTAATGCATGTTTTAAAGATTCAAGTGGACTTTGATAAGCAATTGTAGCCTATTACGCAACACACCCCTCTTTTTACGCAAAGATACGCCCCCTATCTATATATAGAATGATTAGAATTTATTGTACTCTTTATATAGGCTTTAAAAAATAGCCTAATATGCTTTTTCATGTAAGACTTTGCCAATTAAAAAAAAGAAATTTAATATGTAAAAGCAGCTAGTAATGCAGGTTTTGAAAAGATATATATATACATTATATATATATATATATATATATAGAGAGAGAGAGAGAGAAAGAGAGTTTAGAAAAGGGATTTATAAGATTGCGCAAAGAATTGAACATATTTATTCGTTAACCTCTTCTTAGTTTGTTTTATTTAATATATGAGTAAAAAAACAAAAATATGCTCTAATTCAAGTCCTAATTGATTCGTTTTTTCTATATATCATATTAAAAGAAAGCTGAAATCAATGATTCTTTGCATGTCATCTTATTGAAATATGAAAGCCTCTTTTAAAGGGAATTAAAGTCAAATATATATATATATAAAATGAGAGAGAGACAGAGAGAAGTGCAAGTAAGAGAAATATAGATATGTATTATAATGAATAGGTATGTCTTTATCTGCAATAAATGAACAGCAATAATAAACAATGAAGTTGTTAGTTTGTAATTAAATTTGTCCGTTTTGATATAAAATTATAAACCTTTCCATTTAATAAGACAGTATTAGACCTATATTATTTTATTATAATAAGAGATGCAGTGAACAATAGATATTAATACATTTAACTAAATTATATATCTGATTAATATTCAAAATTGTTTCATTGTTAAATACAATATTTCATTTTAAAATGAAAGAGAGATTATATAATAAAAAGCTATGATACTTGTAGAAAAAAATACTATATACTGTATTATTGTATCCTATTTTCATCCCTTCCTTTTCCCATTCACCCTACCCTTACCTATTTTTTACTTTCTAAATTGCGTGACTTCTTTCTGACGACCGCCCTCTTTCGTTAATGTTTTTTTTAGCTCTTAAGTTCTCCTATCCTCTCTTTACAAAAAAAAGGGAACGAGAGAATTCTATCCCTATTTTTTTTTTACCATAGGATATGTAAACGCTCTTTGAATTTTGATTTTATCTTATTCATTTCCAAGAAAATCGCGCTTTCACGGAACAGATATAACAATAGTCTTATAATAAACAAACGGAGCGGTACACCGTCTTTGTAGACTTCGTTAATTCTTTTAGTGAATTAGTGGATTATAAAACTGTTCCGGGTCCCATCAATGCTCGCGTGTCAAAGCTAGATCTTCTGGAACCGTCTAAGGTGTTAGTTAAACTCTTCGCTCTATCTCTCCTTCTCTGATTCTCGGAAGGTTCTTGGACTACTAAGAATTGAGAACTCTCGCCGGAGGGTCCTGTCGCCATAATAACTGGATATGCAGAAGCTCTTCTAGCCTGTAATTCTCTGTGGCAAGGGGCGTCGCCCAGTCTGAGTGTTCCTCTTGTTAAAGGAAGGCTCCTTAAGGCGTCATGAAGTTGCGAATGACCAACTACACCCTCTGATGAAAGTATGCTTCCCTTCCTACTAGTATTTGCACTCGATCGGCGACTATCACACACCTTAAGGAATTTTTGAACTGTATTAGCTTGTAAGGGTTCGCTTCCAATTACAATATTTGCAACAATCTCCTTTTCGGATGCGGTCCATCCAGAGGGCGTTATCGTAAACTAGAGTGTGATAAAGTATTACTTTAATAGAATGAAATAAGTAGCAGAAAACATTATAAACCACTTACAACTACTGAATACTGAATGTGAATGTTTTTACATTTCGTAGATACAGGTACTTTAGGAATAGGAAGAGCTTCATTTTCCCATACTTCCGTTTTCCTAGCTCCAGTTTCTCCCTTCGATAAGGATGATATAACCGTATTTATTCTTTTGATTCTATCGTCGGCACGATACTTGACAGTCTAAAAACAAGATTAAGATAATCAATTAAATTAATAATGATAACAAGTATAAGTCTACAGAATATTTAAATATTTACTATTATATTGAGATGATACAGCATTAAATACAAGTATAAATATAGAACATCTATACAAAAAATAGGAATAAATTTTGAGTTTGGCAGCAAACAAACCTGGATTAGTGCTACCCTCGACGATACCAACTTCCTACTTGATCCATTAATTATCTCTACATGAATTGGAATTATCTCGCCGCATACGAAACCCTTTCTGGCAACCCGAAATTCTATAGTTACAGCACCAACGTTACAACAGCATCTGCTCACTTCAAATTCAATTTTCGAGCCGACAGGTCTCTGTTTATTAATAGAGTGCAGTTGAATTAGGCCTATGAATAATAAGTTTATTATCATCTAGATAGGAGGTAGTAAGGCTGTAAGTGTTAAATGCATTTCTTTTACCTTTGGGAATTATACTATGACTTTAAGACTATAATGGATTATATTTGTTGCTCTTACCAATATTTCATTCTCGTCGTTAAGGTCGAAATATCCGTTGACTGTGAATTCTTTATCTTTAATTATACTATTTTTCCACGCTTTTTCCACTGTAGCTGTCATAACATAATGGATATTTCCCCATTTTCCATTGAACGATGGTGGTAGGGATTTCGATAGATCAAATTTAAATGGAAATTTGTTCTTCCCTATCCTCAATATTCCATCTTGAGAATCTTTAACAAAACAGTCAGTTGAGTAAGATGTAATTAACGATAATGCTTTTAGTAAAGAGTAACTCTTTAAAGTTAATTAATCTGTTAATTATGCAAGAAAAATAGTAATTTAAATGAGTAGTTTTTCTTCTTCTGCTACACTATTCATCCCTTGACGAATGAAATAATTGAAGGAGAATGAAAACAACAAGATATGAAACTCTAGAAAATGGACTTTTTATTGACATCTTCACGGAAAATTAATACGAGAAAAATAGAATAACCATGAAAGTTTGTTTTAAAAGGTTTAACGAATCTGAAAGTGTTTTGACATTTGATCCCAAGTATTGATACAGCTGCCTTGTTTTCCAATAAGGTTTTAAGATTGTTTCCTAAGTTTATAGCTATTTTTCTTACGTAATTTGATTATTATATTTTTTATCTTTACCGCTATTCCTTAAAACTAGTTCATGATCAACTAGTACTTGATAATTCTTCACGGAAACCGAAGATGAAGTAGCTTTCGTATAAGATTTCTGAACACTCCAGGAAACTCGAGCCGTACCGTAAATCTTCAATTTGACAGCTGCAAATAAAAAGTAAAAAAAAAAAGAGAATGAGAGATAAACGATTTATTAGGTGCAGATAATCATTGAAAAAAAAGGTACTTAAAAAAAACCGTCTAATCAACGACTGAGATAAAAAGTTACTTAAAATAATCCATCAACAGCATTTGACCTTTAGCTATAGCAGTAGGTAATAAGTAAAAAGGAGAAGGAAAAAAGGCAAAAATTGCAGAAGTTTTGCAGCTGCTATTTACACATTCTAAAGCGAAGTCTAAAGTGATTTGTGCCGCTGTTGCAACTGATGACCTATAATCATATAGAATTATTGATTTCGTTGGTTACGACTTTCACTGTCCAGTTTGTATGATTTGATTATGATAATCTTTTCCTAAAAATATTTGTCAAACTAGCATATATTCAGTTTGGCGAAGGAATCTATGATGAATCAAGGGTTATTGTAGATAACGAGCAGAATTCTAACAATCTTTCCACTTATTGCTGATTGAATGTTGACCTTGTTATGTTTGACTTTTACTAGATATTTTTACTTTATTTCTATGAAATACTACTTTCTTGTACGAATTTAATTACAATAATTACATTTCTCTTCAACAAACCAACTTTTAAAATTTATTCAAATTTATTCAAATTGAATACATTATTCAAGTTTTATGATATTCTAATATTTATTAATTATTTATAAGTTATAGTTGCGTTATTTTAGCCTTATTTTCCCAAAATCTAGTGTTTGACTTTACATTTAATTAACATTGATTTTTGAGGAAAAGACTTTCTTGGAAGAAGAGAAAAAAGAATTAGAAAATGAGAAGGAATGATATAGTTCAACTTGTCAAAGAAGTAGGAAATCCTTGTCGCATAGCGAAATATACGTGAGATTATAAATTTTTTGTAGTGTTTAAATGTAAAGTTTAAGAGATTTTACTACTTTGCCTTTTATAATGAGTCATTTTATTCGTTATTTTTTACAAAGGACGCTTAATTATGAAAAATTTCTTAGAATAACTGCGTCTCCCGCGAACCGGTTCCCTATCTCTCTGTCACTCTCTCTCTCTCTCTCTCTCTCTCTCTCTCTCTCTCTCTCTCCTTCTTTCTTTACTCTCCTTGTCAGATCTATCTGTCCCCTTCTCGTTCACCTCACCTTTCTCTCTCTTTCCCTTCTTTCTCTCCCAAGATACATACTTTTTTGTCATTAAATATATCCTCTTCCTTATTCCCCTCATAAAAATTATTATCTCATTTCTCTATAATATTAGAATAGGGATTTATTATTACTTCCGTCTAGATAAAACGGAATCTCGACTGTCATATTGAACTCAACATAAAGATAATATGAAAATAAAAAGGTTATTATCATATTTTTAGTATTATTTTATTATTGTTATTATTTACTTACTAACCTTTGATTTTAACTTGAGTATTCGAATGCACAACAACATCTCCTACGATTTGTTCACCAGCTTTCCAACAAGCTTCCGGTTGATGGAAATGGACATCGATATCAATCTGATCCTTAGACATGGAGAGAGGCGAATCTTTAAAGATAATTTCCAAACGACGGAAGAGAGCCCGCTAATGCGTCTATGGAAAAGTTTGCAACTGTCGATTTGGTTTTTTAGGATAGAGCAAAAATTTTCCTTAGCGCCATCTATAACTTATTTGTGTATCATTTTCAAATGCCGAACTACAAAGATCTCAAAGGACTTAAGAACTAATCGTTATAATATTCAGGATCATTAATCTTTTTCTCAGCCATTTTTCTTTTCGTGACATACATCGTTCAAAATTAGGCTATACACACATTTAGGGTTAGAAAAGGTAATTGTAATAATTTAGCACCATCTGTTAGCCAATATCTGCTTTCTCTTTGAAAAATGCCTTCTTTTAACCTTCACTTAATTTTTCCCTGTCAAAACTTGACAAATTTTCACACCGTTTATCTTCTATAATAATCTTTACCATACATTATACACTATTATAAGCCATTATATCCACTATTGAATATGTAAAGTTTGGCCCATGTATTAATACTTTGTTCTATTTTATTCTATTTACGAAGTATATTACTCTTATCTTAATTAGTTATAGCTATTGGTGTTTTTCAAGTGTTCCTTTTCCCTTAATTGTATTCAATCGCTCAATCATTCATTTAGTCATTCGTTCAGTTCGTTATAGTTTGAGTGAAAAATGTTAAAAGTCTCTTTTGTAAAGACGGCATTTTATTTCTTTCTGCCTGGTTTCATAATATTCGGACTAACTTTTTTAATTAACTTGTCAAAGCCAGCTTACTTTCAGCATTTGGTTTCAGAAGGTGAAAGTGAACCTAACTTACGAATTGATGAAAATTTTGTTTCGTTTCGTATATGGATAACAGTGACAGTACTTGCCCTTTTCTTTGGAATTGTTTCCATCTACATCAAGTTTTTTAGATGTTTCTCATCAATGCTACTTCCCAGTCTGATATCCGCTAGAGGAAGGCTAATACTACTAATTATCATACTTCAATTACTCTTTAACGGACCTCTAAATAATTTCCTTCGCAACTCGACAAAATTCGTTGAAATTATCGAATGTTTAATCAAATTTTCCTTATTTACTATTCAAAAAGAATTAATGAGGGGCGGAACAGATGTTCACAAGTATTCAAAAGTTTTTCAATCTTCTACTTGTAAAGGTAGCGAAGTTTTTCTCGATTTTATGAATGCTTTAAACAAGAGAATAAGTGACGACACGGGATATCAATTACCTCCGTTTGACGTTCATTTTCCATTAATTAATACAAGTTTTAGATTAGCTCAAAAGAATCTAACAATTTACGAATTCTCCAAGAACGATACACTTTGCCCAGAGTTAACGTTTCGATATGATTTCATCAAGATATCGGCGTCAAAAGACCTCGAAGAAATAACAAGTAATTTCTCACGAGATATGATTAATGGGCTAGAGAAATTTTTATCCGTAATAAACTTTACATCTCAAATCTTTACGTTTTCAATACTCTTAATTATCGTCTTTGCAAGCTTTAGATTATATCGTTACTATACAGATTTAGAGTATAATAATGTCTATTTATCCAATGAATTCTTTAATTTGGATAAGGAGAGAAAAAGTAAAAATCTACCATCTATCCTACCTCTTCAGCCCGAAGAGAAATCCATATATGCATCAAATCCTATTAAACCTACAGTAAAGAATATACCTTCCTTAATAATCGGTATTATTATTCTTCTAAGTATACTAATACTAGCTATCATCCTCTTTCTCTCCGATTTCTTTATGGCTAAAGTTATAACGATAATCAATAAAGAAGCGGTAACCGATATTACAGTAACTGGTTCTATTTTAATACAAAAGGACGAAGAATTTGAGGTGATGCCAAAGAGTTTACAAGAACTATACAAGGAAATCTTTCCTATACCTTGTACGAACCCTTATAAGTATCATACAAATTTGAACTATAAAGGCGGAACTTGCCTTCCTCTACCGTCAGAGCCAGTTGTAAACAATTCAATACATTTGAGAACAATTATTATACTTTATTTGTTGCTCGTGTTAATAACGTTCTTTCATACATATGCTGAGAGAATAGAACAGTTTACATTTGTTGCTTTCTATAAAGATAAACACAAACTAAGAGTTGAAGCTTTATACGATAACATGCTTGTAAATCGTTACTTAACACAAAAAATCGAACGAATAAAGAGATAATTATTTAATATATTTTTAATATTTGCATGGAAATATCAATCTGTAAATATTTTATTTATCTGTTTTCTAATAAAGTTTTAAACCTTTTAGAATTCAATATTATTTCATTTTTCTTATCTGCTCTTTAACTTCAGGTACTCGATTATATATTAATTACGCCAAAGCACAATCAATATTAATTATTTGAAGGTAAGTAGAATGAGTTAAGAGTACGTATTTCTTATTTTCCATTTCAAATGTTGAGCCAATTCTTGATAATGCCTTCGTTACGATATAATTTTCCGACAAGTCCAACTTATTGTCAACAGTTACATATACGATGGCCTTTTTTGTGATAGAAGCTTTTACGTGATTCATTATAAAGAATCTAGGGAGTCCTACCACAGGAATTGAATACCAATGCGAATTAAAACCTGCAGCATCGGTGTCCAGTTTATCAACTTCGTATTGTGTTGTACCATTCCAGAGGAAAAGGTGAATATCTCCGTAATTTTGAGCACTTATAACTAATCGTTGATTATTCACTTCTGTAGAAATAGCTGATCTAAGATAGAAAACGGATGATCTGATTATCGTAAATGCTGTTGATGAAAGGGAAGAAAAAGGAAAAAGTTAACACTTCTTAATAGTTCTGATATGAAAGAGAATTACGTGTGAAACTCGGTCTCAGTATCTCTATGACAGCTATACCATCTCCGCACATGAAACTACAGTGAAATTCCACATTGGCAAATACGATAAATCTACCATTTAATAATTGTAGATCAATAGTACGAATTCTTCTCGATTCAATGTCATTGTGGTTTAGTAAGTTAACCCAAGTTGTTGAATCGTTGGCCAATTTCCAGAAATTAATTGTTCCGTCTTTACAATAAGAATAACATAATAGATATTTATTGATATATATATATATATATATATATATAATTTTAGCTATTTACTCATAGTTTCTCGGACAATTAAAAGATATAAATTATTATATTCACTAGTCATTGAAGTATGAAGGCTCCATTGTCCAGGAAGAGTTTGTACAACTGTACCAGCTTATTAATATTAAATTAAATAATTTTTTAACTAATTAATTGAATTATTACATTAGTAATAAAAATTAAATGTTTAAACTTACAAGTTCCGTCAAATTTAACAATTTTTACACCAGTTATACTAGTAAAAACCAAAAAGAATTCGCCATTTTTCCAATAAGTAATGAGATTTTCTTCGACAGTTACCTTACAAACAGTTGGAATAACAAAGGCAAGCTGCCATAATTTAAATATTTTATCGTATTTTAGTATGTGTGCACACCTGAAAAGGATATTTAATAATTAGTCAAATAGTTTTGATTTCAAGAAGGGAATATACAAGTTTTTCATGTGACAAGCAATAAAATGTTCAGAATTGTATGTGAAATAGTTGCAAGTTTTTGGATCATCCAGATCAATTTGCTCGCACGTTCCAGTTCTCTTTGCTAAAATAGCAGATATTCTTATTATAATTGCTGTAAATTGGCTAAATTACATTAGTTTCAACTTACTTGGACACATCATATGACAATCGGAAGGTTCATTGGGTTTCGGTGGCTTGTCTTTTTTCTGTAGAAAGGTTCAGTTATGGAATTTCATTGAAAGGTAGAAAGGAAAGAAAGAAAAGTTATTACCAATCCGAAATAGCCCAATCCGCTTTGAGTTGCTTCAAAACTTCCATCAAACGTTTTATATAGAAGACAAGATGATGTATTGTAAAAAAAAACATAACATAAATCGTCCAAGCTGCAAGATTCGGCACATTTTACTCTGCCATTTCCTTTAAGTGTTTTGTACAAATTGCCTTTTGGGGAATCAGTTTCCTTAGTAATGGCAAAAATATTATAATCTGTTGAGGTAGCTGCCTCTTTAGCTAACCAAAATATTAATACTTTCAGTAATACAAGACTCTTCCACATGTTGGAAAGTCAGAGTGAAAAATGTTAATATAAGCCGTTATATTTAAAGGTCAGTTACGGCTTGAGCAATTGACTTTCACTAGATTCTATGGAACTAATACCAAAACGAGATAATTTCTTTGTTCGAGCTATAATTATAAATAATCAATCCATTTGATTTTGATTCAAAACATGGAAATAATCATACAGCCTTGTCGCATATCTATTCTCTAATAGACACTACCCTCATAATGACTCAAAGTAATTATAATAATGTTCATAGTGATTTATGTCTCTGTCTAACACAAGTATTATTTAAGAAGTTTTTGTTGACAAATTCCTTAACCAGTTAATGGTTTTGCAGGTTAAAAAATATCACTTTTTATTAAACTTTTCACCACTCGAAAAACAAAAACTAAAAATCGACGATATTCTCATAAATTTTTAATTAAAAAGTGAAAAATCATTTTCGTATTGAATAGATTTATTGATTTTCTGGAGAATGCATCAAAAAACTAGATTTCTAATATATCTGTAGAGAAATTTATTGTGATGAAAGCTATCGAGTCTGTACTCTTTGTCACTCTCCCTCTCTCTCTCTCTCTCTCCTTTCTCTCTCTCATTGTGATAACTTTTCCCTTTGCTTTCATTAATTTTTGTTAAGATGACACATGAAAGAAATGAAAGATATTAATCTTGAATTGAAAAATAATAACTACTTAAATTAGACATCGACGAAATGTAGTTTTGTACTTCAACACCATCTGAAGAGTTTTAATATCTGTTTACACAATGTAAACTATATTATATATGCATTATATGTATTTTATACTAAAATCTATATTTACACTTTTAAGAGTAAAAAATAACATTTAACAAGACTTTTATATTGATGAATTGTCATAGCATAAATCTCAATTTTCTTGGTAATTTTGTATTATATTCTTTCAGAAATCCCTTGGGTTCCTTTAGTAATATCGTATAAATGACAAGGGCAAAGATTTATCAAAATAATCTTCATTCTATATTTAGAATATATATATATATATTATATCATAACTTTAAAAAGTTGTTCATGAAACAGTATATATCTTTTTTACCACACACAGGAAACGATCTCTTTAAATTAGAGATCAATTTAGAGATTTTCACATTGGCTTGTAGGACAATAATAATTAATACCAATTCAAACCTTTTTTATCAATTTAATATACTATATAGTATATTTTACTCTGTCATCAATAGGACATAATAATAAGTTTGAGACGGAACGTGTGGGCCTTCTCTTTTATTCTTTTATACATTTTGCAATGTACCTCTTTCTTTCTTCTAGGCTTATTTATGAAAGAGTAATAATTTTAGATAATGGAAACTTGATATATTATACATAATATATATATATATATATATATATATATACAGTGTGTGTCTATTGCAATGTTGTATGGACATAGTCCTTGCATGAGTAAAGTTTTAGAAATTTCAGATAGTGATTTTCAAATTCAATTGTTAACTTTTCAACATTTTAAGCATAAAACATACGATATTCTCTACATATAAACAAACTTCAATAAAGAAACACTCCTCAGTCAAAATTTAAAAGTTGTTATTCCCCGCTAATTGATTTTGCTTTTCATTGTCAAAAATACACTTAAACACAAAACAGGAAGAAAATTTTGGGAGAGCAAAATATCCTTTCTTGTTTCAGTTTTTGAAGAATTCTTGTCAATGCTGTCATAATTTAAAAAATAGAAAGTTCCGTTTCAACTCAATTGGCAAATCAAGTAGCTTAAAGATTAGACTCTTTTACTTGATTCCTGTTTGTAAACAACATTAAAAAGTTGCTATAATACTAAGACACATTCTTTTTCAGCTGTATCAATAATTTCCAGTGTTTCACTCTTATCATTTAAGATATTTAAACTGTTTGATTCTTGTTGTAATGAAGTATGATCTATTTGATACGCTGAAATTATATTAGACACGTTCTCTGGGATAAATTCCATCGTTAACCGAGTTCCTGCTATATTGTCGCAATATGTCAGTTCTGAAATATACGATTACATAAGAGTAGCTATAAATGATTATATACGCGATGTTTAAGTAAGCTTACGATTTTTATATCTTTCATTGTGTACTATATTAATCTCTTGTGGAGTTAGGTGACAGCTAAAGAGATCAGACAAATTACAAGCTTTAGTTCTCGTAGGTAAGTTTAAATCTTTCCGAAGGAACTTCTTGAGTGAATAAATTATACAGCTATAAATGACGAAGACTAATACCAATGTAACAGCTATATTTATGATGATGATCCCGATATAGAATCGATTCAGTGACAAATCATTCAATCTGGTTGGATTTACTGTTGGTTGTGTATAATTAACACGTAAACATTTATGTGCTGAAAAATATCAACGAATGAACAATGAGATATAGATTAAACCAAAAATATCTTTTACCATAGTCACTACAAAAATGGTGGCAATCTATATCCTGCTTCAGGTTTGGTTCGCATAAATCGGAACACGATATTCTTTGTAGTGTAGCAGGATCTTCGTAAGAACATTCTTGACAAAATTGTTTCAAATTTTCAGGTTTTTCAATGAAATTCATTGTCAATCTAACCATGGACACAAGAATAAAACTACAACTAGAGACACCTGTTGCAAAAAAATATTTAAATGATTCACAAAACGAAAGTAAAATAAGAAATTACATACGTTTACATAAACTATCAATTGTTTTATACTAATGTAATTATTGCAGTTATAAAATATTCAGAATGTATCTTAGACATTTCCTGCCACGGTTAATTTAAACACGTAGTACTAATTGATTTTGTGATGACATCTGGCAATGCATTTAAATATATCAATATAGCAAATGTCGTTTTATACCCTATAAAAGACTATTTCTTGAATATTTCATCAGTTATAAACATTTCTTGAAATAGTACATTCTATTATTTCATTCAATTTTTTTCAAAGATTTTTCACTTTAAGGAGATATATCAACCTTTTCCCCCTCTCCCATCTCTATTGTTATAAGAGATCTTCAAAAAGACTGATTGTAATTCAACATCTCCTTGATAGATTGTTTTTTTTGTCTTTTTCTAGTTTTTCTATTATTCTTTTATTACGATAGAATAAACTATAATAGAGAGAAGATAAAAGAAAAAAATGATTAAACTATTTCTCTATTTCGTTTTCTTCTCTCTGCTCAAGACAAGTTTTGCTCCTCCACCTGGAAAATTAGATAAATATGGTAGATATTATTTTAATATATGATATGGAAAGAGCCCTTACTCTTCCTGTAATTATACTAGGACCATGTATTGGAATGGATTGCTTGCATGGTGTTTTAATGCATAACGATGAAAAAGATGGTGATAATCACGCACTAGAGGATAAAGTCAAAAGAGAAGAAGATTCGGCAGCGGATACTGGTCAAAGTACGATTCTTTTCAATAATTTTACTTACTTTTAGAACATGGCTGTATTTTTTTTATAAATAATTAGAGGGACCCGGCAAAGGTGGAGACTCTGGTTTACATGGTGTCCTAATGCACGGGGATGAAACGCCTGATAAAGAGCATAGCCATAATAAATTTGGTCCAGTTGAAAAATCAAGAAAAGAAGGTCCAGGTTTAAATAAGGACGAACAGATTGATGGCATAATCAATAATCAAGAAACCGAAGAAGATAACTCAAATCATAAAAAAGGACATCACGCTGAACCGTGTTTCGATCAAGATTGCGACACTTTTAAGGATAAAAATGAAGATAATGATTCGGAAAGCGGTAATAAAGTTAGAAAGGTACAAAATGCAAAGAAGCATGTATCAAAAACTTTCGATCCAGATTCATTACTCCATGGATCGGGTCATGATCACCATTCTGATGAGCATAATACAAAAATGAAAAAGAACACTGCCGTTAAATTTATATCTTCAGTTCAAGATCCTCATCATATAATTCATAATGAAGAAGTAGGCAAAGTTCCTGAAATTGATAAAAAAGATTACGAAGAGTGGAAAACTAAGGAAAAGGCTAAAGAGAAGGAGGAAGAAAAGGGAATACTTCAAAGATTTAGTCTTGGTTTCATTAGTGATTCCTTCCTGTCCGATATAGAGGCTTTAAAGAGAAGATATTTACCTAAATATTGGACTCAAGACACAGTAACAAAAGACAAAAGAGAAAACAAAGAGACAGGAAAGACGAATGACAAAGTAGACCACATGCAAGAGGATATGATGTTAGTCGGTGGAACTCATCAATTAAAAAAACAATCAACACACGAAATACCAAAAAAAGTTCATGATGAAGAATGATTGGTTAAACTTGCGAATTGATACGATTCTATTTAAAGAAAAAGGAGTGACTATATCAACTTTGTAGGCATAATTTGAACACATTCGTTACCCAAAATAAAAAATGGTATTTATTACTAATAATCTGTCTATTTATGCAATCTTTAATACTGAAATTTTGTTTCAAATAGGAAATTTTTTCAAAATTATGTCTTTGTCAGTTCAGTATAGGTAGCTATCAGTTTGTAGACCATAAAATATAAAGACTCTCAGTTTCATGGCAGCCTTTTCCAAACAACGAGATGTTGATGTCTAAACGTATGTTATGATAAGGTATACGGTATACTCTACCAAAAATGTTTATAGTAGGACGGCAGCAAATGAAACTGGGAATGGTTATAGCTCAGCATTATTAATCTTTTTTGTTGTTTAACTAGCACAAGATTAATTTTATTTATTAAGAGTATTTATCTATGACAATTTTATTATGGTACTACTGCGCATGCGTCAAAAAAACTTTTTTTTCTACTTTCGTTTGGGCTGGTTATGTTCATTTATCTTGCAATCTTTTCTTATTTTTTATATTTAATACATGAATAAATACTAACATTCTTAATAGATAAACAATTGTTAAAAACAAAAAGTAAAACTGTTGATAAGGTAAATATTAAATGCTATGACCGTTTCATTCATTTGAAGGGTAAATATCTAAAACTTTAGTGTCTTCATAACTTTCCGCTGGCAAAGTGACTTCTCTTATGGGAAGAAAATCAGAAAAAAGTTCATTAGCTTCGGAATTATCTGATCTTGAATGACTTATTATACTTTCATCATATTCATCTTGTATCTTGAAATTATAAGTAATATTAGAAAAATGTATTTAAAACTTTAATTAAGAAAATATAGATTACATTTCTTTGTTGGAGAATAATGTCTTCAATATTTTTTTCTATTATAGGCTCTAAATTATTTTGCGTTGCTGAAATATATTCTGTTTGTTGAACTGTTAGGCATGTCAATATATTTTAGTAGTTATATCAATAGAAAATTTGAAAATAGAGCATGATAAAAATTAGATAAAGGTCTGAATCTGAACTAACCTGGATCATACATGTATATCTTACAGGAAAAAAACAATTTTGTACAAGAAACACATGATTTCATATTGCTTATTGTATGCTCTTTCTCTTTAAATCTTTTAAATTGATAATACTTCATTACAGCACAATAGAGTGTACCAATGCTTAGGATAATGGATACACTTGCAAATATAATAATTGCTTCTTGATTAGTTACTTTGCCCTAGTAAAATTATTATTAATCTAAAATCATTTAGAAATTTAAATGAAAAACTTGGAAATTAGCGGAAGAAATTTTTGCAGATCCCGTCACGTTAGTGTTGTTATCATAAACATTGGAACATTTCCTCACTAGAAAAGAGTTAGAATGTTCATTTGAAGTGAATATGATCTATAAAAATTATACTTACTAAAATTTGGACAGAATGTAGGGCAGTCATAATAACTATTTGCGTATGACGGATTGCATAAAGTAATGCATTTTTGCTTTTTTTCAGTTGCAGGATCCAAATATTCTCTATTTTTGCAAAAATTGTCATTTAGCATTGCAAAATAAAGCAGAATTCTTGTTTATGTTTATCATTGACTCATTTCCGTTTCCGATTTAACCGCCTATTTATTAATATTTTTTGTAAACAGTACAATACATTATTTAGCAAAATAAACAAAATGGATTACGTAATCAATATATTAAAATCAAACAATTACATTCGTTATCTTCTGCCTTGATAGAACACATAGCTGTAAAATAGTAAATGAGCGAAAATAGAGTGATTGTCCATGAACGTTGATTCGTTTAGAACGACATGTGGTTTTGGCGGAAAAATTCAAAAAGTGTATGTTCAAATTCTAGGATATTTCAAATGCAATAACAATGGCCTAATACTTGTATTATTGGCATAACATTACCAAATGTAGATACATTGAATATAGCCTATTTCTATTGCTTATAGTATAGCAACAGGCAACGTAGTCCTACTTTTAGTTGCACTATTTACCGGTCTCTCCGTAAACAATACCAGCGGCATACTAAGGCAGAGAAAAGAAATTAAATTTTAATGAAAAGGAAGAAAGAATCGCAAATATTGTAATAGTCTTTAAAGGGAAAAAGTCAATTTCTCTCCGCCATAGAAGGCATGATCAAATAAAGAGTCTAATATGCTTTTCCTTTCCTTTTTTCATATTTTATTAATAGTTTGTTTATATTAAGCTAAGAATCAAGAATTCAGCGATTTGTGTAAACAATATTCAAGAAAATGGGATTATCGATTGAGAAAGTATTAATTCTACACAGGGAATAACTTTTCCGAAACATAGACTATGATTTATTGTAAACATGGAATGGTGTAATGAAATTTCTCTTTTGCCTAGTATTCAAAACCAATGAGTTTATTTATGATTTTGTAGATTCAAGCTTTAACATTTCTGTAATTCTTAAAGGTTTTACCTTATGTTTACGTTGTCGAACCCATAAAATTATTGTTTTCATGAATGCATCACTTAATTCAAAAATTGTTAAAATGGTTGCTCCAAGCATCAATCCAAAAGCTCCACCGATATCACAGAATAATGCTAATACATTATAAGCGGGATGTTCTTTCGAATCCATTGTTGTTAGTTTTGAGAAAAAAATGACCACAGTACAGTAATTGTCAAAAAGTTCTCTTTCAGATATTTTATGGTATTCGGCGATGGCTTGTGCGTAAAATGTACTTGCTCTTGCGTGCGTCGTGAACACTTCATATTGTACAGTTTTGCATTCCGATTTGCAAGCACAATCTTTATGCAGTTCAGTTTCCATAAATTTATCGACAGCACGTTCTGCGCATAAGATACCAATCGGGGAGCACACGCTGGCATTGGTTGTCATATAGATTTGACGACATTTACAGCTTTTGACGACAAACTGGCTAAGACAGTGTAATAAACAATATCTCCTTTTGTATGTGATGTCATCTTGGCAAGTTCCGTACGGCGATGGTAGGGCACTTATAGACTTTTTTGTTGCCTCCATCGAGTATATTTGTCCAGGACCTATTGATAAAGATTGTTCTATCATAAGAGGGATTTCATCTTTTTCGTGAACAAGAATCTGCAAAAAAATAACATCAAGAGATTTTCATAATGCTATTTAAACGAATAAATATGTAGAATGTACCCTATAACCAGCTCCAGGTGAATTGGGGGCTAAATATTCATCTTGATGAACAGCTAATCTCATATTTAATCCGTCATCAACTCCTACGTTTGATACTTTGGGTAAATTAGTGGCATCGAACTGAATACACCAGCCCATGTTTGTAGCAACATATTTAAAGTATGATGAACAATTTTGTCCTTTATATAGGCACTTAAAAGATAGTTGACACTATATGTTATATAACTGTATATTTACTATAAAATAAGAAAAGCTTACTTCTCCTACTATATCTTGCATATTAAATGATAATTCTTTGTAAATAACATTCCAATCTTCTTTAACATTCTTTATAAATGTAAGTTCTTCTTCTGTATAATTAAATACCGAAGTGTCGTCTACATAGTTCTTTATAGGGCTCCATAATTTATAAAATATTCCATGTAAATCTATATTTTAAGTAAGTTCTTCATTTTTTTTAAAAAAACAAACATACAAATAAAGAAAATAAAAAAATATTACTTTTTTTCACCGCTTTTGAAGAAGCAATGCGATTTTCGTTACAGATGGTAACTAATGGAAACGACAAAGAATCATGCTCTATCACTTGAATCTTTGTTACTGTATCATACTTCATATAATATTTAATTCTATCAGTTATTTGATAGCAGAGAAACCCAGTTGAGAATAGAATTAAAGAAAACCACACTAGTCTTCTTATAGTTGACACATTCTTAGAAAGAACAATATTTAATCCAACAATAGATATGCTATCAAACAACTGAGAAATTAACATGTTAAACTATTAGATTGAAATTATTAGTCGATTAATAACCTTCAGAGAGTTATTAAAGACTAAAGTGAAGAATATACATGTAGGAGGTATATACAAGAGCTTTAACAACTACAAATGGAATATTTTCAAATGGAGGATGATAAATAATTTAAAGCTTGTCTAATGTTGATTATTAATTATTTATGTATCGTTTTCAATCATATTAGTCTCTTCGTTAATAGCAATAATAAAAAATATTTGCATAAAATGAACGAATTTCCTATTAAAGAAGCTTAAAAAACGTTAAAAAACACAAATAGCTATATATAAATTACTATAAATCATTAATATAAAAGTAATATATCTTTATGTAGTATTACACAATTTTCTTCTTTCAATTCTTTAACGGATATTTATTCCTATGAATTATGGACGTGAAAGCTAAATTTATTCGAGTTTAAATGACTTGAAAGCACTTTTAGCCTTCATAGATTTAGGATAATTATTAATAAATAAAATATATTTTATGACTCATATGCATAGTTTTATTCTTGTAATCAAACAAACTCTTTCGTAGGAGATAGCGGGGTGATTTTTCGCATTGATGAAAGTTATGTGCAGTATTTCGATAGGTTTATTTAGGCTTAGAGGGTGGTTTTGTTTATATATGTATTAAAATGTAAGCAATAGGATAAATTATATGTACAAAAAAGAAACATAGACAAATAAAGTAATAGTAATATACTATAGACGTATTATTCATATTGTAGATCTCATTTCCATATATTACAGTAAAACAGTATTAAAACTCTCTTTTTTTTCCGCCCCTCCAAAAACCCCTCAACGCAGTAAGTTAACATTGCTCAGTTGTCTTATAGCCAACTTACAAGTGAAAAAGTTTTTGATTAAAAGTGATACAAATGGCAAGAAGTAATTTTGAACTGGTTGAAAGTGAAGTCAGAAAGCCGTCTTGCATATGTTTTAGACGGTGGAAAATTATTTTTCTTTGCTTAGGACTTTTAGTGGTTAGCTATTCATTAATAATAGGACTTAAGTTTGGTGTTTTTGACAAGTTTGTTGGGCCAAATTATCGTAATAATGGCAATAATAATTTTTCGAAAAGTGGTATTGATGACAAACTTAATAAAAATGATAGTAATGAAGAAATTACTACACTCTTAACAACGCCCCCTGGTACCGTTGGTATTGATGATATCAAAAATCCACCTACTGCAAATCCCTCTACGAATACGACGAAGGAGGATCTTGCTACAAAACTAACAGCTCAAACTTCACAAAATATCACAACAAATTTACCTAATAATACTTTGACGTCGGTAAACCCCACTCAAACTGTACTCGTTAACTCTTCTATTAATTCTAGTAATTCGACAATACCTGATAATGGCAAGAAAGCTACCAAACAGGAAAGTAAAGCTGCCGAAAGCACAACAGAAAGTATCCTTACTACAAAGACTGAGAGATCTCTCAATAATTCAGACGATTCGTTTGGACAAGCTGGGTCGAAGAATACGTCTTCTACCAAACCTACTGAAATCTCGACAGCAGAATTATCTAATTCTTCACTAACGTCTTCTCAAGACAAAACTTCAACTACAAAGGTAAACGAAATAGAAACAACATCAACAAAAATAGGAGAAACATCAAAAAAAGAATCAACAATAACGACACAGTCAAATAAGAATACTTTACCAACATTATCACCATCATCATCAGATGATACAACTATATCTTCGACTGCAACTACTCAAAACAATGAGGCAATAACCTCATCAAATTCTGGACAAATTAAAACAAGTTCAAAAAGTAATAACAACTAGAAAAAAAAATGAGATGAAATTAAAATATTTTACATAATTCTAGGCAAATTAAAAAAAAAGAGTATATTCATAAATATATATATATATATATATATATATATGTATATGTTTATAAGAACATCCTTGGTCGTTTCTATTTTAGTTTTCTTATTATAAAACAAAACAAAATACTTAAAAAAAACACTATTTTTTCTTTTTTGTGTTAGATATTTTAAGTGCCATTTTCTCTGTCTTTTTATTCTTCATTTTTGTACTATTTCTCATTGTTCCTTTAGTGTTAATCATTGATGGTATCATGACGGAGTTTGACAAACAAAAATACAAACCTTTTAATGAAAATAATTAGTGTTCTTAGTCTATTTTTATCCAGTAGCAATTGTCTTTCTTCGCTAGATTTACTGCTCTTATTATTGTTTGTTTTTATTCTCTCTCTCTCTCTCTCTCTCTCTCTCTCTCTCTCTCTTATCTATCCCCTTTACCTCACCTCTTTCACCCCTTTTTGTCATTCATTACATACACATTTGCTAAAGTGATGTAACATAAGCCTATAGCATTTTTTGAAAGAGACAGTATGCTCTAATTAACATAAATATTATTTACAAAAATATAATCTATTGTAAACATTGAAAAATCAACTTTAACTAGATGATTTTTCTATATTTTGGATTAAACTATATAAAATATTTCACAATATAAGCGTAATTAAGAAGGTTAGCAGCTAATCAGCAATGCAGGTGAGTAAATATACTTCCTGCCAAAATTGAGGATAACACATGATGAAATTTTTATATTATATTCATGAAAATAGTCTATCGCCAATGAATGAAAGCACTATTGGATGAAATATGATAATTTACCTGTTCTTTTGTACTTGATAAATGCATTTGTATATGAATTACTAATATCATATATATTTTATTCAATATTACTTGACTATCTTACTGATAATTGCCTCTAAAGTTAGAAATAAATATAAATAAATGTAGAATAAAAATCATATTCTCTGTAATATACAACATACTTTTTATATTACTTAAAAAGGTATATATAATTATATTTTCTTTCTTTTTTTTACATACATTTAAAACCTCCTTTACACTTTTTTAGCTCAAACATAGAACGAATACAAAAAAAGTCTTTTAAAAAAGTCATAGAAAAAAGGTCAATGATCTGTGAAATCGTATTTTTAATAGAAATTTGTTTACAGGTTGAACAAGTACGAAAAATTTCTATAGATTTTGTATATAAAATATTACATTTATGCAGTATTTAGGCCTAAATATAAATATAGTATATAATTGAAGCTCTTTACCATCTTACTGAAATTGCTTTTTAAATTTTAGCTTTATCTAACTATCTATCCATCCATCTGACTAGCTGTCTATCGATTAATCCTCTATCTATCTATCTATATCTTCTTCTACATCTTTCTTCATTTCTATTTTTCCTTTCCATTTACCTTTATTTCGATTATTGAAAGGAGAAAGAAGGAATATTTTTTAGGAATTTTATCCCCTTCCTCTTCTATTTGTAAATTGTTTATTTTTACATTCTACGGAATTATATCTTTAAAAACCATAATAGACTGGAGAATAGATCGATATATGAAGTAGATATATACCAAAAAATATGGTTATATTTGTTATTTTCTAAGCTTATATTAATATCCTTCCGTGTCAACCTTTTAATTCGTTAACTATGTTTACGTTAATTTCCTTCATAGTATTTCCTTTGTTATCTGATTAATTATTTAATGCTTATGACGTAAAACCAAGTAAAAATATACAGCTATGAAGAAAATGAAAATATGACGAAGTTGCAATATAAGGCAAAAAATTTATTCGTAGGTGTGGTCATTGTCCGAATTCTAGAGCTAGTAAATGGAGCTTTACCCTGCAAATTACTATCTACGAGAATAAGTTTAAAAATAGAAAAGAAACCAACAACACACAAACAGCATACAACCGGGAAAAAAATGATAGAATCTACATGGGAAGTTTGTAGAAATAGATTATAAGAGAGTATTCAATATAAGGCATAATAGTTAGTTGATATTTTATTTTAGAATGTTGAAGAATTTCAATTAAAGTACTGAATATAATTCTTAATATTGAATTGTCAATAACAAATATTAATAGCATGTGTAATTCTATCTAGTTTAGCTTTTTTGCATTCTCTCTTCTTATCAGTTGAAATATTTCCTATTCTCTATTAATTTAAAAGAGGAAGAGAAAATGAGAAAAGTTTATTTCGGTAAATATTCACTATTGAATATACAGTATACTGTTTATTTATAAATTATTCCAATGAGATCTAGATTTGATTTGATATTGCTTCTCATTCAATGTGACAAGAGAGATGCTGCAAATGGAAGAGAAGTTGGACAAATAGAAAAGAAAATTCTTTTAACTTTTCTTTTTTCGTTACCGTGTTACCATTTCTGTCTATCTATCTATTTGTCACTGCTTCTCTGTATCTCTGCATGACTTTTAACACAGTGAAAAGATATTATGAAAAGAATTTGAATAGACGCTATTAAATTACAACATTTCATTATCCAGCTAATTTGTTCTGTGCTTGTGGGTGGATGTGTGTGTGTTTTTTTTTTTTGCTTCTTTAAAACAATGAGAAAAATAGGCTACATTAACAAATATGATATATAGATAGCATTTAAAAACATGAACCAAATACGAGAAAAAAAAAACAAAAATAATATACACGAAGGCGAAAAATATAAATATACTTATATAGTAATTGTTTATAGAAATATTAAAAAGAGAGTGTTTATCATGTTAAAAAATTGCTTTTATTTAAAAGAAGAACAAGAAAAAGAGAACATAGAAACATTATTATAAAAAAAAACTAACAAAAATTAAAAATACAGAGATAAAACAACAACCAACAAAATAAACAATATTTTATATAATTTATATAATTTACAGTGTTGACTAATTATTGAAATGCTTCTTCCTTTTTTATATATTTCGACTTAAATGTTAATGTTGACTTGAATATCCTATTAAAAAATTCTATATTATATAATAAACGACTCTAATACTATTTTTGAATAGCAAAATAGGGATTACATATTTTTTTATATTTTTCAATTATGCTAAACCATTCATAATCATTCTCTTCGTATTTACAACCATATATATATAAATCATTGAGCAATGGTGTAGCTGAATTGTATCTTTCAATAAATTGATAAACTTTAGCCAATTCGTTAGCTGTTATAATGTTTGTATGGTATTTTTCTTGTATATGAATATTCAAGTGTTTTTTGCTAATGCCTGAGACTACGTTTTCAAAGAAATACCTTAAAAGTTCAATAGCAGCTTTGTATATTATTGTCGAATGAGTTGTAAGAACGAATAATTCTAGATGATCTAACTTGAATAGAACAAACAATAGAGAATTGAAAGTATTATAGAAATTATTACACATCGAAGTTAAATGAAATGTTGTGAGATTTGTTAAATTTTCAAAATTCTTATGATTGAATTGCTTAATTGGAATCATGACAATATTTTTTAAATTATCCAAATTATGATTGACATTATCACTAAATGGAATTTCTATATTTGACCAACTGTTACTATTTAAAAATTGTAGATTTTGTAAGCTTCTATTTAGTTTCAATTTACCTAAAATTCTTTCATTTTGACTCTGTTGGCTTATATCACAGAAATATAGACTTTTTAAATTTCCCTTAGGTTCTTCCATATCATCCAAATCGATATTTGATATAAATGTAAAATTTAATAATCTTAATGATTCTAAGGTTTTTATATTTAATAGTTTAATAAATTGAGTTAATGGAAATGAAAAGGAATAACCAATTTTCATAAGAGAAAGAGACTTAAATCTTGAATTCCATTTTGTATCTTTCAGTATTTTATCAATGATATTTTTGAAAATGACTTCGTTACCGTTCGAATAGATAGCTAACTCTTTAAAGAACAAGTTGGGACTATTTAATGAATATTCGTAAGTGAGATCGTATTGCCATTTTTCAAATGTCATTAAACTTATAGGTTTCTTAATTTTTCTAATAGTTTGAAGGATATTTAAGAAGATATCTTTGAAATTCTTTATCATATCATTTTCGTTCTTAGTATCCAAATGTATATTTAAACCAAACCAGTTCAGTGTTCGCCTACGAGCCAAGAGAACTTGCAGTAAACTATTCGTAAATTGTTGAAATTCCACTTCGAAATTACTCAAGTAATAATCTTCATCTTTGAATTTAGCATAGATATAGATATTTTCCAGATGATTCATATTTATCATTAACGTCGTTAGACGGTCATTTTTTATAAAAAATTTCGTCTTGTTATTTAAATAGAATGATATATTTTTACAATGCGATAAAACCGATTGTAGGAATTGTTCTTTATTGAAATGATCGCTATAGTAAATTGTATCTTTTTGAATAGTTTCCCTCTTTCTAACGGCGGAATAATCGCTTATAAAGTAGAATTTTTCAAAGTAATTCTCGTTAAATAGTTCATCGGAAACGGCTAGGTAACGCTTTACTGTAAAGTCAAATATGATTTGTTTGTAGTCGGCATCTTTACATTCGTAGTTTAATTCTTTCAAATGTCTAGTATAAATACTAAATATATCTTGAGAAGATAGATCTGAAGAGAATACTGGAAAATGATCGCATAGCGGTAAAGAATTTTTTATCCTTAAAAAATGACTTTTCCAAAATTCTGTCAAGTCTGTTGACGTTTCTTCCAAATCCTTTAACTCTTGTATAACAAAGGCCAAAGGCATAAAAGGTAACAAGATTTCAATGACGGAGAATGGAAGATTTTTCAAAATTTTCAAGTATATGTGAACATGTTTGGCCATACGAATTGAACATAAAGTCTTTAAACTATCGACTAATGAGGTAGCCAAATAGATATTATTTCTTGCTGATAGAAAAAGATTTTCTTGAGAAGAGTCATTCTTATCTAACCAATTTGACATTTTATTTTTCTTGTACTCTTTTAATGCGTTGTATCTTTTGTCAAAAGAAAAAGAAGATAAAAATTATCGATTTTTATTGACAAGGCGACATTTTAGAATGGACCTCTTTCAATACCCTCTAAACAACTTATCAGTGAAATTAAAATTTGTTTTTTATATTTCAAATGATTGATTAGAGTTAAAGTGACATTGTATTACGAAATCTTACCTTCTCTTCACTCTTAAAAGCTAATCGTTTGTGATTTCCTGTAGATTTTTAAAGTGTCGACATTTCTTTTATTAGGCCTGACTTTGAAACCTTCATACTGATCCGGGAAGTATAAACTTTCAGCATACGCCTACATTGAAAACGGATGGCAGTGGTTGTAATTTTCCTGCTGAAAAACGATTATAGTGTAATATTTTAGGGGAATTCCACAAACTTTGCAAGTGAATATCGATAATTTAAATTTTCTTCCTGAAATTTTTACTTCCGGTTTTCTGAAGTATTGACTTCTAATAACTGATAATTATTTCACCAACCGTATTTATGGCATACCCAATGTAAATATATATATGTGTATATTTTTATATATAGATTCTAACATTTAGCTTTTACAAAGTCTAGATGGCACCTTTAGTCTTCTCTATTTGATATCTCAAATGACGTACACTATGGTCTATGAAAAGATCTGTCAACTAGACAGAGAGGAGCTTAGAGCAACAGAAAGAGAGAGAGTGTGTGTGTATGTGTGTGTGTGTAAGTGTGCGTGTGATAAGATAAAAACGATTGCTAAACAAGCAACTTTAATAAAATAAAAAATTACATAAGATAATGTACTGAATGTTCATAGTGTATTCAAATATTAAAGAAAAAAAAGACATTAAGGAGATAAGGGAGTATATGAAGAGGTGAAACAAGTAAAGAGAGGGAGAGAGAGAGAGAAAGAGAGATAAAGAGAGAGAAAGATTCATAAAAAGAAACAACAAAAAATTGAATTATTCAATAACTAATATATACGAAAAAGAAACATTCATTTTCAACATTTTTCTCATTGTTGTTTTCTTTTCTAAAAATATTCGGGTTGAACAAGATGAAGATAAGGACGGCATATTTTTGAATAGCTTTCAACCACTTCGTTCCACTCTGAATCGTTCTTTGTATATAAGCAACCGTATAAATACAATTCATTGAATAGACGACCTTCGAAATGATAACTTTTCAATTTTTTAAATAGATTCAAAAGGTTAGTTGCAACTGTTGGTTCGTTCGATAGCGAATCTTTTAAGTAAATATTTAATTTTGTTCTATCATCTTCGCTATTAGCCATTGCTGGTAGAAGATATTGTAAGAATTTTAATATATAATTATCCAATTTTAATCTGATTGCGGTAAAGACGAAAAACTGCAAATTTTTCATATTTAGAATAGCGTAAACAATTTTACGTATTTGAGTATAACGTGGATGGAAGCCGTTAAGATAAAAGTGAGTAACATTGGAAAAGTTTCTGCATCTACAACATGAATAAAGTAATGGAGTATTGATTGAAATCTTTCTAACTTGTTCCGTTCTTTCCAGAACTTTATCGTTAAAAATAGATAATTCAGTATCGTAAGAAACCGTCTGAGTTGACGAATAAGATATCTCATTACAATTGATAAGTTTCAATTGTACCATTAATTCCAAAGATGAAAAACTCGTTTTAACCTCAGTTAAATAAAGTTTTTTCACGTGTCCAACAAATTGCCGAAAGGTAAAACAATCCTTAAATGAGCACATTATCTTAAAATTATTAAATCTTAAATAATGAAACGGTAACTCCAATAATCCAAGAAACTTTTTAACCCCAATTTCAGCTGTACAACCCTCTTTTATCAAAGATAGAGAATTAATCTTACTTTTAAGATTATACTTTTTAAACTTTTTAATAACATAGTTAAACGTCCTTTTACTTCCACTTAGATAAATTGCTAATTCATTAATAGAGATGTCATAATGTTTCATACATTTAATCATGTGTTTATATTGCCACTTTTCAAAAATCATTAAATTTACAGGTATATTTCTTAGCTGAATTGATTTAAAAAATCTGGAGAATAGTATCTTTTGTCCAAGTAAATAATTCTTATTCAACTTTCCAAGATTGATTCCTAACCATTTTCCAGGCCTATTCTCACGATGGAATATATTAAATAGTATCTCAGATAATTTAAAAAATTGATAATATGCATTATCAAAATGATGTGAGTCTATGTCAATTAAGTCGTGACATTCCCAGTTCATATTGAATAATAAATTTTCTACTTTTTTCATTTCTCTCAAATAATTCAGTATTCTCTCAAATCCATTGTTTTTAAATAGGTCGTACTGGAAAAGAACGAATCATTTAATCAATATTATTTTATTTAATATTCAATTACTGTATATTTATACATACCATTGACAATGTTAAAATAGACGTTTTACATCTTTCTAATACATTTTTAGTAAAAGATTCCATATTGAATAATTTTATAAATTTTAAATAATTGATCTCGTCGTCGCTTAACTTTTCATTTTCTTGACGTTCGCTAACAAAATAAATTCTACAAAAGTATTTCTCAGCTAAACAACTACTCAAATCTTGTATAATTGTCTTCAGGCTAAAATCAATTATCATCTGTTTACGGTCAACTTGTTCAAAATCACCGCAAAAATCTTTTACATAGGTCTCTTCGCAAAAATCTTGTCTATTCTCACTTTTTATTAAATATACTGGAAAATCTCTTATTACTGTTAGAATATTCTTTATTCTTAAATAATGAAAATTCCAGAAATCTGTTAGATCTATATCTCTCGATTCAATTTCGTTTAGGCAACCAATCACTAACCCCAACGGAAGAATTGATATAATTTTATTAATAGTACTAACAGGTAACTTGAAAATGATATTTGAATATCTAAAGACATTTTCGTTTATCTTAGAGAAACATATCTCTTCCAGTGTACTAACAGATTTATTGTTAGTAGGATTGTTTATTAAATTGTGCCCTGAAATAAGGATATCTCTCGGCTGATTTACGTAGTGAATAGGAAATTCTTTCATAATTACAGACTTGACCTTTTTATCATTTAATAATTTTATACAGGGTATTATCCTATTGAAACAATAACATAATTTATAGAATTAATAAGTTAACAAACCTATCGACTATTTACCTCTTTTATTTTTCGATACTTCAATAGACTAAATCAATATTTCATATATCATTCGATGGTCTCCTTTGACGTATTGGAAATGTCAAAGTAAACAACTTTTTATACTTGGCCTTTTTTTTAATTTAAGTCCTGTTGTTTGAACTCAATCAAGACTTATTAGTTGTTTTTCTTAGCTGAATAAAAGATGAGTAGTTTATACTTAACTTTACTGTATACGCGTTAAATTCTGCTACAAGAGGCCTAAAACTATTGACGATTGTTAAAAATGATGAATTTTTGTCGAATTTCTCAAATAAGCCATACTAATTTATAACAATGGCCATAAAAATTTAATAAATTGAATTTTTATACGAAATTCTTTTTTTTCAAAAGCAGACAGAAGACAATAGGAATTATTTTAATATTTACAACATATTTTATTGAACATTTATAGACTATAAATTTTTGTTGTATTTTGCATTTCTATACATCTTTTTTATGTTCATTGTATGTTGTATCTAATAATAATGTTGAAATTTCACATATATGTATATCATCTGGCCAGGTTGATGATCTCTTATTGATTAATAGTTCATCGATACTTCCAATTTTACATATATATGTGCATACTTCATATCGCGTTGACAGTGAAACCATATGGTCAGTCATTTCGCATTCTGTAAATGCATTAGATCCGCATGTTTCTTGATCGTGTTTATGGACAATCAAGTCATTACAATCTATTTGTGATTGATATCTTTTCAACCATATTCGAACTCTCATTGAAGTTCTTATTACTTCTTTCAAAGTTATTCTATCTATTTGATCTAAATTTGATGAACAACTGTTTAAATCTCCGTCAACTAAAACATCATTAGCCGAATGTAAATAGTCAGTATATGAAAAACATTCCAGGTTATTAACAGCTATATTGACTAAAGGTAGGGCAGGATCTGTATGATTCTTTTGCGAACACACTTCTTCAATTGGGAAATTCTTAGTATAATGATTCAAAGTCCCCCGGAATGTATCATTAACTCTTCTGTTACAAGTGCAGTAGACTTGTTCAGAAAAACAAGGTATATTTTCTTCAAAAAGTGTAACATTAGTATTCTGGTTAAAGTGTATCGATGCTTTGAAATTATCTGAGAAATGTTCACGACATTGTATACTAACACTCTGATAACAGACAAATGCATTAAATTGTATAGTATTCTTGTAGCTGATGTAATAGTATCTGTATTATCGTAAAATGAAAAAAATAAAAATTATTATATTAAAACATGTTCAAACCGTGGATTGAAGTATTTGAAACTTCTTGAACAGAAGGTTGTTGTTGTTGGTCGATATCCAATGAAACGATTTCCATACGGCATATAATCATATGATCTAACATGTTTGGGGTGGTAAGAGCAATAAACGTATTTATACTTTGGTAAATAAGCGAAAGCGTTGATTTCATATATTCCTATAAACTTTCCCTCATCTTTATTAAAGATAAATTTTAACCATCCTGTTTCGATGTTAGTAGATATAATAGTATATTCTGATGTTTTATTTACTTTCACTTGTATTAAACTCTCATCATTTGTTATACGAATAGTATCAATCTCATTTTCCATCGGTTGCTTTATTCTTATTTCATTGATAGTATTAGATTGAAAAAATATAATTTTTATGAAAATTTCTTTGCTAGAAATAGTTGGTTGCCACATTTCGTCAACATAGAGTACTGTATCTTTAATAGCAGCTATACAACTACCTCCTGACGATGTACAAGTAGCTCCTAGTTCCGTTCTAGCAACATCTTCGTAATAGGAATCGAACATATCGTAAACGTAGATTCCTTGGTTTACGTGACCATTTGTATTTTTAGACCATTCGAAGCAGGATGAGAATACATTTATTCTAGTAAACATCTGAAATTCGCCAATTTCTAAATTATGATACGTAGTTGTATTTAATCTTATAGAAATATATCTTGTTGGTTGAGAATTATTAAGATAAAGTTCATTCCAACCCTGCTTATAAATATAATAAAATTCATAATCATAAATTTTATTAAAGTGATAGACGTTAAATTTTAAAACTTCTGTTTCATTTCGAATTTTTAGAATACGAATTCGTTCAAATACTATATCGTGCATGATTCTTGCGTAAAAATGTACTACTATATCTGAAATATTATAATGCTGATCACTAGTTTGATAAGTTCGAATTGTTTTATCATAGGTAAAGTGCCAAGGATGTGCAGATGAAATTGCAATTGGATATCTTCTCGATGGAGTAGCTTCCAAGGTATTAATATTCAAATAGAATTCAGAATATCCATTACAAATAGAAAATAATGCACAAATCCAAAAGATATTCATTATATCGGTATTTCGTCGGAAAAGTCAGCCAGTGAACTTGCACATTTCAAACTTTGTTCACTTTTATAACACTAATTATCTTTATTGTCGATATGTCAAATGTTAGATAATTCATAAACTAAGATAATAAATAATTATTTATTAAATAGATTAATCTTATTCCTTTAAGGGCATTCCAAGTACTATAGTAAACCTGAATCTATATAATTCTAATTCAATAGAAGTTCAATTTTATTTCTAATTAGCATAATTTATTCAAAGATGTTTTTCAATGTTCGTAATTTATTTTATTAATACAGTACATCCATCTAGGAGAACGTTATTAAAGTTTAGGGCGCCATCTCTCGAAGTGATCTCTTTAAAATTTTCATGCTGATTCATACGTTCTAGAAGGTAAACTTGTAGAAGCGCCCTCATAAACATTACAGATTTATACGAACAATATCAATCCTTATTCTTCTAGAGATATTGTCGTGCTTGCTAAAATGACGACACCAGTTCAAATTTACGTAGAATTTTGGTAAGGTGTTAACTTCAATGTCTATTAATCCAAAATTATTATAAATTATTAAATATCATAATGTAGAATAATTAGAATCCGTAATCTCTGTTTATTTGCAGTGGTGCATGAGGTTATAGTTCGATCTTTCGAGATCTAAAGCAGAAAATAAAGAGAAAGGTTGAAAATGTTGAAATTGATGGAAGTGTTGGCCGTAGATGTATGAATTATATTTCTTATAATATATCTATTTTTGTTGTTGTTGCCCTATCCAATACAAGTTGTGTATAATTCTTTTTGAACACAGCTTCCTTTGAAGTAACTGTAAACAATACTTTAATATTCAGTAAGCTGAAATTAGGAGGTTTCCCTGAACATGAAAAAGTTTGTTTTATTTAATTGTCATAACGAAATACTATATATTATATATTTATTCAATATTTTCTATAAAGGTTGTCGAAGTTATTTCTAGGGTAAACCAAGGTTATCCACCGGAAGTTATTGAAGATTGCCAAAAAAGTTCATCATGCCTAATCTTATAAACATTGAAAAAAGGAGCATCAACAACAACAACAACAATAACAACAACCTCTATAAACTATACAAGCCTATTGATAGTAGAATAATATTAAATCTATTGAAAAGCTATATATATGACGTAATATATTTAAACTAAGGAGGATATATTACCGATGGTTTCTTGTTTTGTCAATAGATTTATAATTATTCGAAATATAATAAACTACTGTATAATACATAAAGTAAAGGCTTATAAATAAATATATACAGTATATCTGTATTAAACCTATATGTATTTCTAGTAGTTAAAACACTTTACTTGTTCTTTTAGAAGTATTTCTTTCATTGAATGATTTATATATAAAAGATATCGATGCTTAGATAAGCTTAATATAAATTTAAACCAATAGCTTTCTTCTTCTTCTCTTCCCCAACCATTTCACTTTTCTTAAGTTTTATGTATTGATATACGTTTCTATCAGAGTCTACTATTGGCTTTTAGTATAAATAAAATGTCTAAATAAAGAATTTTTTATACTACTCAATCTATAATAGTTCCATTACCGTCCACTTTGATCGATTCTCTGCAATCTTCTACTAGTAGAGTGAGAGTATATTTTATTATTTAAAGCATCTTCTCTAATAGTATTAATATTAATGAAAGACGTAAGGAATTTAATATTTTCATATTAAAGGTTTATTTGACTCCGGAAAGGATAAAATCTATAATTACTAAGGTTTTAATCTATGTGCAAAAGGACTATTTACAAACATTATTATAGACAGATAAAAACATTTATTATTAAATCCCATAATGCAACATATAATATAATTACACTATTATCTATAGGTATACAGAATAACATGTTAATATTTCATTGTGTATTTACAAGTTAATGTAAAAAGAGTTTAGTAGCGTTGATACTTCTCTAATAATTGTTGTCTTTGTTTTATCTTTATCTCACTTAAAGGAAAACGAAAGACTGTTACTGTTTTATTCGTTAAATATCTCTAAAAACATTATTAAAATGAAAGAATAAAAGAAATGATTTATAAGAAAGCAGATTATCTCACGGAGAGTTTTACGTAAAATTTTCCTGGATTAGTAACAAGTTCAGAGTTCCATTTTTCAGGTTCATAAGTTATTTTACTATTTTCTTCGTGATCAATAGCAACGATATTAAATTTTTGTAATAGATATACTATTATCAAAAACATACGATGATCGGCGAATTTCTTTCCAGGACAAACTCGACGTCCAGCGCCAAATGCAAAAATACTTCAATAATAAAGAAAGAATAAGATAAGATTGCAAGATAAAACTTGACTTTATATTTTAAATAACTTACTATTTTCTACATCCTTCTTGGTGTTCTAGGAGAGAGCCATCTTCTTTAAGGAATCTTTCTGGTCGAAAGTTTTGTGGATCTCCCCAAAATTTTTCATTTTTATGAACAGCGGCAACATTTACAAATATGCTAGTATCTCTCGGAATACGATAGCCCATAAGGTTCGTATCTACAACTGCTTTATGAGGTAAGAGAAGAGGAATATGACTTATCCATCTCAAAACCTCAAGAATTGTTGCTGATGTAAAAGGCATTCTTGCCTTATCAGAATAAGTTGGAGATTTTGAAAATCCAATAACTGTCTTAATTTCTTCTAAAACCTTCTCCTTTACACCTGGATATTTGATAATTAATGCAAAAAACATTTGAAGAACTACTGTAGAAGTTTCGAAACCTTTTAAAAGAGAAAAGTAATAAGATTATGCTTAAATTTGTATTGGAAATATTCAAGATTCGAATTAAATTACCTCCAGCTATTGTATCTAAGATAATTACAAATATTTCATCCTTATCAAGAATCTCTCCAGAGTCTCTTACAAGTGCGTTGTGGAATCCATTTTTATCCGTAGAATCTTTATTAACCTAATTAATAGTCTTTAATTTAGTATATATTCCCTGTAGATTGATATTGAACTATTTTACATCGTATTCCTTCAATAGGTCTAACAAAATCTCATCGCGCTTATTGATTGCCTTCTTAAATTCCTTAAATTTTTTCGATTGATAAATCATTTTCATCCATGGGAGAACATTATAAATTTGTAATTCAGTATCGTATAAATATTTCACTATAATGTCGAAATAATTTCGCAATTCTTTCAATTTCTCATCTTTCAACGGTACTCTTTGCCCAATTATCTGAAAGTCAATGAACAGGCTTTTTCATGGAATATACAGTTTACACTCTTACCATTGAAACAATTATATCAAATGTAACATTTGAAAAAAATTGTCTTAATTCAATTCTTTGACTGTTCAAGAGAATCTCATTTGAATAATCTTCAAGGATATCTAATACACTCCTTTCAACATTTAGTTCTGCTATAGTTGTATGTTTAACATATTTCATAAACAGTTTCTTTTTGTATATTAATCTTTCGTTGAAATCTGCTAAAGCAATACCTTTTCCTCCATGAGATATCATTGAAAGTAATTCAGTTTTTGGTCGTCCAGAAAATTCATAGCTTTTATTAATAAGAATATCGCGAATTCCATCATAATTACTTACAATCACTATCGATTCACCAAGAAGATTTAGTTGATAGATTCCATCGTCGGAAGATTTACACCATTCCGTTAATTGTTGAATATATTTCTTAGATTCAATTGAAAATAAATGGCCAAATATTGGAATTTCGAAAGCTTTGCATTTAGGTATTTTGGTATTAGGTAAAAGATATAAAATGGCAAATATAAATATTGAGATAATTAGTATAAAACATAAAAATTCAACTAAGGATGTTAATAAATTCATTTAGATTTATTTGCTGTATTGAAATTTCTTAAATCAATAAATGATATTTAAATTTATTTTAAATAATTTCGTTATCATTTATCTTCGTTATTAAAGTCGTTTTAAGTTCAATTTCAACGTTTATGCTTGTTTTAAATGATATATAATCCACCTGTACCTTATTACATAAAACAAATGTACATAGTGTAGTCTTTGAGTTATAAGAAGATACATTTAAAAAATGTATACATAAGTACTATCAACGTTGAATAGGTCTATCTTTTTTAATAATAATATTGGTAAATAAAGGAATAGATTGCATATATAATTTGGTTCATTTTCTCGTAAGATGTATCCGACAAAGTTGTTGATACTTCGCATATCTCTTTTGTATCTGGCCAACTTTTCATTTGATCCATTATTAAAAGTTTGCTAATCTTCCCGTCTGAACAGTGAAAATCACATCTATTATGTCTGTTCACTAACGATTCATTGTTGAACTGCAATTTACATTTTATATATTTGTTTAATCCACATTTGTCATCATTCTGCTTGTATACATCCAAGTCGTTGCATAAAGACCTTGATCGACGATTTCTAATCCAAACTCTAACTTTCATTAAACTATAAAAGATTTTCGTGATATTAATCATATTATAATTCGTTTCATAGGAACATGACTCCAAATTATTATCAACAATTGCATCATTACTGGATAGCAAATAGTCAGGATACGATTCGCAAAGTAAATTATGAACTGACAGAGAAATAGAGTTAATCGACGAGGAATTCCTTTATTTTGCGACGCATATTTTATGAAGAGTTAAATTATTTGTAATTTGATTAAAATAGCTTGAAAAAGTATCGTTTTCTCTACCAATACAAGAACAATTCGTTTCGTCGTATCAGTATTTTGAATATCTAATGTAATACGATTTCTAAATGTTAGAGAAACATTCAGATTCCTTGAAAGTGTACTGGAGCATCTAATATTAAATTTTTGATAGCAAAAAACAGCATTTAGTTTAATAGAGTTTTCTGTTGACAAATAGCCAGGTGAACTTTTTGTTTAAAAGTTGAAAATATGAAAAAAAGAAACAATGAATAAATTAATTCATTTAATAATAGAGTTAATTAATAGTAAATAAAGAAACTCATACTTTTCTCTATCCAATAACTTTGAGACTGTACAGTGTTCTGTAGATTTTGGTTGGTATTCATTTAAACGACTATCTTTATCGGGAGCTAAATTCTCAGATATGATTCTAGCAAGTTTTTGACACTGTATCATCTTTACTTTAGGAACGTAGGCGAAACATTTTATTTCATAAATTCCAACGAATCTCTTTTCCAGTTTATTTATTAAAAAGTTCAAATATTTGGTCTGCGTTTCAGTGGAAATAATTGTCAAATTACCATTCTTGTTCAATTGCATTTCTATGGGAGGACCTTCGTTTAGAATATTGATTGTATCTATTTCGTTTTCTTGAGGTTGATTTAAACTAATTTCTCTTATAATGTATCTTTTAAAAAATAGAACTTCAATAAATATGCCACGTTCATTTGTTGTTGATGGCTCCCACATATCGTCTTGTAAGAGTATTGAATCTTTAAAAGCAAATTTACAATTTCCACTTGACGATTTGCACGTTGAACCACTTTCTGTTCTTGCAACATCCACTAATGACGCTTCTTCAGTCCCATAGATATATACATTGCTCAATAAAGAATCGTTTGAATATTTACTCCATTCGTTGCAGGAGGAGTATACTTTGGGACTGGTGAAAATCTACCATTCTCCAATTTCCAGATTAGGATATGAAGTATTTTCGATTGTAATGTCAATACTATTTGAAAGAATAGGTTCTTTAATAGGAATATCATTCCAACCATAAACATAATCATGAATGATTGAGAGGCTATTTTCGGATTTGATGGTAATATTCAATTTTTCTGGAAGAGATCGAAGTTTTAATATTCGAAGTCTTCTTATTTTGTTCTTATGATGATATGGAGAATTAAAATTTATATATACATTGTTGATAAGTATATCTTCTTTATTCTTATAAGATTGAATCAATCCATCATGAACATTTCTACGTTGATGTCCCCCTACAAACTTTGAACTACTCAATAGTGGTGAAAATTCATCATCCATAAGATTTAAATAGACTTCTTCATATGCATGTATGTATAGTGTAAAATTTAATAGATAAAAGATGACTATCGTATCAGGTAGCATTTTTTTATCTAAGAGAGTTCCGATCGAAGAGAAACTTGATAAAGTAATAAGGTGTTTAGAAATGATATTTTAATATTTTACTCTTTATCATATTAATTATGTATATCTTTCTTTTGGCTATTCTTTTATTCAAGGTTAAAGTTATTTATAAACATATGGGAAGAACATTGATACTATAAAAAGAAAAGAATGATATTGTATTTCTATTTTACTTGAAACATAACGATACAAAAATTGAATATAAAAGTGAAAGAAAAATTCAATTTAGAAGTTGAATATAAAGTAATTTAACTTAATAATTAATAATGGAGCAAGATTAATTATGAAACACTTTTTCGGTCCTTTTTAAACAATAAATTTAAAAAGTTATATCTATTCTGTAGCAATTGTTTCTAATATTGTAACAAATGCTGTATAGAGTCAATATTATGCATTCATTTGTTTTAATTCTATGATTATCATTAATTATTATACATTGAACATCTCTAAGTGCGTTATAAATGATAGAAATGTTTTAAAAAATGATCTAATTTAACGTAATATTTGTTATGATCTGAGGGGAATTTTGTATGAAAATTTCCAAGTATAACAACTAGATTAAAGTTTCATTTTCCTTCTTTGATGTTTTTTACTTAGGTTTACTATTATCTTTATTATCAATAGCATTTAGTATATGTTAACTCCTTTCCCCGGATATACTCGACATCCAGTACCGAAGGTGAAAGAGATACTGGTTACTTTCTGTTCTCTTTTTTTCTTGCATATAACAACAGAAGACAGCCGTCAACTTCCCTGGTGGAAAATTTTGAGGATCACCCCAAATCTTTCCATATCTATGGACAGCTCCATCATAAATACAAATATCTGAACCTCGTTTTAGTAATAGCTAATACAACTACTATTGTAAACATTATCTACATTATCTTATTCTTTCAGATATAAAACTAATATTCTCTTCTTTATCTATCATTTTAGATGATTATTATGACTTTTATAAAAAATTAACAAAGAATTTTCCTGGTTTTAACACCAGATCAAAGTCCCATTTGTCTGGTTCATATATTAATGTATCGTTCTCTTCGTGGTCTTTTGATACAATAGTAAATCTGTGCAGTAAGTATACCATTGCCAAAAGTATTTCTTGCTGAATTTCAGGATAAGATCGATGTCCAGCGTCAAAAGGTAGAAAACTGTGTTTGATTGTTTATTAATAAAAGATAAAAGAAAGAAATAGAAATTAATTTACAATTTTCGACATCCTTCTCCCAGGGAAAGGAGAGTTCCATCATCTCTAAGGAATCTTTCGGGTCGAAAACAATTCGGATCTCCCCAAAGTTCTTCATTTTTATTTATAGCCCCAATGTTTACAATAACAATAGTATCCTTTTTAATAGGATATCCTCCTAGTGTAGTGTTAGTTGTTGTTTTATGAGGTAATGATACTGGTACATGATTTATCCATCTTATAACTTCAAACACTACTGCATTAAAGTATGACATTCTATCTCTTTCATTATAATTTGGAATGTTATTAGTGCCAATAATCTCACTAATTTCATCAGATACTTTTTTATAAACATCAGGATATTTTAACATTAATGCAAAGAACATTTGAAAAACAACCCAAGAAGTTAGATAACCTAAAACGTAATTTAACTTGTTATTAATAATTTCACTCTTCTATAATTCTATACCTTTAGATATTGCATCAAAAATCAGCATGAACCTTTCAGAGTTATCTTCGTATGATCCTGTAAATATTTCATCGTGTTTCTTACCCTAGTTGAATAATATTTAAATATGATATAATTAGAATATAAATGAATTTTTTGGCTTTATCAACCGAAATTGTAAAAACGTACTTTATATTTCTTAAGTAAACTAATTAGTGATTTATCTCTTTGGTGTGTAAACTTTATCATTTTCTTCATACTTTGCGTTGCATAAATATTATATAACCATGGAAATTTATTATATGGTATAAGTGTAACATCCATGAATAAATGACCAAGTTCAGTTATAGATTCTTTTAACTGAATAGCTTCTTCGTCATTTATATCGATTCTCCTGCCAAACATCTTTTTTTTATCAAGTAAAAAAGGATAACTTATTAATAGAAAGCAATCAATTTATACATACACTAGCCATTACGATATCAAAAGTAAGATTTTGAAATAGCATTGACGTTTCCACTGCTTTATTTTGACATAGAAATTCATTCGAATAATCGTCTAAAATATCTAAAGTTAAATTTCTTATTTCTGCAATAAATTCATTATTGTCGTTATATTTAAAATTTTTATTGATTAAATTCTTTGAATGTTGAAAATTTTCATCGATATTGATTTCTATCGATAATTTATTCATAAATTGTTGAGGACTTTCAACAAACAAGTCTCTTCTTGTTACGAGCACTTCTCTAGCATCTTCGTAACTACATATAATAGTATACTCTTTGCCAAAGATGTTTATGATAAATTCATTTTTCGCTAATAATTTCCACCATGCTGTCAATTGCCTATGAAATTTTTCATAATCAATAGCAAATATATGTCCAAATATTGGATATTCAATTTCGGGACATCTAGGTAGTGCACTTTTTGATTTAAAGATGAAAAAATACACAGCGAATACCGATACTATAAGCAAAATAAAGTCAAAAATATCGACATTTAATACATCGTACTCCATTTCTAGTGTTAAATATGGCAACATATATTTTTCAATACTATATTGTAGTTCTATTTGTTATTCATTCTATTTAAAAATGAATGTTGAAAGAAAAAGAACAATTTTTATCTTTTACCATTTCTTTATGATCAACTAAAGAAATATCGAATCTTGATAAAAAGACAAGTGTCCTCAGAAACAGTCGTAACCTAGAGAACATCCTAGTTTGACTTTGACAGGATTTGATAAGGAGAACGTAGAAAAACATTTCATTTTAGGGAAAACTTTGCGTAAAACTTGCCAGGGCGTAAATCAAGGTCAAAGTTCCATTCCTTAGGTTCATATGTTACTTTACTGTTCTCCTTATGACAAACCGAAGTTATATTGAATCTCTGCAGGAAATAAACATACATTATAAACATAACATGATTGATGAATGCTTTTCCAGGACAAGATCGACGTCCAGCACCAAATGAGAGAAAGCTGTATTTGTTTGAAAATTTAAACTTATCAACCAAAAGCAGTAAATTAAGAATAATGACTTACTATTTTCTGCATTCTTCCTCTGGCTGTAGAAGTGAGCCATCTTCCTTGAGGAACCTTTCAGGTCTAAAATTTTCCGGATCGCCCCATATATCTTTATCTTCAGTCAAACTAAGATAGTTGACGTATATGGTTGTATCTTTTTTAATAAAGTATCCCATGAGATTTGTATCTGCTACTGTTTTATGAGGTAAAAGTAGAGGAACATGATTTATCCATCTCATAACCTCAAGAATAGTTGCGGATAAATACGGCATATTCTGTTTATCGGTAAAAGTTGGAGGTCTTGAAAATCCGATGACTTTTTCAATTTCACTTAGAACGTTATTCTTAACATTTTCGTGTTTTAACATTAAAGCAAAGAACATCTGTATTACTATGGACGACGTTCCATAACCTGTTTAAAAAACAAGCTTGAATATTTACGATATAGGTATGCGTATATTAATTATAATTTAGTAAATAACCAGCTATTACGGTATCCATAACAATCATGAAGATTTCAACGTTGTCCAGATATTTTTGCGGATCACGTAAAATAGATCCGTATAAACCATCTATCTGGAAGAAGAAGAAAAAGCCTCGTTTATATTTTTCATTTGAAAGTAACTATTTAGCTACCGTATAATCTTTCAAAATCTCTTTTAATAGTCTATCTCTACCTTCTATAGCTGCAATGAGTTCTTTATACTTTTTTGAATGGTAAACGTGTTTTAACCAAGGCAGAAATTCATATATCTCTAAATCCACATCAAATAGTAAGCGGGAAAGAGAATCATAGTGTTTCCGAAGCTGTATAAGATTTTCATCATTTAGTGATATTCTCTTTCCGAGAATCTGTAATTCATGAAGAAGAAGAGTTTGTCTTTTATTCCATAGAGCCTATTTACTTCATCCTACCTTTGCCATTATAACGTCAAATGTGAGCTTTACAAATAAGTCTTGTAAATTAACCTCTCGATCACCTTTCATAAATTCATTGTAATAATCGTTTAAAACTTCAAGTGTAGTGTCTTCAACTATCTTTTGTGTCATAGAATCACTTTTCATATGCTTAATTAGCATTTTTTTTCTATATATTAACCTTTCGTCAAAATCTGACAATGCTATATCTCTTCCACCGTCTGTTGCCAATAATAAGAGTTGTTTAAGAGGTCTTCCGGCAAATTGATCATCTCTATTTATAAGAACGTCCCGTATGCCTTTGTAATTACTTACAACAACTATTTTCTCTCCAAGAATATTTAATTGAAAGATTCCATGTTTAGATAATTTTGACCATTCAATTAATTGCCTGTGAAGTTTGTTTGCTTTTATTGAAAATAGATGACCAACTATTGGAAAATGAAAGGCATTGCACAGAGGTACTCCCCTATTTGGCCACAGATTAACAATGACAAAAATAGTTAAAACAATGAGTAAAAGATAGAATAAGATTTCAGTTAATGTTGATGGATAAAGCATTCTGAATCTAGGTTAATAGCTTGATTAAATCTGAAGATGCTTGCCAGTAGCAAGTTCAATACCAATGTTTGATTTAAGACTACAGGTAGTAATAACTTATTACTTAGTTAATATTTATCAATAACCTTGACCGCCGCCATTTTATATTTATTTTGTCGTAATTTTCAATATTGTACAGGAAAAACAAGTGTTTGTAAAGTTTTTTTTACTTAAAACTTTCAAAATATTCTATTTACACTAATAGAACAAACTTATTTTCGTATATATTAGAAAAAGAATAGGCAATTTCAATGCATTTTAGACTTTAACCCTAACTTTAGAAATTTAATGTTAAAAAGAGAAAAGTTCGATTGTGTATTTATACTATCTATTATATAATTTCTAAGATAGGTATGTAAGAAATTATCCTTCACTGAGGGTTTTTATTAATAGTTTTATTCTATCTTCGAGAAACTTTGACAAAAAATTGATCTGGGTGAAGCACTATATCGAAATCCCATTCGTTTGAGTTGTATATGTAATTTTCATCGTTCAAATCTTTTACATATTCAAATTTATATCTTTGTAATAAATAAATAATGGTAATAAACATTCTCTGCTGGGCTAGACCTTTTCCAGGGCATACTCTTCGTCCACCTCCAAAAACGAATAGGCTATTATAAATAATAAAGAGATAAGATGATTTAGTGATTTATTGAAGCGTTTAATTAAGTTATTTCGAAGGGATAATTACTATTTTCTGCATCCTTCATCTGGTGCCATTAAAGTGCCATCTTCTCTGAAAAATCTCTCGGGTCGAAAGTTGGATGGATCACCCCAAAGTTCCTCATTATGATGAAGGTCTCGAGTATTAATTATAATTTGCGTGCCTTTCTTAATGAAATAACCCTGTATAGTGCTATCAATCATAGCTGAGTGAGGTATAGGATTAACGTGACGAATAAATCTTAGGCTTTCCCAAATTGTTGCTTCTAAATAGGGCATGTTATTCTTTTTTAAATAATTAATTGGTTCGTTAAAGCCCATAGTTGTTTCTATTTCGTTTATAAGCTTATTAAGAACCCTGGGATGTTTCATGAGGAGAGCGAAGATCATCATGATACTAACGGAGGACGTTGTATAACCTGTAGAAATAGAAATATCAATCAAATTGAAGGATTAATAAGAAAACACTTTAATGTAAAAGCGGTGTATAAAAAAGTTTGTTTATATTATTTACCGGCCAAGATAGTCTCCATGGCTAACATGAAACATTCATCATCGTCTAGCTTATTGTCTCTCTCCTGCTTTCTTTGTTCTTGTAAGAACTTATCATATAAGCCCTGTTCTCCTAAGATATTACCCAATTGCTCTTCCTAAAAAATATAATTGAATAATAAATAATACAACAAGCTAGATATAGTATCATTTGAATACACTACGGAACTGGAAAACTTACTCTAACTTCCTTAAGAAAGGATGAGAGATTAGCATCTCTATTTTTGATAGCCTGTTTCATCTCTTTGTATTCCTTACTTTGATAAAAGTAGGTTAACCATGGAAATAAATCATATATGGCTAATTTTTGATTAAGGAAGCATTTATTAATTGTTGCGTAAGATTCCTTAAGTTCTTGAAGTCTTTGATCATGAATATTTACTCGATGTCCAACCAACTAACATATTTTTCGTATATGCAAATTAAGGTAATTAGCTTATATAGGAAAAGACTATTTTCATATTATTGAACTTACAATAGCCATTATTATATCAAACATAAGATTAATTGAAAATTCATGGAAATCGATTATTTCATTTTTATCGAGCACTCTTCGACTATAATCTTCAAGGACATCTAGGGTGACCTGTTCAAGTTCAATATTCTTTTGATCGTGAACTTTAATCGATTTCATTAATAATTTCTTTTTCTGGATAAACCTATGGCCAAAATTATCAAAGGCTACATCTTTACCTCCTCTTGTTGTTAAACTGGTTCTTAATAGTTTAGCCCTTCCGCCAAGTTCGTCAGACTTTGTTATTAAAACCTCTTTGATTGCTTCATAACTGGATACAACTACACTTGTCTCGCCAAAGATGTTTATTTGATAAATTCCTGTTTTTTTGAAGTTATTCCCCCATTCCGTTAATTGGCGATGAAATCTTTTAAATTGGACGTATGGCGCATGACCAACAATTGGAAACGCTAATTTTGGACATTTAGGAGCGTTTGTTCTTCTCGAAAAGTAAAATTCTTTCAATATAATAAGAAAAGTAATACTAATTGCCGTGTAAGGCGTTAGAAGAGCAGAGAGGAACGAATACATATCTCAAGTGTAACTTCTCTTCAATCTTTATATATTCCCAAAATTTATATATAACTACTCTCTATAATGGACAATCTTTATAACAACAGATTCTAACAACAGATAGGCTAAATTTAACATAAAAGGAATTAAAGCGCCGCCTACATTAAAAATAAATTACTACTTGGGGTTAGCGAACCCTTCCCGTAGAGTTTCTGTATATTAAAAAATATGAAAGATGGATTAAATATAAATCTTTTTTACCATTACAATAAATTAGATTAATCTTCATTGCGAAATAATCTGTAATTGATCAATAATAATAAATAATTAACTAATTAATTAATTAAGAAGATTTCATTCCTTTCTTTATACGTCGTTGTTTTTTTTTCTTTTTTATCTTCAAAGATCAAGTTTTGCAAATGAAACGAGAAAAGTAAAATTTCAGTAAAAAGGAATAAAAAAACAAGAATTGAACGAAATAAAAAAATAAGTAAAAAAAGCTATTCAACTTTCTTGAATAAAATTCAAAATATTAATGCTATATATATACAGTATATATATACGGTATATGTTTTACCTAGGCCTATACATCGAACAAAAGAAAACAAACCTAGATAAAAATTGCTTACAACTGAGTCTTAGTAAACTATACACAGTATATAAATTATATATATATATCAGATATATACATATATATATGTAAATCAATAAAAATATCTTTTTTTTTTATTCATCGATTTTGCTTGAACAGCTGAAAAAGTTGTAGAGAAACAATTTCACATTATAGAAACGGCGTTTAGATAAGCAAGATATATATATATATATATATATTTATATGTTTATACCGTTGAATATTTGTGCCATCAATGTCTAAGGTAAGGGAACTTATTAATAGTTTTAAGAAGAAAGTTGGATTGGAGGAAGTGATTATTCTATCGGAATTTAGAAAAAAGAAACTCTTGGATGAATTTCATACATTTTATGGTAAATTTATTATTTTATTTATTATGTAATAATAGTTTTAAGAGTTAAAATTGTAACTCTTAATTTAGATTCTAATAAGAATGGCTGTATTGAATGGAAAGACTTTGTTTTAGCTAGAGAAGTAATTGATATATTTTCTAATTATAATAGGTTTATTATTTAATCATCTATTTTTAGAATATATGTAAAATGAATGGATGGAAATTAGGATCGGAAAAGTTCATGTATGTTCATCAAGTATTTACTAAATTATGGCAAGAATTGAATGTTAGTTAATAAATTAAAAGCATTTTGAAAATTGATTTCTTTCTTTTTTTTGTTATTTTTAATTAATGAACACGTGCTCTATAACAACAACTATAAAAAATTAAGGAATGCGCTGATGAGAATACTGATGGTAAAGTCTCAACAGATGAATGGGTAACCTATATAGTAACATATTTAATTAATGGTTCTATTCATCATGTTGTTTTAGTTAAGCTTCTGGCTAAAAGATTATATTGAACTTAAAGAAAGACAGAATATTGAGGCCAAAAAACAAAAAAAGAAACCAAATGAAATTCATATGAACATTTATGAAAACGTTCCCGTTTGGTTAGAAGACTATATTCAATACAAATTTAATCTACTCAATAGAACTGGTGATGGTATTGTTGACGGGGACGAATTCGAATATACTCTAGGCCTATTTGACATACCTGCAAAAGATTGTCGAACAGCATTCATTATGCTTACAGAGGTAAATAACTATTATAAAAGATTATACAAATAACACTATTCGTTATCTTTTATAGAACAATTCAAAGAAAATCAATTTTCCTTATTTTCGAAAATTAGCCTTACAATATTATAGATCAGACGACGAAACAGATGTTGGAAACTTTATTAATGGAAGATTAACATTTTCAGATGAATTAGATAAATAAATTCTACAATAATAGAAGATAGATACTCTTTGATTCTTCATTTTTTACTTACTACGAACAAAGAAATAAAGGAAACTATACGATAGAAACGAATAAGAAATGTAAGGGCATAGAGAACATGTATGTGATATATATATATATATATATATATATGTGTGTGTGTACATCTACAGTATTATACTGTATGTCTATATATGAATATATAGAAACTATATGCGTAATTGATTATTGGATCATTTAAAAAGTAAATGTCTATGAATGTAGCATCTGTATTCTTTAATAATAATAAATAGTGTATATGTAACGACTATTAAAAAAGTAAAGAATGAACAGATGTATCTCCTTTATATATCTATTTTCTCCTCAATCTCTTTCATTACTCTTCCTTCCTTCCTTCCTTCCTCCTTCTTCTCTTTCGTATAATACGAATATAGTAGTATTTTTAATCGTTACCAAGGATTTGTATGAAAATAAATTGTTTACTATAAAAACTTGTTACTTGTTTAATTATTAAAAGAGTTATTTATAGAATGAATTTATTATATTTAACACTTAATGGGAAAATTTGTTACCGGTTTGTTGAACGATGCAATCAACAATTGCGTATATAAATTTATCTCTAGTATTTTATTTACTGATAGTAGACCTAATATCACTTAAGTCGCTTAAAGTATTACGAATACCGTGTATGTTTAAGAGGATGATTTAAGAGAAGTTTCCTATTTATCATAGCTTATTAAAATAGTTAAACTGTAAGAAAAGTAATTTTAATGCCAGAATAGATATATGTTTTATTTTTCTTTTCTTTTATGTTTAATAATTATTCTTCTATTGGAACAACTTCCATTAGCAACTGCAAAGATGCTGTAAAAGAATCTATAGGAAAATAGAGTTGGAATTTCTTCCTTATGAGAGATAATTAAAGAAATAAACTTACTCATAAAAGGTAAAGATTTCTTGAAATAACAAAATGGAATATAGAAAAATAATCCACCGAGAATGATAATTGTTGCATACAGAAATTCAATTCTTGGTTTGTCAATTATTGGCGCGACAAGAAGGCATAATGAGACCATAATTAAGATGATTGGTACGAAAATAGGAACTTTGTAGGGGCTATTTTTAGATGAAATATTATTATTGTTATAGCTCTTAATAACTTTCTATACAGTATACTTTCTAATTAAGAATTACTGACCGTGGCACATGTTTCCAGCGCCATCTTAAGATTAATACTGTAACCAATGTTAATATGGAAAATATTCTTGTACTGAAGCCGAAGAATCTAATTAGAGAGCCGACATTGCCAGGTATAAGGTAGATTAAACATAAAAGGGTTGAGAATATCAATGATGGAATGGGTGTCAGTCGCTTAGCGTGTATCATACTAAGTATACTTATGAAATGGCCATTTCTGGCTGCTCTATGCATAAGTCTATTGATAAAAGAGGGAGAAAATAGGGAATGAGTGTAGTTTAAAATTCTATATTTCATTTAAAAATAATAATATACACACCGACTAGTACCAAACATAATACCATTAGCAGATCCAAAAGTTGATAATGCAACAAAGATTGGTATTAACCATTTAACGGGTCTTATAACAGCTTCGGCCCATGTCTATATTTAACAGTTATTAGTATCTTCAATAGTTATATTTACATGGACAAATTTTCCTAGTATTTGCACTTAACATGTCTTACTTTAAGAACAAGTAGAATCTAAGAAACTGACTTTATCTCTTATCTAAATTATTATCAAGTAGTACGATATCAAATGCTAAATATATATACTTACTACGGCTACCGCTGGAGAATTTAACAATTTAGATGGTGACATTACGGTAAAATAGCTAATATTCATCAGAACATAACATACAATAACCAAAGGTATACCAAGCATAATGGATCTTGGAAGATTCCTTATTAAAATGAAAAAATTCAATTATGAATATTCATTCCCTTTAAATGATCTGTCTAAATTCATACTTGTGAGGTTCTTTGAGTTCTCCTGTTGCGTAATTTAGGTTATTCCTTTTTTATGAGAAAGAATAAATAATTTATAGATATATAATTAATTATTAATTAATATTTACCATCCATCATAGGACCATAGACCGCTATATATACCGAGGGCAATTTTACCAACATTTGTAGTTGTTCCCTTAAAACCCGATTTAAGTGAATCTGTATAACCTTGACCGAGCCTAACAAATCCTCCAATAATTATCATAAATACGGCTAACAATTTTGCTACAGTGAATATAACTTGAATTCTTGTTGCCAATTTAACCGAATAGCAATTTATAGCGGCTAAAACAACTGAAATTAATGAATAACCATTTAAAACGATAAACTTGTACGAATAGCATACGAATAGACTTTTTAGAAGTAGGTACGATAAAGATTCTCATGTGCATTATCATCATTACTAGATGATAACAACTATAGTTTTTCTGTTATTAAATAAATACTATATACAGTATAAACAGATAAAGAAATACTTTTTTTAACTCTTTAAAATATCTTTAAGTACTACTGTACTTTCAAAATCTTTTGACTTTAACCAAGAGCGTCTAATTACACCTTACTCCTTACTAAAAATCTTTCAAGAACCGGAATTTACTTAAGATAACAGCGGCAAGAAGTTTTTTATTAAGTTCCGGTGGTTCTCCGCACCCATCTTCGAATGGTAAAACCAATAAATATTCCGAGCATGTCAAAGCTATGATAGCTAAACCGGCTGGTTTAAGCAATAAATTTAAACTCCAAATTGATAGAAATGCCGGAGCTTCTCCAATTCCAACTAAGATGTAGGTATATTCGGCTCCATTTTTGGGTATAATCGTTCCAAGTTCAGTCATGCATAAAGCACCTTGAAGGTAGGAATTAATTAAAGGAATCATTTAGTTAGTTTTCCTTTCATTTTAAATAAACCTCCTAAAGCTATCAGTCCACTGAGCAGCCAACAAATTAGTGTAAAACCAACCGATCCGGCTCCATTAAGTACGCCTTTTGGAGAGATAAAGATTCCAGAACCTTTAAGGGTAAGTAAGTGACAGATAAATGAATGAAACTAATTCTTCGCTTTGAAAAGTTATCAAAAAGAATTTTCACCTATCATTGCTCCAACAATAAGTGAAGTTCCAGACACAAAACCCACTTTTTTCTTAAGGGTAACTTTATCATCTTCCCTAGGGACGGGATTGTTCCTCGGGTTATGAATTTCGTCCGACATAGCGGCTATAAATCTAAAATTTAACTAAAAGAAAGACCACCAAAAGTTTCCAAGGACAATAAAGAATGATAATTTAAAAGTTAATTGAGCTAATGTTAAATCTATCATAATAATTTATAGTGTATTTTTAATATCAGGCGACCAAGCCTTATCGAACTGTCGACTAAAGTCTCCACTCGGCCAAGAATAAAACTACAGATAAAATTCTCCTTGTTTTCATCTCATTTTTCAGTATATATATAAAAAGATTGTATATTTTTTTTCCATATAATAAAACTTATAGATCATGTACTGCAATTAAAAACTGGAAAAGTAAAGAAAGATTCTAAAAAGGGATATAAAGGCAGCCGGGTACAGGGGAAAGGGAAATTTGCATTGAATATTTTTACAAAGTTTCGAAAAACTATACAATACGGATAATTGATTGAATGTTTAGTATATAGAATTTAGTTTAATAGACTTTATTGTTTATCTTCCTCTATAATTTCCCAAACGAATATTTCTTTCAATATTAACTTTTTCTTTTTTTTCTTTCATTTCAAAATATCTCTCATTCCCTCCTACTCTTCCTTTCCCTCCCTTAGCAGACTTTAGGACAAGTTGTTTCATTAGAATGAACTACTATAGCTATGCTCCTCCCTTCACTGTCAAAAAGACTAACACTTTTGTTGGTGCATTACATCAGCTGAATTTTAATAATCCTTAGAGTTTTTCAATCATTTTCCCTTGATAAAATCAATAAATTTATTTTTAATATCATAAATTTAAAGAAAAGATATCCCACATTAATCTAATTTCTCTTTGTAAGCTTCAAGTTAATTTTGGACATTCTAAAAGGTATACTTTGACGATTGAAATATAGATTTGGTTTCCTAGAATCGAGCTCATTATTTTTGAAAAAATAGGGATCTACGTGCTTATCATAATAATGTTTTTCCTTTTAGCTTAGGTAGGTCGGATGACAAACAAATCTATATACAAAATCGTTAACGTATAATAAGATTTATTGAACACAAGGCCATAGAGACTATAAATTGCGTAATTTTCCATATAAGCTGACATTTCTAGGGGTTCATCAATCGTAGGTAACGATTTTAATATCAGATAGTTTACTAATGAAAGAAAAATGACTATATTTACAGTATTAGCTAATATACTTTCTAAACACAAAAGTCTTCTTTTCAATGCTGTGTTCGTCTAATTTTGTAACATAGCCACTTGGCTCTTGTCCCAAGATTACAATTCTATCGACTTTTAAATCCCTTGTGCCTAAATAGTCAAACTAGAGCATATTTACTTCAGCATATCCTAACCTATATTGATATATTTATCTCGACAGATGTATACAGTCCCCGGCAAAAAGGAAACTGGATAAAAAGGATATAGAAATGATCTTTCTTATGCTTTTACATAATGTAAATGATATATAGGCAATTCCATAGAAACTCAAGCTTTTATACGTATTTCCAGTACAAAGTCTGCAAATTGAGAAATTATTTCATCTCTTCGCTTAAAATATCTAGAAATAGGCAATATGAATGATATCCTTCTCAGAAAAGAAGGCTCAGCCGTTAAAGCCTTCTAGAGAAGTAGAATCCCGAAATTCTTAGGAACAATATAGTAATTTGTTTAAATTATTTTTGTAAACACTATATGAATAACTATCTAAACCACTGTAAAATCTGTAATACTCCCTAGCATACTTTACATATATTGTATACTTTGCATTAGATACTAGCCATCTACTTACGCTAACATAGTATCAAAGGTTTGATAATTTCTATTAATAAACTGTAGTTGTTTATGGAAAACAAGATATCTATAATGTCAAATTTAATATATTTCAAATATTTTTCAAATATGTCTACCTTTATCAGATAAACATTGACCAGAGTACGAGTTTTCGCTGTGATCAAGGATTTCTATTCACTTTTATATAAACAATTAATTTCGTTAGTGACATTGATCCTATGTGGTTTAAAACTATAAAAGTCTTTATGTATTTTAGTCAGTTTTTATCCACTATTTTCAAAGTGTATTATGTTTATCTTCATGAACTATTCATTCCTGCCCTTCTCTTTATTCTCTATACAAAATTGTCTTGTAGAAACGGATTTATATATTTGTTCTCTAGCATTGTAGCCTTGTTTTAAGTGGATCTTTATGAATAATTAATTAACACTTATTGAGCCCGAGGAACGTGTTGCCTAGTTCTTGTGCAGAAAGAGAAAGAAAGCGTTGACTGCAGAAAAGAGATATGTATTAAAAAAAGATTGAGAGATTTTTAAATAGAATGAATACTAAAGGAAAAACGCATTCAAGAGCGTCTTAATAGGTGTAAGACAAAAGTAAATAATACCAGTTTGCATTGCCATCTGTTAGAGATTTTTAAAGGATTTTTGTTTTTTCTATCCAAGTTTTATAAGAATATTTATCCTGATTTTATTCAAAGATAATGTCATATTTATACAGACAGACTCACTTATTAGCCCATATAGAATCCTTAGCTTATTGATTATAAATTTATTTGGATTACCCGTAGAGTTTTTAAACTTGCTCCCCTGCTGTTGTAACTGTTCCTTCTTCCCCCATCTATTCTATCTGTTTGTATGTCAACTTTTGTCTTATGTTCCCTATTCTGCCTTTCACCTCCCTCCTGTCTCTCTCTCTCTCTCTGTCACTCTTTCTCTGTGACATTCTCTTTTTGTTAACTGAACAAGTTAAACAGCTAACGTAATGTGCTGTCATCTGGCGGTTTTTCTACATATCCACTGAACAGAATTTTGCATTCATTTCATCCTCTTGGGTATTAGGGCGTTGCAAAAGTGTTGGCAGAAGGAGAATCTATATAGGATTATTGTACAAGTATCAGATAATTCTTTTTCCATCAAGTAACACTAGTTAGATGGTAAAGCGAAAGTACTAATAAAAAATTCATTCAGCGTCTTTTTCAGTCATTCGTTTTCCGCCATCTTCAACTTTGCATCCCCTTGTCGCCCTAACATCTTGTCTCCTTTCCTCTTTCTACTACTTCGTTTAAGTAACACTCGTCGTGCCTAAAGCGAAATGCGTCGTATATTTATTACGAAGGGCCGTAAAAATAATCCCAGCCCGTCCACGCCTAAATCTCAATTTCGACGCTCAGTAACGCGCATTTGATTTACGACCAGACATTCATTAAGCTACAAACAGATGCACCCTAGATAGGCCTATTCGGTTTTGTGCCTAAAAAAATCAGGGTGATTTTGTAGCAAAAAAAAGTAAGACAGAAGAAAGAAATGGAAGAGGAGAAAGATTTCTACATATCGTTTGGCAGGGATAAATATTGAATATAAAGATTTCATTAGATAGATATAATATGGAACGGCTGTGAACTGGAATCTTTATTCAAGTTACTTAAAAGGTCAATGACCCTTTTTTTTCTTTTCATGATAGGAATTAATAAATGAACGAAGGAAATAAACATAATTGCATAATGTAGTTAAATCGTGCGGAAAGATATACTGTATATATGCGTGTATAGGCCTATTTATTTATATATTCCATGTAAAAGTTTATATAAATAATCTTTTATAGAACTTGTTGCAGATCGCCATTTTTATTATGCATTTATAATTCTCATGACTGTTTTAGAATTCTCTGGATAGTTGGTCGATCTTGGTCAAGGTCTTTTTTTTAATTATCCATCAGTTGCAGAGAGAGAGAGAGAGGGAAAGAGAGAAAAAGAGACGAAGGGAGGGATTGAAGAGTCAGTAATATTCTAATAATTTATTAACTCAATAAAACTCTGAGCTTTTCCAGGACGTGGTCAACCTTGAAACACATCTAATACCCAAATAAATAAATAAAAAGTTAATTCTTTACCTTATAGTCTTTTTATTTTAATACTTTATTACAAAGACTATAAAACAATCATTCTTATATTACATCTATAAAGGCGTTTCAAGAAAAAATGCTAAATAATGGCGTATTTATTATTTCTTATATATTATACTACAGGGTGTCTCCATATTACTTACAAGTGCAATGTCTTAATATTAATAATTTCACTAGATTAATCATAAATTTTCATGCTAATTAATAGGCTTAATTTAATTGGAAAGAAAAAAGATCTTTACTGAGAGGAATATGAAACTTGTAATGAAAAAATTATTCTCTTCTTATCTTTTAGTTTTCCTTTTGTATCTAGGACTATCGAAAATGTGACAGACACTGATACCAGTTTTTCTTCAACTTATTTCTGTCTTCAGTGTTTGAATTCCCTCAGGAATTTCAAGGGATATTTTATAGGACGGAATGATTAGTGTTGCAGAGACGGTATTTTTACGTTAATTGCGCTTCGCTGCTGTGGGATAGGCGGTTTTTGATCCTGCTAGTTTTGATCTTGTCGTATTCATAACTGGGATTTTATTGATGATGTATCTCTTTACAATGTTTCACCACACACACACACACACACAGACATATTTATATTATACATGCACAGTATATATCGTAATTAGAAGAAAATATAAGCTGGAAAAGACTGGACATTTTGTCTATGACTACAAAATTAAAGTTAAAAAAAGAATGTGAAAAGAAGGAAAACAGCCAAAGTTTTGCTCTTTTCATGTTGATCACGCCAATAAAATTTTCCAGAAGCCTCTCTTCTGCCTCTTCTCTTTCTCTCTTTCTTTTCCTCTGGCTCTCTCTCTCTATCTATCTCCCCTCTTTTTTTATTTTATTATTAATTTTTTAAGGAACTGATCCGTATCCAACAGTATGATTTATTTAAAAAAAAGTTTTAATATTGAAAAAGATTTGTCTTGACTCACTTGAGCCTCTCTCCGCCGGGGATTTTTCACCAGATTGCTTAATTTGAACCGATCGATATGGGAGCATACCTAAATAGGAGAGAAAACTGTGTTAAAGCCAATAATTTTCATTATTTTTCTTTTACTTCTTATATTCTTATTTTAGTTGAAAAGATCTAAAGAATGAAAGTTACGTTCAATAGGTAAATTAGCCGCCTCTTATTTCATATCATTTCAAAGAAATTAATAACCATCTTAATAAATTTCTATATAAAATA